AAGGGGGTCCTGCAAGGAGAGGATGAGGGGAAGACCCCATTTGCTAGGGGTGGGGAGAGGGATTGGGCTCCCAGGTCAAGAGAGCACCTTGTATCCTGGCACTGAAAAGACACCCTCCCGACACACACTTTGTGGCATCTCCTTTCGGCAAAGGGTCAAAACATAGTTCCAACTTGAAAACCACCTCCAGGACCAGGCACCCTCAATGGGCTTTGCACTACAACTCCCAACCGGGCCTGCCAGCAGAAGGCAGGGGGGATGGAAACAGCCGCCCAAAAGGTCCAGCCAGCTCCAGAGGCGACCCAAGGCTGCTCTCCAACGGGGCGCTGCTCCAGGCATCTGAGTTGCCCAGTTCAAGGGAGCTGGCGGGACTAAGAACCGGGGTTCCTGAATTGCAGGGGTTGGACTAGATGAGCCTGGAGTGTCCTCTTCCAGGATTCCTCTTCTGGCTGCCAATGCCATGGCTGGAATGTCTCCCAAAACTGCCCCCCCTTTCACAAAGAGCTCTCCCCCCCCCCCCGTCTTAAACTACCCTTTGACTGGCAACCATCTCCAATCTCCTTGCTGGACAATCCCAACCAAAGATGCATTATATTCTCTGAAATATACTCAGGAGTCCTGTAGTGATTTCATGCTCTTTATTGCAGCTTGTAAAACAGTGATTTAATTCCCCCCCCCAACCTCAATCTTTTATCTACATTATTTACACAATTAGTCCTGTCTGATTGGCCGATTCTGCTTCCCTCCTGGAGCCTGACTGGTCTTTTCCTGCAAGCCAATCAGTTGTTGCATTCTAGGATCCTACTTGCCATTTGTTCTAGGATCCAAGCTTAGTATATAACCCCCCTCCCCTCTAAGTTCCCGTTGCACCCAGAAGGTTAGCATTTGTAGTCGTTGAGGTATGCCGGTCACCTATGTATGTCTTGTGGTCTTGGGTGTCTCAGTAGGGGTTCCTGGTTCTGGCTCTTGTTCCAGGGCTGCCGGCTGTGACAGGGCCGTTGGGTTGGATGCTGCTGGTCCACTCGGTTGTGGTTTTGGTTCCTGTGGATGCTCGGCCTCGGTCACTTCTCGACTTCCTAGTTCTGCCTTCCTTACCCGCTCCTCCTGCTCCTGCTCTATGGGCCTCACCCTTCTGCTATCCCCTTGGGATTCTTCTGTCCAGCCCTCCTTGCAGTTTCCCCCCAGGAATCATCCGGAAGTTCAATAGTCCCAAGAAGGCTTGGAGTTCTGCCTTACCCTTAGGTGCAGGGGCGTCGCAAATAGTCCTCACCTTGTCCCCAGTCAGGTGGACTCCGTCTGCGTCTACTGTAAATCCTAGAAAATCCACCTGTTGCACTCCTAGGAGGCACTTTTCCTGCTTCACCTTGAGGCTGGCCGTCTGGAAACGGTGCAGAACGGTGCGGAGCCGGTCCCCAAACTCCCCCAGCGTGGCCCCAGTGATCAACACATCATCAAAGAAGGGGGTGACGGCGGGAATTCCTTTGAGGAGAGAGTCCATTAGATTTTGGAATATCCCTGGGGCCACGCTGACGCCAAGTTGCAGCCCCTTGAAGCGGAACACGCTCCTGTGTTACAATCGTCTGTGCCTCCGCAGGGGCCTCGTCCACTGGCAACTGCTGATAGGTCTGGGCCAGGGCCAGCTTGCCAATAATCTTAGACCCCGCCAGGGTGGCAAGGACATGGCTGACCATTGGCACCGGGTATGCATGAGCCGTAAGGGCCTTGTTTATGGTACATTTGTAGTCTGCGCAGATGTAGACTGAGGGCTTGACAGGTGTGATGATTGGGGTTTCTCGGGGGGCATTAGGCACCGGCTAGAGCACTCCTTGCTCCACAAGCCAGTCTAATTCCTCGTCAATGCGGGGCTTTGAGGGTGAACGGGACCTGGTGGGCCTTGAACCTGATGGGTCGTATGGCGGGGTCTAGTTGTAGGCCAACAGGGGGGCAGTATATCACCCCAATGCCCCATTGAAAACCCCCCAGAAACTCTTTGCACGTGGTGTCCACGTCCACATGGGAGCTGGTGCAGTTCACCCCGGTGATGGCTAACCCGTGGCCCAAACCACACCAACCCCAGTAAGCTAACCTTGAGTTTGTGGAAGTCTCCCGGGGGTGAATGGGGCTGGCCTAACTTGGAGCCGCCACTGGGACACAATTTCCTTAATGTCCATGCCAAGATTATGGACAGGGTTGAGCCTGTATCAAGCTCCAGGCGGCATATAAAATGTAATTTTTCCCCGCATTAGAATGAGGCAACTGGTATACCTGACAGTCTGTGATCTTTTGCCTTGGTGTGTCAGACCACGGGGCCTGGGACTCTTGGGTCGCCTATCTGGTTCGAGGCGTCGGGCAGGGCCAATCAGTTGTTGCATTCTAGGATCCTTCTTGCCTATTGTTCTAGGATCCAAGCTTAGAACATAACATTCTCCTTCCTCCATGTCCCCAATTCTTAAATAGGGTTTATTTCAAAACAGGAAGCGGACACGGAGCAATGGATCCAAACTACAAGAAAGAAGATTCCACCTAAACATTAGGAAGAACTTCCTGACAGTAAGAGCTGTTCGACAGTGGAATTTGCTGCCAAGGAGTGTGGTGGAGTCTCCTTCTTTGGTCTTTAAGCGGAGGCTTGACAACCATATGTCAGGAGTGCTCTGATGGTGTTTCCTGCTTGGCAGGGGGTTGGACTCGATGGCCCTTGTGGTCTCTTCCAACTCTAGGATTCTATGATTCTAGGGTGGGGGGTAGAGATGGCTTAGTCTTCCAAACAACCCTTTATCCATTAGTTAGTAGACAAGCTTCCCAGTGCAAGGAGAGGAAAGCAGACCTCTGAGCCCAGCCTGGCCCCCCACCAAATTCTGCCCGCATGCCTTGAGGCCCCAAGATGGGTGGAGGAAGGCCTGGAGGGGCAGCTGCTGACTGGGACTTTGATTGGGGCAGGGTGGGGGCACAGGGAGAGGGAGACAGGAAGACCAGCCAGGGGGTGGCACTGGGGGGATTTATTCACATTGGTTTTCTACCCAAAAACCACCACCTTCTTTTCCAGCTTTTCAGACTTCTCCTCCCTTCCTTTCATGGAGAAATCTAGTGCTTCTGTTTCCTTTGTCAGTGTCTCTGTTTTAGTGGTCAAATTTGTCACCATTTAATGATTTTTATCAATTCGGGCTAATAGCTTCTCCAAATTTAACACAGGCCTGGTGTTAACTGTTTTTGAACGGCCATATTCCAAATCTCCCTCTCCCTTGTTCTCAAAGCAGCCTATTTTCCAGCAGCACCTTATCAGTTTGTCAAGGTCACAGAATAACTCTTTCCTAAGAGATCCTGTTTCCTGCATTTTTCCAGCCCTCCCTCTTCCATCCAGCCTGATACCCAACACACATAAGCTGTTTAACATAAAATCCAATTTCTCAAATTAAGATTCGAATTAAACAAATAAACCAAATAATTAGTTTAAGAGAGGAACCATAAAAAAGAAAAAAAGAATGTGTTCAAGAGGACATAGCAATTTAGGTGTCCAGATAAGAGTGGTTGTCTTGCAGGAATCCAATTCTCTTTAAGTGGCTCAGAGTAGAAGAAATATTTTTCTTCAAAGAGAAAAAAACTTGTCAAAACCTGTCTTGATTTTAGCTTTTTCAGCCAGCTCTAAGTACCTTTAAAAGCTCCAATTCTATTTTTAAAAAGAACTTTAAAAATGAGACCAGACTTTCATAAATCCCTCTGATCACACTCTTGGCATTTAAATGGTTTCTGCCCTGTAAGAATTCTCTAATGGGAAGTGAGTTGGGAGCTCTGACGGAAGCTCTTTCCACATTCCAGGCACTGATAAGGTTCTCCCCTGTATGAATTCTTTGATGGGAAGTGAAACTGCGGTTTTGACTGAAGCTCTTTCCATATTCCACACACTGATAGGGTTCTCCCCTGTATGAATCCTTCCCCCCCAAAAAAACCCACAATTTTTATTAACAGGCCAATCAAATCACATTAATTCCAAATCACATTAATTCCAAATTACACAGCCAAATTTTTAAATTTTTTGTTGGGGGTACCCATGCTTCGAGCTCAGAAAGGGATCCAAACATCTCTCTTGCTGCTGCTTTAATGTACACAGTTCTGTATTCACATTTCTGTTCAATCTTCACTTTGTTATTTTCCTCATCTTCTTGTTATTATCATATCTTCCTTTTTGTGATCTCTGATAGTCTCCACAAGGGGGTTGAAAACAAACGTTGTTATATCCTGTGTGGATTTTGCACTCCTCCAAGAGCCATATCAAAAAAGACAGACGCCATTTCCGCACCTCCGTACAAAGCATTCCCAAAGTCTGTCCGTTAACTTCCACAGGCCAGCCAGTCTTCCTCAATTTTCTCAGGAGGCCCTGCCAGGTCAAACTCACGAGTCCGATATAATAACAAACCATGGTCCTCCTCCCCCTCGATCTTCCTGTGGCCGGGCCTGCCGTAACAAATCTCTTTTTATAACTGCATCACAAAGAGCTTCCTTTCCCGATGTTCCCACTAGCCATGTCTTTGATTAGTAATTTATTTCCACGCAGTTCTTAATTATCCTGCTTGTAATCAGTAATTGCAACGGTTCTTTCTTTGGGGGAGGGTTATTGGGTACTCACATAAGATAAAAAAAGAAAAGTTTTTTCCTCCCCCCTTTTCAGCCCCGCTCCGACATACCAATCCTTTGATGAATCTTCTTCTTGATTTATTATTGAATCCAGCCCGTCGCTCCACTTCACAGAGATCACTTTAATTAGTCTTAACTCCCAATCTTCGCTCAAAATATGTGCATTTGCTTCTTTCTAATTGTTTATTTTGAGCTCCCGCAACCAGGCGTGCAATCAGAGACAGCGTCCGGGAGAGCCGACCCACACGGGTGCTGTGCGCCTAGTGCCCTCACCCCCTTCTTTCGGATCAGGGGGTGATTTATGGCAACCGCAGGCAAGGGCAGTGTTCCCCATTCCCTTGGGGTAACAAGGAAGGCTGCATACTCCCATATCAGCCTCTTAATTTCCTCGTGTGAGACGGAGAGATGGTATTGTCGGCCATCTTCCAATGAGCCCCTAGCGGCCCCCTCTCCCCTGTATGAATCCTTTGATGGGAAGTGAGATGGGCCCTCTGATTAAAGCTCTTTCCACATTCCAAGCAGTGATAGGGTTTCTCCCCTGTATGAATCCTTTGATGGGAAGTGAGATGGGCACTCCGATTGAAGCTCTTTCCACATTCCATGCACTGATAGGGTTTTTCCCCTGTATGAATTCTTTGATGTGAAGTGAAACTGTGCTTTCTAATGAAGCTCTTTCCACATTCCACGCACTGATAGGGTTTTTCCCCTGTATGAATTCTTTGATGGGCAGTGAGATGGGAGCCCTGACTGAAGCTCTTTCCACATTCCATGCACTGATATGGTTGCTCCCCTGTATGAATTCTACGGTGGGCAGTGAGATTGTACCTGTGACTGAAGCTCTTTCCACATTCCACGCACTGAAAGGGTTTCTCCCCTGTATGAATTCTACGATGGGAAGTGAAACTGCGGTTTTGACTGAAGCTCTTTCCACATTCCATGCACTGATAGGGTTTTTCCCCTGTATGAATTCTACGATGGGAAGTGAGATCGTGGCTGTGACTGAAGCTCTTTCCACACTCCAAGCAGAGATATGGTTTCTCCCCTGTATGAATTCTACGATGGGAAGTGAGATTGTGGCTGTGACTGAAGCTCTTTCCACACTCCAAACAGTGATATGGTTTCTCCCCTGTATGAATTCTACGATGGGAAGTGAGATTGTGGCTGTGACTGAAGCTCTTTCCACATTCCACGCACTGATATGGTTTCTCCCCTGTATGAATTCTACGATGGGACGTGAAACTGCGGTTTTGACTGAAGCTCTTTCCGCATTCCACGCACTGATAGGGTTGCTCCCCTGTATGGATCCTTTGATGGGAAGTGAGATGGGCACTCTGACTGAAGCTCTTTCCACATTCCATGCACTGATAGGGTTTCTCCCCTGTATGAATCCTTTGATGGGAAGTGAGCTTGGCCCTGTGATTGAAACTCTTTCCACATTCCACGCACTGATAGGGTTTCTCCCCTGTATGAATCCTTTGATGAGAAGACAGCTTTGCCCTCTGATTGAAACTCTTTCCACATTCCACGCACTGATAGGGTTTCTCCCCTGTATGAATGCTTTGATGGGAAGTGAGATGGGCACTCCGATTGAAGCTCTTTCCACATTCCACGCACTGATACGGTTTTTCCCCTGTATGAATTCTTTGATGGGCAGTGAGATGGGAGACCTGACTGAAGCTCTTTCCACATTCCAGGCACTGATATGGTTGCTCCCCTGTATGAATTCTACGGTGGGCAGTGAGACTGTACCTGTGACTGAAGCTCTTTCCACATTCCAAGCACTGAAAGGGTTTCTCCCCTGTATGAATTCTTTGATGGGAGGTGAGAGAGGAGCTATCAGTGAAGCTCTTTCCACATTCCACGCACTGATAGGGTTTCTCCCCTGTATGAATTCTACGATGGCAAGTGAGATCGTGGCTGTGACTGAAGCTCTTTCCACACTCCAAGCAGTGATATGGTTTCTCCCCTGTATGAATTCTACGATGGGAAGTGAGATTGTGGCTGTGACTGAAGCTCTTTCCACACTCTAAGCAGTGATATGGTTTCTCCCCTGTATGAATTCTACGATGGGAAGTGAGATGGGCACTCCGAGTGAAGCTCTTTCCACATTCCAAACACTGATAGTGTTTCTTCTCAAGGGGATTTCTTTGATGGGAAGTGGAATGGGAGCTCTGACTGAAGCTCTCTCCACAGTCTGAATCCTGATTTGGCTCCTCCACTCTGTGGATTTCGTTGTGGTCTCCCTTGTTCTTCATTTCCAATTCATCACCACCTGAAACTAAGAGGCAAACGGATTAGAGTCTCGGGAAGAAGTGCAGTCCCAAATTATGGAACAATGCTAATTAATGCTTGGGACAGGGGAAGAACCAAAGGGAGTTAGATGTTATAATGTTCCTTTTGTTCTGTAAAAATGTCTAGTTTTGTATACAAATCAAGTTGAATATTATGTTTTCTCTCTCTAGTTTTTTAAAGTACAGCTTAACCTGGTAAAGTCATTTTGTTCAAATTTAAATATGGATCTGTACTATCTTCATAAATAAAATGTGCTTTTATTATTATCGAAATGGTGGCCAAAGTGAGAAAGTTCCCTGTCCAAAATTAAGATATACAGTGGTACCTCGGTTTATATACACTTAAAGTTACATACGCTTCAGGTTACAGACTCTGCTAACCCAGAAATAATGCTTCAGTTTAAGAACTTTGCTTCAGGATAAGAACAGAAATCATGCCCTGGCAGCGCGGCGGCAGCAGGAGACCCCATTAGCTAAAGTGGTGCTTCAGGTTAAAAACAGTTTCAGGTGAAGAACGGACCTCCGGAACTAATTAAGTACTTAACCCGAGGTACGACTGTATTCAGTATGCTAAGTTGTTCAATATGCAGTAATAAATCTAAACAAATTTTAAGAGCTGGAGAAATATTTGGGAACATTGACTCTGGACTGACTTGGTCATAGTCAGCTGCCTTGTGGTGGGCGATGTAAGAGTAGCGGAATGAACTTCTGTGTGCTGAAAAACACATTTTGTATATTGAACAAATGTGTGTAGCAGCTGCCAAATTTAAATTTCTTTAGTGGATAAACATTTAATGATGATGTGCATCACCTTAAATCAATTTGGATGTTTTCTTAAATTCTCGACATCACAGAATGCAGCAGAAACATGTAATATCAGTATTATTATTATTATTCAAGTTTCCTTACAGTGCTACCTCAGGTTATATATGCTTCAGGTTACAGACACCGCTATCCTAGAAATGGTACCTTGGGTTAATAATAACAATAATAATAATTTTTATTTATACCCACTCGCCCCAGCCAATGCCAGGCTCAGAGCGGCTTACAAGCAATAATAAAAACAAGTTGAATAATTACAACTTAAAAACAATATTAAAATACAACATTAAAATTTTGAAACATTAAAATGTAGCCTCCTCGCAGGAGGAGAAGGAAAAGAAAAAAGAAAGAGAGGAATCAAAAAAGAAAGAGAGGAATCAAATTGGCTCCAAGCCAAAGGCCAGGCAGAACAACTCTGTCTTACAGGCCCTGCGGAAAGAAATCAGATCCTGCAGGGCCCTGGTCTCATGAGGCAGAGCGTTCCACCAGGCCGGGGCCAGGGTTGAAAAGGCCCTGGCTCTGGTTGAAGCCAATCTAACTTCCTTAGGGCCCGGGACCTCTAGGGTGTTGCTATTTATGGACCTTGAGGCTCTCCGTGGGGCATACCGGGAGAGGCGGTCCTGTAGGTGTGAGGGGCCTAGGCCATGAAGGGCTTGAAAGGTCAAAACCAGCACCTTAAATCTGACCCTGTACTCCACCGGGAGCCAGTGCAGCTGGAAAAGCACTGGGTGAATATGCTCCCAAGGCAGAGACGCCGTGAGGAGCCTCACTGCAGCATTCTGCACCCGCTGGAGTTTCTGGGACAGCTTCAAGGGCAGCCCCGCGTAGAGTGAATTACAGTAGTCAAGCCTGGAGATGACCGTCGCATGGATCACTGTGGTCAGGTCAGGGCAGGAAAGGTAAGGGACCAACTGCTTGATGCGGCGAAGGTGGAAAAACGTCGCCTTGGCTGTTGCTGTAACTTGCGTCTCCATGGAAAGGGAGGCGTCAATGATTACACCCAAACTCTTAACGGAAGGCAATGGCACTAATTGGACCCCCGCAAGAGAACTTTGCTTCAGAATGAGAACAGAAATCGTGCTCTGGCAGCGCAGCGGCAGCAGGAGACCCCATTAGCTAAAGTGGTGCTTCAGGTTAAAAACAGTTTCAGGTTAAGAACAGACCTCCAGAACGAATTAAGTTCTTCACCCGAAGTACCACTGTACTTAAATGTTACATTATTGTGAGAAGTTACAGGGGACGAGGCAGGGGGCCTTCTCGATAGGGGAACCCACCCTGTGGAATGCCCTCCCATCAGATGTCAAGGAAATAACTATGCAACTTTTAGAGGACTTCTGAAGGCACCTCTGTATTGGGAAGTTTTTAATGTTTGATGTTTTATTATGTTTTTCTATTTGTTGGAATTTGCCCAGAGTGGCTGGGGCCACCCATTCAGATGGGCAGGGTGAAAATAATAAAATTATCATTATTGTTACTACAGGGTTCACTGCCTGAGATTCAAAAAGCCTGGCTCTTTTCTGGGATGGAGTTTGTTTGGTTCAGTCGTGGAATCTGTCAAGCAACTCTTTGGTCAAAAATCACTCTGAATCCTACATTTAAGAAGGCCTGGGCAGTTCAGACAGCCTGATCATGGTTTTAAACGACAGAACTGGAGGAAGAATATTCACAGGGAAAACAATTAATAGCCATCCATCCAAGGTTTGCTGTGGGAGTGTTAACATCCCAGTTGCTGTGGGTGGCGCTGTTGAGCCCCATTGAAATATCAGAGGTTCGTCACATAGAGAGATGTCTTGAATTACAAAACAGATAGGATGATCCAATAGGGAGCCTTACCGAGAGAGTCCAAGATCCCACGATTCTCCTCCATGACTTCCTTATGGAGAGCTCTCTGGTCAGGATCCAGCAACGCCCACTCCTCGTCTGTGAAATGGACAGCCACATCTTCAAAGCACACTGGACCCTAACAGAACAGGAAAAGGCTGTCCTCTTAGAGAACATTCACTTGGCTCTGTTGTTTTCTACAGCGGCCAGACCCCTCTCTGCCTTCCTCATCCCTCTCTCCTGCTGCAGCTTCTGCCTCGGAGTCTGGGCTGCTCTCTGCCACAGACTCCCTCTGCTCCCTGAGCCCTCTTCCCTCTCCAGCTTCCTCCTCCTCCTCCTCCTCCTCCCAGTCGGCTCCCTCTTCTCTGGCTCCTCCCACCATTCCTCTGCATCCAACTGTGTCCAGCCAGTCTGCATCCAAGCAGTCCTTCCCCACAAGGCTCCTTCCCCCTACCTGATCTGGGTCCACAGCTGCTGCCTCCCCTCCACCACCATGAAAAGATGAAGGAGCAGGTCTTGGTGGCATCATTCCGTCTCCTGGGAGAGAAAATGTAAGTGGGAAACTGTAAGTGCATCTCTAAGTGCAGATGGGGCTTGTCCAAGTCTCCCCTGCTAGCTTCCGGTTCCGCTCTGCTTTAATGGAGGCAGCGGGAGATCATTGGCAAAGGAAAAACAAGGATGACTGAGGGTAATTCTCCTTGCAAGTTGCCCCCAGGGACAGGGGGGAACGGGCTTCACTCCCAGTTTGTCTCGGTACCACGTTCCGGCTCCGGCATGGATTGCGGGAGGCAGGGAGGCGCTGAGTGCAAAAGCTCTTCGTCTGCCAAAAACCCTCCTTCGCTGCCATTAAGAAGCAGAGGTTCTCCTGTCAATTAGAGCTCAATTTGGACTAATGTACAGGCGTTGCTGGAAGAGATGAGATCATAAACTGTGGAATTGAACCAGCTGCAGTAAAAGTCTCCCCTGCTGAGTACATTTGGACTCATTTGTACCCATTTCATATATTGGTTGTGCAAAAATACATCTCCCCCCCTCCCCGAGCTCTGGGCTCCAGGTGTCTTCCCCCAAAAGATGTAAAGAACTCACAGATTAGTTTCAAAACCAAGAGAATGTGACAAAACGGGGGAGAAAACACTCCTTCCTCCTTACCCAGAGGCCTCACTCTGGCGTCCAACGGAGTCTTCTCTGCCTCAGAAGAATCAAGACCCATTTCTGCCAAAAGATCCTTCCTCTGAAAGAGCAACAAGGATTCAAAACGAAGAATGGGGAGAAGGGTTAGAGAAGGAATGGCAGAGGCAAGCGCTTTCGGGGGAGAGAGGTGAAAGCTGCTTCCTGCTTCTGCTAGACTGGTGTCTGGGGTTGGCTGCCAGGACCATGAAACATTGGTCCTCAAGGATCTTCACTGGCTCCCAGAACGTTTCCCAGCACAATTCAAAGTGTTGGCCTCAAAGGCCCAGTATACCCAAAGGAGCGTCTCCATGAACTGAGGTCCAGTTCCGAGGGTCTTCTGCTGATTCCCTCACTGTGATAAGTGAAGTTACAGGGAACCAGGCAGAAGACCTTCTCCACAGTGGGACCCACCCTGGGGAATGCCCTCCCATCAGGTGATAAGGAGATAAGAAACTGCATAGCTTTTAGAAGACATCTGATGTCTTCTTATGCTTTTATATGTGCTGCAAGGCACCCAGCCACATGGGTGTGGTATTAATAATAAGAAGAAGAGGAAGAAGAGCAAGAAGGAGAAGAAGAAGATCTGTTCCTAGATGCTTTCCAAAAAAGGAGGGGCCATTAGGAAATGATTTGGGAATACTCTCCCTCCTCTTTGGAGCCCCTTGGGAGTATCCAGAGGAAAGTCTCTCTCACCTGCTGCTCTGCCTGCTTCCTCTCCTCTGCCTGACTCAGGAGGAAACCTTCGGCCAGGGCCACCGCCTGGGAACTGGTCTCCGCTCCGCATTCCCTCACCCAGTTCTCCATCTCCAGAGGAAGGACAGCCAGGAACTGCTCCAAGATCACCAGGTCCAACATCTGAGCTTTCGTGTGCCTTTCTGGCTTCAGCCACTGATGGTCAAGATGGTAGAACTGGCTGCAAACGTCTCGAGGTCCTTTGGCCTCCTGGTAGAACTGCCTGAGCTGCTGGCTCTGCACCTCTGAGGAAAGGGTGTCCTCCTCACCCAGGATCTTCTGCATGGAGTTTTCCCAGAATCCCCCACTGCTCCCCGTTTCCATGGCATGGCCTCTTCCTGCTTCAGGGCCAGCTGAGTCTTGCTCATTCATCTCTGTTCTCAGGACACCTCCAGGAGATCGGAAGGAGCCCCTTGGTCCTCTGCCAAGTTCTAGTGCAAGGTGCAGCAAATCCTACGAATCAAACACATTCTTCTATTGTAAGATCAAAGCACAGCCAAGAGAAGAAGAATGTTCCCTGAGGAAGCGTGGGGAGAGGAGGAGGAGGAAGAAGTCATAACTGTGAATGACAAGTGAGTGTAATCTGGAGCCAGGGCAATAGTGGGGGTCCCTCCCCACCCCACTTCATAGTCCAGAGCTTCGCCCCAACCCAACCATCTCTGCTTGGGTGGCTTGGTGAGCAGCAGGGCCCATGTCTAGCTCCAGCCACCGTCCCTTGGGGACTTCCTGCTCTGGATCCGAGGGGACGGTGGCAAGGCCCTCTGGGTGGAACTGCCCTGGAAGACGCCTCGGAAACTGGACTTTCAGTCAAAAAAAGAATTAGGGAGGGGAAATGGCCGACATACAGAGATTTATGAATAGAGAGAGAAGGGAAGCGTCATCTTCATGGTATTTCCCTCTTAATATCCTTCTCCCTCAGAATAATGTCCCTCTTAATATCCTTCTCCCTCAGAATAATGTCCCTCTTAATATACTTCTCCCTCATAATAATGTCCCTCTTAATATACTTCTCCCTCATAATAATGTCCCTCTTAATATACTTCTCCCTCACAATACTGTCCCTCTTAATATACTTCTCCCTCATAATAATGTCCCTCCTAATATCCTTCTCCCTCACAATAATGTCCCTCTTAATATCCTTCTCCCTCATAATAATGTCCCTCTTAATATACTTCTCCCTCAGAATAATGTCCCTCTTAATATCCTTCTCCCTCATAATAATGTCCCTCTTAATATACTTCTCCCTCATAATAATGTCCCTCTTAATATACTTCTCCCTCACAATACTGTCCCTCTTAATATACTTCTCCCTCATAATAATGTCCCTCCTAATATCCTTCTCCCTCACAATAATGTCCCTCTTAATATCCTTCTCCCTCATAATAATGTCCCTCTTAATATACTTCTCCCTCATAATAATGTCCCTCTTAATATACTTCTCCCTCATAATAATGTCCCTCTTAATATCCTTCTCCCTCATGTCCCTCTTAATATACTTCTCCCTCATAATAATGTCCCTCTTAATCTACTTCTCCCTCATGTCCCTCTTAATATCCTTCTCCCTCATAATAATGTCCCTCTTAATCTACTTCTCCCTCATGTCCCTCTTAATATCCTTCTCCCTCATAATAATCTCCCTCTTAATATACTTCTCCCTCATGTCCCTCTTAATATCCTTCTCCCTCATAATAATGTCCCTCTTAATATCCTTCTCCCTCACAATAATGTCCCTCCGAGTGTCCTTCTCCCTCCTCCCTGTCTTCCAGTCCCACCTCCCTGGCCAGGGCCTGAGGTCCCTCTGGCTCCCTCCCGGACCCCCCAGCCTCTCTTCCCTCCCCTTCCCGCCTCCCGGGGCAGGGAGTTCCCCAGGCTTCCCCCGAGAGGAGACCCACCAGAGCCCGGCAGGCGAAGGCGAGGCCGGAAGGGACCTCAGAGGGCAGGAGAGGAGGAGGAGCGGCCCGCCTTCCTTTCCTGTCCTCTCTAGGAAGCCAGCTCGGCTCCTCTTAACCCTTCTCTCTCCCGGCGGAGGAGCCCGAGGCGTCGCGCAGGCGCAGAACTGCCCCTTCCGAGGGGAGGGGGGAGGGAGGAAGCAGGACCCAGAACCCGGGACTGGGCGCGTGTGCGTGTGAAGGGGGAACCCGTGTCCCGGAGGAGGAGCCCGTCTCTCTGCCTGGGGCTGCGAAGGGGCGTCTGGGCGGGGGAGAGGGGGGTCTTTGGGGGGCCAGATGGGGTGAAGGGGGTGTCTCTTCTCCGGGGGGGGCGAGTCCCGCCTGGCTCTCTTGGGGGCCCCTGGGCGGGTCTGGGGGGGCTGCGGGGCAGAGAGCCCTGTCCCAGCAAGAGGGGGTCCCGGGGGGGGGGCTGAAGGGGCAGCTGGAGGGGGGAGACATTGCCAGACATGGCTGGGGGGCCATTCTGTGTTCTCCCATCTGCTGCTTCGTGTCTGTATTTCAGCCATAAATATCCCATGTTCTTCTCTGTTAGTGAAGTCGCCTTTGAAGCAACACAGGAGCAGCCAAGGGGGTTTTCCTAGGAAGCCTTTTATTCCCCTCTGGTGACATTGTGTGTTCTGAACACGCTGGCATTCTTATACCCCCCAAATTCCTGCATTCAGTAAGTGTTAGAATTTGGCTTAGACTTGGGTTGCCAGACCTGTGTTTATTACACTGTGTGCTAGACACTTCCAATCCTCTGGAATCAGCGTGTCTTCAAAGCTCCTTCAACCAGGCAAGTTTGCCATGAAGTGAGAGCCTGGGGTCATGGGCTGTTCAGAGAACAAAGGAACTCTGTAGGAGAGCCAAAGGTGAGAGGGCCCTCTTCCTCCGCAGGTGAAGCAAGGTGAGCTGCAGAGCTTAGGAGTTATGGGATGGAGAAGTAGAGCAGCAGGCAGAGCAGGATGGTTGAGGTCTGCTGGAATCCACCAGATTTTTAAAAAATTTGTCAAAATGTCTCTGGCCAGACGTTCTGGAGGAGACATAACTGGGGGTGGAAGACTTGCTTTCCTCTTCTCTTCTCCTGCCCCCCCCTCAGCAAAACATCTCACAGCTTCTCTAGCCTACATATAGTAGGAGTATTGAAAGTGAGAGTCATCATCGCATCCTCGTTTTTGCTCCTCAAAATCTGCCCAGCCTCCCAGAGAAGGGCAACCAAGGAGATGAAGACTCCGTCCTCTTCCTTCTGTGACGGCAGGTTGCTCTTGCTCCTTGTCCACCTTCCAAAATGAAGAGCAGAATCCTAAAGTTGGAAGGGACCCCAAGGTCCATCTAGGCCAGGGGAGGCAACCTAAGGACCAGGGGCCGGATGTGGCCCAATCGCCTTCTCAATCCGGCCCCCGGGAATCAGCGTGTTTTTACATGAGTAGAATGTGTCCTTTTACTTAAAATGCATCTCTGGGTTATTTGTGGGGCATAGGAATTGGTTCATTCCCCCCCAAAAATATAATCCGGCCCCCCACATGGTCTGAGGGACGGTGGACCGGCCCCCGGCTGGAAAAGCTTGCTGACCCCGGATCTAGGGCTGTTTTTAAATGTCCCAACGCTGCCTGGCACTGGTCCCTCCAAATGCTCTTGTCTGGCTGGTCTTTCTTCACCCAGTCATGTCAAGGAGCAGCATGGGGGCTAAAAGGAGGAATAAATGGAGGACAATATCCCACTCCCCCCAGAAAAGCTCTTCTTTCTCTTTCTGTGGAGGCTCTAGGCCCCTCTTGAAGGACCTTTGCCTTGCTCCAATCAGGATAAATATTTCCACCCCTTGGGACCCAAATATTTGACTTGCCTCGTTTTGAAAACTGGCATTTTGAAGCTTGGACCGTTAGGCCTGCACACCATCACCTTTTACATACTTTACATTTGCTGAGGTAAAATCTCCACCCCTCAACATTGCTTGCGGCAGTTCTGCCCTCGCCTTAATCTCCTCCATTTTGAAAGGAAGCATCTCTTTTTCATGGGCCATCTTGGCCTCCCTGTCTCTTTCTTCTTGGGCTCATCTCTCTCTCTCTCTCTCTCTCTCTCTCTCTCTCTCTCTCTCTCAGCCTGTATCTCTGCTAGATGAAGGGCAGCTGCCATTCTGGCCTCTTCTCTTTCTTTCTCTGCTTCAACCTTAGACAATTCCAATCTTAGCCTCATCATCTCTAATTCAGTATATTAGGATTCTCCTCAGACGCAGCAGCTGGGTCATCCTGAGTCTCTTTGGCTTGGCGCTTGCTGGTCATTTTCTGACAGGAATTTTTTCTCTTTTTAATCAAAGAATGTCACTCCTTTATTAAACTGGTTGTTCTGTGTCTCTGGGTACGTTTCTGTGTGGGTTTTAACTTCGTATCACGGCTCTTTCCCCCCCGGCACCCTTGGGCCTGCCCTTCAGGGTTGTCGTTTTGAGACCCCACTTCCTCCCCGGGTTTCCAATTATTACTTTTTCTGGAAGGGACTGAGCATTACTGCTCCCCCTAAGTCTGTGGAGAGACATGTTTTGTTGCAGCTGGGGCAGATGAAGGAGTCTGGTTGTGTTGCTACAGATGCACTTAACCTCAAGGTCATGGGTTTGAGCCCCACATTGGGCAAAATATTCTTCCATTGCAGGGGGTTGGGCTAGATGACCCTCTTGGTCCCTTCCAACTCTACGGTTCTGGGATTGATGTAGCATCTCTTCACACAAGAGACTCAAGCTACATTTTCTATAGCCACCCTACTAGCCCTGACAAAACTCCATTGCTTTCTTTTATGGATCCAATGGCTTTTAGATGCAACTGGAACTTTTGCTGTTGTTAAAGCGCTTAAATCTTGATGGCTAAAATGACATATAGAATTTGAGGTACAAAAAGGTACAAAGAAGAGTGGGGTAAATTTGTGGTATATATAAGAAATAACTAGAAGTTTAAAAACTACGGTAGGGTTAACATAAATCCTGTGATGTGTATAGAAGGTCAATAAGAATCTACAAGAGAAGATATGTTTTAAGAAAACCAACGCAGGGAAGGAAGGAAGTCGCGGCGTGAATATACGCAATGTAAATAAGATAACACAAAATGTTGATTGTAAAAGATTGTTTTGTTTGTTGTCTGTGGAAAATTTAATAAAAAAGCATTTAAAAAAAAAAATCTTGATGGTCTTTCATTTCAGGAATGCCTCTGCATGCCAACAAGTTGTTGAAAGAGATCGATGATACCGTGTCGGAGGGGGAGAGGGGCTCAGGGCTCTATGAATGCCACAACACGCAGGGCTATCCATAAACAGTGTTTATGGAAGTCAATCTTACTCGGCTACGAGGGATCGCCAAAGAAGAAGATTCCTGCGCCACCTCCCTGTCAAAAATTCTGATATGTGTACATTAACTTGATGAAGGCAGCTGGATGATGAAGGCAGGATTACAAAGGAATAGGCATATAGCTTCACATAGCAGGTCAACCTTCCTTGGCAGCTTCTAGACATATGCGTAGGCTTTTCCCAGGAATCTTACATCTGAAAAGGCAGCACTTGCCAAATAAATCTACTCTCTTCCAAGGAAAAGACCTGCTTTCTCAGCAAAGTGTGAATGCTGTCAGTGGGCCAAACATCCCTAATGATATTTCAGCAAGCTTTGGGACCTGTAGAGAGGACACTATTATCTCTTTTCCAGACGGGCCACGTGAAACCAGGTGTTAAGTAAGTGAAGGCTACACATGCTTCCATTTCCTTCTGACTTTAGGGGTGCTCAAGAAACTGTTGAGGTTTAATCACCGAATCAAATGCAGCTGGCTCACAGTTGGATGCTACCAGGATACTGATGGCACTGCACCTAAACTTCACACTACGTTACCAAGAATTTTGTTTTTTTCGTAGATAAGATCCTTTCTCGTAAATTTGATTGATCCTTAGTGAATTCAGCAGATCTAAGGCTCATGCGCCATACCCCCAACATCTTTCTTTGGCAATCCCTCGTAGCTGCATAAGATTGTCTTCCATGAACTTGGCCTTAACAGTGAGTCTGTAAGTGACTGTGGAGGCCAATTCTGGATCCACACGTCCTTCCACAGTGGGGACATTGGTTTCCGGGCAGGAGTTGATCCTGGTGTGGATTTGCCAAACACCCTTCCTCTTAGCACTGTTTCTTCCTGACTTCGAAAGACTTCAAAGCCCATCACACCTTTGGTCAAGGCTGTTCTCCAACTGGAGCACTTGCAGGCCAGTGTTTCCCAGTTGTCGGTGTTTATACTACTTTTAAAAGATTTGCCTTGAGACAATCTTTAAACCTCTTTTGTTGACCACCAGCATTACGCTTTCCATTTTTAAGTTCGGAATAGAGTAGTTGCTTTGGAAGACGATCGTCAGGCATCCGCACAACATGACCAGTCCAACCAAGTTGATGTTGAAGAATCATCGCTTCAACACTGGTGATCTTTGCTTCTCCCAGTACACTGGTATTAGTTCGCCTGTCTTCCCAAGTGATGTGTAGAATTTTTCGGAGACCCCATTGACAGAATCTTTTGAGGAGTTGGAGATGGCGTTTGTAAGTGGTCCATGTTTCCCAAGCATACAGTAAGGTTGGTAGTAAAATAGCTTTGTAAACAAGCATTTTGGTTTCCCTGCCAATGTCCCGGTCCTCAAACACTCTGCCCTTCCGTTAACCCCCAACACACACACACATGCCTGCATGCTCTTAGCTGACCCGCCACTCATTCCTCCGTTGACCCTGATATAAGCTGGAGAAAAGGGACATTCTAGGAAGCATCGATGGTCATCTCTGCTGCTCCAACTGCCACTCCCTGTTTGGTTCCTGTACTTCAGAAGTTACGTGGACAGCCACATAGGTAAGAATTCAGGAGGTTGTCCGTTGCCTCGCACTGAGTCCAGACCTGTTGGTCCATCTGGCTCAACATCGCCTTCAAAGACCAGCTGGGTGGCTCTCTCGGGTTTCGGACAGACACCTTTTGCCAGCCCTATCTGGAGATGCGCAGTATTGAACCTGGCAGGCAACACGTGTGCTCTGCTGCCCCGACTTGTGGCCAAGAGGGAGGGTCTCCTAGGAGGCGATGAAGGGGGTGCGAGGCAGCAGCTGGAACATCTGGTGGGTGGTGCGGTGGGAAAAAGATTGACCGTGTCTTTCCTGAGGCCGAAACTCAAGAGGCGAGGTGCAGAAAAGCAAAGCAAACAGGAATTGCCAGTTTATTCCATGCTCAACCCTAGAGGTCCAGCTACTAACGATCTGGAAAGCTAGCAAAAAACAAAAGGGCAGGACCCCAAACAAAGGGATCCAAAGATTTTTATACCCATTTTAAAACAAGCAGATTTTTACTTGCAGGAGGAGCTATCTGTCTTCCTCGTACTAACGACAATTCTGGCTAGATCTCATTTCTTTTCCAGCTGTCTCTAGTTCAGGCATAGGCAAACTCGGCCCGCCAGATGTGTTGAGACTACAACTCCCATCATCCCTAGCTAACAGGACCAGTGGTCAGGGATGATGGGATTTGTAGTCTCAAAACATCTGAAGGGCCGAGATTGGCTATGCCTGCTCTAGTTCCTACTACTCGGCCAGCATCGTTTGTTCTGCCTAAACGTTATGGTGACTGCTACTTTTTCTTTCGGTTCATTGTTCTGCGCACATCAGCAGTGAAGGATGCAGCATCACACACGCATGCCCACACGGACATGAGCACATTGCCACCTCCAGCTTTTACATGCCCATTCAGCTCAGCCATTTTTATTCATTTATCGTATCCATTTTAGAGGATGTCTGATATCTTTTTTAAAACAACAACAACCACCACCTCTAAGCGTTGTACAAAGCAAAAGCCATAAAAATCACAGGACTAGAAGGCAAATAAAGCAAAAATGCATACAGGCAACTAACTCCCTGCTTACACACACTCAAGCCACGTGTGACTGCGTCGCCACGAACCTGGAAGAGGCATGAATATTGGCAAAAACAGCCCTAAAAGAGCACAAAAAAGGGCACGAAAACAGCCTCTAGCCTTTGCACCAACCTTTGAGGCCTGGGGAGGGTTGGAGTTTGAGCGAGGAGGTTTGGAGAGAGCAATTGTGGTAGAGTTAGATGGGGTTTTCAATTTTTGTAAGGTTTTTTTTCAAGGGAGTCCAGTGGCTTAGAGGGCGTTTGCAGGTTCTCTCTTTTTTTTTTAAGAATAATTTTTTATTAACCAACCAATCACATCAAATCAAACCAAATTACATAAATTCCAAATTACACAGCCGAATTTTAAATTTTTGTTGGGGGTACCCATATTTCAAGTTCCGAAGGGGATCCAATCAACTTCTTGCTTCTTACTGCTGTTTTAATGTCCATCAATCTAACCTTATGATGTTCACAGTACTATCCAGTCCTTTCTTATTGTTTTTCCACATCTCTTGTTGTTATTTTCATATATTTTTCCTTTCTCTTTGTGACCTCTGATAATCTCCGCAAGCTGGTTAGAACAGTTTGTAATCCTGCGTGGATATTATTTCTTTTATCCAGCAGCCATATCCAGACGTTTTCCATATAACATCACTTCCATACATCAAAGCAGTCTTAGCGTCATTAATCTTCACCAATCTGCCTCCTTTCTCAAAACCTCTGAGGAGATTCACTAGGAATGCAGTCTGAAAACAAATCCGTTCTTCCTCCCGGCTATAAATCCTTTGGCAAGATGGCGACTCCGAATTAATTGCTGCGCCATTCCCAAAAGCTCTTATTGCTTCTCGGTCTCCATAAAGCATACTTTTGGTTAAAGTTTATCTCCACACAGACCTTAATCATCCTGCTTGGGTTAGTTCAACCGACGGTTCTAATGAGGAGTACGGTAAATCACATAGATTCTTGTAAATCACATAGAAGGAAAGTAAAAAAGGTTCCCCCCCCCCATTCAGCCCCGTTGTCAACATACCCCGCCTTTGGTGTATCTTCATCATAACATATTCCTGTTTCTCCAGCCCGTCGTCTTCTTTCGCAGAGGTCACTTAAATTAGCAGACTTCACTCCCCTTCTTCACTTGAAATATGTGCATTTGCTTCTTTTGTAATGAATTATTCCAAATTGCTGCAACTAGTGCGCGATCAGAGACAGCGTCCAGGAGAGCCGAGGTCCACACGGGGGCATTCTGCCTAGAGCCCTCACCCCCTTCTTTCGAATTAGGTGGTGATTTATGGGCACAGCAGGCAAGGGCAGTGTTCCCCATTTCCTTGGGGCAACAAGGGAGGTTGCCTACTCCCATAACAGCCTCTTAATTACCCCGTGTGGGTCGGAGAGATGGTATTGTCGGCCATCTTCCAATGCGCCCCCTAGTGGCCCCTCGTTTGCAGGTTTTCTCAATGGTGTTTCCGATTTACGCGATTTCACTTAAAGGTGCGGTGCCTCGGAACGCAACCCCCACATAAGCAGGGAGTTGCCTGTGGTGTCAAATAAAAAATCCAGAATCAAAACACCGAGCAGTACAATCTGAAAATTTATGGGAACTATTTGTTAATAGGCACCTAAAACTTGCCACAGCTGCCAGCCCAGAAGCAAATATGGCTAGGAAGCAGCGATGGTAGCCGTGGCACAGGGAGTTGAGCAGTTGGCTTGTGCCTCCTTCATCTCAGTGTTGCCCTCCTAGCATTCAGCAGGGAGGAAGATGGGGGCAAACCAGAATTAGCTGGCTGTTCCTGCGCCATCTTCGGTTCTGGTGTCCCTTCTGTTGACCTCTCTGCCCGCCACCCTACCAGTGCCAAGGGGTGGGGACCGGACTCTACTCATTATCCTACCCTTCTTTGGCAGAGTTAAACAGCCTGTGGATTGGGGACTTTTTAAACGCCACAATGATGAGTAAGCCCATCTACATTTCACTCCAGCGGAAGGGAGAGGCACCTCTGGATAAAGAAAATCGGGGTGTGTAACGTAGTTTCCAAATCAGCGTCTTAGATTTCAGTTCTCTTCTCCAGTTCTACTTGCTGCTGGTCCTCATAAAGGTAAAGGTAAAGGTACCCCTGCCCGTACAGGCCAGTCGTGTCCGACTCTGGGGTTGCGTGCTCATCTCGCTCTAGAGGCCGTGAGCCGGCGCCGTCCGAAGACACTTCCGGGTCACGTGGCCAGCGTGACGAAGCTGCTCTGGCGAGCCAGCACCAGCGCAGCACACGGAAACGCCGTTTACCTTCCCGCTATAAAACGGTACCTATTTATCTACTTGCACTTAAGAGTGCTTTCGAACTGCTAGGTGGGCAGGAGCTGGGACCGAACGACGGGAGCTCACCCCGCCACGGGGATTCGAACCGCCGACCATGCGATCGGCAAGTCCTAGGCACTGAGGTTTTACCCACAGCACCACCCGCGTCCCTGGTTGGTCCCCATAGTCTGGTGAAATTTAAAAATAAAATAAAAATCATTTTGATTTCCTTCTATTTTTTTTACAGAGGAACCAGGAACAAATGAAACCATTTACTGCCAAGCCTTGGCTGAGACTCTGCACCATATTCCCCTGCCTGTGACGGTGGGACTCTACGCACCCTGGGGGAGAGGCAAGAAAAGGCTCTTGTGTGAAATTGAAGGTAAGGACCACCATCCCTCAAACATGAGTCATCACAGATGAAAGAGAGAGTTCAGAGCGTATTTAATTATACAACAGCGAGAGGGTCGTTCACTGTCTACCAGCTCCACCTGTCTCACCAGAGTGGTGCACGCTCTAGTTATCTCCGGCTTGGACTACTGCATGCGCTCTGTGGGGCTACCTTTGAAGGTAACCCAGAAACTACAATTAATCCAGAATGTGGCAGCTAGACTGGTGACTGGGAGCAGCTGCTGAGACCACATAACACCAGTCTTGAAAGACCTACACTGGCTCCCAGTACGTTTCCAAGCACAATTCAGAGTGTTGGTGCTGACCTTGAAAGCCCTAAATGGCCTCAGCCCAGTGTTCCTGAAGGAGTGTCTCCAACTCCATCTTTCTGCCTGGACACTGAGGTCCAGCTCTGAGGGCCTTCTGGCAGTTCCCTTGCTGTGAGAAGCGAAGTTACAGGGACCCAGACAGAGGGCCTTCTTGGTAGTGACACCCACCCTGTGGAACGCCCTCCCATCAGATGCCAAAGAAATAAACAACTATCTGACGTTTAGAAGACACCTGAAGGCAGCCCTGTTTAGGGAAGTTTTTAATGACTGATGTTTTAATGTATTTTTAACCTTCTGTTGGAAGCCACCCACAGTGGCTGGGGAAACACAGCCAGATGGGCGGGGAATAAATAAATTATTATTATTATTATTATTATTATTATTATTATCATCATCATCATCATCATCATCATCATCATTATTTGGGCTGTCCCAGTGCCCAAGACAGCTTTCCCCAACCTAGTGCCCTCCATATGTTTTTGGACTAAAACTCCCATCAGCCCCAAGCAGTCCAAAACACACAGAGGGCACCAGATTGGCAAAGGCTGCTGTAGATTTCCAAGCAAGACCTGCTGACTGAGATGCAGGGACTCTGTGATGCCAGGGGAGCATCCATTTCCCCATGCAGTCTGGGCAGGACTGGGGAGCAGCACTAGAATGGGTCCTCATTGCCATGCAACCTGGCCAACCGTTATGAGAGATTACGGTAGCAGTGTGTTGTGCATGGGGTGTTAGGGGAGGGGTAGCGCCTCTGGTGGGGGATACTGTACATCGTGCTCCTTCTGGAGTAGTTTGTCCACTTGGTCCCCACCCTGCACTCTGCTCTCACCTGGGGCTCCGAGAAGCTGTCAGCAGGTGACATTGGCCACACCCAGGCGAGAGCAGCTGATGGGTCTCAAACCCTCAATGAGTTAGGGGCTTCCCCTGAATGAGTGGGTCCAGTGGTCAAGAAGGGGGTTTCTGCATGTGCTGTAGAGGGAAGTGAGGGGCAGGTTGGCAGGTAGCCCATCTAGGAGAAGGAAAACTCTGATCCTAAACCAGAGTTTGGCAGCCTAAGGCCCATGGGCTGGTTCTGGCCCAGGAGCTTCCTGGAACCGGCCCACGGTCGTTCTGTGGATCGGCATGGGGATTCCATGCTTTCCCCCCACGGCACCATTTTTCCTCTCGCCGCGGGCACCGACTTCTGGGGTCTTGTTGTCTGGGCAGCCCAGGACCTCCAGACACACTGCCCGGGTTTGTGCCCTGGGAGGTCATTTCAGTGCTGCTTCACCCCCGGAGGTGCACTCCAATGTCTCTTGAGACAGGAGGGTGCCCACTGGGATATCCAAGACATCTTTCCTGAATTGTCTAGTCCTCTGTACTTGCAGGGATGCAAGGAAAGGCATGCCGACTGTGTCAGGAGGGCTGCAGCTCAGGGTCAGAGCAGGAGGCCCCTGAGTTCAATCCCCAGAAGCTCTAGGTAGGGCTGGGAGAGAAAAGATTCGTTGAGGAGGATCTGTTCAGGTGGACCTCGTATCCCGAGAGCGTGGTCTGCAGCAGCATGCTGATGAATTGGGAACTGGTGTGAGCACAAGGCATAAGAACCTAGTTACAGGTAGGTAGCTGTGTTGGTCTGCCGTAGTCGAAAGAAAATTTGAAAATTTATTTTTTTTAAAAAAAAAATCCTTCCAGTAGCACCTTAGAGACCAGCTAAGTTTGTTATTGGTATGAGCTTTCGTGTGCATGCACACTTCTTCAGATACCATAGCATGCACATGAAAGCTCATACCAATAACAAACTTAGTTGGTCTCTAAGGTGCTACTGGAAGGAATTTTTTAAAAAAAATTAAATTATTTCATAAGAACCTAAGCAGAGTCTGCTGGATCAGAGCAACGCCCATCTAGTCCAGCGAGTTCCATAGTTTAACTATGTGCCGCGTGAAGGAGGACTTTCGTTTATTCTGTCTGGAATCTTCCAATGTGATGCTCTCTGTTGCAGATCACATGCGCTGGCGAAGCAAACAAAATGGAAGTGAAGCTGCAAGGACCACGTACTCCCTGCTTTTGTTCCTCTGGCACATCATCTTCGCGCACCCCCTTCTGCGCTCAGCAAAGCCTGAAGGCATCCACTATATTTTCATCAACTTCAACGCCTGGGAATACGCAGGATGCGATCATACCTGGGCTGGCATCGTCACAACACTGCTGGATGAAATGGAAGGCAATTACAGGATCCTGTTCAGCACTTTTCGGTCCTTTGGTGTGAAATTCAAGGAAGAGCCAGTTATGCGGAAAAAGAAATGGGCTTTGAAAGGATGGAGCAAGCTCTTTTGGTTTGGCCTCTTGTGTCTGTTCCTTGGATTGTTTCTGAGCACGGTGCTGACGAGGCTGAAATTGGGCGGTGGTTTATGGAAAAGCGTGGCACACACAACAACAGCAGTGCTGGGCGCATCCACTCTGCCTTTTATGAGCTGCACAAGAAACATTTTCTTCACTCTGAAAAAGAAACTCCAGGCGAAAATGAACGCCAAGGACCAGCTGGGCTTCATGCACTTTGTGAAGGAAGAGGTGAAAACAATCACTCATTTCCTACAATTCATGGCATTTGAGGAGGACCGAGAGATCCGGGTGGTTCTGAAGATCATCAATTTAGACCTCTGCACTCCGGACAAAGTGGTGGCCGTCCTAGACGCCATCAAAATCCTCCTTTCAGAAGAAGACGCTCCTTATATCACCATCTTGGTCGCTGACCCAGGAATCCTGGTGGACAGCATTCAGTCGTCGAAGACCACCTGCAGCAATGGCTACTTGTACTTAAATCGAATCATCTCTCTCCCCTTCTCCCTGCCCCGGATGAGCTGCAAGGGCAAGAGGCAGATGCTCACAGGGATTCTGAACGGTAAAAGGAAACGGGGGCAGGATTGTGCTACTAATCTGGAAACATGGGCTCACAAGCAAAACAGCAAAGGGGTCAAAGAAGCCATGGGCTCGTTGGCCACAGAGGAAGTCCAGCACATCTTCCAAGACCTGAGCCATGAGAATTTTGAAGACTACGTCCCAGGAAATTTTGTCCAAATGAACCGGGTCGTCAACACAGTGCTGACCATTAGGTCCATGCTTGACCTAGGATATAAGCCCCAATCCGGACTGAATGTCAGTAGAGAAGATGACAGGTTGGCGACCAAAGAGGTGGTCGATTGGGTTATCCTTGCCCATTTTTGGCCTTGCCGCCTGAGCTGGATTTTGCAGTGTGCAGAAGACGAGCAGCAGGAGGAAAAGCTCATTGAAAGCCGGGCCAGGGGCTCGCAGCTGAAGCAAGGCCATGGCAGAGGTGGAGGAGGAGATCTGCAGGACAAAGCATCCAAAAGAGACAGCAAGGCCTTGTTGCCGTTTTATGAGGACAATGCTTTGGAGCTGGACAAGATTAAGAACGATGTCAGAAAACTTTTGGAGCTCGATGCGGACCCTGATCTTTTCCGAACCTTCTTGCAGAAGAGCCATTTTACGGTGGGGCAGGCCAGGTATTTTTCCAACTTCCTCATCAATTTAGACTTCTCTCTGAAGAGGCAGTTTGAGTTGCAGCGGGGCCTGAATCACATAGTCCGGAGGAAAAACAGGGAGGGCGAGACACCGTCTGCGGAGAAAACTGCTGGGTTGGGAGGTGAAGGATAACTCCAGAGCTGCTCATTGCGGCAGAAAGATAATAATAATTTTTAAAAGGATCCTAGACACCCTTCACGAGCCTAGCGCCCCTCAGATGTTTCGGACTACAACGCTGAGATGAATTCAACCATATTTCACTGCAGATATTGGGGGGGGTGTGTGTTTTTTTTAAAAAAGCCTGCATGGGACAGGAAGAGAGGAATGAAGTGTGCTGTATATGATATGCATTTGTGACAGATACCAATCTCACCCCCAAACAGTGGCGTAGCGTGGGGGGTGCAGGGGGGGCCGGCCGCACCGGGCGCAACATCTGGGGGGGTGGCTCTCGCACTCACAGCTCTCTGCCCCTACCTGGCTCCACAGGTTAGGGGGCGCAAATTACTTGCCTTGCCCCGGGTGCTGACAACCCACGCTACGCCACTGCCCCCAAATTAAATTATGTCTTATGAAAACATTAGATTATTTTGTCTGTCACTTACTCTGGTCATTTCATGGGTTTGGACCATTTTCGCCACCACCACCACCTCATTCTACAGCTCCCAGAATCTTAGCTCTTGAGCCTCTTTTTCAGTGTTACACAAAAACCACAGTCTGACTTTGGCGTCTCTCCCATACACCTAGGTTCACAGATTTGTCACCTTGTCCTTTTTTTAAAAGCCATCCAAGTTTGTGGCCATCACTCCTGCTTGTGGGATCAAATGCCATACAGTAGTTTATTTATGTATTTTAGGTAGTGCTTTTTTTCTGGGGGGACACAGGGGTACGCATTCCCCTAAACATTTTGTGGATCTAAGTTTGGCCTAATTGAGGGAAAGTATTTCAATATGAGTAGGAAAACAAGAGTACCCCTAAACATTTTTTAAGGAAAAAAAGCACTGATTTAATGTATATACTGCCTAGTTTTAACCCCCCTCCCAAAAAAACCCCCCACTCTCAAAGCAATTCACTTTGTGAATTACATTCTTTTGCTTATCCTGAATCTTCCAACTGATTAAATAGATTGTATCTTATGCAGATTATGGGTAAATAAATCACACCAGAGACCTGAGGATTTCAGGCAGAGTTGCTGAACTTTTATTTCTGGAGTTAGGGACCACAGCGCTTCCTTTCTATAAGAAATAAATAAATGTTGAAGTGGCTGCATCAAGTCCACCTCTTGCTCCAGATTCCAGTAGCAATTTCCAGCACGTCTCAGGTGCACAGAACCTGGTTGAGCTGGTTATTTTCCCTCGAAAAGTTCAGGGACCAGGTGCTTCCTCTCGGGGTGTTCTCTTGCACACCTAAGTAGGTCTTCTTTCCGAACATCACCATGGGAGACGATGTCGAAGGGACCTGAGAGGGCCCTGACCCAAGGAAATACGCACTGAAGGTCACCCACTCCCCGAGACCCATGCCAAGGACATCTCTGATTTCGTTCCTGTCACTGTAGGCCAGGGCGCGTCCGTTCAGATGGTGCTGCCTCAACCTCTCCTTGTACCGCTGGGAATTTCCCTCTTTCAAGCCAAGTTGGTCCATCTGGAAAAGAACAAAAAGCAGAGGTGGAAACTCACAATCACGTCCCTCAGCACTGTCCCACACAAAGGGAAGGCAAGGTGAAGTTTTTCTGTTTAGGGGCCATATTCCCTGTTGGGCAACCTTCCAAAGGTCACATGACCATGGTGGGTGGGGCCAGAGGCAATAAGTGGGTAGGGCAACCAATGTAAATTTTATGCAAATAAGCTAGTGTCTCCATCCAGGCGGGTATAATCAGAGTTGAAGGCCAAATCCCAGCCAGGGAAAAACAGCTGAGGTACAAAACAAGGGATACTTCTCTAGAGTGTATTCCTAGTCAGGTTGGGATAGATCTGCGGGACATTATTGCAGTCAAACCAGCAACCCATGTTTTGCCAGACAGGCACATGAAAGGAATGAGGCTCACAGAGCTTTCCTGTGAAATTTGCTAGAGAGAACTCTCTGGCATCGCTTCCTTTGTTTGCCTTGGCAGGAAGCCCTAACACTATATACTTCCTTCCTGCTTGGGCAGCTTTCCTCAACCTGCTTCCAAGCTGACCCTGGACAAGGCAGTGCTCTCCTACCTCCTTGCAGACCTCGTCCACCGACAGCCCCAGCAGAACGCATCTGGAGAGCCCGTGGCCCTTCTTGGTGCTTCGCTTCAGGCTGCGGCTGCCCCGGAGCAGCTCCATGTGCCTCTTCAAGGAGGAGTCCAGGTTGACCGTGTAAGGCAGGAAGAAGTTGGCGTCCTTCACCTGGAACCTGTGGCACAGGAAGCTGTGGAAGAGCTCGGGGTCCCCGTCCAGTTCCAAGAGCTTCTCCAGCTGGCCCTTGAGCATGTCGAGCTCGTCCATGTACTTCTCGTACACCTCCCACAGGAAGTGGTGGGGAGCCAGCTGGCAGCCTTGGCCCAGGCCCAGCCGCCCCACCTGCTCATCGTCCTCAATGCACTGCAAGATCCAGCTCAGCCGGCAAGGCCACTGGCTGGCCAGGAGCACCCAGGAGGCCACTTTGCGCGGGCACAGCTTCTCCCGGGGGACCTCCGTGGCCATGAGACGCACCGTGACGGAGATGGTGTTGATGATCCGTCTCATCTGCACCATGTTGTCCGTCATGTACTCCTTCATGCTGTCGTCCAGCAGGAACTCAAAGGCCTCCTGGATCAGGTCCTTGGCTTTGAAGCCTTTCTTGCACCTTTCTTTGGGAGGCGCTTCCAGTCTGGGACTCACGACAACCAGAGGCACACGGCTGCCATCGGTGTGTCGCTCGGGGGCCTTCCGGCTGGTGGAATCGTAACACAAGGGCGACCTAGAATTCAGCCTCCTCTGGTTTTCCTGCGGAAAGTCCCCTTCTCCCTCCTCGTCCTCCAGGCTTTTCTCCTGCTCCTCCCTGCAGTCAACGGCACACTTCACCAGCTGCATCTTGGTGTGGGTGTCCATCTTGGGGACCGAGAACGGGAGGGTGATGATGCGGTTCAAGAACTCGTAGCCATTGTTGGCCATGCCTTTCATGTACAAGGAGTTCTCCACGCAGTCCACGATCACGCTGGGGTCGGCCACCAGGATGGAGACGAAGGGCGCCTCGTAGTCCGAGAGGAGGATGTTCATGGCGTCGAGGACGCCCACCACTTTGTCGGGGCTGCAGTTGTCCAAGCTGGTGATCTCCAGCACCACCCTGAGCTTCCTCCGCTGGAAGATCTCCATGAACTTCAGGAACTTGGCAATGATCTTCACCTCTCTCTTGACGTTGCTCATGAAGCCCAGCTGGGCGCTGAGGTCCGTTCGGTTCATCTGCCTCTCCAGCTGGGCCTTCTGGGTGACGATGACATTCCGTACCACCAGGACAGCCATCCGGACGGATGCTGCAGCCGTGATCCCAACCGCTGTGGCCCCAAGGCCCTCGACAACAGCAATGGCATCCCCGGAAGCGTTGCCAGTGGGGATGCCGAAAACAAAGATGAGGGCCGCGACCCCGACAGCCACGACCACCACCAAGAGGATGGCAGCCCACAGCGGCAGGCAGAGGTACTTCTTGCTGATCCACTCCTGGCGCAGAGGGGCCTCGACAAGGCCGCACTTCCTGCCCACAGCTCTGTAGACGCTCACGGGGACAAGGCCAAAGTGGCTCTCGATGCCGTCGCACAGGGCAGTGATGAGACCTGCCCAGAGCTGGTCACTCCCGGCGTATTCCCAGGCACTGAAATGAATGAAGATGTGCTGGACGTTTTTCCTTTGCCGGTGCTGCAGTGTCAGAACGGGGTGGTAGAAGATCATGAGGAAGACGACGGAGACCAGATCCCACCCAGAAGTCCCTCGCTGTTTCAGTCCCGTCCGCTGGAATTCCTGCTGGTCTTTCTTCCGTGACTGAAGACGCATGTATTCTAGAGGAAAAGGAAGAGAAGCAGACCAGAGACTGAGTCTACTGTATCCCAGCCGACCAGGGTCTGTCCTGGTTTCTGTTGATCATACAATACTTTGATTAACTACCCAAAGTTTAAGATCCCCTCCCGGTCCTCACTCCATGTGTGACCTCCAAGTGAATTGAGGTACATGGCAACAAAGGAGAGAGCCTTCTTGGTGGTGGCACCTCGAATTTGGAATAGCCTTCTCAGAGAGACTCGCCTGACGCCTGCTCTATGGTAAAACCCAATTTTCATTTAAAAGGTTTTAAACTGGGATTAGACCATTTTTTGGAGGGTAAGGCAGGGAATTGCAGGGGGGGGGAGTGCTAGAGCACTCGTGTCCTTGGGCTTTCTCTTGAGGCATCTGGTTGGCCACTGTGAGAACAAGATGCTGGACTTGAGTCGGACGCAGCTGCAGGGCGGCTCCTATGTTCCCATTCTGCAAGGCCTCTTACACGTCATGCTTTAATAAACCGTACACTCTCACCCTTTGGTGCGATTCCAAGCTCATCTGTAAATTGTTTCGTTGCTTTATTTTCTGAGAGTTACCGTATTTTTCGCCCTATAGGACGCACTTTTCCCCCTCCAAAAATGAAGGGGAAATGTGTGTGCGTCCTATGGGGCGAATGCAGGCTTTCGCTGAAGCCTGGAGAGCGAGACGGGTCCCCTCTCGCTCTCCAGGCTTCGCGCAGCTCTCCACAAGGCGTGGGAGCCCGGCGCCGGGCTCCCATGGCTTGCTGAGAGTTGCCTGTTCTGGGGGCTGGGGTCGGGGGAAGCTTGGGCTTCCCCCGCCCCAGCCCCGTGCCTGCGGGGGAAATAAAATATTTTTCCTTTATTTCCCCCCCAAAAAACTAGGTGCGCCTTATGGGACGGTGCGTCCTATAGGGCGAAAAATACGGTACATGCTATTTATTTAAAACATTATTCTCTAAATGGTTTCCATCTCTCTAAGCAATGTGTTTTGCCTCCGGCAGGAGAAAGCAAGAACAGTGAGAAAGCTACTTGGTGCAGCAAATAAATGAAATCCAAGCATTGCACCAGTGAAACTCAAATTCTACGTCAAGAAAAACAAATGCTGAAAATCAGCATGTGCCACTTACTTTGCAGGGGCGTCCCTGGAAATGGAGATAAACACGTTTTGCTCTCCTGACACATAGCCCTTGATAGCCCTGCCCTCCACAGTATTTAACTCATCCCCCACCTCCATAAAGCCACTCCTGCTCTTCTTTGCCTCATCCAGAATGAATGAGTTCCACAGGCTACACTTGCATTCTGTGAACAAGGCGGATATAGGGCAGTGTGAACAGAGCGGTCGCACCAAGCATACAGCCATGGGGGCTGCCTTCTCAAAGGCCGGCAAACAGTTCCCTAGCTTTGGGGGGAGGCGTGAGGGCTCTGACCGGGTCCTAGAACCCTCTTCCTCCTTCCCTAAGCCAGGCAAGCACTGTGGGATGTGACACATAAGCAGCAGTCAAGTACAACATTCCTTGTTTTCCTAGAGTGGACATATGGGGGAATGTTTGGTCCAGCCAGTCAAAAACTTCCTGTTTCCTCCTGGTTGGGACATACTTCCTTTGCATGTGACTAGAGGTGGGCATGACCTTACCTGTCCAGGTAATAAAAAGGACAAGGCATGCTGCCACACTCCCTCTCTTTGACTTCCTCCATCGTTGGAGCAGCTTTTTAGCAAGAAATGCTCTCTTGGCTTTCAGCCAACAGAGGACACTGGAAGTATCCCCATATGGGATAGATCCACATGTGTATACTTTGTAACTAAGTCTGCCTTCAGGGATCCAACTGTGAACTGAAGATACTGTGAGTAAACTTCTTTTATTGACTTTAAATAAGATTGTCATGTGTTTATTCTTTAAGAGGGATATAATGGAACTTAAAGGTAAAGGTAAAGGACCCCTGACAGTTAAGTTCAGTCACGGACAACTCTGGGATTGCAGCACTCATCTCGCTTTACTGGCCAAGGAAGCCGACGTTTGTCCGCAGACAGTTTTTCCGGGTCATGTGGCCAGCAGGACTAAGCCGCTTCTGGCAAACCAGAGCAGCGCACAGAAATGCCATTTACCTTCCCGCCGGAGCGGTACCTACTTATCTACTTGCACTTTGACGTGCTTTCGAACTGCTAGGTTGGCAGGAGCCATAGCTGTCAACTTTTCCCTTTTTTAAAGGAAAATTCCCTTATTCTGAATAGGATTCCTTGCAAGAAAAGGGAAAAGTTGACAGCTATGGCAGGAGCTGATAAGGGAACTTACCAGGAACCTAATAGTGAGAGGCTTACACCAGCTTGCAACCAGCTACCCACTGTGCGTTTAAAAGGGGAATGTGAAACTCTGCTAAGTAAAGGAACTTGCTAGCGCAAGTTAGCAAGGATATAACAATATATCCTCTCCTGCCTCCCTGAACATTCCCACAAGCACTTACTGGGCTTTGGGAAGGAGATAGGAAGGTTCTAGGACCCTGCCAGAGCCTCATGCCACCTTCCTAAAGCCAGCACCAGGAGAGGTTGGATTATTACCAAGGTCTGCCCTTTGTGAGCCCTTCCTTTCATGGGTCTTCACCTTACGAGCGCTCACCTCGGATCCTGTCCAGGAGGAAGGCTTTGCAGTGCCCCCACGGTGCATAAAACCCAACTGTCACTGGCGAGGACACGCAGTAGAGGGCCTTGGCTAAGGAGAAGCAGTAGGCGTCGTCTTTGTTCTGGAACTCTGCAAAAGGAAGAGCAGGGGAGCAGCCAAAAGGCAAATCCCACATCAGATGCCCCCGGCTGCTGCTAGAATCAGCGGCAGCTGGTCCTTTAGGATGAACGGGGACCCTGGCCCACCCACCTCAGGGTGCCTTCAGCCAGCCCCAGCTGCCTGCTTTCAATTTGCAACTAACGCAGTCGGTGGCCCTGGCTGTCAGCCTCCTTCCTCCTCCTTAGACCAGGTGGAACTCAACAGAGGAGGATGCGGACAAAACTAGTATTCCTGGGCTCCACCTGTCCTTGGCTCTGGCTCACCTGCTCTTTGGGCTCCCTGCTTTCCGACCTTCCAGTCCCAATGGGCTCATGGGGGGGTTTGAAGTCCAAAAGCATCAGGGGAACCGCAGGTCCCCTTTTCCTTGCTGCACTCCCTTGGGGGAAACTTGTTGGCATCCATCTGTCTCAAGAGACAATGGAGTGCTCTTCCGGGGGTGAAGTCAAACGGCTGTGCTAGCATCCTCCCTGGGGTGCAAACTTGGGCACTGTGTAGGGAGGTCCTGGGCTGCCCAGACGACACAGCCTGCCCCCCTCGGCCAAAGGAAAGCAGAGCAAGACATTTGGCACCAGCTTGGCGGCAGGAGTTGCTGGAAGGAGGTGTAAAGGTAAAGGGACCCCTGACCATTAGGTCCAGTTGTGGCCGACTCTGGGGTTGCGGCGCTCATCTCGCTTTACTGGCCGAGGGAGCCGGCGTGCAGCTTCCGGGTCATGTGGCCAGCAGGACGAAGCCGCTTCTGGCGAACCAGAGCAGCGCACGGAAACGCCGTTTACCTTCCCGTCTGAGTGGTACCTAGTGATCTACTTGCACTTTGGCGTGCTTTCGAACTGCTAGGTTGGCAGGAGCAGGGACTAAACAATGGGAGCTCACCCCATCACGGGGATTCGAACCGCTGACCTTCCTATCAGCAAGCCCAAGAGACTCAGTGGTTTAGACCACAGCGCCACCTGCATCCTGGAAGGAGGTGTACAAGCGCCATCCAACCGCCTTAGGGACTCCGGATTTGTGTAGGGTTCGCTCCTGAGCCTTTTCCTCTTCTGAAGCTGTTCCACAAGGCAGCAGAGGTTTCCTTCTCTTAGATGGGCTCCCTTCCCAGGGGGCCGAACCCCCTCTGCCCCCCACATCCCTCTGCAGCATGTGCAGAAACCGAGGGGAAAACTCATGTACCCTTTAAGGAAGTGGGGAGATGTGGCCGACACAAAAAAGGGCACACTAGCCAATATGACTAGTATTGAATTCCACCTAGCCGAGAGGCAAGGCCTGTGAGGACCAAGTTATCCTATCTCCCTCCCTCTCCTTTCTTTGCAACTGATGTTATGTGGGAAGTGATGTTCAATATTCCTGAAGACATCTACACAGCAGCAGACCTCCTTCTTCACGGAATGGTTTACGGTTACTAACTTGGGCTGAGATAATAACCTCTGAATCCTTCGGGTAAGTACACCCATCCTAAAACCAAATTATTCCGCTTACCTCTGGTCAGGGAGAGCATCGCTTTTGTCAGCCACGGGGTATTAAAAGGGTTGAAGATCCACAGCTGCTGGTAGCTAAGAAGAGGGAGAAAATGTGGAGGCTTTTCAAACTATCCCTGGGACTGGGAATAAATATCTGCAAAAGCTTGCCTCTGGAAGGTTGGCAGCCCATCACGTGCAAATAGATGGAAGAAAGGTGTCGAGGACTGTTCCCCATCAAAAAATGAGGATTAAGACTTCATCCTCTGTACAGAAGAAATCCTCAGTGCATAGCATTGGAGAGCTGGTTTTTCTTCTTCTTCTACGGGACTGCCTCTCCTGGTCTGCCCTGCAGAGGACCTTAAGGTCCATGAATAACCATAGCTTAGATGTCCTGGGCCCTAAGGAAGCCAGACTATCCTCCACCAGGGCCAGGGCCTTCTCAGTGATGGCTCCGACCTGGTGGAATGCTCTGTCCCAGGAGACCAGGGTCCTGCAGGATTTAGCTTCCTTCCGCTGGGCCTGTAAGACAGAGCTATTCTGCCTGGCTTTTAATTTGAATTCAGCCTGATCTTTTATTCCCCTTCTCTTCCCTCCCCCTCCCCTTTATATGAAGATTCCCCGCTCTGAGACCCCACAGCTAATTCTCCCCTGGCCTCCTTGCTGGCCCAAATAGGACCAATTCAGCCAGCTAGCTCTGGGGATTATCTAATTGATTTTTGATTTGTACAGTGGTGCCTCGCATGACGAAATTAATCCGTTCCGCGAGTCTCTTCATCTTGCGGTTTTTTTGTCTTGCGAAGCACGGCTATTAACGGCTTAGCGGCTTAGCGACTTTAAGAAAAAGGAAACAAACTCGCAAGAACTCGCAAGACGTTTAGTCTTGCGAAGCAAGCCCATAGGGAAATTCGTCTTGCAGAACGACTCAAAAAACGCAAAACCCTTTCGTCTAGCGAGTTTTTCGTCTTGCGAGGCATTCGTCTTGCGGGGCACCACTGTATTGTTATTCATGTTTTTATACTGTATTTTATGCTTCTTTTATAATTAAGTGTTTTAAATTTGTTGTTAGCCGCCCTAAGCCTGCTTTTTGAAACCGGGAAGGGCGGGGTATAAATATATTATTATTATTATTATTATTATTATTATTATTATTATTATTATTTTGATCTTCCTTTGGTCCCTATTCCTGCACAACTGCTTCTCATAAGAAATGGGCACTCCAACCCAATCTTTGCCTTCCAGGTGTTTTGGAGTACGGCTCCCATCAGCGAGTGCAGTCATGTGATGCTGGTGTTGATGGGAGCACAGCCAGGGTGACTGGGGCAGATGTGCGTTCAGAACATCTGCAAGGCGCCAGGTTAGGAAAGGCCGGCCTACAACCCTCTCCAGCTTCCTCTGCTCTGGAATTCTCAGCTGACGACGGACAAGTCAAATCTGTAACCTGCAGCAGCCTGGAAGTGATAGCACTGCTTTCTGGGTGGCACTGCTTCAAGCTACAGAAGCTGCTTGGCCCCCAGTCTGGTAATAAAACGATTCCAAATATGTAGAAAGATCTACATTGGCTCCCAGTACATTTCTGAGCACACCTTGTTGACCTTTAAAGCCCTAAATGGCTTAGTATACCTGAAGGAGCGTCTCCACCCCAATCGTTCTACCTGGACACTGAGGTCCAGCTCCGAGGGCCTTCTGGCGGTTCCCTCCCTGTGAGAAGTGAGGTTACAGGGAACCAGGCAGAGGGCCTTCTCGGTGGTGGCGCCCACCCTGTGGAACGCCCTCCCACCAGATGTCAAAGAAAAGAACAAAAGGCTTTTAGAAGACATCTGAAGGCAGCCCTGTTTAAGGAAACTTTTAATGTTTAACAGACCACTGTATTTTAATACTTGGTTGGAAGCTGCCCAGAGTGGCTGGGGAAACCCAGCCATATGGGCGGGGTATAAATATATTATTATTATTATTATTATTATTATTATTATTATTTAACCAGTGTTCCGGAGAAGAAGGGGGAGGAAGCCTTTCCCTTAGCAAGCTGCTCGGCGTCTTGTTTTTCTCCCCTGAGCCAGCACGCAAACACACAGAGCTTCACGAGCTCAGCTTACAGGTGGCTGTTTCTGACACAAGGGACACAACATGAGCATGCAAGCTTTTCCACCTGGCTGCAGCAGAAAGGGGGGGGGGGGGCGAGATGACGAGGTCTCCTCCATCAGCTGCCTCATTTGCCTTCTCCCCTCCCAGAATCTCCTTCCATCCATGTCTGCTCCACTTGGCCATTTTAACAATTATGTAATATTACGTCAGAATCTAGGATTCCACTCGCTTTCCTCCACCCCAGCCTTCCTTTTCCCCATCCGTAACGTATCTATTAGCCTCAGGGGCGCCAGCTTGTGTGTTCTGGGCCCCCCTATATTTTGGGGGCAGGGGCTACCCCCCAAAAAGTTCCAAAAGTGTGGAGGGGAAGCCCTTATTTTAAACTGTAAACACCCGTTAGTGAGTTGGCAGAAGAGGGACACATCAAAAGGTCGCAGGTAGGTAGTTGGCAAGCAAACAACACCTCTCCCTCTCTTTTCCTGAAGCAGTTTGTTGTGTCATCGCACAGCCTACGCCGCGCAGGTGGCCCATTAGCAAAGCCTGTTCCCCAACATTAACAGCATAAATGGCTCGAAGGTGACCGTGGGCAGAAAATATTCTAAACTAAGAATCGCTTCCGAGATTGCGTGAGCCATGCTGGTGAGCAGTAAATCTTAAGCGAATGCAAGCTTTATAGGCGCAGCCAGCCGCCACTCAGCCCAAAGGGGTGTATTTGCAGAAGGATGATTCAGAGAGCCAAAGTTCAAGAACAGGATCCTTCTCCCTCGCCAGCAAAGCAGCAGCACCCAGAGAAGGCAAGGGCAGGTGGTCTACTTACGTGCAGGAAGCGCGCAGAAACTTCAGCACCCCGTTCCGGTTGCGGCAGGCCTCCTCTGCCAGCGCGAACTTTGCCTTCCTCCTTTTCAGAAAGGCTTATCAATTCCCATTACGCCTTTATAGACTTAAGGTGGTGAATTTCTCAGGCGAGGTGAGCTGAGCTCGCGCCGTCCGTAACTTTGGATGGGTGAGGGGTGGGTTATACCTGAAGGAGCGTCTCCACCCTGGGATCCAGCTCCGAGGATTTTCTGGCAGTTCCCTCACTGCGAGAAGCCAAGTTGCAGGGGACCAGGCAGAGGGCCTTCTCAGTGGTGGCACCTGCCCTGTGGAACGCCCTCCCTTCAGATGTCAAGGAAATAAACAACTATCCGACTTTTAGATGACATCTGAAGGCAGTCTTGTTTAGGGAAGTTTTTGATATTTGATGTTTTATAGCTTTATTATTATTAATAATACTCTGTTGGGAGCTGCTCAGAGTGGGTGGGGAAACCCAGCCAGATGGGTGGGGTAGAAATAATAAATTATTATTACACAAAGACTTGGGGGGAGTGGAAAGCTGGTGAGTGAGGCTGCAGAAGTCGGGGATCATGAATATGACAGTGTCGAAACTAGGACTTGGGAGACCAAGGTTCCGATCCCCACTTGGCCTTAAAGCTCATTGGGGGACCTTGGGCCCATCACCGCCACTTAGCCTGCCAGCCTGGCCCCTTGACAGAGGGATATAAAACAAAGACATTGCTTTGGCAGTGCAGCAGGGAAGTCATCTCCCCCGGGCGCAGGCCTGTGCAGTGTGCATGGAGGTCCTGGGCTGCCGAGAAACGAGCCTGCCACCTTCTGCAGCCAAGGAGGGCGTTCTGCCGCTAAGCATCTTCCCCAATGAATTGCCTTAAATTATCTTAGGACCCGAACCCATTTTTTGTGGTTTCCCCACCCCTCCTGACACCAGGACCCCCACGTAGTTCAGGAGAGCCCAGCAGCCTCCAGAGAGGCTCCCTCAGAATGTGATGCACGGCTGCACGGCAGTTGCGAGGGGAGAGAAGGAACTGCAAATGTCATTTCCACGAACTGCCCTTTCATCTATTTATCTTAGGACCCAAGCCTAAGTCTCTTTAAGGTGCTGTGGACCTCCTTGTGAAATCTACCACCCATGTTCCCAACATTAAATACAAATATGCACACAAAGGAAAAGCAGTTTTATTTCAGCTGCTGTGTGATCAACAGTAGTGTTTAGAAACACACATTTTTAACACACTACCATTTCCCTTTCTTTCCTTTTGCGGGGCCGGGAGGGAGGGAAGAGCTTTTCCCAACTTTCCACTATCTGACGGTAGCACTCGAGGAACGATGAAGTGTTAAATGGTATCCCAATAACGATAATCCATTTTCAGTATCTAAACATCGGACCGTTCAAACATCCAGGAGTGATGCGCAGTCAGGAATAAGGAATAAGATCATTCCCTTTGTCTCATTTTGTCTATTCAGTTAACACCATAAATATTAAGTGGAGAAGCAGTAGCTTAAAGGCTTCAAGCTGCCAAACTGACTCTCAAAATGCAGATTATTTCCCTAAGCAGGACCTCCGGTCTCTGTTACAGACAAGAGGCCCTCTGCGGTCACCTTCTACAAAAACCACTAAGCCTATACAGTCAAACCTCTTCTTGCGTCCGCCTCCGCTTGCGTCCATTTCACCCAATGTCCGCAGCAAACCTGGAAGTAACTGGCGGGTTTGCCGCCATTTGCACATGTGCAGGCAATCGCCGCCCGCACCTGCGCACAACGGCGCCTCTCCCAGTGACCCGTTTTGACCTCCGGATGGACCTCCGAAACGGATTATGGTCGCAGGTAGAGGTTCCACTGTAGTTAAACATTTGCACAGGAATTTGGCAGCATCAGTTCCTTCTCCTGCCTTCAGTGCTTGATATGGATCCTTGTAGCTATGACCGAAACGATCTGGGCGACTGACAAAAGGCTGTTTAAACAGGGCCCATCCTAAACAGTAATAAAAAAGCAGCCCACAAAGAGCTATTTGGCAATTTAGTTTATTCAAATGCCCGCCAAGACAGAACAACCAAGGTTACAAGGAAAAACTGAGTCTACACAGGGCTCCTAAACCGGTTCAACCGCCATGTGAGCGTGTTGACGATTTCCAATACCAAATTCCCAACTTCCACACAGCACGGCAACCCCCAGAGTCTCTTGGGGTGAGCTGCGTCAATCAGACCTGCTTAGGGCATTCTTACATCTGTAGGGAGGAAGTGTTTTTAGTTCAACTATAAAAAGGAGGAGAAAAATGCGATGGGAACAGAATGATCATGTATTTCTCAACTGCGCCCCTGAGTGGCAACTGTGGGCAGCTCTGTTCAGTCATTTCTGAGAGGGCCCCCAGATCTGTATTCCGGGTTTGCTAAGCTCCCGTCCACCGTGTAGCAACTCCCATCACCCTTGACTGCTGGCCATGCTCACTGAGCAACCTCTGCAAGGCCACAGATTCCCCACCTGCAATGCCAGCTGTGCTAAAAACCAGCAGCTAGGAGAAAGGACCATTCCATTAAAAACGGGCTGGAAGCCCTTTCCAAAAAGTAGAATTCCCGGCTCATTCCTCCTGTTCCGTCCTGACGAAGGCACCCATCTGCTTGGTGTGGGCGCCTCTGAGTTGCTCCAGCTGCCTCTGCCCACGCCGGACGAGGTACTCTATAATCATGACATCCGTCCGGGGGATCTGGGCATTTTTCCTGAACTCGGCCCGTATCTGAGGAAGGAAGCCCGGCTTGTCCTTGCCGGCCCGCAGGAAGCTGCGGTAGAGGCCGAGAACTTGCTTCTGAAGCTTGCTGTGGCGGGCCATGGGGCGTTCGGACATCCCTTCCGGTCAGCCAGAGAGGATCACCCAAGGAGCAGAGCAGGAGCTGGGGAACCAAAAGGAGCAGTGTCAGAACAGAACCTGGTGGGGAAGTTTAAGGGGGTGCCCAAGCAAGGCTGGAGGAGGGCCCTGGAAGAAGCGGGAGCCTTTCTGAGAGAAAATCAGCCCTGGGTCCGAGTTCCAAGACCTGCGTCAGGGGTGCCAAATTGAATAAAATATGGCGGGGTGCCAAAAATTGCGTCTGCGCAGATGCCAAAAATGTGCAGACGCAATCCAGCCCACAGAGCCATCTCCGCGGGAGTGAACTGGCCCAGGCGAGGTAAACCTTGCTGACTCCTGCTCTACAGCGTGCGCAGAAACCGCCTTCTTGACCCTTGGTCTCGTCTGCCCAATCGACCAGAGCTTGTCTTTGCATGATGGGCAAGTCCCTAACTCACGGAGCGTTTGAGCCCCATAGGCTGCCCTCACCTGGTTTAGCCAGCCAGTCGAAGCTGTTTCCTGGGATTGTGGCCGCTGTCGCCTGCCGACAGCTTCTTGGAGCGGCAGGTGAAAGCCGAGTGCCGGGTGGGGACCAAAGGTAGACAAACCACCCCAGATTAAGCGCTGCAGCCTCAGCAAAATGGGAAGAACAGCGAGCTAACTCGCATCACCACAACAAGGAGAATGAAAAGTACAAAATCAGAGGCAGTGCGTCTAATTATTAATGGTCAGTGATGTTTTGAGCAGGGGGGTGGGAGTTATCTTCGGGAGGGGAGGCTGGCAGGAGCACATGGGCCACCAGAGGATGCCCACCCCCAACCCAGTGCCAGAATAAGCTAAACAAACTCTAGCTTAGGGCGTCACTCTCTTGGGGGCCCCAAAAAAATGTAAAGGAAAAAAACCCTGGAAGTACATTTAGAAAATATAAGATAAACAACAAATAAAATAAAACCTACCTACAGCAACTGTGTTTTGTGTTGGGGGGGGGAGTAAAAATTTGTCCAGTAGCACCTGAGAGACCAACTAAGTAGTTCTGGGTACAGTGGTATCTCAGGTTACATACGCTTCAGGTTACAGACTCCGCTAACCCAGAAATAGTATCTTGGGTTAAGAACTTTGCTTCAGGATAAGAACAGAAATCGCGCAGCGGCTGCACGGCAGCAGCAGGAGGCCCCATTGGCTAAAGTGGTGTTTCAGGTTAAGAACAGTTTCAGGTTAAGAACAGATCTCCAGAACGAATTAAGTACGTAACCAGAGGTACCACTGTATAAGCTTTCGTGTGCATGCACACTTCTTCAGATACTTTTGTGTTGTGTAGGTTCCTATGATGTAAGTCATGGGCCCCCAACCATTTTAAGTTAGAGCTTAATAATTATTTCACTATTAATATACTTCTTCTTAATTGCATTTCACTATTAATATACTTATGGAAGTGAGAGCTGGACCACAAAGAAGGCTGATCGACGAAGAATGGATGCTTTTGAATTCTGGTGCTAGAGGAGACTTTGGAGAGTCCCATGGACTGCAAGAAGATCAAACCTCTCCATTCTGAAGGAAATCAGCCCTGAGTGCTCACTGGAAGGACAGATCCTGAAGCTGAGGCTCCAAGACTTTGGCCACCTCACGAGAGAAGACTCCTGGAAAGACCCTGATGTTGTGAAAGATGGAGGGCACAAGGAGAAGGGGACGACAGAGGACGAGATGGTGGGACAGTGTTCTCGAAGCTACCAGCATGAGTTTGACCAAACTGCGGGAGGCAGTGGAGGACAGGAGTGCCTGGCGTGCTCTGGTCCAGGGGGTCACGAAGAGGCGGACACGACAACGACTAAACAACCACAAATTAATATACTTCTTAATTGTATTTCAGTTCAACCATGACTTTGATAAAATACGTATTTTGCGATGTGCAAATAGCTTTGGATACCTATGAGGTCCATCAATGACCATCTAGCATATACATTCAGCACACAAAGCAGTGACACTTTGTGGTTGGCAAAGGGCGGCTGGACACGGAAACCTCAACCCGGCCCTGCCCCCCCCCCCCCCGCCACAGAAACAGCCCCCGATTCCGGCGGCCTTGAGGCGCCCGCCCGCCCTGCAAACGCAGCTCGAGAGGACCCACCGGTTCCCCGGCGCCCGATCCGCGATCCCGCAACACTCCCCGCCGGAGCTCCGCTCTCCCGGCTTCCCCGCCCCGGACTCCGGCCGAAGGAGGGGATCCCCCCTCTGCGCGTCACAAGCCGTAGAACGCTGAGACACGGCCGGCGCCTTCTACTCGCTTCCCATTGGCTCTCCGCTGGCAAGGGGGCGTTCCCAGGAAGCTCCCGGCCGCCGCTGGAAGCCACGTGGGCGGGAGGTGGCGCGTCCTTGTCCTTAAGGAGACCCCGAGGAAGGGCGAGCGGGGAGGGATCCCCACCCCGAGAAGGGGGATCCACCTTGGAGACTGGATTGGGGGGATGGAAGCTCCTTTTCACTCGAGCTTTCCGTCTGAGCCGAGCCGGAAGGAACGCCCGGTCTTGCCAGAAAGTCATTTTATTTTGAAGAATACGTAAATGAACAGGGGGTGCACGTGCGCAGACTGCGGTTCCCGTGTCCGCTGCTCCCGCAACCGAGGCTTGATTAAGGCGGGGGAGTTAAAGGCCTCGTCCCTGGCATGTCCCCTGTTGTTGAGTCGTTTAGTCGTGTCCGCCTCTTCGTGACCCCCTGGGATCAGAGCACGCCAGGCCCTCCTGTCTTCCACTGCCTCCCGCAGTTTGGTCAAACTCATGCTGGTCACTTCGAGAACACTGTCCCACCATCTCGTCCTCTGTCGCCCCCTTCTCCTTGTGCCCTCCATCTTTCCCAACATCAGGGTCTTTTCCAGGGAGTCTTCTCTTCTCAGGAGGTGGCCAAAGTCTTGGAGCCTCAGCTTCAGGATCTGTCCTTCCAGTGAGCACTCAGGGCTGATTTCCTTCAGAATGGAGAGGTTTGATCTTCTTGCAGTCCATGGGACTCTCCAGAGTCTCCTCCAGCACCAGAATTCAAAAGCATAAATTCTTCGGCAATCAGCCTTCTTTATGGCCCAGCTCTCACGTCCATACATCACTACTGGGAAAACCATAGCTTGAACTATACGGACCTTTGTTGGCAAGGTGATGTCTCTACACTACACCCGCTAAATAATTGTCCCAGTAGTAGTAGTAGTAGTAATAATAATAATAATTTATTATTTGTACACCACCCATCTGGCTGGGTTTCCCCAGCCGCTCTGGGTGGCTTCCAACAGAGATTAAAAATACATTAAAATGTCACACATTAAAAACTTACCTAAACAGGGCTTTCAGATGTCTTCTAAATGTCAGGTAGTTGTTTTTGATATCTGGTGGGAGGGCAGGAGCCACCACCGAGAAGGCCCTCTGCCTGGTTCCCTGTAGCTTTGCTTCTCGTAGTGAGGGAACCACCAGTAGGCCCTCAGAGCTGGACCTCAGTGTCCGGGCAGAACGATGGGGGTGGAGTATCATACCGAAAGCAGCCAAATGTTTCGGGCTGCCCATGTTGCTTCAGGCAAGATAGGGAATCTGTGGCCTTCCATATACCCAGGGCCGGTGCTATCCCAGAATTGTACAGCTGGGACCACGAGGGTCATCTAGCCCAACCCCCTGCAATGCAGGGCTCTTTTGCCCATGGTTGGGCTTGAACCCAGAACTCTGAGAATAAGAGTCTCACGTTCTACCTAGGGTGCAGTACTGACCTTTGAGGGGCTGAGTTTTTATAGAGATTCGTTTTTGTTTATCCAGTGAATTTCTGATCATATTTTACTTCTACATTTTGGAGAATTTTTATCATTTCTTCAAGATGGGTTTTTGAAATTTGATGTTAGCAATTTCCCTAAGGCACAAAATAGCCTGGCACCAGCACTGCCTACACCTCCTCTCAGCGCTGAGCGCCAACTACGCTGGCTGGCACTGATAGGAGGTGGGAGCCCGGCGTCAGGTGGGGGCAAAGATGTTCCCCAATTATGGTTTAAGGGAAAGTAATTCTGACCGAAGTTGCAGGACTTGGGAGAGGGAAGGGCTGGCATCTACAGCTCAGGCACTGTTCACTGGGGGCTCCCCACCACCTGCCCCCAGAAGCCCCTGATGTAGCTTCGTTAAGAAGGCTTATGACACTTACTCCAAACTCATTTCCAAAACAAATGTTTAGCTTTGCTGTCATATGCAGCTTGATGGCTTTAAGCAGCAGATTGGGGGTTGTTGTGTTTTTAAAATCCAGTCATTTTTGAGGAAGAACTAGAACTATAGCTGTCAACTGTTCACTTTTTTAAAGGGAAATTCCCTTATTCCGAATAGCATTCCTCACAAGAAAAGGGAAAAGTTGACAGCTATGACAAGAACAGGGAATATGACTATCATGGTAATCTATGAAAGGCAGTATAGTTTGAGCCCACTACCTAACCCCTTCCCAGGCAAGGGACGCAAATATATATATATATATATACACACACACACATAAAATTTGACAAGCTTGCAGAATGCTGCAGCCACAAGACCACAGCGGTCACATTTCAGTGGAGGCTTAAGTTTTCTTTTTTGCTCCACTACATGAAAAGCTCCCCCAATTACTACTGCACATTTATCCAGCCCAGCCGTGAGCGAGATGCAACAGCACCCTCCTAAATGACGTGGCCCTTGACCACAGAGCTTAAGATTCAGGAAGGGCTGGGAGAGAAACCAGGGTGAACATATGAGGCGGGAGAAAGCTGAGTCGGAGGACGAGCAAACGAGTTGAGGCCTGGGCGATGAAGGATTTTGAAGGGAAACAGGACCAGCCGAGCAAGACTGAGGGATACCGTTACCAGCTGAGGGAGGACCAGGCTGCGAAGACGAGAAAGGAGGGAAACAGCGGAATTCCACTTAGGCAGAACGGACAGAGTGAAAGCAGCGCAAGGGGCAGATAATAAGTAGCAGCTTGAAGCAGGTGCAGAGAAAATCAGTGTTAATAAGGAGAGGGAGAATATGAATTTAGCAGATGCTTCCCTAGAAGAGCAGAAGCAAAGCAGTCCTGCAGTCAAGGCAAGAGAGGAGCTGAGCCTGGAGATCACACTAGAGGCAGGATGGGGAATCTGTGGTCCTCCTAATGAATGCTGGACGGAAACTCCCATCACCCTCCACCACTGGCCATGCTGGGTGGGGCTGATGTAGGTTCCTCATCATTAGTACTAACGAGTCACCCCCACCCCACCACTATTTATAATCTTCAGAGGCCGGGGGAGAAGAACCCAGTGGAAGTGCTGCACACACTTTCCCTTGCACAAGGTTCCAGGTTCCTTCCGTGGAATCTTCAGCTGAAGGGATCTGGAAAGCAAGGCAAGGAGATCCAGGGATCTGGAGAGCTGCTGCAAGACGGCCTCCTATACCTCCACCCAGCCAGGACCCCCAGGAACTCGGTGCGCAAGATGGAAGCAGTTCACACAGAAGCAGCACTCGTGTCTGGAATGTATTTTCCCACCAACTTTTTTTAATTTATCGTATTCACATAGCATCGGCCAGTAGCACAAAAAAAGTTTTCACAATGGGGGAAAAAAATACATGGTCATAGAAATGTCTGCGTTTACTTTTTTTAAAAAAAGCAGGAAGGGTCTTGTACAAATCTGCTCAGAGGTTCTCTTTTCAACCTGCTCAACTAACTGCTTCTGCAACCAGCAGGCCTTACTACTGGGGTGGGGGAATCAGGAGCGACTTTGCTGCCACCCCCAGGCCTCACCCCTTCGAGGATTGCTGCAACAAGGCAAGGACACTCCAGTTTTCTCTGGGCTAACTGAGCTGGCACAGAAGGGTGTAAACATGAGAAAAACCAAGGGGATATAGCATCTTCACGGAACAGACAAGAGACAACCAGGGGAAAGGGAAGTGGGGAGGAAACCACCAACACAAGTCGAAGAACACACAGCGGCTTTTCGCGCCTTCTCCCTTTGGCTTGCTCAAGTGACCTCGCGCATGGGATCAGAGCGCAACAGCCAGCCATTAACAGAGGCCGCATGGCGACCCGCTCTGCTTCCTTCAGCCACCCCTGCACCTCTTCGTCTCCCCGTCACATCTCATCGTCCAGGCCGTAGTCCACCTCTTCCGGGAAATCCCCCACGGTGACAAAGCGAGGCTTCACGAAGGCCCCGTACTTGAGCTGGCACTCAAAGTACTGCTTTCCGTTGACGCTGCCAAGGAGAGGAAGAGCAGGAGAGAAGAGAGTCACACTCAGGCGGGGGGGGGGGTTTCCAGGGATAGCAGTCTGAGGAGAAGCCCAGCTGGTCAAGAGGCGGCTTAAGCCCCGATCCTCAGACATGCCGCTGACTTTTTAAAAAGGAACACTTCTGCAATCTACATTCTGTAACAGGAGTTGCCTGTTTTGCACAGTTTCTTGCTCTGCGTTATTTATCCTGCTCCTGCCATTTTAAAAATCTTTAAAACAACTACAGTGGTACCATGGTTTAAGAACAGCTTAGTTTATGAACAACTTGGATTAAGAACGCTGCAAGCCCGGAAGTAGGTGCTTTGGTTTGTGAACTTTGCCTTGGAAGCAGAACATGTTTCACTTCCTGTTGTGTGTGTTCCATTTGCAAATTGAGTCCCCCGCTGCTATGGGAAAGCACGCTTTGGTTTAAGAATGCTTTGGTTTAAGAAGGGACTTCCGGAACAGATTAAGTTCGTAAACCAAGGTACCACTGTATTTGACTTTTAGAAGACATCTGAAGGCAGTCCTGCTCAGGGAAGGCTGAAGTTTTACTGTGTTTTTGATATTTTGTTGTGAGCCGCCCAGAGTGGCAGGGGAAACCAAGTCAGATGACCAGCATATAAATAATAAAATTATTAATATTATTATTTTACGTTTCAAAAAACGTTTCTTTTTGTTTTGCTGGCTATTAAGGAGGGGTGGGAACCATGCGGTGCTCTGACATTCTACCCCCAACCGCTGGAAATGTTATTCAGTCACCCCTCTGGCAGAATTCTGTACCCTATACAACATTCTGCACTTTCCTCCTTCCCAAGCCGTATTCCTGTTAAGAAGCTGCGGACTGCCTTTAGACGTAGACCTAAAACACGTGCCGACAATGTGCCAGAAGTTAAGGTGGGAACACGCTGATGCTTCAACGTGAAGCTATGAAGCCGCCTGAGCCCCCCAGATCCCATGATGACCCACTTTGGGGGCCCAGGCCAGGCAGGACTGCCCCGCAAGAGACGTCAGGTGGAGGGAGAGCTTTACCTTCCGTCGTGCTTCCCCACAGGCTCATCATACTTGATGCCGACCCAGTAGCCGGGCTTGAACTCCGTTAAGCCTATGGAGGAGAAAGGAAAGGGGGAAAGCTTACAATCCTAAGTCAGGCACAAGTGCACAACTACCAGACTTTTAGAAGACACCTGAAGGCAGCCCTGTTTAGGGAAGCTTTTAATGTTTAATAGACTACAGTCATACCTCATGTTACGTCCGCTTCATGCTACGTTCTTTCAGGTTACATCCCGTGGCAACCCGGAAATACCAGAAAGGGTTCCTTCTGGGTTTCGCCGCTTGCGCAGACACACAAAATGATGTCACACGCATGCACAGAAGCGGCAAAGCGCAACCCGCACATGCGCAGACACGCCACTGCAGGTTGCGTTCTTTACATGTTGCGAATGGGCCTCCGGAACGGATCCCGTTCGCAACCAGGGGTACCACTGTATTGTATTTTGATATTCTGTTGGAAGCCTCCCAGAGTGGCTGGGGAAACCCAGCCAGATGGGCAGGGTATAAGTAAATAATAATAATAATAATAATAATAATAATAATAATAATAATTATTGAAGCATGCTTTGGACTATAAGTCTTACTGGAACTTGAAGCAGCTTATCTGTTTTTGCAAGGAGGGAGGAACACTCATAATCCTTGTTCAAGCTGAAAAGCACCATCAAATTTCATAGAATCATAAGAGCTGGAAGGGACCCTGAGGGTCTTCTATGTTGGATATTCTCTCTCTCTGTGTGAGAGAATCATTTGTTCCAGAAACAGAGAAGAACAGAGAAAAAGCTTCAAGAAGCAGCAGAAGGCTGGAGTTTTTTTTGTGTATGCAAGGACACTTTCTGTGGGAACTGTTCTTTGGATATGCGCAGTGTGACAGGAAGTACTGTTAACAATGGTCCTGTGTAACTTGTAACTTGTCTCTTGCAGTTAAGAGAAGCAGAGAGAGCACTGGATGTGATTGGACTAGGTGACCCCTTCCAACTCTACACAGGGTTACCATAGGTCTGGAATTGACCAGACATATCCGGAATACTGTTGTCTCTAGCAGCCTCCAGGTGGAAATTGGTGAGGTGTCTGGGAGAATCCAGCCCATGTCAGCAGTGCCGTTTTTTCCGATTTCCCAGGAAAATGGCTAAAAAATGGCAATTTATTATTTTTGCAAAGAAAACACAACCTCAACAACTCTTCTGTCCAGATTTTCACTGTTTGAAAGATGGCAACCCTTGACAGCTTGCTCTCCCTCCCAGGCTGAGAAAAAGATGGAGAAAACTGGAAACCTATTAGGACAGTGTGACTTTTGTAGTTGTAAAACAATGGAGATCTTCTGAACAATGGGACACTAGCACCGTCCAAGGCATGCTGGAGAACAACAGCAACTGACAAAAGATAGACATAATATATTACAAGGAAGAAATATACAGGAAGGAGAGAGTTTGAATGCTTCATCTGCAGGTGCAGAAATTATTCAGTGGGTCAATACAAATGGAAATCATTAAAATTGCAGCTGCGATATAAGGAACTGGTATCTGGACTGGAGCGTAATTGAAATTTATAAGACTTTGGAACGCAGAAATAAAGGAAACCATCAAACCATAAATTCTAGCACGCGGGGGCCACCTAAATTGTGTAATTTGGCATCTCAATGATTGGTATTATTAATTGTATTATAATATGGCATTGTTATAATGACTGGATTGTTGTAATTGAAAACTAATATAAATTATTGTATAAAAAAAAGAAGCAGAGAAAGAGTGTATTGGACTCTGGTGGGACTCTAAGCATGCCTTGACCCTGGCAGTGGCGAATGTCTGTATATATTTGCTAGCCTGTCAGGTAAACTTCTACACTTGACCGAATCTTTATGGCGGCCATGAATGTTTATTGCCTAATGTGTGAACGTTCAACCCTGAAGACGCTTCCAAGGATGGAGCTGCGTTGAGATGTAACTCTGCTGAGTGTGGATAGTGACACACACACACAGCAAAAGTGATGCCAGACGGACTCCTACTAAATCATCCACCAGAAGTTGATGGATTGATCCAGCAAATCTAGTCCAACCCCTGCAATGCAGGAATATGCAGCTGTCCCATAGGGGGATCAACCTGCAGCCTTGGCCTTCTCAGCACCGTGTGCTAATCAACTCATCTCCCCAGTGGTGCCAAATGCGTTACAGAATTCTTCACCCGGATTATAAAGCAAAACCAAATAAGACTTCAAACTGCTTCTCACACTGGTTTCTGCACCGTATTTTAAATGTCCCCCCCATATCCAATCCTTACAAAGTGATTCTCTTCTACAGGGCAGGACGTAGGGACATGCGCCCAGGTACTCACCAACGTACATCACTGTCCCCCGCTTGTTGGGCTGCCCCGCTGCCCGCACCTCACACCTCGACCCCACGGAAATGGCTTCCGCCAGGGCCTTCTCTTCCAGCAGCTTCTGCTCCCTCTCGGCCTCCCTCTTCATCATTTCTTCCGCATTGTACTGCCCCAGCTTACTTGTTTTCATGAAGGAGCGTGCTGTATCTGCAGGACACAGAGAGAGGCGGGAATTGTTCAAGAGGAGTAAACTCGCTTCTCTTCAAGCAGCAAACAAGAAGCCGGGCTCCCTCAAGAAACACTTGGACTGAAACAAGGCCATCTACAATGGTACTGCTGAGCCCTCTATGAATTAGTTCACTCAAGCAAAGGAACAAAGGTCTTTCTGGCCCAGCAGCCTGTTCTCAGTGTGGCCAACCTGAACGGGAAGTTCACAAGCAGGGCCTGAGCACAACGGCACTCTCCTTACTTGAGATTCTCAGCATTGCCACAAGACATGGAATCTTAGAGACCCCATAACACCAGTCTTGAAAGACCTACATTGGCTCCCAGTACGTCTCCGAGCACAATTCAAAGTGTTGGTGTTGACCTTTAAAACCCTAAACAGCCTCAGCCCAGGATACCTGAAGGAGCGTCTCCACCCCCATCGTTCTGCCCGGACACTGAGGTCCAGCGCCAAGGGCCCTCTGGCGGTTCCCTCACTGCGAGAAGCAAAGCTACAGGGAACCAGGCAGAGGGCCTTCTTGGTAGTGGCGCCCGCCCTGTGGAACGCCCTCCCATCAGATGTCAAGGAAATAAACAACTACCTGACATTTAGAAGACATCTGTTCAGGGAAGTTTTTAATGTGTGACATTTTAATGTATTTTTAATCTTTGTTGGAAGCCGCCCAGAGTGGCTGGGGAAACCCAGCCAGATGGGCGGGGTACAAATAATAAATTGTTGTTGTTGTTGTTGTTGTTGTTGTTGTTGTTGTTGTCGTCGTCGTCACAGAACTGTACAGTTGGAAGGGATCTTGAGGGTCATCCAGTCCAACCCCCTGCAATTCAGGAATCTCAGCTCAAGCACCCATGACAGATGGCCACCCAACCTCTGCTTAAAAGCCTCCAACGAAGGAGAGTCCACCAGCTCCCGAGGGAGGCCATTCCAACGACTCTTACTGTCAGAAAGTTCTTCCTGATGTTTAGTTGGAATCACCTTTCTTGTAGCTTGAATCTATTGGTTCGAGTCCTGCCCTCTGTAGTAACATAAAACAAGCTTGTTCCCTCTTCCAAGTGACAACCCTTTAGATATTTGGAAATGGCTATGCTATCAGTCCTCTCTTCTCCAGGCAAGGTGAAGGTAAAGGAACCCTGGTCTGTTAAGTCCAGTCAAAGGCGACTATGGGGTTGTGGCGCTCATCACTCTCCAGGCCGAGGGAGCCGACGTTTGACCATAGACAGTTTTCTGGGTCATGTGGCCAGCAGGACTAAACCGCTACTGGCACATGGAGGACCGTGACGAGTGCCAGAGCACACGGAAATGCCATTTACCTTCCTGCCACACCGGTACCTATTTATCTAATCACGTCATGCTTTCGAACTGCTAGGTTGGCCAAAGCTGGGATAGAGGAACAGGAGCTCACCCTGTTGCACGGATTTGAACTGCCAACCTTTCAATCAGTCAGCAGTTCAAATCCCTGTGGCGCGGTGAGCTCCTGTTGCTCTGTCCTAGCTTCTGCGAACCCAGCAGTTCGAAAGCTTACCAGTACAAGTAGATTAATAGGTACCACTGCAGCGGGAAGGTAAACAGCATTTCCATGCGCTCTGGCACTTGTGACAGTGTCCCGTTGCACCAGAAGCGGTTTGTCTCAACCTCTTTCGAAGCGATCCAAGAATGTGAGCAGCTGGAACCCAACACACAAATTAGGAGCCAGTTTCAAGAACCTAAGATACAACTCATGGGATTAGATAGACTCTTTTCTTTCAAACACAGATTAATTTGGGACACTGCCATCAGCTCTCACCTGTTCGCTTGTCATATTCAGCATCGGTTATCTCAAACTTCTCTACCTTTGACACATTTTCGTATTCCCCGATGGTTGCACCGCTCCTGTCAATAACCTACAGGCCCCCAAAACATAGTCATTTTATTTATTTTTTTAAGGCAGAAGCAAAAGAGCAATTTCTAAGCTTTTTTTTTTTTTTAAGGCATTTGTTGATACCAATTGCAAAGGGGCTCTAAGTTCTAGTTCACAGATGGCCATGTGCCGCATGTGTCATTCCATCTTTTTTTTAATAAGGATTAAATTTATATATAGAACACAGTGACACAGTTACTACTAGGAATAGACCCCACTATGGAAAACACTCCAAAAATCAATAGGTCACATAATTTAGTTATTTGCAGTGTGGCACCAATGTGCATAATAATGCTGTTCAGAGCGACATTAAGCAATGGAAGAAAGCAGGTCCCCATTCCCATGGAATGTGCAACCTACATTTCAGTAGCAAGGGAACCTCACTTTCGTCACCCACTCACAAATCCTTTGGCAGAACCCAGTAATCTCCATAACCTACTGCAAATAGGACCAAGTGCATGCAACTGAAATAAATGCTTATTGTCCCCCCCCCCCATGTGGCAGGGACCTGTCCTCCCATTCTTTACAGAGAATGGTATTTTTAAAATTTTGTATATTAACATCTACTAGCAACACCAGTAGACCGCCCTTCATCACATCATTCTAATCACAGGGGGGTTGCCAACATATTAAAACATACAGCAAGCACCTAAAAACACACTGAATAAACCTATCATTTCTAAAAACGGGTTAGTGTACACAGCAGCATAGAAGACCTACAGCAATGGCGGCATTCACAAATTTATTGCCAGTACATGGAAGAAGTGAAAAGCTTTTACTTGGCAGTGGAATCTCAGCAGGGCCTCTGCCATCCCCAGCTTTGGGGAACGGTACTATAAGGGGAGAGTAGGCCCTTGACGGCACATGTCTGACAGCACATTGATGCTGCTATATAAATAATAGGGGGAAACAGAGGGACAACAACAGAAATCAGAAGGTGGCTTCTTATCAGAAGCGTAAGAGGCCCTCATGCGGTCCAGGCCCCAGGACAGCTTCCCCCAGTTTCTTGCAATAGCAAAAGTATTATGAGGAGAGCCTTTTGATCCAGGGAAGAACCAGCCCAACACTCACATGAATCCTGCACCCGTCGTCGATGGGGTAAGACCCCAGCAAGGCCTCGTCGCTGTCGAGTTTCATCACAAACTTGTCGTCCGGAGTATAGAGCTCGAGGTCCATGCATGATGCCGGACTTCCCACAACCAGTTCCAGCTTACACTGTTCAGACAGAAGCACCGGGCAGAAGGGGAAGAAGAGTATTTATCACAGGCAACAGATGATGTGAAATACCCCACCCCTCGCTCCGTGCAAGACGAACCACAACAGTAACGTAACACTAATGGGGCCAGTCGTGTTTGTGACCTCTAGTGATGGGGCTACGTCAAGGCATCTGAGTGGGGCCTGTAAAGCTAAGGCCAGCAACAAATTTGCTTCCGTCTAACCTGGCTGTACGGAAAATGCTTTCTGGCCTGCCAGTTGTCAATCTGAAGCTCAAAAGAGAGAGAGACAAAGAGGTGCCAGTGGCAACAGAGTGTGCAGGCCAGGCACTTTAGGGGGCGGGGTTGCCCACCCAACCCCTCAATTACTTCACAAAATGGCTCTGCAGAGAAACTAGTTGCTGACCAAGGCTCTACACCTCTGAGCAAGAAAAGGTCTCCCCTCTGTGATGCAGCCTGCACAGCTCCCAGCTCAGGGTGCTATGTAGGGGATAGTGACATTCCTGACATAGGTGGGGACTGCAAAACAGCATCTGAGTGGAGGGAGGGGAAAGCGTGAAGAAGCTCCATCCTTAAATTGTTGAGGTTGTTTCTCACTGCCAGGGCAGAAAAAGAGATGCTGGTGGGAAACAAAAGGCAGAATTTGGCACAAGGCCACACGCTGCAGCCATGGGGGTGGGGAGGGGGAGAGAAAAAGAGAGCTGGTTGGCCGGCTCACTCAGCTGGGCACGGGTCGCCAGTTGCCAAGCTGCCGTTAATCCCAGTTTGGATGTGTGGCACAAAAGGATTTTTGTTATTGTTGACACAGGCCTGTTTGCTGGGGACCAGAGCTCAAAACGGGGTCGAGTGATGTTCTGCTAAGGACACCCCCCCAAAAAAGGCAGAAGCAAAGACAAGCAAGTTTGGAACTTGAAGCAAGCAAATATAAGGGTTTTCCCCCCCTGGGATGGGGGGGCAGATGGGTGGAAGAAAGCACCAGCTTTCCAAGCAAGAGCAGGAGGCAAGTCCAACGACCATCTGTGCCCGCATGCAACGGGTGTAAAGGGCATGCCATGCAGCTAAAAATCTAGCTGCAAAGCCTAAACCCACATTCCCCCTGAAATGTCAAAGTAGAGGGAGCCGATTCTCCCACAAGGAAAAACCCTCTCGTTTGGCGCTGGATGGGCAGCGCGGAAATCTACCTCAACGTGCAAGACCTCTAACAAGCAGCCGCAGCTCTCTGCATTCCTTTGGTACACCATCACACGCGCCTGCAGCAACCCTGCTGCCACTGCAAACCCATTCGGCGTGGAAGCAAACAGGCCACGCCACGGCCAGCAGCGCAGGAGTCGCTTACCCCAGGACAGGGCACCACCCCGTCCATGCCAGCTTCCTCTCTGGGGAGCCCGCAGGTGCCGCTGTGCGAACAGGCCAGGCGGCAGGCCAGAGCAACGCAGCAAGCAATTCGGATGATGCTCCTGGCGGCAGCAAGGGGAGCCCTGAGCCACGCCAAGTGGGACAAAGACAACAGGGACAGACGCATTAAAGTGGTCTCAGCACACACCCCCACCCCCAAATTGGTGGGACTGCAGGGACCCTCAATATTTTTAATGCCCTCGGCACTAATTCCTCCCGGAAATGCACCTTTGTTTGGAATTACAAAGGGCAGAATGGAGGAGTCTGTGCCAAACTCAACTGTTTTGAGAATCCCCAATTACGTTGTAAAGGCCAGAACTTTCTTTGGGGGGGGGCAGGAGATGGAAAGCTCCTGGAGGAAGGGGGGGGGGGAAGAGTCCAAATTCAGTCTCTGGTGGGATGTGAGGAATTCAGATTACTCTAAGTCCATTTCTGAGAGGGGGACGCACCCCTCTGAACTGTGCCCTGGGGTGTGTGGAATCCAGCTCATCTTGGGGGGAGGAGTACGGATCCTCCTTTGATACCCCCACCCCACTTTTTAGTGGAAAAGAGGCTCCCCTGGGAAGGCTGTTTGCAGTGAACAGCTTGCTTACAAAAAAACAAAACGGTGGCCCATTTTCCAGTATGGAGAAACACAGAGCAGAGGAAAAGAGGCAGGCGGCCTGGGTAGCATCTGGACCAGGACCCCCCCCCCAAGGCAATTTCCCAAAGGGTCATAATTCGGTTCCCTTTCTGCGAGGGGAGGGCCATAATTATTATTATTTGGAGGTGGATCCCATCCATGTCTGCTTTTCATGAAAGGGCAGGTGAGGTGCTGTCAGGGCCGGATTGAGGTTTGATGCGGCCCTCAGCTCCTGAAGGTAATGGGGCCCTTTCTATGTCCAGCTGTCCTTTGCCAGCAACAAATTGTCGCTGTTTTTTGTGTTGAATATATGCTAGATGGTCATTGATGGACCTCACAGGTCTCCAAAGCCATTTGCACATCACAAAATAGGAGCTTACACAACACAAAACACTGCTGCTGTATGTAGTTTTTATGTTATTTGTTTTTTATCTGATATTCTGGAAATGTACATCCAGCTTTTTTTCCCCTTAAAATTTTTGGGGGGCCCTAAGCTATAGCTTGTTTAGCTTATACATAAATCCGGCATTGGCCGTGCCTTTTTTTGCTGCAATAATAGCCCTGCCTGTTTCCAGTACATCTTTTAGGTACATGATGGCGCAGAGAAGAACCCTCTGGCTACTTATTATTATTGTTTGTTTAATTAATTAATTTCATTTCTATACGGCCCTATACCCGAAGGTCTCACGGCGGTTCGCATAAAATATCAAAGCCATAAAACCAGCAACCCAATAACCTCCCCCCCCAAAGAGCCAGCATTTTAAAAAAGGGTATAGGATGTTTTCATCCTGCTAAAGATGGATCGTTTCTTAAGGATCGCCCCGAGCACGTTTTGCGCAGCCCCCAATAATAATAATACTGTCCGTTTCTTTGGCAGGGGGAGCTCCTTAGCAGCCCTCCTTTTAACGGGGGAGGCGGGTCTCCACCCCCTTCGGCTGAAGAACACGCGTTCTTTCTCGACACGTGTCCGCGCGTCCTCACGTCCCCTCACCTTGAACTCGGCGAGGGTGAGCCCCCGGGCGTATCTCTTGAGGGCCCGGAAGGAGTTGAGGCTGCTGCTGATGGACACGGACACCACCGCGGGCGTCCCCGTCACGACGCTCATCCCGACCCGGCTGCCCGAAGCCCGGACCAAGAAACCGCCGCCGCCGCCTCAGCCGCCTCAACCGCCGCCTCACAATCCCCTCACGGGCCGCTCCCGCCGCCCGGCCAATCAGGCGCCGGCCGCTCCCTCGGCCAGCCAATCGCCCCGCGCTCGGCCCGCCCTCGTGACGCTCCTCGCCAATCAGCGTCCGAGGCTCGCCATCACGCACGAAGAAAAACGGAGCTCGGGCTTTCGCTGCCCTTCCCTTCCCCTCGCCGCCTCTCTCTGATCCGTGATGCCCCAGCGGGGAATCCACCAATAGGAAGCCGGGATGTTTCCAGAGTGGCCAATGGCGAGGAGCGGTGCGGAAGAGAAGGAGGGGGCTGAAGCCGCTGGAAGTGAGGGCAAGGCTCCTGGCGGAGGATGTAAGCCGCGGATGCAGGGATGGGGAGCGGAGGCAGAGAGGTGGGGAGGGGGGGGGGAAAGGGAGGTAGTACTAGTAATCGTAGTAATAATACGAATAGTACTAACAGTAATGGCAGGCAGGCAGGCATTCATCGATGGGGAGTGGAGGCAGAGAGGGGGAGGTTTGTGATACTAGTAGTACTAGTAGTACTTGTAGTATTAATACTAATTGTACTAATATTACTACTAGTAATTGCACATCCCAATTTTGCTCAGGCTCAAAAACATAGCCTGTTGAAATGGAATAAGCTGGCAAGGTGGGCTCCGTCCAAATATGCCCAAAGGTGAAGCGTTTTTATTTTTGTTTTTTTGCTCTCGCCTTTAGGGAGCTACAGTTCCCAGGACCCTTTGCAAACTATGGTTCCAGGAACCGTTGCAGGGGGTTGGACTAGATGACCCCTTGGGTCCCTTCCAACTCTCTAAGATTCTACGATTCCTTGGGGGGAGCCGCATGCCTGACAGCCGGAGTCGCGGGAGGTGGGTGCGTGGGGCTTCCAGGCGAACGTCCATTGTGGGAACCGTCGCTCCTGGTGGCTGCGATTTTCTCGCGACATCCACAACGACATGGTTGGCACCAGAGCGCCAGACTGCATTACACCCATCAGATTTAACCCAGATCGATGCTTCCCAGGGGGAAGAAAAACCCCAATGCATTTTTTAATTGAAAAATAAACCCCTCTTGTTGTCATTGCTTATTTGCAATATTGAGCCCCCATCGGGAAGTCATAAGGTAAAGGTAAAGGGATCCCTGACCGTTAGGTCCAGTCGTGGCAGACCCTGGGCCAATGGCGCTCATCTCGCTTTATTGGCCGAGGGAGCTGGCGTACAGCTTCCGGCTCATGTGGCCAGCAGGACTAAGCCGCTTCTGGTGAACCAGAGCAGCGCACGGAAACGCCCTTTACCTTCCCGCCAGAGTGGTACCTATTCATCTACTTGCACTTTGACGTGTTTCAAACTGCTAGGTCGGCAGGAGCAGGGACCGAGCAACGGGAGCTCACCCCGTCACAGGGATTCGAACCGCCGACCTTCTAAGCTTTGTGGTTTAACCCACAGTGCCACCCTCGTCCCACCAGACTGCATTCCACCCATCACATTTAACCCAGATCGATGCTTCCCGGGGGGGGGGGGGGACCCAATGCATTTTTTTAAAATTGAAAAACACCCCTGTTGTTGTTGCTTATTTGCAATATCGAGCCCCCATCGGGAAGCCCTAGAGGGCGCCATAATGCAAGAAATTCCCGTTTTATTCCCTGTGGTACATGATGCTCAATAAGCTCATGGGACGGTTCTGAGCATCGTCAAAGCATTTTGATCCATTCAGCGATTCCTACCCTTGTCCCTTCCTCAGATGTTGAGCTTGGTCATCTGTTGAAGTCAATCCAATTTAGGTTAGTCCTGACCTTCATGAGGCCCATATCCCAGCGTGATGAACCGTCTGGACCCCATTTTAATACAAGTATTTTATCTTTTTAAAAATCCGCTTGACATCTTAGGAAAGGCCTTCTGTGTTTACGGAAGGACCTTTGCACATCAGCTGATCATAAATGAATTAGGCTGCTTACTCCTGTTCCAGAAGTGAGGTGTTTTCCCCCGGTCATGGGCAAACTTTTGCAGATTCAATTAATAAGTTAACTAACTGAGCTCTATCCGATTTAGCAACTATAATTTCTTTATCGGGTGACAGCTAGTGGTGTAGTCTAAAATATCTGGAGTTTCAGTCACCTGCCCTCCATCTTTTGATGGGGGTAAGAATTGAGTGGGGCAGTGTGTTGGCAGGATGGCCTGCGCCCTTTTGTATTCACCCGTGTTCTCTTACCCCACTCCGACCCCCACCAAACCCCGCTGGGAAGAGGTGAGGGGATGAGGCTGGTTCTGGCATCTGGCAAAGGGTTGGGTCTTCCTGCTGGTCTGGGGAGTCTGGCATGATTTGCACACAGAACCCCTTAATTCACAGCCCACCCCACCCCACCCTAGAGATTAAGCGTAACTGAGTCTCTTCCCATCGTAGAATTTAACAACAGTTGATGATGATAGCCCTGTATACGGAAGCTGTTCAATGTTTACTTTTTTATTATGTTTTTATATATGTTGGAGAGTGGCTGGGACAACCCAGTCCGATGGGAGTGTTACAAGTAATAAATTATTATTATTATGAGAAATCCGTAGGCCAACGATACCGCCATTTTGATTCCTAGCCCCACGACGCTGCCATGTTGATGGGCCTTGGAGGGAAGAGGCACACGACTCCATCCCCATTAGGAGCTTCCAAGAGAAACAGAAAATACATTTCAGATCAATTTATTGTGTCTAGGAATCTCTCCGACTCCTCCCAACACCTGGAACTCGTGGACAGCCAACGAAGCTTCAGTTGCAAGGTTCAGAACACAGGAAAGGAAGCAGCACTTCACGCAGTGCAGAGTTAAACTGTGGAACTCCCTGCCACAGTAGGCAGCGGCAACGACAATCTTGGGTGGCTTTAAAAGAGGATTAGACAAATTCATGGAGGAGGAGGAGGAGGAGGAGGGGGAGAGGGCCGCAATTCTCTGCCTGCACAATCGGAGGCAGAAATGTTTCTGTACACCAGTTGCTGGAAACTGCAGGAATTATGGGGCAGAAGAGGTAACTGTGAGAACAGGACAGTGGAATAGTGGAATAGATGAACCACTGGCCTGATCCAGCAGGCTCTTCTGGTGTTCATATATATACACATATACACATTTTTATTAATTTTTAAAATATATCAGTTCCAACAGTCATACAACATAACTTTCATTTTATACAATATTTTAGACTTCCGTCAACACCTCTGATGATTTTTTGTTCTTTATCACTTATCCTGCATCTCTTAATTTCTCTACTACTCTTAATTATCATTAGCTAATAGTTCTTCTCATAGTCTTCCTTGCAATACAGTGGTACCTCGGGTTAAGTACTTAATTTGTTCCGGAGGTCCGTTCTTAACCTGAAACTGTTCTTAACCTGAAGCACCACTTTAGCTAATGGTGCCTCCTACTGCTGCCACACCGCCGGAGCACAATTTCTGTTCTCATCCTGAAGCAAAGTTCTTAACCTGAAGCACTATTTCTGGGTTAGCAGAGTCTGTAACCTGAAGCCTATGTAACCTGAGGTACCACTGTATTTCAAATAGTCCACCTTACAAAACTTCTTGCCATCCTACTAGCGTAATATGTTCATCCACAATTACTTTTCAGATAGTTCGTGTATTTACTCCAGTCTTCTAAGAATCTCTGGTCCCACAGGTTTCGAATCCTTCCTGTTAATTTATCTAATTCTGCACAGTCCATCAATTTCATCCTCCATTCTTCTTTCATCGGTAATTCTGCTTGCTTCCACTTCTGTGCCAATAATATTCTTGCTGCTGGCTCTCTTGATGTTCTTTGTAAAAATGTGTTTAGGTTTGCTTTTGAGAACTGTCTTCAGCGACTCTACTCATCACCCCCCCGTCCCCCTTCATGGGGGGGGGAGAACTGGAGGTGTTGGAAGTCGGGGGGGGTGGGAGGAGGCACAGCACCAGTTCCCTGCCGCTTCATAAGTTCTTGTCCCCCTTGTGGGTCCTCTTCACGCGGGAAAAGGGCCCCAGCTCCCTTTTGAAAACAAAGTCCCAAAGCACTAGGATCCAGGAGTTGTGGTAGGGAAGGTGGTTGTAATACTCTGGGGCGATTTTCCTCACCTGGAAGGAAAAACATCGAAACACTGAAGATTGGACAGAAACAGAAGAATGAGGGGTGCATGTGACTCAGGGCCGTCTTTGCCTGGGGGTACCAGGGGTGCAGGGCGCCCGAAGCCGCCTAAGCTCTTAACTATCCACCTGTTATGAAATAATAAATAATTTTCATCGAGCTAGGAAAACAAAATACATATATACCTAGGTATTACCAAAATGTATACCTACTGTTTCACTAAAGGACTTTGTGTGCTCATTTACCAAAGATCACAACGGCGGCATTTGTGAAACAGGGGCGCTGGGCGGATCTTTGCCACCCCGACTGTGCATATGCTAAAGACTCCCCTGATGCCACTGATTATGGGATCTGAATTCAAGTCAGGTCCTGGGGAGGTGGAACCACCCTAACCGCCTGGCCTTTGACTTGGAATCAACTTGATCCCCTCCCCCTCTTTCCTTTCTCCTTCTGTGATGGAACTCCTGTTTGGGGACTTCCCTGGCTTTTTTCTGGCCCATGTAGGACCAGTCTGGATAGTTGGCCTTGGTGAAGATTTGACGTTTTCATCCCCAAAAAGTTTTTGATTTGAGTTTCTACTGAAATGAGGCTGCATTTTAACGTTGTATTTTAATTTTGTTTTTAAGTTGTATTTTAATCAATTGTTTTTACACCTGGTGTTAGCAGCCCTGAGCCCGGTCTTGGCTGTGGAGGGCGGGGTACAAATAAAATTTATTATTATTGACCCTGACAGATGGCCACCTGTTGGTTGGGAAATCTACAATAAAGTAGAGTATACCACTGCTATTCCACTGCTGAACAACTCTTACGATACAATACGATAATCTTTATTGTCATTGTCCCATACAGAACAACAAAATTGGGGGGGGGGAATCTACATCAGACATTCAAAAACCAACAAGCCTGCTATCCCAGCTATCCCAGCCTGGTTAGCCCCCTAAAAACTCTGATACCCCATTTTTAAAATACAATACACTCCCTCAGAGACTACCTTTCACTGCGTTTAAAACCAAAATCGCATTTGGATAGAAACTGTTTCTCAGGCGGCTAGTCCTAGTCTTTATAACCCTGGACCTTCTTCCAGAAGGCAGAAGCTGAAAGAGATCATTTCCGGGGTGCGCACTATCCTGCGCTATCTCTGCGGCTTTCTCATGGCGCCTGGAAGCGTAGATTTGATCCAAGGTGGGAAGAGTGCACCCAGTTATTCTCTCCGCAGTCCTTACAACCCTGGACAGCATTGTTTTTCCCTGGCCGTGCAGCTCCCAAACCACACACAGAGACCATAAGTTAATACATTCTCCACAGTACAGGTCCTTTGAGAGATTGTTTTTCCGGAGGATTCTCAGAAAATATAACTTCTCAGAAAATATTTAGTCAGAGAGCTCAGACACATTTCCTCTTGCCCCCTGCTCTTTATCGCTCAGTTAGAGCAAACTGGAAATTCAGGTTTTCTCCGGGTTGACATTTGCTCCGATTTAGCACTAAAGAATGGGTTTCCCCCAGAATAGGACCGGGGGTGGGGGAGGAGAACTTCCTGGACCCGTCCTTTCTAGACGCAGGAGAAGTTGAAGTGTGGGTGAGCCGATAATCTCCTTTCTTGTCTCTTGAAACTGTGGGTTTGAGTCCTACCCTCCAGAACAGGAGAAAACAAACTTGCTCCATCCTCCCCGTGCCAGCCCTTGAAATATTTGAAGGTGGCTATCTCCTCTCAACAACAGGCATATAAAACAAACAAAAAAACAACAGGCATATGAAATCAAAAGAACTAAGATCATGGCCACTGGGCCCATCACCTCCTGGCAAATAGAAGGGGAAGAAATGGAGGCAGTGAGAGATTTGACTTTCTTGGGCTCCATGATCACTGCAGATGGTGACAGCAGCCACGAAATTAAAAGACGCCTGCTCCTTGGGAGAAAAGCAATGACAAACCTAGATAGCATCCTAAAAAGCAAAGACATCACCTTGCCAGCAAAGGTCTGTATAGTTCAAGCCATGGTTTTCCCAGTAGTGATGTATGGAAGTGAGAGCTGGACCATAAAGAAGGCGGATCGCCGAAGAATTGATGCTTTTGAATTCTGGTGCTGGAGGAGACTCTTGAGAGTCCCATGGACTGCAAAAAGATCCAACCTCTCCATTCTGAAGGAAATCAGCCCTGAGTGCTCACTGGAAGGACAGATCCTGACTTGGGCCACCTCATGAGAAGAGAAGACTCCCTAGAAAAGACCCTGATGTTGGGAAAGATAGAGGGCACAAGGAGAAGGGGACAACAGAGGACGAGATTGTTGGATGGTGTTCTCGAAGCTACCAGCATGAGTTTGACCAAACTGCAGGAGGCAGTGGAAGACAGGAGTGCCTGGCGTGCTCTGGTCCATGGGGTCAAGAAGAGTCGGACACGACTAAACAACAACAATCTCCTCTCAGTCTCTTCCTCTCCAGGCTAAACATGCCCACGTCCTTCGACCGTTCCTCATAAGGCATGGTTTCCAGACCCTTGACCATCTTGGTCGCCCTACTCTGCATATCATCCGCCTTAAAATGTTGTGCCCGGCAATTTCATAGCAAAAACAGTTACATAGCAATATTTCTAACCTGTATACCAGGACATAGTACGTAGGTCATTCTCCCAACTGCCGCTCCTTATGCAGACTAAACAACACCATCCAGGCTTAAGGGAACCCCAAGGTTTGCAAGCAGTGCCCTCCCTCGGAGGAAAACACAAACTCTATGGAAAGGGGGTATCAAAAGCTGCCCAGTGAGGATCAAGCATGCTTTTAATCCTTCATTTTAATGTTGGAGATGGAAACATCTACATGCAGCCACTGGGAGAGATCATCAGGGGGTTTGGGCTGGGTGTTCATCAATATGCGGATGATACCCAGCTCTACCTCTCTTTCAAATCAGAACCAGTGAAGGCTGTGAAGGTCCTGTGTGAGTGCCTGGAGGCGGTTGGAGGATGGATGGCGGCTAGCAGGTTGAGGTTGAATCCTGACAAGACAGAAGGACTGTTTTGGGGGGACAGGAGGCGGGCGGGTGTGGAGGACTCCCTGGTCCTGAATAGGGTAACTGTGCCCCTGAAGGACCAGGTGCGCAGCCTGGGAGTCATTTTGGTCTCACAGCTGTCCATGGAGGCACAGGTCAAATCCGTGTCCAGGGCAGCTGTGTACCAGCTCCATCTGGTACGCAGGATGAGACCCTACCTGCCCACAGACTGTCTTGCCAGAGTGGTGCATGCTCTGGTTATCTCCTGCTTCGACTACTGCAATGCCCTCTACGTGGGGCTACCTTTGAAGGTGACCCAGAAACTGCAATTAATCCAGAATGTGGCAGCCAGACTGGTGACTGGGAGCAGCCGCCGAGACCACATAACACCGGTCTTGAAAGACCTTCATTGGCTCCCAGTATGTTTCTGAGCACAATTCAAAGTGTTGGTGCTGACCTTGAAAGCCCTAAAAGGCCTCAGTTCTGTATACCTGAAGGAGCGTCTCCACCTCCATCGTCCAGCCCAGACACTGAGGTCCCGCTCTGAGGCCCTTCTGGCAGTTCCCTCATTGCGAGAAGTGAGGTTACAGGGAACCAGACAGAGGGCCTTCTCGGTAGTGGCACCCGCCCTGTGGAACGCCCTCCCTTCAGATGTGAAGGAAATAAGCAGCTATCCTATCTTTAAAAGATGTCTGACAGCAGCCCTGTTTAGGGAAGTTTTTCATATTTAATGCTGTATTGTTTTTAACACTTGATTGGGAGCCGCCCAGAGTGGCTGGGGATACTCAGCCAGATGGGCTTGGTATAAATAAATTATTATTATTATTATTATTATTATTATTATTATTATTAAACAGAGAACTGGAGGCAGAGGGGAGGGGAATGGAATGGAGTATCTGGGAAAGGGAGATGAAATGGCTGGCTGGACTGCAGAGGAGCACTCTGTAGGACAACATTTTGCAGCAGGTCCAAATTGTTTCAGTCATTGGGGGTCTTGGGTGTTTTAACGGATTTTTTGGCCTAGGTTATAGAAGCAGTCCTTTATTCGAACGATTGTCTCCTGTCCAAGCCTGGTTTAAAAATAAATAGCCCTACAGAGGGTAGGAGCTCTGAAGCTATGAAAATTACTTCTGGCACCCTGGCACCAGAAACCTAAAAAGCAAATTCGCTTGCCAAAACGCTTTCCGCTGAATCAGATAGCACCTGCCCGGGATTAAAATAAAAGGCTCTCCCTATTTGCATTTTAAAATAGCGCTTCCCTTGAAGTCGACTTTTTCTTTGTTTTCAATAAGCCGATGTTCCGACTTTTCGACCGCAAAAGTACTGAATAGATAATAGCTGCCACCCATCTGTCTCGAGAGACAATGGAGTGCAGCGCAAGTCAAACTGCTGTTAGCACCGCTGAAGTGAACTCCCCGGGCGCAAGCCTGGGCAGTGTGTTTTGAGGTCCTGGGCTGCCCAGATGACAAGACCCCCCTCAAAGCCTCGCTGAGGTGGTCCAAAAGAAAGCAGAGCTATGCATTTGGCACCAGCTTGGCGGCAGGAGTTGCAGGAAGTAAAATGATTATTATTATTATTATTATTTATTACTTATACCCCACCCATCTCTTGCTGGGTTTTCCACCACTCTGGGCGTCTTCCAACAAAATATTAAAATACAATAGCTCTAATGTAGGTCTTTCAAGACCGGTGTTATATGGTCTCGGCGGCCGCTCCCAGTCACCAGTCTAGCTTCCGCATTCTGGATTAGTTGCAGTTTCTGGGTCACCTTCTAAGGTAGCCCCACGGAGAGCGCATTGCAGGAGTCCAAGCGGGAGATAACCAGAGCATGCACCACTCTGGCCAGGCGTAAATGGCACCACCCAACCGTCTTAAGAGATTCCACTCAGTATTTGTGGAAGGGTTTCTCCTGAGCCATTTCTTCTCACAAAGATATCCCACAAAGCAGCAGAAGTTTAGTACGAGAGCTTTCCTTCTCCATATGTACACATTCACACAAAGTTCAGAACTTTGCTTTGTTGCCCTGCAAGGCAGTAGAAAAATCAACGCTTCAGAGCGGCTAAAATTGATTATGTCGGACTGCCTGTCTCCCACCTTTAGGGTGCCAGGATGTATGCAGAATCTTATTCTAGAATCATAGAACTGCAGAGTTGGAAGGGAACCATGAGGGTCATCTAGTCCAACCCGCTGCGATGCAGGAGTCTTTTTGCCCAGCATGGGACTCGAACTCCCAACCCTAAGATTAAGAGTCTCCCATTCAGCTCAGTCATATTGGCAGGAAGGATTACGTGAAATGGACAGGAGGCTGAATGAATCAATTGGGGGGGGCCCACTCTGCTCTACCCTGGTATTTCCCCAACTTTCGAAATACCAGGAACTCAAATGCTTCTCACACATGCCTTTTGATTATTTCGAAATGTTATCTTTCCTGAACTGGGTGATCCTGCTTCTGATCTCTTCGTAAAGTAGTTGTACAGTGGTACCTCGCAAGACGAAAAACTCGCTAGACGAAAGGGTTTTGCGTTTTTTGAGTCGTTCCGCAAGACGAATTTCCCTATGGGCTTGCTTCGCAAGACGGAACGTCTTGCGAGTTCTTGCGAGTTTGTTTCCTTTTTCTTAAAGCCGCTAAGCCGCTAAACCGTTAATAGCCGCTAAGCCGCTAATAGCCACTAAGCCGCTAATAGCTGTGCTTCGCAAGACGAAAAAACCGCAAGACGAAGAGACTCGCGGAACGGATTAATTTCGTCTTGCGAGGCACCACTGTAGTTGACTGAGGTGTTAGCATGTAAGTAAAGCCAAAGAACCTCCCTGGCAACAGAAAAAGTAATACATACTTGTACATTCGTTTGTGCAATGAAACCGCCCTTCTTTGCCTCTAAGAACTGGACCTTTCAGGCAGCAGCACTAAAGGCCTCCCTTTTCATGGGGTCTCTGCTTTGATTTCCGGCCTTTTTCTATTTCAGGTAAACCTTCCCCACCCGGTAACGAATCGCAAGGTGAATTGATTTCCCCCTCAACAGTGAACGGCACCTGGACAGCGGGCAGGAACACAAACCACCTGGCTTCAGTTTTCCCCTCTGTGGTGAAATGCTGTATATTTCTAAATTTGCATCGTCTTATAAATTAGCATATTCAAATTTGATGTAAATTGGTGCCCTCTTTTTCAATGTGATGTGTTTCCTTTCCCTGTTATGTTATTATTTTTAGCAATGCAGAAGCGGCCACTCTTGTTTTCGGCTATTTCGTGATGAATGTAACTTTTCCTTCTTCTCCTTAAAAATAATAATAATGGGTTCAGTAGCTTGAGAGCTGCCTTGGGTTTGTTCTGCAAAACAGCATACATGAGACACAGTGTTGCCTAGTGGTTAGAGTGCTGGACTAGGACCTGGGAGATCTAGGTTTGAATCCCCACTCAGCTATGAAGCCCTTGGGGGCCACTCACTGTCTCTTCGCCTAACCTACCTCACAGGGTTGTTGTGAGGGTGAATACAGAATAATAATGTAATAAATAATATGTTGAAATATTGTCACCATTATAATTATCTGCTGCAGTAATAAGGATGCCCTTGGCATATTCTCTTTTGGACTGTGAGATGGCAGGAAGGGACTTTATTGTTTTCTCAACGCCTACAAAGTCCGGGCTGCATGAATGCAGTTAATTAGGGCGGGGTTTTTCCTGGAATATTGCAAGATTTGATCAACAGGCAATGGCATCAAACAGGCTGGGCGGTTGAACAGTACAACTGCTTAATTGCTTATATGTGTGTCATGTACCCTGCCCTTCAAAGGCATGCAATGCATTTCGTTAGGACAGGGTGGTCCAACACGCATGCAGCCCTTTTTGGGTGGCCCATGCTAAGTACGCGGGTGGCGCTTTGGGTTAAACCACAGAGCCTAGGACTTGCCAATCAGAAGGTCAGCGGTTCGAATCCCCGCGACGGGGTGAGCTCCTGTTGCTCTGTCCCTGCTCCTGCCAACCTAGCAGTTCGAAAGCACGTCAAAGTGCAAGTAGATAAATAGGTACCGCTCTGGCGGGAAGGGAAACTGCGTTCCCGTGAGCTGCTCTGGTTCGCCAGAAGCAGCTTAGTCATGCTGGCCACATGAGCCGGAAGCTGGACGCCAGCTCCCTCGGCCAATAAAGCGAGATGAGCGCCGCAACCCCAGAGTCGGTCACGACTGGACCTAATGGTCAGGGGTCCCTTTACCTTTTACCTGCTAAGTACCCAGTGAGCATTGCTGGTGGCCCAACATCAGTGCAGGATTTATATATAAGCTAAACAAGCCCTAGTTTGGGCCCCCCTCTCTTGGGGCCCCCCAAAAAATTAAAAGGGAAAAAAATCTGGATGTACATTTCCAAAATTTAAGAGTGTTGTGTGTTGTCTAGGCTCCTATGATGTAAGTCATGGGTCCCGCCTGCTAGCCTGCTCTCTCAAATATCACTGCTTTGCCAATCAGAAGGTCGGCGGTTCGAATCCCCGCCACGGGGTGAGCTCCCGTTGCTCTGTCCCTGCTCCTGCCAACCTAGCAGTTCGAAAGCACATCAAAGTGCAAGTAGATAAATAGGTACCGCTCCGGTGGGAAGGTAAACGACGTTTCCGTGCGCTGCTCTGGTTCGCCAGAAGCGGCTTAGTCATGCTGGCCACATGACCCGGAAGCTGTACGCTGGCTCCCTCGGCCAATAAAGCGAGATGAGTGCTGCAACCCCAGAGTCGGCCACGACTGGACCTAATGGTCAGGGGTCCCTTTACCTTTACCTTTATATTCTGCTATTTATCATTATTAATAGTTTGCATCATACCTATTATTGAGATACCTATTAGGTCCATAGATTACCATATAGCATATATGCAACACAAAAAACAGTGACAATTTGTTGTGGACAAAGGACAGCTGGACATATCAAGGGCCCCGTTACCTTCAGGAGCTGAGGGCCCCATCAAACCTCAATCCAGCCCTTCCCAACATCCAGGATCCCTCCCACGACCAGTTGATCTCTCGCGGCAGAAGCAGCAACAAATCCTTGTATTCTGGTGTTGTCCCAAAGTCCCTTCTCCCCACTTTCCCAGGAGCGTTCGGAGGTATGGAAGGCAGGGACCTTCTGTCCCGGCGGCAGCTTCTCTGTAGGGGCAAGACCTGCTGGGAAGGGCGGTCGGGTTGCACGCCATTTCCTGGACTAAAGAGTTAACTTTGCCCAAAGCAGAGACATCACCTTGCCAACAAAGGTCTGTATAGTTAAAGCTATGGGTTTCCCAGTAGTGATGTATGGAAGTGAGAGCTGGACCATCAAGAAGGCTGATCGCCGAAGAATGGATGCTTTTGAATTATGGTGCTGGAGGAGACTCTTGAGAGTCCCATGGACTGCAAGAAGATCCAACCTCTCCATTCTGAAGGAAATCAGCCCTGAGTGCTCACTGGAAGCACAGATCCTGAAGCTGAGGCTCCAAGACTTTGGCCACCTCATGAGAAGAGAAGACTCCCTGGAAAAGAGCCTGATGCTGGGAAAGATGGAGGGCACAAGGAAAAGGGGACGACAGAGGACGAGATGGTGGGACAGTGTTCTTGAAGCTACCAGCATGAGTTTGACCAAACTGCGGGAGGCAGTAGAAGACAGGAGTGCCTGGAGTGCTCTGGTCCAAGGGGTCATGAAAAGTCGGACACCACTAAATGACTAAACAACAACAACAACATTGCCCACAACTGACTCTGCCTCTTTGTTCCGAGCTGCATCTGACTCCAGCCTTGGCAAGGGCTGAGACAAGTCTGCAGTTGGTGAGACCCCATTCGCCCTTGGCGGACCCCCCTCTGCTACACCGAGCCTGGAAGGCTCTACGCGACGGCAACCCAAGATAATCTGTTGGCCTTACCAGTGGCAACCTGCTTCCTGGGATGCTGGGGAAGTCGTGGTGCTCCATGTGGTAGCCCACGTTGAAGGTGAACCAGTTCAGAGGCCCGTAGTAGGAGACGGTGTCGTAACCCTTGGCATACATGTAGTGCTCAGCGATGAAGTGCCCAGAGAAGGGGTGGAGGCCCATGGCCAAGAGGGTTCCAGCGACCATGTAGACCACAGGCTTGAAGCCCCATAAGCTGTAGATGAGGAGGTCATAGCCCATTTGGACAGCCACGTTAATGACCTCCATCTTGGAGATGGGTTTGGGGTTGATGAAGAGCGGCCGCAGGACGTAGAGGAGAGGTTGTAGAAAGAGCCAGAGGAACTTCCTCAGTGGCGTGTTGAAGAAGTATCCCTCCAACTTGCTGGGGACGTCAACATCCAACCCTTCCACGGCCAGGAAGCGGTGGTGGTCGACGTGGTACTTCTTGAAGGAGGTGGCGTAGGGGACGCCGATGGGCAGGTTGGCGAACATGCCGAAGAAGCGGTTCCACTTGGCCTTGTTGTTGCCGAAAGGCACGTTGTGGGAGATGTCGTGGATGGCCAGCGCCAGCGAGTGGTTGACGCAGCCCCCAAAGGCGTAGGCCCAGAAGAAGACCCACTTCCAAGGCAAGCCCTTCACCAGGTAGCAGGACAGAAGCTGAGTCAGGACCATGAGGGTCACCACCCACTTCATGTTGGGATCGGGGCCCATCAACTTCTTGATCTCCGGGTACTTAGCTGTTGTGGAGGAAAAGAGGGGTGAGATGGGGGAAGCAATAGCGTTAGTTGGTGTGGCAGTGAATCGCAGGCAGAGAGAGGGTAATAATAATAATAATAATACAGTGGTACCTCTGGATTTGAACAGGATCCATCCCGGAGTCCCGTTCGCATCCTGAAGCGAACATAACATGCAACTGCGTGTCTGCGCATGCGCGGGTTGCGTATCGCCACTTCCGCGCATGCACATGACGTCATTTTGAGCGTCTGTGAGTGCGCGAGCGCAACCCGAAAATATTCATCCCGAAGCCACTTCAACCCGAGGTATGACGGTAATAATAATAATATTAATAATATTTTTTTACTTATACCCCACCAATCCTTGAGGTTACCTGGTTCCTATTAAGCTGTCTAGGGTTTCATACATCAGCATCAATACCTTGAAGAAAGCTAGGAGATTTCCTGGCAGCCAGCAAGGAGCTTTTAGTGACTGCATAATACATGTATCTGAAGAAGTGTGCATGCACACAAAAGCTCATACCAATAGCAAGCTTAGTTGGTCTCTAAGGTGCTACTGGAAGGAATTTTTTTATTTTGTTTCAACTTCGGCAGACCAACATGGCTACCTACCTGCATAATACATGGGTGCAGAGTTGTTCTGGCCAAAGGCTGCGTTGCCGCACTCAGCACAAGCTGCAGTTTCTGAACCAACATTATTATTATTATTATTATTATTATTATTTATTTCTACCCCACCCATCTGGCTGGGTTTCCCCAGCCAGTCTGGGCGGCTTCCAACAAAATATTTTTTTAAAAAAATGAAAACACCAGTCATTAAAAACTTCTCTAAAAACTTCATTAACTCTGTTGTCCTGCTGGGAATTTCAGTCTGAAATTTCAGACTGAAATCCCCAGGTGTCAAACAAGGTCATTTATGCATGCTACTACTGCGGCCCGTGTTTCGTTAGCCCAGAAATGGAAAACGAGCGAGGTCCCAACTCCCGAAGAGTGGCAACTTACGTAAGTTGACAGAATATGTACAACTCGCAGACTTAACATATAGAAGAAGAGAACAAGAAAAACATATGTTTAAAGAAGATTGGAAAACATTTATTGAATATATGGGAAATAATTGTGTACAGATGAAAACGCTGGCGGCATTAAGATAAATTCAACAGCGCAAACAAGTTTTGATGGATGCAATAATGGAACACCGATTGGTGTAGCTTTTGAAAAGCATGCAGGGATTTATGATGTATAAAATGAGCCATGGAAAGAGAAGAAAGGAAGTCATTAATATCTTAAGGGTGTAAAATGAGTATTTTAAATTGTAAAACAAAATTTAATAAAAATTATATACAGTGGTACCTCGGTTTAAGAACAGCGCTGTTTACGAACAATTCGGTTTATGAACTTTGCAAAACCGGAAGTAGTGTCGGAAACGCCTTTTACCTTCCCGCCGGAGCGGTACCTATTTATCTACTTGCACTTTGATGTGCTTTCGAACTGCTAGGTGGGCAGGAGCAGGGACCGAGCAACGGGAAGTCACCCCGTCGCGGGGATTAGAACCGCCGACCTTCTGATTGGCAAGTCCTAGGCTCTGTGGTTTAACCCACAGTGCCACCCGCATCCCTAAACAGAGGCACCACTGCATATATATATATGCTTGTGGGCTTCCCATTGGGGGATCTGGTTGTCAGGGACTGGTTGGATGCAGAGGAGCGGTGGGAGGGGCCAGCTGGGGAACCCCCAAGGGAGATCCCAATAGAGGAAGGCTTGGAGCCCGGGGATTGGTTGTGGGACACTGAGGAGAGGTCAGAGGAGGAAGTTTGGGACGAGATGCAGGATACGGAAGGGACAACGGGCTTTAGTGAGCAGGAGGAGCCTGTGATAGAGAGCAGTTCAGACTCCGTTGATGAAGCAGAGGAGAGGAGTCTAGAGACCGTTGAAGCACCCCAGGAGTTCCCCCCACTGGTGTAGTGATCACGTGGGATTGCTAAGAGGAATTATAACAAATATAGAGTAAGCCATCTGTGTCAGCAATGAAAGCATTGCATTGACTGGGTTTAAACTATTTTGATATCATTTTTGATCAATCCACACCTCTGCATCCCTGTTCCATTTCTCTTTCTTGACAAGTCACGTTCACAACCCAGTTGCTTCGCCTGGGCCATCCTGGGTCATCAAAGACAGTGGGCAGTTTCTTTGATGTAGCTTTTCTGATATGTTAATCTTAGGATGTTAATCTTAGGGCGAGGAAACAGATCTCACGTGAAGGTGATAATGATAGCTGTCTTCCTGGCCATCCTTCTTATCATGCATATTGCTTGTTTATGACCTCAGGGGTTGCCAAATGCACTCCTTTGTAGTTCAGTTTTGTTTACCCCATAAATATGTGTGCTTAATTAGTTTTGGTAGTTTAACTTTGTCCCCACATGGGTTTGTTGAAATGCTCAGAAGAAATCTGATTGGTTCTTACGAACACTCTGTAAAAGTTCTTTTGTGAATAAAACGACCTGGGCCAGGGGGTGGAGAGACAGATTATTATACACACCCTTCCCAGAGTCTTGCTGGTTCAAGCCTCTGTGTGTATTCTTATTAATCAGAGTTCAATCCTTCCTTACACTGGCTGCAACAAGCTCCCCTCCCCGCTGGTCTCCAAGAATGCGCAGGATCATAGAATCATAGAGTTGGAAGAGACCACAAGGGCCATCGAGTCCAACCCCCTGCCAAGCAGGAAACACCATCAGAGCACTCCTGACATATGGTTGTCAAGCCTCTGCTTAAAGACCTCCAAAGAAGGAGACTCCACCACACTCCTTGGCAGCAAATTCCACTGTCAAACAGCTCTTACTGTCAGGAAGTTCTTCCTAATGTTTAGGTGGAATCTTCTTTCTTGCAGTTTGGATCCATTGCTCCGTGTCCGCTTCTCTGGAGCAGCAGAAAACAACCTTTCTCCCTCCTCTATGTGACATCCTTTTATATATTTGAACATGGCTATCATATCACCCCTTAACCTCCTCTTCTCCAGGCTAAACATGCCCAGCTCCCTTAGCCGTTTCTCATAAGGCATCGTTTCCAGGCCTTTGACCATTTTGGTTGCCCTCCTCTGGACACGTTCCAGTTTGTCAGTGTCCTTCTTGAACTGTGGTGCCCAGAACTGGACACAGTACTCCAGGTGAGGTCTGACCAGAGCAGAATACAGTGGCACTATTACTTCCCTTGATCTAGATGCTATACTCCTATTGATGCAGCCCAGAATTGCATTGGCTTTTTAGCTGCCGCGTCACACTGTTGGCTCATGTCAAGTTTGTGGTCAACCAAGACTCCTAGATCCTTTTCACATGTACTGCTCTCAAGCCAGGTGTCTCCCATCTTGTATTTGTGCCTCTCATTTTTTTGCCCAAGTGCAATACTTTACATTTCTCCCTGTTAAAATTCATCTTGCTTGTTTTGGCCCAGTTCTCTAATCTGTCAAGGTCGTTTTGAAGTGTGATCCTGTCCTCTGGGGTGTTAGCCACCCCTCCCAGTTTGGTGTCATCTGCAAATTTGATCAGGATGCCCCTGAATCCATCATCCAAGTCGTTGATAAAGATGTTGAATAAGACCGGGCCCAAGACAGAACCCTGTGGCACCCCACTAGTCACTCTTCTCCAGGATGAAGAGGAACCATTGATGAGCACCCTTTGGGTTCGGTCAGTCAGCCAGTTACAAATCCACTGAGTGGTAGCATAGTCAAGACCGCATTTTACCAGCTTCTTTACAAGAATATCATGGGGCACCTTGTCAAATGCCTTGCTGAAATCAAGGTAGGCTACATCCACTGCATTCCCTTCATCTACCAGGCTTGTAATTCTGTCAAAAAACCAGATCAGGTTAGTCTGACATGACTTATTTTTCAGAAATCCATGCTGACTATTGGTGATCACAGCAGTCCTTTCTAGGTGCTCATGAGGAGAGCAGAGCAAAGGCCAGATGTGCGCAGATGCAGTTTGAGGCTGCTTGGGAAACATCCGGGAGAGGAGGAGCCTTAGGAGGGTTGCAAGGCAAGGACCCTCAGGCCTGGCAAGAGGTGTTGGGAAGAGTTGCGGATTTGCATGCCATTTCCTGGACTAAAGGGTTCACTTTAGGATGCTGGACTAGAATAACTTGGCACTTGGGCCTGATGCAGCTAAAGGGCTGTCATGTTCCTTAAGCACTAAAAGGGCAAAGGGAAGAGAGAACAAAATGACCTGCGTTTAAATCTCTGGCCCTTTAGTCATTGTACTTCTTGGCAAAAGAGGTTTTCTCAGAAAAATAACACCCACGTAAGATGCAACATCTCCTAGTGTGTCACATAGCAATGGCGCTGGGCCATTCCACCTCACCAGAGCTGAGATAATTAGAGAGTATGGTTCTGAATTTCTCAGGAATGTTGTAAAAGGATGTCAGGGACTGAGCAACAGGAGCTCACCCCGTCGCAGGGATAAGAACCGCCGACTTTATGATCAGCAAGCCCTAGGCTCTGTGGTTTAACCCACAGCGCCACGCGCGTCCCTCTCTTGTTGCATAAGTTTAAGCATAAACATGCAGAAACACATATTTCTAACAAACACATACCCCCCAACGTTTCTCTGATGAAAATAAAAAGGTAAAGGTACCCCTGCCCGTACGGGCCAGTTGTGTCAGACTCTAGGGTTACGTGCTCATCTCGTTTAAGAGGCCGGGGGCCAGCGCTGTCTGGAGACACTTCCGGGTCACGTGGCCAGTGTGACATCGCTGCTCTGGCGAGCCTGCACCAGCGCAGCACACAGAAATGCCATTTACCTTCCCGCTATAAAGCAGTACCTATTTATCTACTTGCACTTAAGAGTGCTTTCGAACTGCTAGGTGGGCAGGAGCTGGGACCGAAGATGGGAGCTCATCCCGCCGCGGGGATTCGAACCGCCGACCATACAATCGGCAAGCCCTAGGCACTGAGGTTTTACCCACAGCGCCACCTGCGTCCACCTGATGAAAATAGGGCTGTCCTATTCAACAGCAACGATAATAACTTTACTATTTATACCCGCCCATCTTATTTGGTTGCCCCAGCCACTCTGGGTGGCTTCCAACATACATACAAACATAATAAAACAGTAAACATTTAAAAACTTCCCTATACAGAGCTGCCTTCAGATGCCACGGGGGTCAGATAACTCCATACCCTCCAACATTTCTCTGATGAAAATAGGGATGTCCTAAGGAAAAGGGACGTGGGTGGCCTGTGGGTTAAACCACAGAGCCTAGGACTTGCTGATCAGAAGGTCGGCGGTTTGAATTCCCGCGACGGGGTGAGCTCCCATTGCTCAGTCCCTGCTCCTGCCAACCTAGCAGTTTGAAAGCACGTCAAAGTGCAAGTAGATAAATAGGTACCGCTCCAGCGGGAAGGTAAACGGCATTTCCGTGCACTGCTCTGGTTCGCCAGAAGCAGCTTAGTCCTGCTGGCCACATGACCCGGAAGCTGTATGCCGGCTCCCTCGGCCAATAAAGCGAGATGAGCGTCGCAACCCCAGAGTCGGTCACGACTGGACCTAATGGTCAGGGGTCCCTTTACCTTTAACTTTAAGGAAAAGCAGGACATTCAAGGATCAATTCAGAAACCGGGACGGCTTCTGCAAATCCAGGAATATCTCTAGAAAATAGAGACATTTGGAGGGTCTGCAGACGGATCTCAAACTCTTGCAAAAGGTCCTAACCAAATAATCCTAGCACACTGAAATGGTAACTCTAGTAGACGGTCCTACGTCTCTTAGTAGTGTGTGCAGGAATACACATCAGCGCCGGACACGCATGACGATTCAGACGCGCACCTTGAAACAGCCGAGGTCCAACTTGATCCTTGGGGCCAGTGCTGGATTTACGTATAAACAAGCTCTAGCGTAGGGCCCCCCAAAAAATTAAAGTAAAAAAACAACTGGATGTACATTTCTAAAATAAAAGATAAAAAACAGATAAAATAAAAACTAAATACAGCAACAGTGTGTTGTGTTGCGTTGCGTTGTTGCGTTGTGTTGGCTCCTATGATGTAAGCAATGGGCCCTGCCTGCTTTTATTAACTACACTTGCATTGTACAGGTTATAAAACTTAACTTCATCTTAATAAAGCTACTTATAATTATTAGAAGTTTGCATCATATATCACCTATTATTATTTCATGTTATAGCGAGTTTCCAGAGCCTACTAGATTATGAGTCCTTGCAAATTGTGTTTCTAAAGAAACTTCTGTTATTACCAAATGCCAATGGGTTTGCATTATTCGGTTTGCTATGAATCAAAAAATCATTTTAAGTTAAGAGCTTAATAATTATTTCACTATTAATATGCTTCTTCTCAATTGTATTTCACTGCTAATAAACTTCTTAAGTCTATTAGTAGTGAAATACAATTACTAATTTCACTTCTTAATTGTACTTCAGTTCAACAATTACTTTGATAAAATACATATTTTGGGATGTGCAAATGGCTTGAGATACCTATGAGGTCCACAAATGACCATCTAGCATATATTCAATACAAAAAGCAGCCGCAATTTGTTGTTGACAAAGGACAGCTGGACATATCAAGGGCCCCATTACCTTCAGGAGCTCAGGGCCTCATCCAACCTAAATCCAGCCCTTCTTGGTGCTGGTAGCCACGTCAGTCCAGTTCCCTACCCACCTGGTCCCAGTTCACCCACTTCGCCCTTCACCCATCCCTCCCGTCTCTGCCCTTGGCAGAGTCCTCCACTTGCAACTCACCCAGGATCTCCTTCCTTCGGCTTGTGTGGGGCTGGTCTGTGTAGACCCACTCAAAGTCATCTCTGCTCCCGGTGTTGCCCATGGGGAGAACCTCTCTGAGCCTGACTCAAGACTCTCCCCGCTTTTATGGAGAGTCGCTTGGGGTGTGATCCCCACAGCTGCCTTCTGAGAGTGAGGTGAGACTACCCTTGTTGAACCCAAATCCTGTCCAACCTGCTGGGCTAAGGCACCTGCTCAACCAGTTTGCTCCCCTGAGGAATTCCTACCTCCGTGGGCAACGATGGCCAAAGGGAATAGATTCGCACTTTAGAAAGTGTGTCGTTGTCACATGCAACTAACTCCTCTGCCGTGAAGATGATGATTCGCTATCTTCAAATGGAACGTAATTGTGGAACACGGTGTGCCAGGGACGTTGCAGCTGTCAGTCAAAGGTAATTGTTAAAATCAAGAGGCTGCAGCGACTCTGCACTGTGAAGAAAGATTTCGGCGTCCTGGCCCATGTTTAGGAAGGTGTGCTTTGTGTCTACCTGTGTCCTGCTAATTACTCTTTTGGGCGATGGGTGGGTTTTTTTAACCGTTGTGCAGATCCTTAGCGACAGTGTGACCAAGACCTGCATACAGTGGGAAGCGTGTTTCTCTTTCTGAAACTCTGATCAGTTTCTTTCTGTTTGGGGCTATTACATCGAATAAGGAGGGGAAGAAGGTTTTATGGTCATATTTTCAGGGGGTGGAAATTGGTGTCATTTCCAACTCTACAATTCTATGGTTTTATGGTTCTATGATATGGGGGTGTGTGGGTGTCAAACTGATGTATATTTGGCTGGGTGGGTTAGTTGGGTCAGAATCGAGTCTACACTTCCTGAGTAAATGCTAAATGCAGTACTTCGGGTCAAGGAACCATCATAGCTTCTAGAGAGCCATGAACATTTGTGTCCGGGGCTTTTTAGACTCACCTACCCATGTACTAAGGGGTGCGGGTGGCGCTGTGGGTTAAACCACAGAGCCCAGGACTTGCCGATCAGAAGGTCGGCGGTTCGAATCCCCGCGACGGGGTGAGCTCCCATTGCTTGGTCCCTGCTCCTGCCAACCTAGCAGTTCGAAAGCATGTCAAGTGCAAGTAGATAAATAGGTACCACTGTGGCGGGAAGGTAAAAGGCATTTCCGTGCGCTGCTCTGGTTTCGCCAGAAGCGGCTTAGTCCTGCTGGCCACATGACCCGGAAAAACTGTCTGCGGACAAACGCCGGCTCCCTCAGCCAGTAAAGTGAGATGAGCGCCACAACCCCAGAGTCGTCTGCAAATGGACCTAACAGTATCTTTACATTTACCCTTTACCCATGTACTATCTGAAACCAAAGTGGTGCAATGGTTGCCATATGTGACTTTTTCCCTGAGCTCTCCCACCCCACTATCAAGCGTCTCCTTGCCCCTGAAATGATCTTTGTAGGGACAGCTGTTTGGTAATCAGTGCCTGAGTTTTGATTTTGGTTTTCCTCCCCCCCCCCCCCTTTGCATGCTGTGTCTTTTTCTAGAAAGGCTGAGGGCACAAATGCTCTGAATGAATGAAGGAAGGAAGGAAGGAAGGAAGGAATAAATAAATAATTTTTTAAAAATATTATTTATACGCCGCCCATCTGGCTGGGTTTCCCCAGAAACTCTGGGCGGCTTCCAGCAAAATGTTGTTGTTTTTAGTCGTTTAGTCGTGTCCGACTCTTTGTGACCCCGTGGACCAGAGCACACCAGGCCCGCCTGTCTTCCACTGCCTCATGGAATTTCGTCAAATTCATGCTGGTCGCTTCAAGAACACTGTCTCACCATCTCGTCCTCTGCCGTCCCCTTCTCCTTGTGGCCTCCATCTTTCCCAACATCAGGGTCTTTTCCAGGGAGTCTTCTCTTCTCATGAGGTGGCCAAAGTCTTAGAATCATAGAATCATAGAATCATAGAGTTGGAAGAGACCACAAGGGCCATCGAGTCCAACCCCCTGCCAAGAAGGAAACACCATCAGAGCACTCCTGACATATGGTTGTCAAGCCTCTGCTTAAAGACCTCCAAAGAAGGAGACTTCACCACACTCCTTGGCAGCAAATTCCACTGTCAAACAGCTCTTACTGTCAGGAAGTTCTTCCTAATGTTTAGGTGGAATCTTCTTTCTTGCAGTTTGGATCCATTGCTCCGTGTCCGCTTCTCTGGAGCAGCAGAAAACAACCTTTCTCCCTCCTCTATGTGACATCCTTTTATATATTTGAACATGGCTATCATATCACCCCTTAACCGCCTCTTCTCCAGGCTAAACATGCCCAGCTCCCTTAGCCGTTCCTCATAAGGCATCGTTTCCAGGCCTTTGACCATTTTGGTTGCCCTCCTCTGGACACGTTCCAGTTTGTAAGTGTCCTTCTTGAACTGTGGTGCCCAGAACTGGACACAGTACTCCAGGTGAGGTCTGACCAGAGCAGAATACAGTGGCACTATTACTTCCCTTGATCTAGATGCTATACTCCTATTGATGCAGCCCAGAATTGCATTGGCTTTTTAGCTGCCACGTCACACTGTTGGCTCATGTCAAGTTTGTGGTCAACCAAGACTCCTAGATCCTTTTCACATGTACTGCTCTCAAGCCAGGTGTCTCCCATCTTGTATTTGTGCCTCTCATTTTTTTTGCCCAAGTGCAATACTTTACATTTCTCCCTGTTAAAATTCATCTTGCTTGTTTTGGCCCAGTTCTCTAATCTGTCAAGGTCGTTTTGAAGTGTGATCCTCTCCTCTGGGGTGTTAGCCACCCCTCACAGTTTGGTGTCATCTGCAAATTTGATCAGGATGCCCTTGAGTCCATCATCCAAGTCGTTGATAAAGATGTTGAATAAGACCGGGCCCAAGACAGAACCCTGTGGCACCCCACTAGTCACTCTTCTCCAGGATGAAGAGGGACCATTGATGAGCACCCTTTGGGTTCGGTCAGTCAGCCAGTTACAAATCCACTGAGTGGTAGCATAGTCAAGACCGCATTTTACCAGCTTCTTTACAAGAATATCATGGGGCACCTTGTCAAATGCCTTGCTGAGATCAAGGTAGGCTACATCCACTGCGTTCCCTTCATCTACCAGGCTTGTAATTCTGTCAAAAAATGAGATCAGGTTAGTCTGACATGACTTATTTTTCAGAAATCCATGCTGACTATTGAGTGATCACAGCATTCCTTTCTAGGTGCTCACAGACTGTTTGCTTAATGATCTGCTCCAGAATCTTCCCTGGTATTGATGTCAGACTGACTGGGCGGTAATTATTTGGGTCCTCTCTTTTCCCCTTTTTGAAAATAGGGACAACATTTGCCCTCCTCCAGTCTGCCGGGACTTCGCCTGTTCTCCAGGAATTCTCAAAGATGACTGCCAGTGGTTCTGAGATCACATATTGGAGCCTCAGCTTCAGGATCTGTCCTTCCATTGAGCACTCAGGGCTGATTTCCTTCAGAATGGATGCGTTTGATCTTCTTGCAGTCCATGGGACTCTCAAGAGTCTCCTCCAGCACCAGAATTCAAAAGCATCCATTCTTCGGCGATCAGCCTTCTTTATGGTCCAGCTCTCACTTCCGTACATCACTACTGGGAAAACCATAGCTTTAACAATACGGACCTTTGTTGGCAAGGTGATGTCTCTGCTTTTTAAGATGCTGTCTAGGTTTGTCATCGCTTTTCTCCCAAGAAGCAGGCGTCTTTTAATTTTGTGACTGCTGTCACCATCTGCAGTGATCATGGAGCCCAAGAAAGTAAAATCTCTTGCTGCCTCCATTTCTTCCCCTTCTATTTGCCATGAGTTTATGGGACCAGTGGCCATGATCTTCGTTTTTTTGATGTTAAAATACAACAATTCATCAAATATTAAAAGCTTCCCTAAACAGTGCTGCCTTTAGTGAAACTCATCCATAAGTGAAACCTGTGTGTGTTCCTCGCATGATTTACAGATTTTGTGTTGCCTGCATTTTTCCATGCTGTTTTCAGAAATTATTTCAGGTCAGGTCAGTTTGAACCCTTTTGGGCCTTAATTGGACACAAGATGTGAAAATTATAGTCCCAAACTGAGTATTATGTATTTATGTTTTACACAATTAACGTGGGTTTTTTCCTGTGTAGCGTATCTACAGTATTGCCAGTAGCCAACATGGTTGCTCATTTTAATAAGGTCATAAAGGTAAAGGGACCCCTGACCATTAGGTCCAGTCGCAGACAACTCTGGGGTTGTGCGCTCATCTTGCTCTATTGGCCGAGGGAGCCGGCGTACAGCTTCCGGGTCATGTAGCCAGCAGGACCAAGCCGCTTCTGGCGAACCAGAGCAGCGCATGGAAACGCCGTTTACCTTCCCGGCGGAGCGGTACCTATTTATCTACTTGCACTTTGACGTGCTTTTGAACTGCTAGGTTGGCAGGAGCAGGGACCGAGCAACGCTAGCTCACCCCGTCGCAGGGATTCGAACTGCCGACCAAAAGGTCATAGGCTATCAAAATGGGGGGGGGGGGACATGACTCCAGACAGTAACAACCAGCCCCTTCTAGCTCATGGACAATTATCAATTTGGATATGCACTGTTGGCAAGGAGCATTGGGTCTCCGTCAATGGATGCATTTGCAATGGTTTCAGCGTTGTTCCCTGAGCTGTCGCAAGAACCAACCATACCTGTCAAACAGCTTTAGCCAGGCTAGCTGGATAGAACTTACCCCATAAATTCATTGAAAAAACAAAATTTAAAAAATCCTTCCAGTAGCACCTTAGAGACCAACTAAGTTTGTTCTTGGTATGAGTTTTCGTGTGCATGCACACTTCTTCAGATTCACTGAAACAGAAGTCACCAGACCCTTATATATAGTGGGAGGGTGGGTGGGGTTTTTCTCAGAAGGGTAGTGGGAGATGGGTGATTGACTCAGTGGGTATGGTAAACCTGTTAACAACTGCAATTAGAACTACAGGAAAAAACAAGGGATGGTATGCAGATGATTAGCATATGTAATGAGAAAGGAATCCAATATCTCTATTAAGACCAGGTCTCTCCATAGTTTTCAGTTTAGTGATAAGTTGTAATTCAGCAACCTCTCTTTCCGGTCTCTTTCTGAAATTATTTTGCAATAAGACAGCTACTTTGAGATCTTGTATAGAATGTCCTGGGAGACTGAAATGTTCTCCTACCGGTTTCTCTGTCTTGTGATTCCTGATGTCAGATTTATGTCCATTTATCCTTTGGCGCAGGGTTTGGTCTGTTTGCCCAATATAGAGAGCTGAAGAGCACTGCTGGCATTTGATAGAATACACAATGTTAGAAGATGAGCAATTAAATAGGCTTGAGATGATGTTGGGGCCAGTTTATTGCAGGCTCTGGTACCAGTTGTATTATTGTGGGCGAGGAGTGGCTTAAGATTGGGTGGCTGTCTGTAGGCAATGAAAGGTCTTCTTCCCAGAGCTTGAGAAAGAGAACTCTTAATCACTACTGATTTTATAATGAATTGGTTTTAGAATGCTGTATTATTTTACTGTTGTTAGCTGCTCTGAGCCTGGCTTCGGCTGGGGAGGGCGGGATATTAATAAAAATTTATTATTATTATTATTATTACACCACACTGGCTCTCACTGGAGAGTCTACCATTTTCTGAGGGAGTCTCTTCCACTGCCTAACAGCTCTTGTTGTTGTTTAGTCGTTTAGTCGTGTCCGACTCTTTGTGACCCCCTGGACCAGAGCACGCCAGGCATGCCTGTCTTCCACTGCCTCCCTCATATTGGTAGCTTCGAGAACACTGTCCAACCATCCCTTCATGGATCACTGCCTTGCTGTGGCGAAGGGGCTTGAATAACTCGGAGAAGCTATGAGCGATGCCGTGCAGGGCCACCCAAGATGGACAGGTCATAGTGGAGAGTTTTGACCAAACGTGATCCACCTGGAGCAGGAACCGGCAAGCCGCTCTGAGGCATCTGATCAAGGTCTGTATTTTAAAATGAGCTTAAAAAATATATTTGCAAATGTTTGTATGTTTTATGCCAGGCATAAAGCAGCTGGCTAAGTACTTTGGCAGTTGTTTATCTCCTTGAACAGAGCCCCCCTGATTTATAGCAGTACCTCAAAGTTGTAAAAGGGAATTACAGGCTGGGAGCAAAGGTCATACTGACCATACAAATTACAGAATACAATCAAGCTGCAAAAACACTAATTAAGAATTGGTAAATAGTAAAATTTATTGTTTAACAGAAAATAATACCAGGTGCCTCCCATTAGACTCAGCCATATTTTCATAAGGTTAAAGGGCAAGAGCTAATAGGAACAGCAGCTGGCTGGGAAAGGGAGTTGTAAACTGAAGAGGCTTCTCTCTGAAGCTGTTTCCTTTCTACTTTGAAACTGTTCCTTTCCTTCTAAAAATCTATCTATGTTAATGTATGAAATATATTGGCTTAAATGTAATTATGCAAAGGATTTAGAAAGTAAGAAATGTTAGATTCTTATGTTAGATTCTTATTTCATTGATGGTGTGTGAGAATGTGAACCCAGGATCTCTGTTTAAGATAAAATTTAAAACCATGAGCCATCTGTTTAGCCATCTGTTTTGGAGTGAATAGGGCAATAGGGCAAAGATGATCTGGTAATTAAGGTGCCTTGTCGAGGCAAATGTAAGATATATGGCTACTTGTCTGCCATTTATGGATAGAAGGAAATATAGCTCTTTGTCTCCCATAAAAGGTAATAGGAAATGGGTGTATCTTTTATGATTGGTTCTAGCAAACAGCCAATAGGAATTTCAACCAGGCTGATTGGACAGAGGCAGCCAAAGGAGGAGCAAGGGGCTGGGCTGAGGAAATATAAGTGCTGGCCATCAGGGCTGGAGTGGGCAGAGCTTTGGTAACCATATACCACTGTGTCTCTCATTTATTTGTCTGACAAATAAATTATTATTTTAATTTCTCTATTGCTGCGTTGAATATTTCATTCCAGCTAAGCGTTAACCACAAGCAGGGTGCTACAACTCCAGTATCCCTGCCAAAAAAACTCCATGGACAAAGGCAACAGGCAACAGCTCTTAGCATTGTAGCCTTATGAGGCTTTGCCCTCAGGTGGGAAAAATATTGCGCCCGGGAAAGGGAAGTGGGAGTCAACAGACACTCAAGGAATAGTTTCGGAGAAAAGGCTTTTATTTCTACCATCCATGAACTGGTAGAAGGAGCAAGTGTGATAGTTCACAAAAAGCATGCACGAGTTCACAATCATGTGCACAAGCATATATACCCCTTTCCAGTTCCCTCCCCCTTTCTCCTCCCTCAGGAGTTCCTCTGAGCATGAACAGAAAGCTGTCTTGGGACTATTGTGGACTCTTGGCACCCTTCCCAGGAAAGGGGGGGGTGAGAAGCCCAGGGGTTTCCAGCATGTTCAGATATGTTTCAATCTCTTGTTCTGGCATGGTTCCCGGACAGAAAGTAAGTTGCAATGTGGTTCTTTAGCAAGGCCAGAAGACATGAGAAAGGCCTGAGAAACAATGGACTGTTCTCTACCTTTGTTACAGCAGAGCGGAATGTTTCTGATGCTTAGCTGCTGAGAAAATGATTTTGAAAAGTTTTGAGAAGCTTTGAGCCTGCTTTGGTGGGGGGTGACTTCGGGCCTAGGTGAGGTCACCTGTCCTCACCTTCCTTCAGCATCAGAAAAAGTTATCCTGCCATGTTGACAGGGGACTTGGACGCAGGAGCCTTGTGCTGAGTCAGACTTATGGGTCCATCTAGCCCCATATTGTCTACACTGACTGGCAGCTGTGGTCTCCAGGATTTCAGGCAGAGAACGGAACCTGGGACTTTCTCCCCGCAAAGCAGCTGCTCTCTGCCCCTGGGCTTTGGGCTCCAGCTCCTGTCAGCTCAAGCCAGAACAGCTGCTGCTGCCCACAACATCTGGAGGGCGCCAGGGCCGGGCAAGGCGGCTCTCAGCTGTTGGCTCCCCACTCCCCGCTCAGCTTCAGTGGATGTCCATCCAACTAGTTCTAGTTTTACATTTGCATCCCACCTATTCTCCAAGAAATTCACTTAAATCTTTCTCTCTCTTCTCTGGTTTTGAACAGTAACAACATGTTGTACCCTAAAAAAATATTTTTATTGGTTTTACAGTTTAATATTTCACAAATCAATCATGTAATAATAATAATAATAATAATAATAATAGTAGTAGTAGAATTCATATATATTCCCCCCCACACCCTGTCACTTCCCTCATCTTCCCCTTCTGGTTTATTAAATGTTTGCTACTTCTGCGTAATTTATTTCTTCCTATTTTCTTTTCATTAAATGCTCTTATATTCTTATCACTTATTTAGACCGTATGTTCTTTCCAATTATATCTTTCACATAATTAATTTCTGATTTATTGCTTCTTAATCTGTACATTTGTTTTCATAATTGTGTTTACTCAAATCCTGCTAGTGAGTCCATTTCTTTACGGTGTTTCTGTAACTACAGCAGGAACGCTTCCCAGTCTTTTTTAGAGTCTCTATTGTCCTTGTCTTTGAGTCTTCCTGTGAGTTTTGCCATTTCTGTGCATTCCATAAGTTTAACTTTCCATTTTCTTTCGTTGGCATCTTCTTGTCTTTCCATTTTGGGGCTAGTAATATCCTAGCTGCATGAATAACTTATTCCGCTCTTTTGGCAATTCCTGCCCTATAAAGGTATAATGATTATTAGATCTTTTCCAGAAAGTGCTGTTCTCTTACACGTAAACATGTTTAGCAGAAGAGACGCCCAAACCTACTCTGTGTAGCATAATGAGGCCATTATCGGGGAGGTTGAGGACTTCCAATAAGAAAAGGGCATACTTTTTAACGTGCAATGTTTTTCTATATGTTTGAAGCACTGCCGCGCCACTTTAAAGAGACATGGCTCCCCCCCATCCCTCTTCAGAGTGTCACAAGAATTCTAAGGCATCACAAATAAAAACGAAGGCTCATCAATGCACAAGATAAACACACGTACGTAAGTACCCAAACCACGTGTCTGAAATAGTGCAGGGGAGGAATCCTGAAGCCGCCTTGGCTCTTAATGACCACAAATATTTCCTCTGCGGGAGGAAATACCTTGAGGAAACCTCTCCCGATAGTTCCTTTCACTTAACGAATCCTTCAGAGCCACTCAAAAGAGCACATTTTGTGCATGAAGAGGCGATAGGGGAGGTCTGTGACCAGGGTTTCTGAAACCAGGGTATGTACCATTTCAAAAGATGACTGGCTAGGATAATGCAACCCGCAAGTATTATCAAGTGTCAGAAGGCAAGATAAGTATCAAAACATAAGACATGGTGTACGAGGAAGACTCTGAGAAGGAGGCGTCTGGGTAAAATCAAGGCAGCAACTGACCTACTTGAGAGCATTCAAGTTGCCTGTTCATCAATGTACTTCAGCTGACATGAAAAAGGGAGAAGAAACTGAGATTTTATCTGGATGACTCTTTGCCTCACCCTAGAAAGTGTATGATTCTACAAGATTTAACACTGAGAATCTGCACTCTGGCCTTCAGTACATGACAGCTGAACTCTTGAATCTGGTGACACTGAACAGTAATTTGTAAGATTGTCTATATCTCCACAAGGTTGATTTGAGACCGTAGATATATTCTTTGAGCTTGCATTATTTTGAGTTATACAGTGGTACCTCGGGTTACATACGCTTCAGGTGTTGCAGGGTTGTGTCCAGGGCCTGTTGTTGTTCAACGTTTTTGTAAATGACTTGGGTAAAGGAATAGAGGTGATGATTGTCAAATTTGCAGATGACACCAAACTGAGAAGGGTAGCTAACGCCGCAGAAGACCGAATCTGGATTCGCAATGAGCTTAACAGACCAGAGAACTGGGGCCCAGCTAACAAACTGAATTTCAAAATGGACAAATGTAAGGTCCAGCACTTGGGCAGGAGGAACCAGCTGCACAAATGTAACGTGGGGCAACAGGCTGGTTTGCCAGTAGGACATGTGAAAAGGATCCAGGCATCTTAGTGGACCACAGTCTGAACATGAGTGAACAGTGCGATGCAACAGCAAAGCAAGAAAAGAAAAGAAAAAGCTGGTGCAATTCCAGGCTGCATTAACAGAATTACCGTGTCCAAACCAAGGGAAGTAATGTTGTTGTTGTTTAGTCGTTTAGTCGTGTCCGCCTCTTCGTGACCCCCTGGACCAGAGCACGCCAGGCACTCCTGTCCTCCACTGCCTCCCGCAGTTTGGTCAAACTCATGCTGGTCGCTTCCAGAACACTGTCCCACCATCTCGTCCTCTGTCGTCCCCTTCTCCTTGTGCCCTCCATCTTTCCCAACATCAGGGTCTTTTCCAGGGAGTCTTCTCTTCTCATGAGGTGGCCAAAGTCTTGGAGCCTCAGCTTCACGATCTGTCCTTCCAGTGAGCACTCGGGGCTGATTTCCTTCAGAATTGAGAGGTTTGATCTTCTTGCAGTCCATGGGACTCTCAAGAGTCTCCTCCAGCACCAGAATTCAAAAGCATCCATTCTTCGGCGATCAGCCTTCTTTACGGTCCAGCTCTCACTTCCATACATCTTTTTTTTAGAAAAAATAATTTTTATTAACAGGCCAATCACATCACATTATCGCATTGATTCCAAATTATACAGCCAAATTTTAAATTTTGTTGGGGGTACCCATACATCAAGCTCGGCTCGAGTCCAAAACAGCATCACTTATCTTACTGCATTAATTAGACAGTTCTCTCCAGTTTGATTTGGAAAGTCCTTTGTTACTTCTTTTCTCTTCTTGTTGTTATCATAAATTCCTTTCTTTGCAATCTCTGATGATTTTCACAAGCAGGGTAACAGCTGGCATTCTATGTGGATTTTGTACTTTTCCAAAAATCATATTGATCCGGGACAGCCTCTGTAAACGCTTCCATAAACAAAGTTAATCTCCGATCTGTCCTTTATTTTTCTCAGGCTTACCAAATAACAAATGAGTCTGGGGGTTCTGTCAGGTCAAACTTACATTCCAACATTCCTTCTCTTTCAAACAATCCTGATTCTCCTCCCCCAGTCCTTCTTCCTCGGTAAACCTGTCATGGCGAGACGCCATTTTTTAACTGCGTCATAAAAATTTTCTTCCTTTCTCACCGTTCTGCAGTCTTTTTCCTTGTACTCCGTCCCACATAGTTCTTAAAATTCTGCCTATGTTTCATAGAAACGCAACAATCTTGTTTCTATCTGGGGTGAAGGGTTATTAATATCACATCATGCAAAGAAAAAAAGAGTTTTTTCCTCCACCCCCCCCTTCATTCCAAACATACAGTCTCCTTATGGTGATTCATCAGAAGATTTACTTATCCATCCATCACTCCTGGTCGCAAGATATCCATTAATCAGCAGTCTTATCTTCGAGCTTTACTTGATGTCTGTGCTTTCAGCTTCGTTTCCAATCGTATGTTTCCAATTATAATTCCAGCTGAAGCAACCAGCACGCGCTAATTGGAATCGGCGTCAGGAAGGTCTGACTTCACCGAGGGCCTTTTGCCATGTGTTCGGCACCCCCATCACTCGTTTCAGGGGTGCATTGTGAACACAGCTGGCAGGGCAGTTCTCCTCCACATCCTGGAGGAGTTCAGGAAGGCTACATACTTCCCATAGTAGCCCCTTAGTACCTCGTATGGGTCAGAGAGATGTCATGTCAGCCATCTTCCAACGCGCCACCTGGTGGCCCCCCTCACTTCCATACATCACTCCTGGGAAAACCATAGCTTTAACTATATGGCCAACAAAGGTCCTTATAGTTAAAGGGAAAGTGCCCCTCTATTCTGCCGCAGTCAAACCCCACCTGGAGTCCTGTGTCCTGTTCTGGGCATGACAATTTAAGAAGGATATTGACAACTTGGAACATGTGCAGACAAGGGTGGCCAGGATGATCAAGGGTCTGGAAACCAAGTCTTGTGAGGAACGGTTGAGGGAGCTGGGGATGTGTAGCCTGGAGGAGACCGAGAGGTGGAAAAGCTCATTCCTTGTAGGTTTTTAAGCAGAAGTTGGGTGGCCATGCTTTAGCTGAGATTCCTGCATCGCAGGGGGTTGGGCTAGATGACCCTAGGGTCCCTTCCAACTCTTAAGATTCTATGATAGCCACCTTCAGATATCTGAAGGGCTGTCACATGGAACAAGCTAGTTTTCTGCTGCTCCAGAGGGCAGGACCCAAACCAATGGTTTCAAATTACAGTCATACCTCGGGTTAAATAAGCTTCAGGTTGAGCATTTTCAGGTGACGCTCTGCAGTGACCCGGAAGTAACGGAACACGTTACTTCCAGGTTTCGCCGCATGCGCAGATGCTCAAAATGACGTCATGTGCATGCGCGGAAGTGGTGAAATGTGACATGCGCAGACGCGCAGTCACGTGCTACATTCTACTCAGGATGCAAACGGGGCTCCAGAATGGATCCCGTTCGCATCCAGAGGTACCACTGTACAAGGAAGGAGATTCTGACTAAGTGTTAGGAGCATCTTTCTGATGGCAAGAGCTGTTTGACCGTGCAATGGACTCCCTCAGAAGGTGGTGTAGTGATCAGGTGGGATTGCTATGGGGAATTATAACAAATATAGAGTAATCCATCTGTGTCAGCAATGAAAGCATTGCGTTGGCTGGGTTTAAACTATTTTGATATGATTCTTGATCAATCCACACCTCTGCATCCCTGTTCCATTTCTCTTTCTTGACAAGTCACGTACACAGCCCAGTTGCTTCGCCAGGCAGGCATCCTGGGTCATCAAAGACAGTGGGCAGTTTCTTTGATGTAGCTTTTCTGATATGTTAATCTTAGAATGTTAATCTTAGGGCCAGGACACAGGTCTCACATAAAGGTGATAATGATTGCTGTCTTACTGGCCATCCTTCTTATCATGCGTATTGCTTGTTTATCACCTCCCAGGGTTGCCAAATGCACTCCTTTGTAGTTCTGTTTTGTTTACCCCAGAAATATGTGTGCTTAATTAGTTTTGGTAATTTAACTTTGTCTCCACGTGGGGTTTTGTAGGAGTGCAAATATCAAGAGATGTAGTGATCAGGTGGGATTGCTATGGGGAATTATAACAAATATAGAGTAAGCCATCTGTGTCAGCAATGAAAGCATTGCGTTGACTGGGTTTAAACTATTTTGATATGATTCTTGATCAATCCACACCTCTGCATCCCTGTTCCATTTCTCTTTCTTGACAAGTCACGTACACAGCCCAGTTGCTTCGCCAGGCAGGCATCCTGGGCCATAATTAGTTTTAGTAGTTTAATTTCTCCCCACGTGGGTTTGTGGAAATGCTCAGAAGAAATCTGATTGGTTCTTACGAACACTCTGTAAAAAGTTCTTTTGTGAATAAAAACGGCCTGGGCTGGGGCTGCGGAAATCTCACGGACAGGCACAGGGAGACACGATTATACACACCCTTCCCAGGGTCTTGCTGGTTCAAGCCTCTGTGTGTATTCTTATTAATCAGAGTTCAATCCTTCCTTTACTTTGGAAATGCCTCAGGTGGTGGAGTCTCCTTCGCTGAAGGTTTCTGAACAGAGGTTGGGTGGCCGTCTTTAGCTGTGACTCCTGCAGTGCCAGGCTTTGGACGGATATTGGGCTCCCTTGGAAGGCGAGGCTGCAGCAATGGGAGAACCAAAAGCCTCTTGGGATGCGAATGCTCTGCACTCCATCTCGGTTCAAGCTGTATATTTGTGGAAATAAACCATATATCATAAAGGTGCTGCAGACTCTGCTGTGCCTATTTGTTCCGAAAGGTAACACAAACCCCTGGAATCTCACACTGCTCAGAGATTGGGGTGGTTTGTAAATTACCCCGAAACAGTCTGCCAATCCAGTTCTGAAAAGAAGCAGCATGATGCATCTCTCCCATTTTACAGCATGGAAACATTAAGGCTGATAAACAACGTGGTGTGCACAGAGTTTGGAGTTTCACAGAACTCTTCATCGGGGGGGAACAGAGTTACAAGCTCCTGGAATTATAGCCTGTTCTCTGGAACATGAAATCTGCATGTCAGGAGGGGCACTGACACAGAACCTGTTTTTCCAATTACAGGTAGGTAGCCGGATTCCAACTACTCATAGGTAGAACTATGGAAGGCACCACATTGAGCCGCATGAAATGGAAGTCCATCAACCTCACCAAGAAACTTGCACAGGTACAGACTGACATCTTCTTTCTGACTAAATGCAAGAGCCTGGACATTATACCTAAGGGTCTTAGAATTAAGAACCCTCTACAATCCACTTATCCTACTGAATATGCAAGGAAACTTGACCACACTTTCTTCAAGAAGCTGCTCAAACATCTGATCGGTGTTCTATACTCTAAACAGAAGCTAATAAAGAAAGAACTCTTTGTACTTTGTATGAGGCAATGAGAAATCCAGATAAAATCTCAGTTTCTTCTCCCTTCTTCATGGGAAGAACATTGATGAACAGGCAACTTGAATGCTCTCAAGTAGGTCAGTTGCTGCCTTGATTTTACCCAGACGCCTCCTTCTCAGAGTCTTCCTCGTACACCATGTCTTATGTTTTGATACTTATCTTGCCTTCTGACACTTGATAATACTTGCGGGTTGCATTATCCTAGCCAGTCATCTTTTGAAATGGTACATACCCTGGTTTCAGAAACCCTGGTCACAGACCTCCCCTATCGCCTCTTCATGCACAAAATGTGCTCTTTTGAGTGGCTCTGAAGGATTCGTTAAGTGAAAGGAACTATCGGGAGAGGTTTCCTCAAGGTATTTCCTCCCGCAGAGGAAATATTTGCGGTCATTAAGAGCCAAGGCGGCTTCAGGATTCCTCCCCTGCACTATTTCAGACACGTGGTTTGGGTACTTACGTACGTGTGTTTATCTTGTGCATTGATGAGCCTTCGTTTTTATTTGTGATGCCTTAGAATTCTTGTGACACTGTGGAGAGGGATGGGGGGGAGCCATGTCTCTTTAAAGTGGCGCGGCAGTGCTTCAAACATATAGAAAAACATAATAAAACATTGCACACTAAAAAGTATGCCCTTTTCTTATTGGAAGTCCTCAACCTCCCCGATAATGGCCTCGTTATGCTACGCTGAGTAGGCTTGGGCGTCTTTTCTGCCAAGCATGTTTACGTGTAAGAGAAGCCCCCAGGGGTCCCACAGAACAGAACTTTCTGGAAAAGATCTAATAATCATTATACCTTTATAGGGCAGGAATTGCCAAAAGAGTGGAAGAAGTTATTGCTGCATGCTACAACAGCAGCTAGGATTTTACTGAAGGAAGGTGAGGACAGGTGACCTCACCTAGGCCCAAAGTCACCCCCCACCAAAGCAGGCTCAAAACTTCTCAAAGCTTTTCAAAATCATTTTCTCAGCAGCTAAGCATCAGAAACATTCCGCTCTGCTGTAACAAAGGTAGAGAACAGTCCATTGTTTCTCAGGCCTTTCTCATGTCTTCTGGCCTTGCTCACGTCTTCTGGCCTGAGAAACAATGGACTGTTCTCTACCTTTGTTACAGCAGAGCGGAATGTTTCTGATGCTTAGCTGCTGAGAAAATGATTTTGAAAAGCTTTGAGAAGTTTTGAGCCTGCTTTGGTGGGGGGTGACTTCAGTCCTAGGTGAGGTCACCTGTCCAAAAATGGAAAGATGCCAAGATGCCAACGAAAGAAGAATGGCAAAAAAAACTTATGGAATGCGCAGAAATGGCAAAACTCACAGAAAGACTCAGAGACAAGGACAATAGAGACTCTAAAAAAGACTGGGAAACGTTCCTGCTGTAGTTACAGAAACACTGTTAAGAAATGGACTCACTAGCAGGATTTGAGTAAACACAATTATGAAAACTAATGTACAGATTAAGAAGCAATAAATCAGAAATTAATTATGTGAAAGATATAATTGGAAAGAACATACGGTCTAAATAAGTGATAAGAATATAAGAGCATTTAATGAAAAGAAAATAGGAAGAAATAAATTACGCAGAAGTAGCAAACATTTAATGAACCAGAAGGGGAAGATGAGGGAAGTGACAGGGTGATCCCTTTTCCCCCCGAATCCTTTTCCATCTCCTTTTTCAGGCGAGGCGACCAGAACATCCATCTCCGCCCGCGCAGACTTCGGAGCGGCCGCGCTCGGGTCTATTCTGGCCCCTGCCGGCTGCCGTAGCCGAAGCGCCGAAGAGGAGAAGGGCGGGCGGTGGTCGCCGGGAGCCGCGCCTGCGCAGTCCCAGCCCGGGAAGCCGAGCCTGAGCCGGGCTCCGGGCGGGAGGGCCGTTTTGCGCCTGCGCAATCCGGGCGGTTGCCATGGAGTCGGAAGGGGCCTACGAGCCGGGCTTCGTGGGGATCCGCTTCTGCCAGGAATGGTGAGGCCGGAGGGGGAGGCGGGACGGGGGGGGGAGGAGGAGAGAGAGGAGGAGAGGGCGGGGGCCGCATTGAACGGCCCCCCATCAGTCCCCTCAGGGGCCGGGCTAGATGACCTCGGGGGTCCCCCTCCCAACGCTGCAGGTCTGTGATATGCCGAGAAGGGGGATATCCTGCAGAAGCAAGAACCGAAAATAAACAGGGACTGGCATGGTTTCCCAAAACACAGTCAGGGGTTAGGGAAAGAAAATTTAATTTAATTTAATTTAAAAATTCCTTCCAGTAGCACCTTAGAGACCAACTAAGTTAGTTATTAGGGTCTAAACCACTGTGGATCAGAAGGTCAGCAGTTTGAATCCCTGCAATGACGGGGTGAGCTCCCGTTGCTCAGTCCCAGCTCCTGCCATCCTAGCAGTTCAAAAGCACGTCAAAGTGCAAGTAGATAAATAGGTACCGCTCCAGCGGGAAGGTAAACGGCGTTTCCGTGCGCTGCTCTGGTTCGCCAGAAGTGGCTTAGTCCTGCTGGCCACATGACCCGGAAGCTGTACGCCGGCTCCCTCGGCCAGTAAAGTGAGATGAGCGCCGCAACCCCAGAGTCGGCCACGACTGGACCTAACGGTCCCTTTAACTTTTAAGTTAGTTATTGGTATGAGCTTTCGTGTGCATGCACACTTTTTCAGGTACACGGGGTTAGGGAGAGATGCTCGTGGTGGAGCAGCAGCAGCAGCAACCATAGTAAGGGGAATAATAGGAAATAACAACAGCAATTTAACAACAACAACATGCTCCCTTCTTGACTTTCAACTTTCCTGGGCACATGAAACTAACCACAACTACCTCGAATTTTTGCTCAACCCTCAAGAAGGAAGGACCTTTTCGCTAGCCAGGTTCAAATCAAAGCCATGGGGAAGGTTCCTGGGCATGGCAGAGAGAGAATCTGCTGATGGGATGACCACCTGGTGGAAACTCTTACTCACATGGTTCTTAAATGTAAACTATATGCTGATCTCCGCCAGCAATTCCTAGAGCAACTCTGCATCCCCAAATGGAAACCAGAGGTCATACACTTTCTACTATTGGGGAATGACCAGGAGCTCACTAAGTTAGTGGCCAGATATCTTTATCTGGTACAGTCATACCTCAGGATAAATATGCTTCAGGATAAGTATTTTGGGTTGCGCACCATGGCGACCTGGAATTAAAGGAGCGTGTTACTTCCAGGTTTTGCTGCTCGAGCATGCGCAGACGGTAAAAATCACGTCACGCGCGGAAGCGGCAAAACGCGGCACGTGCAGACGCACAGTCGCATCTTACGTTCTATTCAGGATGCGAACAGGGCTCTGGAATGGATCCCATTTGCATTTTGAAGTACCACTGTATTCTGTTGTCGAAACACATTGCAGACAACTGATCTCCCTGGAGACCTAGAGATGTGACAACAGTCTGCTCTGCCTCTCCTTTTTTGGGGGGGGGGGTAAATGTTTTGTGCCATGGGGGAAGCGGTAACTCTGTATTGTTATGTTATGGATGTTTGTATATGAAGCCGATAAAAGCTTTGATGATGATGATCATGAACAACAACAACTTATACCCCATCCATCTGGCTGGGTTTCCCCAGCCACTCTGGGCAGCTTCCAACAAAATATTAATAATTCAGAAAAACTTGAGACATTAAAAGCTTCCCTGAACAGGGCTGCCTTCAGATGTCTTTTAAACATCAGATGGTTGTTTATTTCCTTGACATCTGGTGGGAGGGCGCCACCACCAAGAAGGCCCTCTGCCTGGTTCCCTGTAACCTTACTTCTCGCAGGGAGGGAACCGCCAGAAGGCCCTCGGCACTGGACCTCAGCGTGCGGGCAGAACGATGGGGGTGGAGACGCTCCTTCAGGTATACTGGGCCTTTGAGGCCGTTCAGGGCTTTCAAGGTCAACACCAACACTTTGAATTGTGCTCGGAAACGTACTGGGAGCCAATGTAGGTCTTTCAGGACCAGTGTTATATGGTCTTGGCAGCCGCTCCCAGTCACCAGTTTAGAGTTATCTGGATCCATTTTAATCTGGCTTTGGGATTTAGATTCAGAGCCAGAGACTCGATGCGCTGGCTGGTGAGCTGTGGGACTGTTCCCAGAGAGAGGCGATGGAGGACAGGTGACAGACTCCTTGGCCGTGGTACTTTGGAATATTGTAGGATTTTATCTTGTCCCCTGTACTTTTTAATATCAATATCAAACTGCTGGGAAATAGGGATCATGAGATCACCAACATGTCATGTCAGGAGTTTGGAGCGCAATGTCACCAGTATGTGAATCATCTGTCTCAGGCGATAAGACTCAAGCAGTAATTGCTTTTAAGAGTAATCCGTGTGGTTATTTCATGGCCCTTTCTTCTTCTCCTCCCAAGTTGAGAACTCTGTGTTCCAAACAGGGCGGTAAGCAAACTTAAAAAGTCATCTTGGTTGGCACATGTCTGTGCGCCTCTGGGGCTGAAGCCAAACTCTCTCCATATCACCTGAACCAAGCTATAATATTCCAGCATAATAATATTCCAAGAACTGTTACTGCTGTTGTTTCTGGGTCATTGGAGCGATAATTGGGAACAGGGTGTTCAGAAAAGGGCGGTATGCAAACTTAAAAAGTAATCCTCGTTGGCACCTGTTTGTCTCGAGAGACAATGGAGTGTGCCTCAGGGGGTGAAGTCAAACTGCTGTGTTATCATCACTGAAATGACCTCCCTGGGCGCAAGCCTGGGCAGTGTGTCTGGAGGTCCTGGGCTGCCCAGATGAGAAGAACCCCCCCTTGGCCTTGCTGAGGTGGTCCAAAGGAAAGCAGAGCAATGCGTTTGGCACCAACTTGGCGGCAGGAGTTGACGGAAGGAGGCGCACAAGGCGCCACCCAACCTCCTTAGCTGACTCCACTCGGGATTTGTGTAGGGTTTACCCCTTAGCTTTCTCTTTGTGCTGGGCCCGGGGTTTAACCCGAGCAACGCGGTCCAGGTCCGGTCCTGAATCCAAGGGTTCCGCGAGGAGTCAGTTTGGCAGGACACGAGGCAGGAAACCAGGCAAGGGCAGGTACAGGATCTCAGGCAGGTTCTGGCCAACGGCAACGTTGCTCCCGCAACCTAGGGCGGGCTCCAGCAGCCTTTTATCTCTGTCGGGGTAGTGGCCGGTCCTGATCCCCCGGCGACTCACCTCCCTGTTTTGCCCGAAGACGAGCACTCCTCCTGCAAGTACTCAGGTCTCTCCTTCTCTCAGACCTCAGTCTCTGCAGCTCAGGAGACGTCGGTGGGTGACTAGACCCAGAGGCCGCCTCAGCCTCCCCTGACCCAACTGGTAGCCTTGCATTCAGCTCTTACCTGTGGCTTCTTGAAGCTGACAGCATGCCACTGTGGCCACAACCTGGGAAATAGTAATGACGATAAGGGTATAATGATTGTTTGGAGGTCTTTCCTGGAAGTGCGGCACTGGCACTGCGTGACCTGTGTGGGCTTCTCTTACACGTAAACATGCTTGGCAGAAAAGACACCCAAGCCTACTTAATGTAAAAGGTAAAAAAGATAAAGGATACCTGGATAGTTAAGTCCAGTGAAAGGCGACTCTGGGGTTGCGGCGCTCATCTCGCTTTCAGGCTGAGAGAGCCGGTGTTTGTCCGCAGACAGCTTTCCAGGTCATGTGGCCAGCAGGACTAAACCGCTTCTGGCGCAACGGCACACCGTGATGGAAACCAGAGAGCATGGAAATGCCATTTACCTTCCCACCACAGCAATACCTATTTATCTACCTGCACTGGCATGCTTTTGAACTGCTAGGTTGGCAGGAGCTGGGACAGAGCAAGGGGAGCTCACTCTGTTGTGTGGATTAGAACTGCTGACCTTCTGATGACAAGCCCAAGAAGCTTAGTGGTTTAGAGCACAGAGACACCCGTATCCCTTTAATGTTGCGTAGTGAGGGCCATTATCAGGGAGGCTGAGGACTTCAATAAGGGCATACTTTTATAATGTGCAATGTTTTATTATGTTTTTATATATGTTGCAAGCTGGAGCAACCCAGCCAAATGGGCAGGGTAGAAATAATAAAACAGCAACAACAAAATTAGTATTTCTGCGTCCCTCAATTTATGAGCACAGGAAAAGCTACCCATCCAGCATCTCTTGGAGTTCTGTTCACAACAGATTCCTGTTCTGATAACGTAATGGGAAAACAAAGACAGGCAGCGATCCTGCTGAGCTGCAGAGCAAAAAAAAGGGTTCACTTTTAAAACTGGGGCGAAGGAATAATAGAATTGTGGAGGGACTCCCAGGGGCCAGCTAGACCAACCCCCTTGCATGGCAGGAATCACAGCTGAAGCATCCCTGACAGGGGGCCATCCAACCTCCGCTTAAAAACCTCCATGGAAGGAAGGGAAGAAGAGTTTGGGTTTGATATCCCGCTTTATCCCTACCCTAAGGAGTCTCAAAGCAGCTAACAATCTCCTTTCCCTTCCTCCCCCACAACAAACACTCTGTGAGGTGAGTGGGGCTGAGAGACTTCAGAGAAGTGTGACTGGCCCAAGGTCACCCAGCAGCTGCATGTGGAGGAGCGGAGACGCGAACCCGGTTCCCCAGATTACGAGTCCATTGCTCTTAACCACTGCACCACACTGGCTCTCAGTGGAGAGTCTACCAGCTTCTGAGGAGTCTCTTCCACTGCCTAACAGCTCTTAGCATCAGAAAAAGTTATCCTGCCATGTTGATGGGGGACTTGGACGCAGGAATCGCTAAGCCTTGTGCTGAGTCAGACTTATGGGTCCATCTAGCCCCATATTGTCTACACTGACTGGCAGCCGTGATCTCCAGGATTTCAGGCAGAGAACGGAACCTGGGACTTTCTCCCCGCAAAGCAGCTGCTCTCTGCCCCTGGGCTTTGGGCTCCAGCTCCTGTCAGCTCAAGCCAGAACAGCTGCTGCTGCCCACAACATCTGGAGGGCGCCAGGGCCGGGCAAGGCGGCTCTCAGCTGTTGGCCCCCCACTCCCCGCTCAGCTTCAGTGGATGTCCGTCCAACTAGTTCTAGTTTTACATTTGCATCCCACCTATTCTCCAAGAAATTCACTTAAATCTTTCTCTCTCTTCTCTCTTTTTTAACAGCAACAACATGTTGTACCCTAAAGAAGACAAAGAGAACAGGATCCTTCTCTATGCTGTGAGTGTCAGGTGGCAATACTCTCTTCAGGTAGACTCTTGAGTGCAGGGTTTCACCGTGAGCTGTTGTGGCTTTGTGGCAGTCCCTTCCCAGCTCAGCTGCCTGGCTGGGACCTTTTGGCCGGGAAAGGGGCAAGCTTGGTCATTTTGCTCTATGTTTGCTAGCTTCGAGCTGTGCACCTTGGGAGGCAGCCGTAACTCAGCCTTTGAGATTGCTGGGCACGGATCACGGGTGTGCAGTGTCAGGAGCGAGACAGCAGTGAATCACACAGAGCAGGTGGTTAACGCTTTATTAGAAAAACAGGATCCGCACAGGAATGCCAGGCCTAATGAGCGTGGCAACTCTTCTTTGGTAGGTCTTGTACTTTATGAAGCAGTTGCGGAGACTGAAGGCCCCTGCCTTCCCACAGCTGCCTAAGTCTCCTCTTCCAGGTCTTTCCTAAGCAATCTGAGACTATGCCTGCAGGTCTTCCTTTGCTCCTCACACTTCATACCTCTCCTGGTCCTGGGAGCCCAGGGAAGAGGGGCACTTGTCACAGCAGGAGGGGGAGACACCTGTGCTGCTTCATCAGCCTGACTCATCTCTGCCTCTTGGCCTCCCTCATCCTGCTCTGCCGCCTCTCTTGACTTTTCTCTGCCGCAGACTCAGAGCTCACTAAGCCGTGCTACACCTTCAGCTTCTGACACCTCCTCCTCCCCATCTCCTCCCTCTGTCCCACCACCATTCCCCGCACTCAGATCCTTCTTCCCCAGCTGGTGCCTCCCACCGTTCCTCTACGTCCAACCAGTCTGTGACTGCCAGGCAGTTTCTCCCTCCTGGCATCAGTCTTGTAGGCAATGTTTTGCCCCCCCAGGGCTTGCTGGGAACGTGAACGTGTGACCGTTCTTCTCTTCTCCCTGCAGTGCCGCAACTGCGACTACCAGCAGGAGGCTGACAATAGCTGCATCTACGTCAATAAGATCACGCATGAAGTTGAGTAAGTACCAGCAGCTGCCTTGAAGGAATTGCTGGCCTGGGTTGATCTTCCTGAAGCCCCTGGAGAGGCCATTGCCAGCCACACTGCATAAGGGAACGCACTGACTTTACATAAGGCAACCTCCTGTATTCCTGCCTTGAAAATCCAGCCTAGTTTTGCATCCACTTTGTTCAGACAAGTGAAACATGGAAAAATGCCCTAGTGGTTGATCACAAGCTGAACGTGAACTGGCAAAGTGACGCAGCTGCAGTGAAAAGTTATTTCTTGGCTGCCTTCACAGAACCATAGTTTCCAATCCAGGTGCCAGGCCAAGGGGGTCAGTGGGGGTGGGGGGAAGCACCCACACAGAAACAACAACAACAACAACAACAACAATTTATTTGTACCCCGCCCATCTTGCTGGGTTTCCCCAGCCACTCTGGGCAGCTTCCAACAAAAATTAAAAATACATTAAAATATCTCACATTAAAAGCTTCCCTGAACAGGGCTGCCTTCAGATGTTTTCTAAATGTCAGGTAGTTGTTTATTCCTTTGACATCTGATGGGAGGGCGTTCCACAGGGCGGGCGCCACCACCGAGAAGGCCCTCTGCCTGGTTCTCTGTAACTTGGCTTCTCGCTGGGAGGGAACTGCCTGAAGGCCCTCGGAGCTGGACCTCAGCGTCCAGGCAGAACGATGGGGGTGGAGAAATGAGAAGAGAGGGTCTTTTTGGAAAATTCAGAAAGGTGGTAAGGAAGCAGCCAGGTGTCCTGGGGGCAGCGCAATGGGAAGAATGATGACTGCAAAAGAAAAGGGGGGGGGTTTCCCCCGGGGATGGGGCTGACTTTTGACAGCAAGAGATTGCCGTTCATCGCATAATGGTTTCCAATGTATTTTTGAGATGGGCTGACGGGAAGTGGGCAGGCTAACTATCAAAAGAATCACTTTTTAACCATCTGTATTTCAGTGAACTAACCCAGATCATTGCTGACGTTTCCCAGGACCCAACTCTGCCCCGAACAGAGGACCACCCTTGCCAGAAGTGAGTGGTGAGCTGTAGCCATTCTCCTTTTTTTAAAAAAAGTCCGGCAAATGCCACAAAGCATAGAACAGCCTGGGACAAACAAAAACCTTTGAAGGAGGCCAGCCCTCCCAGACATTTTGGACTCCCATCAGCTAGTCCCAGACATCGGGTGTGGGATACCAGGTTGGGAAGGCGGGGTGTGGGTCATTTCCTCCGCGCTTCCGGGATCTGCCCTGCCTCATAACCAGATCTTTCCACCCCTGTCTTCCAGGTGCGGCCACAAGGAAGCCGTCTTTTTCCAGTCTCACAGCGCAAGGGCTGAGGTGAGGAGACTTCTTTTGAGATCTAGGGCAGCTGATGTTTTTGTAATCCCTGGCAGCAACACCCCTCTTAAAAGTTACGAGCAATGACATTCGCTCGCTTTGCATGTGGGTTTCCCTGCATCGGGTCCTCTACTTCAGTAGCAGAATTTCAGCCGTGACTCCCACTTGATTTGCATGTCTGTTTTCCACCCGCTGCCCCACTCACTTATTCAAATATCTCCTCTTAAAACCAGCTGGGCGACTGCCACAGAGTTTGGAGTCTCTGTCACTTAAAAAAACCCCACCAGGGGTGGGTGTTTTCAGCTGAGCTCCTTACAGACTCGCAGAAGGGCGTTCCCAGAGCCAAAACAATTTGCAGTTCTGCATTTGCAGTTCAAAACAAAACAGCATTATGGTTATGTTGCAAACATAACAGGAGTTTTTTTTCCAGCGCTCCGAAACCTTGGGAATTAGGAGCTGGAGGTTTGAAAGGTGGCTTCTGGTTCTGTTGGGTTTTAAGCCTTCACATTTCCCCGGAGGTCTTTATGATCGCGGGGGCAAGGCATGGAAACACACCTGGAATACCCGTCTCACCCCTTCCCTCTCTGCTTTAGGATGCCATGAGGCTGTATTACGTCTGCACGGCCCCACACTGCGGTCACCGCTGGACAGAGTGAAGCCCGTGGAGATGCCAGCCCCCTCCTTTCCTGACGTTACCTTAATTTCTCTCCTTTCTGACAAACTTCCAGATGATTCAACTGTTGCCTGTCTGTGCCTAGACACCCTCTTTGACTTGGGTTGTTCGTGTTTTTGGCTTTGTTAATAAAACATGGTTTATATTTTTACAAAAGTCCCAAAGTTGTGCTTCCTCAAGCCTTCCTGGGTGGGGCAGCTGAGGCTGGCACATCTGTACACAATTAAAGCAGCTTGGCGAGAATAAAAGAATAATAGAACCTTAAGAGTTGGACGGGACCCAGGGGTCATCTAGTCCACCCCCCATGATCTAGGGTTCAGGTCATGTGGGATAAAGCATGTGCGGTTTGCCTACCTTTCCCTCATTCCAGCCCACTCCATGCCAACCAGGATAATGGGGCTGAGTGTCCAGTTTAGAGGTGTGGCTTTAAAGATAGCTTCTGCCCGCCCGCTTTTTAAAAAATGAGCTATAATGCAAGACAGCCATGTTCAGAGAGGAGGCCGGTTATGTTTAAGCAGGAAGCAGAACAAAATCTTCCCCTGACCATGAGGAAACATAGTTTTTAATATAATTATATGTTGTCTCGCCACCAATATTGGCCCCGCAAGGCGGCATGCGACAAAACGCAACTCATTACAAGATTAACAGGTTAGAAACAGCCACATATTCAGCGCAACCAAAAACTTGGGCAAGTGCAAAAAACGTTTTGGTTGGTGCCTGGAAGAGCATCACAAAGGCCGAAATGCCGTTCCACAGCTTGGGGGCCACCACAGAAAAAGCCCTGCCCCTGGCGGTCACCCATCTCGCCTCAGAAACGAGGGCACCCACAACCGAGCTTGGAGAAAAGACTTGAAAGCACAGCCTTCTGGGAACCTTCATTTTGAAAACAAAACTTTCTAGTCTCTGAGACTGCCGTCGTGTATTTTGGTAACAGCTAATTTTGAGAAACTGAAATCTCAAGGCAGGGCTGGGCGAGACGCCCAACACTTAGAAGAGGGGCAGAATTGGCACAGTCCCCTCTTGGCACGGGCAGCGTACTCCAAATGTGTGATTTGGCTAGTTTTTCCACTCCCCTGTTTTCCTTACATGGGATCTGGGTGCTGCTGTTTCCTGGTTTCCTTGGCCCTTGCCTCTGGGCCTCAGTATGCGGAAGGGTAGAGGACGTGGAACCTGGGGTGGAGGTCGGCCGGCGCCACCTTCTGGAACCCTCTGGCCAGGATCCCGTGGCCGGGGTGCAGGCGGCGGACGTGGCCGTAGTACTCCTCGCTGCCGCTGCAGGTGAAGCCGCACTCCTCGCACACAAAGAGCTTGGAGCGGCGCTCGCGGTAAGCGTATCGCTGCTGGATGCTGTGGATTTTCTTGAGGTGCGACTCGAGGGAGCAGCGCTGGGTGAAGGCTTTGTCGCAGACGCAGCAGCGGTACGGGCGGATGCCTGCAGAGGAACAAATGTCAGGTGGACAGGCCTATATTATTATTCATTCAATTTATATACCGTCCTATATCCGGGGGTCTCAAGGCGGTTCACGGAATAAAATCAAGATATAAAACCGCAAAATAATAAAACCTCCACAATTCTGTATTTTGTCAATCTTCAACTCCATCATTTTTGCTTTCATGCAAAAAGTCCCTTAGAAATTTCCAATCCTTAATACAGGTGAAACTTGAAAAACTAGAATATCGTGGAAAAGTTCATTTATTTCAGTAATTCAACTTAAAAGGTGAAACTAATATATGAGATAGACTCATGACATTGAAAGCGAGGTATGTCAAGCCTTTATTTGTTATCATTGTGATGATTATGGCGTACAGCTGATGAAAACCCCAAATTAACAATCTCAGAAAATTAGAATATTAAATGAAATCAGCAAAACAAGGATTGCAAATAGAGCAATATTGGACCTTTGAGAAGTAGAAGCATGCATATGTACTCAGGGCTTGGTCTGGGCCCCTTTTGCATCAATTACTGCCGCAATGCGGCGTGGCATGGGTGCTATCAGCCTGTGGCACTGCTGAGGTGTTATGGAAGACCAGGATGTTTCAATAGCATTGAATTACTGAAATAAATGAACTTTTCCACGATATTCTAATTTTTTGAGTTTCACCTGTGTCAGTAATGAGTTTTCTCTCATTAATCACGTTAACTTTGCCATCTTTGGGGAAATTATTTTTATATATTGAATTTATATACCGTCCTATACCCAGGGGTCTCAGGGTGGTTCACAGAATAAAATCAAGATATAAAACCACAAAATACATCATAAAAATAAAAACAACCTGATGGGGGGGCATTTTTTTAAAAAAGGGCATAGGATGTCCATCAGGTCAACCAAAGGCCTGGTTAAAAAGGAACATTGTTGCCTGGCACCTAAAGGTGTATGATGAAGGCACCAGGCAAACTTCCCTGGGGAGAGCATTCCACAGATGGGGAGCCACTGCAGAGAAGGTCCCGTTCTCTGTTGCCACCCTCTGGACCTCTCGAGGAGGCAGTACACGAAGGAGAGCCTCAGGAGATGATCAGAAGATACGGTTTTGGGGATTCAAAATGACCTTAGCAGATGGGAGAGCTGGGCCCAAATTACCACAATGACTTTCAAGAGGGACAAATGTAAGTGTCTGCACTTTGGCAGGAAGAACCAGGTGCACAAATATAAAATGGTGGAGACACCTGGCTTGCGAGTAGGACATATGAAAAGGATCTAGAGCTTAACATGAGTCCACAGTGTGATGCAGCAGCAAAACTTATGCTATTCTAGGCTGCATCCACAGAAGACTAGTGTCCAGATCAACTAATAGTCCCACTCTACTCTGCCTTGGTCAGACCACACCTGGAATACTGTGTCCAGTTCTGGGCGCCACAATTTAAGGAGGATGTTGACAAGCTGGAAGGTCACAGAGGAGGGCAACCAAGGGTCTGGAAACCAAGCCTGATGAGGAACGCTTGAAGGAGCTGGGTATGTTTAGCCTGGAAAAGAGGCTGAGAGGAGATATGATGGCCATCTTCAAATATCTCAAGAGCTGTCATATGGAAGATAGAGCAAGCTTGTTTTCTCCTGCTCTAGAGAGTAGGACTTGAACTCATGGCTTCAAGTTACAGGAATGAAGATTTTGGGCTCTCGCTAGGAGCAAACCGCCTTTTCTCGGCCTTTTCCTGGAGGAGACTGCGGCCAAGATGGCGGAAGTGGAGCAGAAAAGAAGAAGTGTACTTTCTGGAAGTTCACCTATCAGGGTGTTGACCTGGACCAGCTTCTCAACATGTCCTCCCAGCAGCTGATGCAGCTGTACAGCACCCGCCGGCGGTGGCGGCTTAACCCTGGCTTGCGCCGCAAGCAAACCCCCTCCTGAAGCAGCTGTGCAAGGCCAAGAAAGAGGCCCTGCCCATGGAGAAGCCAGAAGTGGTCAAGATCCACCTGCGAGACACGATTATCCTTCTGGAAATGGTAGGCAGTGTTAGATTTCTGTTCCTGCACCCCGTGCAGTTTTTGGAATCACAAGACTCTGTTGACATTCCAGACTGTTGGAAGTCTCACGGGAGACGGATGTTGATGTTACTGGTTTCCTGTTTCTTTGTTCCAGGTTGTTCCCTGACTCTCACAGAGAGCAGATGCATATTCTTTTCTGTCCTGCGTAGTTACTAATAAACGTAGGACATGTAGCACATATTTCGGCTCCTGCTGCTGCTGTTTGGATACTCTGCGTAACGGGGGAACGTGCCTGAAGCCTCATCAAAGGCTTAGGTTGTTAATCACCGTCAGAGGAGAGCCTGATGGATCCCGAAGACACGTCCAAAGAGGAGAGCCATTTCGGCTCGGTCGTACAGACACTCCGACAGGCAGCATGGTTGGCGTGTACAATGGGAATACCTTCAGCCAGGTGGAAATCAAGCCTGAAATTATTGGTCACTATTTGGGAGAGTTCTCCATCACTTTCAAGCCTGTTCAGCACGGCTGACCTGGAATCGGGGCCACCCACTCCTCTCAGTTCATTCCTCTGAAGTAAGGGTCCGTATAGTTAAAGCTATGGTTTTCCCAGATGTATGGAAGTGAGAGCTGGACCATAAAGAAGGCTGATCGCCGAAGAATGGATGCTTTTGAATTCTGGTGCTGGAGGAGACTCTTGAGAGTCCCATGGACTGCAAGAAGATCCAACCTCTCCATTCTGAAGGAAATCAGCCCTGAGTGCTCACTGGAAGGACAGATCCTGAAGCTGAGGCTCCAAGACTTTGGCCACCTCAATGAGAAGAGATGACTCCCTGGGAAAGACCCTGATGTTGGGAAAGATGGAGGGCACAAGGAGAAGGGGACGACAGAGGACGAGATGGTGGGACAGTGTTCTCGAAGCTACCAGCATGAGTTTGACCAAACTGCGGGAGGCAGTGGAAGACAGGAGGGCCTGGCGTGCTCTGGTCCAGGGGGCCACGAAGAGGCGGACACGACTAAACAACAACACAAGGGGATTTGGGAAGAGTTGTGTCTCTCATGTAAATAAAAGGGTTTCCCAACAAAAAAGGAATGAAGATTTTGACTAAACACCAGGAAGAACTTTTGGACAGCAAGAGCTGTTTGACAGCAGGACTGTCTCCCCTGGGAAGCTGTGAACTCTCCTTCCTTGGAGGTTTTGAAGCAGAGGTTGGGTGGCCATCTGTCTGGGATGCTTTCGCTGAGATTCCTGTATTGCAAGAGGGGGTTGGACTAGATGACCTTTGGAGGTCCCTACAGTTCTGTGATTCTGCGATTCTGTGATACAATACATTGCGGGGAGCAAAGCTTGGATTGTAGAGGAACCAAACAATTGCTAACTGTAAAATATATCTTATGGTACTGCCTCCTACGGAAGACCCCTATTCGGATTGGGAAAACATCAGTTCGTTAAAAGACTTGAAGGGTTGCTGTGTCTTAATTTTAATTAAACAAAGAAAAGCTGAAAGGCAGGCCAGAATCTTGGAAGATAAGATGGTGGAATGAAAAAGGGGCCTCTGAGGGGGACTGCGCTGAAAATAATTGACGGACAACAACAGGAACAATAAAATTCCTCTTGCAGGTCAATATCCATATAGATTTGCTAAATACAATTGCAAGTCTCACACCAGTGGCTGTTAAGATAAGACAAAGGATTAAGATCAGAACTGTGATATTGGGAATAAACAAGAGAGAAAAAGCAGGAACAAGAAATATTTTTTTTCCCTCCTGACCAGCCAGAACATGGGAAGTTTTTTTAAAAATATGTAATTTGAAATGTATAATTGGCTTTATTATTTGTATTGTGGTGGCAAGATTTGATATTCTACCAACTGGAGTGTTATTAAAGAAAAATTAATAAAAATTATTTACAATGTTAACAGAGAAATCTGAGGGCTCCCTTGGACAAAAAACAAGGACCCCAGCCAGGAATACCAGAGCAAAACAGCAGCCAGTAGGCTTGGTCTTGATTGAAGACTGTCGCGACAGGACTCCCACCTGCCACCAGGTGGAACAAGATGGAAGCCCCAAACAAAAGAGAACCCAAACTTTTATTAGCTGCTAATCCCCATGTTACTCCCCCCCCAAAACTACATCACTCATACATCACGGTTACATCATGAAAGGGGAGGTCTGGTGGCCGTAATCTGAGCATCCTGGACCCTGCCCCATGGTTCCCCTTGCCCTCCACCAAACACCCATCAAGTGTAACAAAAGAGATCTTTACATTTCCCTGTTTCCCAGCCAAGTTAATCACACCCTTTTGTCTACATCTGGGTTTGCTATTTCTGGAATGGCTACCTGTCCGGCACTCAGGTATCAGGAGGCCAGGGATTATCCCTCAGGCAGAGGGGCTGCTGAGTAGCTGAGCTCACATGTCTATATGCATTTTTGAAGTTTTCCCAGTGAGCCAGTACAGAGATACATTGATCAGTGAATTCTTACATTTGGTATTGTGCAGCAGAGGCCCTTTGAATAGATAGGAAGAAACTGTGATGAAGTGTTTTGTGGGGACAAATCACAAAAGTCACAAAAGTGATTGTGTTGGTTTTGGTAGTGGGCTGCATGTGCATGATATCTGCTGGATAGGCAACCCCCCCCCCAACCTATACATAAATTCCTGCAACAACAAAAAAGCACAATACATTGGTCAATATGGATGTTACGTTTGTAAATTCCCCACCAAGGTGAGCAACGAGAGCCAAGACCCTTGCAGGGTGAGGTCCCCACCTGTGTGCGTCCTCAGGTGCCTCTTGAGGTCGAAGGTGTCATTGAAGCCCTTACCACAGTACCTGCAGACGTGCTTCTTGACCGAGCTGTGGCACTTGAGGTGGCGGTTCAGCATGCGCTGCAGAGGGAAGGGTTTGCTGCACACGCAGCACTGGAACTGCGGCGCTGCAGGACTCCTGCCCTGGATGGAGCAGAAAGGAAGGAAGCGGGGCAGGTTGGGAGTTTGCAGACCAGGTGAACGTGGAGGACCTGCAACGTTATACAACCCAGAGGCTTGGAACTACCACTCCCATCAGTCTCAGCCAGCATGGTCACTCCATTCAGTTTTCTTTTCATACAATTGTGGAGGTGCGCAGCCTGAGAGTCATTTTGGACTCACGGCTGTCCATGGAGGCGCAGGTCCATTCTGTGTCCAGGGCAGCTGTCTACCAGCTCCATCTGGTACGCAGGATGAGACCCTCCCTGCCCGCAGACTGTCTCTCCAGAGTGGTGCATGCTCTAGTTATCTCCCGCTTGGACTCCTGCAATGCGCTCTACGTGGGGCGACCTTTGAAGGTGACCCGGAAACTGCAATTAATCCAGAATGCGGCAGCCAGACTGGTGACTGGGAGCGGCCGCTGAGACCATATAACACCGGTCTTGAAAGACCTTCATTGGCTCCCAGTATGTTTCCGGGCACAATTCAAAGTGTTGGTGCTGACCTTTAAAGCCCTAAACGGCCTCAAAGGCCCAGTATCCCTGAAGGAGCATCTCCACCCCCATTGTTCAGCCCGGACACTGAGGTCCAGCGCCGAGGGCCTTCTGGCAGTTCCCTCATTGCGAGAAGCCAAGTTACAGGGAACCAGGCAGAGGGCCTTCTCGGTAGTGGCACCCGCCCTGTGGAACGCTCTCCCATCAGTTGTCAAAGAAATAAACAACTATCTGACATTTAGAAGACATCTGAGGGCATCCCTGTTTAGGGAAGTTTTTAATGACTGATGTTTTAATGTAATTTTAATCCCTTGTTGGAAGCCGCCCAGAGTGGCTGGGGTAACCCAGCCAGATGGGCGGTGTAGAAATAATAAATTATTATTATATTTTATTATCGTTGGAAGGGACCCCAAGGGTCATCTAGTCCAACCCCCTGCCGTGCAGGAACCTTTTGCCCAACGTGGGGCTCAAACACACAGCCCTGAGATTAAGAGTCTCGTGCTCTACAGACTGAGCTGCAATATTTATTGCATATAATTTATATACTGCTCAATTGCAGGAAACAAACGGCAATAGAATTATCGTTACATGATTGAAAACGTTCGTAAAACTACAAGAGAATAGATTAAAACACATCAAAACTCACACAAGCTTCCTAAACTATCTAGGTAGGCTTGTCTAAATAAGAATGTCTTCAGCAGGTGCTGATAAGAATACAGTTAAGGCTGATATCCATTGGCAGGGAGTTCCAAAGTGTCGGTTCTGCCACACTGAGCGATTGAGTTCTGACAGACACAGAGTGGGGGTTACGCGGCACCTTTTTTTGCGACATTATCTTGGATAAAGAAGCACATCAACTACTTTTGGAAAACCAAATGATTTTTATGTTACCTTCTGAAGATTTCAGGTAATGCTAAATAACAATAAAATACAATTACACTGAAACAGAAGAAGTGTGCATGCACACGAAAGCTTATACCAGAACAAACTTAGTTGGTCTATAAGGTGTTACTGGACAATTTTTTATTTATTGTTATTTTGACTGCACCAGACCAACATGGCTACCTACCTGAATAATGTATAAATCTTCCTGGTTTCTTACCTTGCTGCTCCTGGGGTATTTCCCCACGGGACCCAGCTGAGGATGACACGGGCTTTGAGCGACGCCTTGGAGGACGTTTCCTGCGTGGGTTCTTTCCCACACGCTCACGGAGCCGCCTGCGAGGACCCTGGCGTCTGCCAGGGTTTGAGCCAAGCTGCCTTCTGGAAGAACCAGTGCCGGATTTACGTTTAAGCTAAACAAGCTCTAGCTCAGGGCCCCACTCTCTTGGGGCCCCCCAAACTATTAAAGGGGGAAAACTGGGTGTGCATTTCCAAAATATAAGGTAAAAAAGAAATCCTAGGCTCCTAGGATGTAAGTCATGGGCCCCTCCTGCTAGCCTGCTCCCTAAAATATCCCTGGTTTGCTCCTTTCTATATATAGGGTGCCAATATTCTGCTATTTATCATTATTAGTAGTTTGCATCATATATTTACACCTATTTTTATTTCATGTTGGTCTTGGCTAGGGAGGGCGGGGTATAAATAATTTATTATTATTATTATTATTATTATGTTCCAGCAAGTTTCTAGAGACTAGATTATGAGTCTTTATAAATTGTGTTTCTCAAGGAACTTTTGTTATTGCCAAATGCCAATGTGTTTGCATTATTCAGTTTGTTATGTATAAAAAATCATTTTAAGTTAGAGCTTAATAATTCTTTCACTATTAATATACTTCTTCTTCACTGTATTTCAATTCAACAATTACTTTGATAAAAATATATTTTGTGATGTGCAGAAGGCTTTAGATACCTATTAGGACCAGAAATTGCCATCTAGCATATATTCAACACAAAAAACAGCGACAATTTGTTGTTGGCAAAGGACAGCTGGACATAGCAAGGGCCCCATTACCTTCAGGACCTGAGGGCCACATAAAACCTCAATCTGGCCCTGGGAAGAACCAAAACCAACCACCCTTCTCCAAGTTTCTTTCTTTAATCTTTTCTTCCCTCTCTCTCCTCTTCAGCTTTCTCTCTCCTTAGGTCTTTTTCTTTTCTTTTCTACTTTCATGTTGAAGGCAATGCAAGAAAATTTTAGCACACCTACCTGGGATGTACAAGTCTCCGCGAAGTTGGTCAGAGAGCTCCCCCCAATCCCGGGACGCCAGTCGCGTTGAGACTCGCCGCTTGACCAGGAAAGATTTAGGCATGGCTGGCACAACCGTGGGCTTGCAATTCCCTGGCGGTACTTTGGCACTTTGACAGCAGTCACGAAATTAAAAGACGCCTGCTTCTTGGGAGAAGAGCAATAACAAACTTAGACAGCATCTTAAAAAGCAGAGGCATCACCTTGCCAACAAAGGTCCGTATACAAATGCAATGGTTTTCCCAGTAGTGATGTATGGAAGTGAGAGCTGGACCATAAAGGAGGCTGATCGCCGAAGAATGGATGCTTTTGAATTCTGGTGCTGGAGGAGACTCTTGAGAGTCCCATGGACTGCAAGAAGATCAAACCTCTCCATTCTGAAGGAAATCAGCCCTGAGTGCTCACTGGAAGGACAGATCCTGAAGCTGAGGCTCCAAGACTTTGGTCACCTCATGAGAAGAGAAGACTTCCTGGAAAAGACCCTGATGTTGGGAAAGATGGAGGGCACAAGGAGAAGGGGATGACAGAGGACAAGATGGTGGGACAGTGTTCTCGAAGCTACAAACATGAGTTTGACCAAACTGCGGGAGGCAGTGGAAGACAGAAGTGCCTGGCATGATCTGGTCCAGGGGGTCATGAAGAGTCGGACACAATTAAACGACTAAACAACAACAAGAAGATTCTCTCCTGCTTTGCTTCCTTTCCAGATCAGAGGCTACAACCCAGTTTCTCATCCAAACACCCAGCTACCTTCCAGCAAAAGCAGGAACAGGCACCCAGAAATCATACGACTCACCTTCTGGTCTGCTGCCAAGCCGAATCCAAAATCTCCGCCGAAGTCCAGCGAAGGTTGTGATTCTGGAGACGAGTGCGAAAGAGCCTGGGCTGTTTACAAGAACGACACTCGATATCTTGCAATTTGAATTAGTGTTGCGGGGCAGGTGTGTGTGCGCGCACGTTCTGAATGCGAACCGAATTCCAACTCCTTTGCATACTTTGTGCTCCTAACTGCAAAGGCAACAAGAGATCTCCATCCTCTCTATGCAAATTCTGCACTTCGCTATAGAGGGAAGAGTCAAGGACGGTTAGCCGGCTTGTCTCTTTGAACAGGACAGCTGCCGGAAACGGGCGATTCACCCGACAATCGATGGCAGCACCACTCGTGCACACGTGTCAAACTGGACGTTGAAAAAGGCCAACCTGTTCACCACCAAAACACCATCAGTTGGCCTAGAATTTAATGACCGGGAAAAATTGGGCAGGTTTTTTAAAAAGGAACCTTTGCACACTAACGCAACACATCACTGTTGGATCTTTGCCAATCACCGGTGTGTTCTGAGGAGTAAACCATTATTAACATTATTATTAACTGAATTTATATACCGCCCTATACCTGGGGGTCTCAGGGCGGTTCACAGAATAAATCTATACCCATAATGCAGGAGATCTACTGCTGTCAAGGCAGGCAGCATTTGACTAGATGGATCCATGACCTGACCCAATGTAAGACTGTTCTTTAGCCAACGCTTGCAGCTGGATGAGCACCACTAGCAGAAGATACTAATACTTACTCAGAGCAAGCTAAAAGGTTAAGTAGCCAGCACTTCTAGTATCTTGTAACATTGCAATCAGGACAGATATACAGTGGTACCTCGGGTTAAGTACTTAATTCATTCTGGAGGTCTGTTCTTAACCTGAAACTGTTCTTAACCTGAAGCACCACTTTAGCTAATGGGGCCTCCTGCTGCTGCCGTGCCGCCACCACGCAATTTCTGTTCTCATCCTGGAGCAAAGTTCTTAACCCGAGGTACTATTTCTGGGTTAGGGGAGTCTGTAACCTGAAGCGTATGTAACCCGAGGTACCACTGTAATGGGATCAGAATGCTGGCCAGAGCAGTGGGTAATCATGTATCTATAATGCAACACCATGAAAGCAATTTATTTTTGCAAAATAGTTATTAGGGAAACAAGGTGCTGTAAGAATAATTAACTGTGTGATAAACTAGAGTTTAGGACATACACACAACAGTTTGGACTCATAGAATCATAGAGTTGGAAGAGACCACAAGGGCCATCGAGTCCAACCCCCTGCCAAGCAGGAAACACCATCAGAGCACTCCTGACATATGGTTGTCAAGCCTCTGCTTAAAGACCTCCAAAGAAGGAGACTCCACCACACTCCTTGGCAGCAAATTCCACTGTCAAACAGCTCTTACTGTCAGGAAGTTCTTCCTAATGTTTAGGTGGAATCTTCTTTCTTGTAGTTTGGATCCATTGCTCCGTGTCCACTTCTCTGGAGCAGCAGAAAACAACCTTTCTCCCTCCTCTATGTGACATCCTTTTATATATTTGAACATGGCTATCATATCACCCCTTAACCTCCTCTTCTCCAGGCTAAACATGCCCAGCTCCCTTAGCCGTTCCTCATAAGGCATCTGTTCCAGGCCTTTGACCATTTTGGTTGCCCTCCTCTGGACACGTTCCAGTTTGTCAGTGTCCTTCTTGAACTGTGGTGCCCAGAACTGGACACAGTACTCCAGGTGAGGTCTGACCAGAGCAGAATACAGTGGCACTATTACTTCCCTTGATCTAGATGCTATACTCCTATTGATGCAGCCCAGAATTGCATTGGCTTTTTTAGCTGCCGCGTCACACTGTTGGCTCATGTCAAGTTTGTGGTCAGTTGGAACAGTTCAACAGTGAAGCCCAAGAGAGAATGGTGGGTTCTGCCATACAGAATGTTCAAACTCTGATTTCCTGCAATGAACCAGGTTGGCAAAGGCTGGGTACGAGAAATGCCTTCTGTTAGGGATTGCAGGAAAAGACCTGCCAAGGAAATTCAGAAATATATTGATGTATGCGACAACGGCGGCAAGAGTCCTAATAGCACAAGGATGGAAGAATGAGGAAATCCCGACAAAAGAACAGTGGCAGGGGAAATGGATGGACTATGCAGAACTGGCGAAACTGACAAACAAACTGCGAGACAAGGACAACGGTGGCTTTAAAGAAGAATGGGAACTTTTTACAAATTACTTTAAAAAACAACACAAAATGAATTGGACTCCTTGGCAGGTTTTGAATAAACATACACAAAGTTATTATTGTTAACGTAATAGATAGATAATTTAAGGATCTTTACAATTTTATAATATGCAGAGAATAATACGTGTTGAAAAACTGGAGATAAGAGCTGAGGGAAGTCTTGTAATGGTTTTTTCTTGGGAAGGGGAAAAAAGGGGGGGAATGAAGATGATATGCTTTTGATAATTTGTTATGTTGAAATTATTAATAAAAAATATTTTTTTAAAAAAAGAGAGAAATGCCTTCCTGCCACCACAGAAAAGGCCCACTCTGTGAGCAAGACTGGGAGTGGGGTTGTTTGGGCAGCCGGTTCCCGGTGGGTTTTTCCAGCACTTGGCCCGGATGCTCGCAAGCAAACAAATCTCTCCTTTCAAACAGAGCCCCATTTCCATGTCTCGCTCAGATTTGAATAAACCTGTTTCCATGGACAGCTTTCTGAGCAGTTTGATTTTATGCAGCCGAATCTCTCTCTCTCTCAGGTTTTGATTAACAAACCATGCCAGAGAGTTCAACCGAGGTCTTACCTTTACTGTATTGCTAACCGGGAGCTGCTGCAGAAAGTTGCCGTGGGACGTGCTCCTGATCAGGGTTCCAGACAAGACAGCCCGGCCATCTTTCAGGAGATTCCATTCCGTCCCTTGCGCCTCCCATTTCCGTATTTATTCCATAACTATTCCATATTTCCATCTGCTACCGAGTTAGGTTCAAGAGCCTTGTATTAATTTACAAAGCCCTGAACAACTTTGGTCAAGCCTAACTGGAATTGCCTGAACCCTAATATCCCAGCTCAATCACTGGGATCGTAACTGGTCACTCCCCGAGTTGGCAAGGCACATTTGGCAACAAGAGGGAACTGAGACTTTGGCCCAGTCATTGGCCCAGTCCTGTGGAACTCTCTGCCACTAGAGATTCAGTAGGAGCCTTCTGTTTTGACTTTTAAATGCTTGCTGAAAATTTTTTTTCCCCAGCAGGTTTACGCAGGCAGTTGAGAATACACTGTACCTCAATAGTGAATTGATATCCGATCTTAATTTTTAATACTTCTTTACTGTATAGATTTATGTATGTTTGTTGTAAGCTGCTTTCATATGTTTTTAAGAGATAACGGAAATAAATAAAAGAAATAAATGTTTTGCTCTCAACAGCAGGTCTTAAGAACACGGAAGTGCCCTCCTGCAGCGCACCAAAGATCCGTCTAGTCTCAATCTCTCTTTTCATGGTACGAAGCATAGGATCAGGCTGCCCCCCAAGCCCAGTCCTAGTCAGCTGCTAGGAATGTCGAAAGCTACCAAGTCAGACCATTGCACAAAACAAATGAAGTACCATGAAAATATCTTATGGAAATACACTAAATAGTAAAATCAAAACCTCGTTTCACTGAACTATTCAGTTTCCTCAGAAAGAAATAGAAAAATCATAAACCATAAATGACCAAAATTCAAAAAAAGGGGGTAGAACTCCCCAAAATTCTGAAGTACTGTATTATAATAGTTCAGTGAAACGAGGTTTGTAGCCGGCATCCCATTAAGGCTTTGTTCAATTTTAGGTTTTTCTAATTTTTTCCTTAAACTTTTTTATTTTTACTATTTAGTTTATTTCCATAAGGTAATATTTCTAGTCGATTCCTTCTCGTTTCAGGGATTTTCACAGTATTTCATTTGCTTTGTGCAATTTCTCAGTTCCATGTCTGTCTTTTTTCTACCAAGTCAGACCATGGCTCCATCAAGCTCAGTACTGTGGACACTAACTGGCAACAGCTCTCCAGGGTTTCAAAGATACTGTATTTTTCGCTCTATAGGATGCACTTTTTCCCCTCCAAAAATTGAGGGGAAATGTGTGCGCATCCTATGGAGCGAATGCAGGCTCCTTGGCTTCAGCGATAGCAACGCGAAGCCTCCGAAGGGCAGAGGGAGGGCTCCCTCCGTGCTCCGGAGGCTACGTGTTGCTTTCGCTGAAGCCTGGAGAGCGAGAGGCGTCGGTGCACACCGCCCCCTCTCGCTCTCCAGGCTTCAGGGATAGCTGCGCGCAGCCCCTCCGGCAGGGAGAGGCTGCACGTGGCTATGGCTTCTTTAGCCCAGCAGGGAGAGGTTGCGTGGGGCTAAAGAGGAAGCCAAAACAGCAAGCGGGATCCATCCCGCTGGCTGCCTTGGTTTGTGCCATAGCCCCATGCAACCCCTCCAGAAGGGAGAGGTTGCGCAGCCTGTACGCTGCTCTTTGGGGCTGGGGGGGGAAATAAGATTTTTTTTCTTCATCCCCCCCCTAAAAACTAGGTGTGCCCTATGGTCTGATGCGCCCTATGGAGCGAAAAATACGGTAGTTCCCAGACCTGCCTGAAGTTGGCTCTGCAATGCTCCACTGTAGAGTTACAGCCCCACACACTCACATAAAGCCCATAAGCAGGACATAACTCCTGCTTGTGCAATGGGACTTCACCTTCCTCTCGCCCCCCACCGCCGCTCTCTATGTGCCCCTATAAATCTCTTCTAGAGGGTTGGGAGCAGATCCGGGAAGCATGAAGGGGGATGAGAGGAAGTTTGCGCACTCAGCAATGGGTCCCACCCAATCAACACACACACACTTTTCAAAATCTAATGCAATTTTATTAATTCTCAAGACCAAGAAAAAAGCAGCAAACGTTTAAGAACCGCTGTTGCAAAGCAGCGTTCACACTCACACAGACGGACAAGAAAGCACCGTGGAGGAATATCAGAGCACCCGTAAGAACTTACAACACCTGCTTCTCCTCCTACTTCCCTCATTCTTATAAAGAATGCTTTTCGTAAGAGGTCTCTGGGAAAAGCTAAAAACAACGACAACTCGTCAGTATTCGTGTGTGTGTGTGTGGATACACAGGAAATAGAGACTAGAGTTATAAACTAGAGTTATAAACGCTAATCTGTTCCCTTCTTGACTGCTGTTAACTCCTCAGGAGTCACACGGAAATTAATGGGCCCGTTCTCTTGAGCTCAGCGCCACAATAAAGTTTGTTCAGGGGCAGGGCAGACGTATCCCTTGCCTGGGGCGATTCAGGCGACGTCTGCCTTGTGGGTTTCCTCCAGCTTCTTATGGACCATGTTCAGCAGCGAGTCGGAGTAATGCTTCAGGAGAGAGCGGGTCTCGCTGTCCTGAAGGCGCTTCTGCCAGGGCGATGGGCTGTCTGTGGCTGTTGCCGCGTCTGTGTTGTTCTTGATCTCTCGGGAGTCCAGCTCCCTTTTCATCCAGGAGAAAGTGCTAACCATCCGGTTCTTAACGTGGAGAAGCTCCTCCTCCGTGGAGTCGCTGCAGGATGTCACCTGCACAGCAAAAGGACAAACGCTTTCACACCCAGGATTCGCACCCGTGACCGAAACTGGGCTGGGACAAGGATGCCAGGGACCCACACTGCCACAATAGTACCCCACAGCCCTATATAAGCCATCTCCTAAACATCTGACAGGATAAACTGATGACCCCCCAAAAAATATGTAGATGGAGAAGAATTTTTAGAAAAAGTTCTTACGTTGCTGCCTTTTCCTATAGCTTACCTTATCGTAAAGCTGCAAAGTCTCTTGAAACTTGGTGCACAAAGGCTGCAGGTTTATTTCAAAGTTTTTGACCAGGACCTGTGATTCTATGAACATAGGGAGGGGGGCGGGAAGAGAGAGATTTCTACATTTGGAGCCTTCCCAGAAGAGGAAGAGGGGAACACACCCGACAGCATTCTTCAGTTTCCAAAGGTATCAGAAGAACGAGAACTGATTGCATCAACTGGCGTTTCTGGAAATCCACCCTACACAGCGACAGAGTCAAATCTACACTCTGCAGCAGCCAATGTTTCGCCACAACAGGGAACGGTAATAATTTCCGCCTCTGCGACATGACAAACCTGCTGCAAATGCAACATTCCAGAAAGTTTCCTACCTGAGGCGATGAACGCTCTGGCGTCAAGCTTTTCCTTCGGCTCACAGCTGGTTTCTTCAGAAGGTTTCTAAAGCAGTTACATCATGGACCATTAGAAACCAAACCCCCGGGCTACAAGTTTAAAAGCATTGCAGATGTCCCAAACCCAAGGTCTGGGTCCCTTCCTTGCCCGCAAAATACCTAGCCACCATTTCCCATGCATCGACTCTGAGGCCGGAGAGTTCGGGCATTTCAGCAGGCTATAGAGGTGCCAGTGCAGCATTTGCCAATCTGGTGCCCTCTGGAGCTTCCAGACTACAACTCCCATCAGCCACAGCCAGCGCAGCTGCATCAGTGTAACAAGGAATGCACTGGGAACTTCACACACACTAAACGGTTACGAGCAACTCCCAGTTTATGCGGGGGTTACGTTCCAGTTAAACTGCTTTCAAGTCATTTATGTTTGCAAATGTGGAAGGATCAAAGAAAAGCCTTATTTACATCTCTGAACTGTGCACATGAAGCTGCCTTTGAGGACATCAATTTGTCTAGACCAGGGAGACTGTGATCTACTTCCAAAATTAAAATCTGGCAGTGATCGACCCCTGTTTTTTAGGGGTTCAGATCAAAGTTGTGGAGCTTTTTTGGGGGAGGGAATATGCCCTGTTCTGGGGGGGGCTTAGGGATTTTTTACAGCTCTTCTGAGGGAGGGACTAACAGAAGCAGCCACTGACCTTACAATCGCTGGCCAGATAACGGCCTCGGTTTCTAAACTCCGGCTTCCCTTCTGTAACAATAGAGGCTGGCGTGGGGGGGGGGACAGAAGGGGGACAGCGATTGACTGGGATCTACCAAAACCTCGCAGGCATCGACCAGTAGATTGCAATCGACGTGTTGGACATCCCTGGTCTAGACAACAGCCTTGTGGGGTCTTTTCTGAGACCACATAACACTGGCCCTGAAAGACCTACATTGGCTCCCAGGACATTTCCAAGCACAATTCAAAGTATTAGTGCTGACCTTGAAACCCTAAATGGCCTCGGTCCTGTATACCTAAAGGCAGTGGCGGAGGAAGCCTCTAAGTCAGCCAGTGTGGGGCACCGGGGGCGGGGCAAACCATATGGGCTGCCACTCAAGCGCTGTCCGTATGGGCTGCCGTGCACTTGGTGCCTGTACCCTCGGCCACTCTACAGCTGGCGGGAGGCAGCGGGCCATCTTGTCACCCCCCCCCCAGGGTGGCATCCGGGGCGGACCACCTCCTTGCCCCCTCCTTCTTACGTCTCTGCCTGAAGGAGCGTCTCCACCCCCATCGTTCAGCCCAGACACTGAGATCCACCTTCGAGGGCCTTCTGGCGGTTCCCTCCCTGCGAGAAGTGAAGCTACAAGGAACCAGGCAGAGGGCCTTCTCGGTGGTGGCGCCCGCCCTGTGGAACGCCCTCCCACCAGATGTCAAAGAAATAAACAACTACCTGACGTTTAGAAGACATCTGAAGGCAGCCCTGTTTAGGGAAGTTTTTAATGACTGATGTTTTAATGTATTTTTAATGACTGATGTTTTAATGAATTTTTAATCTTTTGTTGGAAGCCGCCCAGAGTGGCTGGGGAAACCCAGCCAGATGGGCGGGGTATAAATAATAAATTATTATAATATTATTATTATTTTCCATTGTGCTATCAGAGACCTTTTAACTGGAAATTCCCTTCTGCCTGCAGAGCCCCTGTTCCGCTGCCACTGAGTCGTGGCTGCACCCAATCTTCACAGAAGGGCTGGGAGACAGTACGTCTGCCAAGATGCAAAAGGGAACAGCTGAGCCCAGCGGCTCATCCTCGACTCAGGCGGCCAACTTGCCTCTGGTTTCTTGTGCTCGCCTGACGGGAGACTCTCCTCCGCCAGCTGGTCTGCAGCAGCGGCCTGAGAGTGCTGACGGAGCCTCGGAAGAAAGGGAGCTGCAAACCTGTGTGAAAGGAACACAGCCGCTCAGATTGTTCTTTCATGAACGGAGGGTTGAAAATATAGATATATATCTGCCCACCTGCTATTTTTTTGGCAGCTGGAGAGAAAACGGGTAGATATGCTCAGGCGAGGGTTCTGGAACAAGGCCGCCTCCTCCTCTTCCTCCTCGGGCGCCTTCAGATCCTTTAGGCAGCCATCAAACTTTTCTGCATCAAAAAGGGGAGAGCAAGCGGGAGCTTTTCCCAAGTTCTTGACACAGCCAGTGTGGACTGGGACCTGGGAGACCAGGGTTCAAATCCCCACCCGGCCACGAAGCTCAGTGGGTGGCCTTGGACCAGTCACTACCTCTCAGCCTAGCCTATCTCACAGGGTTGTTGTGGGGGCTAAATGAGGAGAGGGAGAACCACGCACCCCACCTTCAGCTCCTTGGAGGAAAAGCTGGGAGAGAAATACAGCTAATAATATCACCAACCAGCAGTAGCTGAAAAGTGAATACTGACAAACACACCTGAGGCAAATGACCGCTAATCTGCCGTCAAAGTGTCAATGGCCTGCCAAAGGGTTTGTTACTTAGTCAGTGAATCAAAAGAGCAGCACCCTGAGAAACTGCCCCTCTGCCCCTCCGGCTGTGCCTATTAGGCGAGGGGTTCTTGCTTATGGGAAGAGCGCAGCCGCTGTGCCGTTCGGTGTCAGTACGCCTTGCAACCGGTGTCATCGACTGGGCTCAATAACTGGTTCTGCCCCGACTGGGCTAGGTGACTGGAGCTTTTCCAGGGACCTTCCAATCCTGGAAGGTAGGTCTCAGTGCACTGGACTCACAACTGTGCATTGTGAGCACCAGACTCAGCAGAGTATAAACAACGCAGAAGCTAGCTGCGCAGTATAACTTCTTTTATTTCTAATAGCTACCACAAACTAAACTACTGGCTTGCATGAGAGTTACAGCTAGTCACTACAAAACACACAGAGACAGGCAGTCAGGCAGGAGCGGAAGAAGCGAAGAGCATTTTCTGCCTCCTCCTTTCTCAAAACACCAACCATATCAGGAGATTCTCGCAATGGGAGGGGGTGAAAATATCAACATTCGGCTCATTGTCGCCGCTCTGGCCTTACCTTCCGCCTGGGCATCAGCCAGCGTCTCAAAGTGATTCCGCAGGTATTTCTCTTGCTCGGGGGTTTGGGGCAAAGAGCTGGTCTGCTGGAAGTTCTCCTCCACATCGGTCATTTCCGTTTCTGCCTCCGAAACTAGAGCGTCCAATTGGCACGTTGTACAAAGCCAGGGCCGGGGGGAAGAAAAGGAAGAAAAAGCTCAGAGGAGAGCTCAGCCTACGGACTACAAAGCCATTCTGGATTCTGGGCCAAGCACTGGCTTCTTCTCCCACCCAAATCTCCTGGATCATCTGGCACAGGAATGAACTCGGGATGGCTCAGTCCGCAGAGCACGAGACGCTTAAACTCAGGGCTGCGGGTTCGAGACTCACATTGGGCAAACATTCCTGCACGGCTGGGGGTTGGACTAGATGACCCTCATGGTCCCTTCCCACTCTACAATTCTATGCTGCTTCTCCTTTCCCTGACTCTCCCTTTCCTGCAAACGCACATCTCATTCCCTACAGCTGACTTATAGAGGATGGGGGAAGGTCTCATCCTGCGGCTCTGAGTCCCTTTTTCCTCACCTGCAGCCTTTCATGCGGGATCTTTTTTGGGGAGGGCTGTGACAACCGTGACTGCAGATTCCCTTCCTGCTGCCCCTCTACCAGCCCAATTTGTAGGGTGCGGACAGAGGCCGAGGCAGGCTGCATCCCCGTCATCTCTTCTTGGGCACAGCAGACAGCTCCCCCCTCACATGCACTTGGGTGTTCAAGTCTTCCTGCTTCACTGGGCCCTGGAAACTGGCACTAACTGGGCAGGGGTGGGGGCACAATGGCCAGCTGAGAGGGGAGAGCCCTTCTGCAGCTCAAGCACCAAAAAAATACCCCGGATGTGAGCAGGAATCGTCTTTCAGGCTACCTTCTTGCTGGTGGCTGAAAGCAGAGACCTCTGAATCCAAGGAAGTCGCAGAGTAGATTTTGTCTGGCAGCTTCTCCTTGGTATTTGCCGCTTCCTTCTGGTACGCCGGCTGAAGGAGCAGCTCCTTCATGTAGCTCCTTTAAAGAAAGGTAAAAAGTGCCAGTGATTCTCGGGGGGTGGAGAGAAAAGCGTCCATCCATCAGTTCAAGCTTCTTTCAAAACTTCAAGGGCAGAGGGCCCCAGAGGGCAGCAGAACGGGGTGTGCCCTTGAGGTGTCTCCAGCCAAATCCAAACCACATCAGGCTCTCCCCCTCTGCAAGTCCTGCAGCTCTACCCTAAGCGCATTTACTCGACGGTAAGCCTGCAGACTTCAAGGGCAGTTCCTCCCAGGCCAGGTTCTGCAGGTTCTCCAAGTGAGGACTGACCTTTCGCTCTCCGGGGTCTTGCTGCCAGTCTGTTCAGGGCACAGGCTGTCCCCACTGATTTCAAGCTCTTCTTTCGCCTCATCATCGGAGGACAGATCTGACTGCTGGAAATCTTCAATAATGCTGCTGGGGTAGTGCTTGGCCTGGAGGGAAAACCAAAAATAGCCTGTGAAAAGGGAATTAGTCCCTGTGACTCTCCCTTCCAAAATTTAAGAGGATTCAAAGACAGCAGAAAAGATGGAAGTAAGAAATCTTCTGGAGCCGGAATATCCAAGGGCTGCAGAGTGGTTCCAAAATAAGTTTAAAGGCGCACGAAAGCTCTCATTGATGGATAGACTCCAGGTTCAATCAAACTAAAAAAAAAATCACAAAGGCTAACTGGAAAATCTGCTTGTCCCCTTGAGGAAACCCAAGGCAGCCGCACCCTCCAATAATCTGGTTTTGTAAGAGAGCACCTGCCTTGATTGGTTGGTTTGTGCGCTGTTAAAAGCTGGGGAGCAGATGCAGGTTCTGCTGCAAAAAGCCACAAGCCTCCTGGCACAAGCCCTGCCTGAAATAAGCAAGAGCCACGGAAGAGCATCCAAAGCACAGCCCAAAAGGGAAATATTTCTCCCTGCTTCCCAGGTGGATGGGGGCTCATTGGTGAAAGGAGAGGAACTCTAGCCACACGGAAAGGCACACACATAGCATGCTCCAGGAATAAGTACCACCCCTGAAAATTAGTTCCAATAATAATAATAATAATAATAATTTTATTTATTTATACATACATACATACATACATACCCCGCCCATCTGGATGAGTTTCCCCAGCCACTCTGGGCGGCTCCCTATCAAGTGTTAAAAACAGTACAGCATTCCAAGGCTTGTCCCTGGACTTCTGTCCCTGGACTCAAAGGACATGGGGTCTGTTTTTCAGACAGAGGGTGTGGGGGTGCAGGTGGACAGCAAAGCCGACCTCAGTTAAGCCCCTTGTACCAAGGAAACTTTTCTCACCTCCGAGAGCAGCCGATTCAGATTCTGCGGTTCCAGCTCACTGTCATGCAGGCTGCTGTTTTTAATTGGGGTGAAGTAATTCAGGTCTGGACCCAGCGTGGTCTTAATGGGCTCTTTGGCGGCACGTTCTGCCCATCGCCCTTGCGGCTGATAACTCACCCTGGAGTTGAAGGCGGCGGTGTCCGCATTATCTGCCTCTCCAAGCTAGAGAGAGGAAAGTTGAGAGGAAATGTGTGTGTGTGTGTGTGTGTGTGTGTGTGTGTCTTCATGCCACTCATGTGGTTGGGATAAAAATCGCCAAGTCAGAGAACTAATCATGGATGGGTTGGTGGCTAGCAGTTGGTGTTCTGTAACCCACCCCTAACCTACAATAATAATAATAATTAATAATAATAATTTATCATTTCTACCCCGCCCATCCGGCCGGGCCTCCCTAGCCACTCTGGGCGGCACCCCAACAGAATATTAAAAACACGATGAAACATCAAACATTAAAAACTTCCCTAGGGCTGCCTTCAAATGTCTTCTAAAAGTCGGATAGTTGTTTATTTCCTTGACATCTGATGGGAGGGCGTTCCACAGGGCGGGTGCCACTACCAAGAAGGCCCTCTGCCTGGTTCAAATACTTCACTTGCCTCCTTTGCCTTGATTTGCAGAACATTTGGAGACCCACAGATCACAGTAGAAGCCCCCCCCCATTTGATTATCAACACATTGAAGAGGACCATTTGCTTCTCTGCAGGACCCAGCAAGAGTGGTTCTTGTTTTCATCCTATCCAAGCAAAACTTGCACCAACATCGCACCCAACTGCTTAGCTGTCAAAGGACTGGAGCTCCTTTCATTTTTGGAGCAGCAATTAGTTTCTGCTGCCTGTGGTTAAGCATGCAAAAATAATTGCTGTTGAAGATAACCCGGATGGAGAGAGAACCCTTTGTCTCTTAACCATGGGTTAAGTCGTTGGCAGTGGCCCCATTTGGACGTCACGCTAAGCCACACCACGGCTCCGGAGGCGGAGGGGATGGGAGCTTTTTCAGGTTGGCACGGCACAAAAGCGAAGCCAAGGTTTGGCTTTGTGGGTCCTCCGCACCTGACATCCTCCTTCACCCTGATCTGCAGCCAAGGCCCAAGGCGTGGAACAAACCCACCCCTGCTAAGAACACCTATCTCATTATAATTTCCCAAGCCCTGGCTCCGGACCAAAGGAGCACTTTCTGCAGCATCAGCCAACACTTGTTTGGAGATCTGCAGGAGAGGCACCCTCAGGGAATATGACTTGATTTTGGTGCTGGTGCACATCACACGAGACAAGGCCTTCTCAGTGGTGGCACTCCAGCTATGGAAGTCCCTCCCTCCTGAGGTCAGATGGTCCTCCCTGTTATCAGATGGCAACTGACAGACCTTTGGAACATAATACGAGTGACACCATTTGTATTGTCTAACGCCGACTTGTCTGCTGTACTTTGTACTGTGATTTTACATCTCTTAATGCTGCGCCTTGGTTGTTAGATGCCCTGGGCAAGATATAGGAAATTAATTACAACAGGAAGAACGTTGGTTGCTGGGGTTCTCCGCCTCATAATCCAGCCATGGTTAACCTGGTGCCCTCCATCTGCTTTGGATTACAACCCCCATCAGCCCCAGTCAGCTGTGTCAACCAGGGCTGATGGGAGTTGTAGTCCAAAATATGTGGAAGGTTGGCAATGGCTGAATTAATCCATATATTAAAAAATACCTTTTTTGTAAGAGCACATTACATACCAGCCTTTTTGCCCACATGGGTAGTTTACCATTGGTGAGGACGCATGCAGGAGCTGGAGAGAGCAACAGGGGAGGGAGATTGGGGTGAGCAATGTGAAAGCAGAGGTGAAACTCTTCATACAAGGCACATATAGGAACAAGAAATCCCCCCTTTGCATTTAAGACAGAGCAATCGAGAAAATACTGAAAAGCAGAACTGGGTCCCATGGAAACTTTTATCTACCAACTCTCAGAAACCAAAGCAAGTAGAAATAAGAAGAGTTTTGCTTTTCAAAGTAAAGCAGAATACAGTCATACCTCGGGTTAAATGTGCTTCAGGTTGAGCGTTTTCACGTTACGCTCCGTGGTGACCCGGAAGTAACGGAGCACATTACTTTCGGGTTTCGCTGTTTGCGCATGCGCAGATGCTCAAAATGACGTCACGCGCATGCGTGGAAGCGGCAAATCGCAAACCACAGACGTGGGTTTCGTTCGCTTCAGGATGCGAGCGGGGCTCCGGAATGGATCCCGTTCGCATCCAGAGGTACCACTGTACAGATTCTCAGCAATGCTTCTGAATACCTGATCCAGCAAGTCTCTTCTTATGTTCCGAGGTCCTCCCCCACCAAGCTTTGCATCCCAACAAAACATTACCAGAAATCTTATAGGGGGTGGGGGAGGCAGAGAGGACAAAAAGGCCTTTACAAAACCACTGTCACCAGGGTCTCCAGCTAAGCCTCTCCTGAAGTTTGATGGGTTTTCTGTAGTTTCTCGCCAAATCCCACGCATCCCCTGGGCACCCTCCCTTCCAGCTGCCTTGGGAAGTGCCTCGTGCCTCCATACCTGTATCAATGACAGCTTGGGGGGGCGTCAGAAGAGCAGCGTCTTCCTCTTCCCTCTCCTCCTCCGTGTCATAGTCAGTCAGGCGCTCAGCCCCACAGGGAGACCTTTCGCTTGGCAGAGCAATGTAGGGCTCCCTCCTGGAGGAAAGGAAGAGTCAGAGGGATCCCTTTCAGGACTCAAGAGCGACAGAGTCACCCCGGTCTCCCCATCGGGAGCAGAGAGCGTCGTCCCAAGAACGCAGCTGTTCCAGTACCTGACCTGATGAGGCCACACGGGCTCCCTGGCTTTCCTCTGCTGCTGGACTTCATCCAGGTCCATCAAATGCTGCTTCATGCAGGTGGTAATTTCAGGACTCAGGTGCCATACGAAGATGCAGCTGGAGAAAGGGAAGAGGGCCGAATCAGTGGCCTGAACCGTTCCACATCCCTGGTGTGTTTCCTGCTCTCTCCTGCCTAGATCTGCAAAGGCCACACACATCTGGGAACCCCGTCCAGACGTCCTCTTCCCTTAAAGCTAATTGAGCAACAAACGCACACTAAATGACCCCACTTTCAGGCCCACAAATTTCTAATCCACGCAAGCATCTTTCGCAGTTCAACTTGCCCACCTGTCTCCCGAGACGGTGATCAAATGTTTGCAGTCAAAGGTGAATTTCATCCCTGTAACGACTTCTGCAAGATAAAGATGGGTTGGTTGTTCGGCTGAATCAGTTATCACTACAATTGATAAGAAACAGACTGTAGCGTCTGGGGCTAATGGGATCCAAAACAGGCAGAGGGCACCAGGCTGGGGTAGGCTGTACTATGTACTAGAGTAAAGGTAAAGGGACCCCTGACCGTTAGGTCCAGTCGTGGCTGACTCTGGGGTTGCGGCGCTCAACTCGCTTTACTGGCCGAGGCAGCCAGCATACAGCTTCCGGGTCATGTGGCCAGCATGACTAAGCCGCTTCTGGCGAATCAGAGCAGCGCACGGAAACGCCATTTACCTTCCCGCCGGAGCGGTACCTATTTATCTACTTGAACTTTGACGTGCTTTCGAACTGCTAGGTTGGCAGGAGCAGGGACCAAGCAACGGGAGCTCACCCCGTCACGGGGATTCGAACCGCCAACCTTCTGATTGGTAAGTCCTAGGCTCTGTGTTTTAACCCACAGCGCCACCCGCGTCCCTTATGTACTAGATATGCGCTTGCAAAATAACCGGACCAAAAAAAGCAGCAACAGCACCACCACAGCAAAACAAACCTGAGTGTCCAAACATTTTGGCAACACACTCCCCAGAGTGGAAGTCGATAATGGAAATGCTCTTGTCGGAGCAACTGGTGGCCAAGAATGTTCCAGAAGGATCCAGCTGGACCTGCAAAGGGATCGGAAAGAAAGAGGCTTCACTCTTTCAGATTTTCTTTAATTGTGGTCGGTTGAATAACGAACCACTCATTCGCAGTTCAACAAAATAAGCGTGCTGGGCATTCCTTACACCGTTTAGTGGGAAGCAACAGCCCACAGGAATATCAGGCCACATTCCAGGAGGCCCGGGTCCAAGGGCGGGCAAGAGAAAGATTATTTCTCCAGGCACTTTCCCCATATTAACTCAGTTACCTTCAGAAGAGATCCGTCGTCGCCTTGCGAGCCTTTGTAGCACCACTTCTGTTTCCCGCTGGCTGTGTTGTACACCCTGGAGGAAGGTCAAGTTGCATTTGGGTGTGTGCAAAGGCTTGCTGGTTTGACACAACTGAAGAGCTACGCTTTGATGCTGGGCTTTGTGTCCTGTGCCCAAAGCCTTTGAAAGAGCAGTGGAGTAGCAGGTTCATTATGCAAACACTGGTCCTTTTCTCTGGGAATTAAAAGCACTCACAGAGTACACTGTCCGTGAGCCAACGCCTCGGGCTTCCTAGACGTGACTGTGCTGCAACTGTGGGAGCACAGATGCTCGTAAACTGGCCAAACCGGCAATTTTCAAGCATAAAGTTAATCTGAGGGAGTTGGTCAGCTAATTAAAATACACAGGGAAACAATTTCATCAAAATGAAACAAACATTTCACAAAATGAAACAGAGCTGGACTACCAGTCCATGGGGTGCTGCTTCTGACTGGTGAGAGGACTTACCACCTTTCCTATTGCGGGGCTGTACTCTGGATTTGAACCCGGAGCCCCGTGCATGCAAAGTATGAGCTACTCTTCCTGGCTAGCACTTCTCCAACAGCCACTGCGCTCTTGGCCTCTAACTGGGCCTTGGAGCTGGAAGGTGAGCAATGAGGATGAATTCCCTGGTCGCTCTGGCTCCTATCTGCTGCTCCAGCCAAGCAGTAAGGGAATCGCTCTGTGGTACTTGCAGTGATTGGCCCCAATCCGGAGCTTCATCTATTTCCTCTCTCAGGCTCCTTCCAGCCACTACAACTCATACAGGTCCAATTTACAGACCTTTGCGGAACCAGCAGAGCCCTCAATAAAAGCAACCGAGGCTTAATAGGAGGGGAAAGCCCAGACATACTCTCAGAAAAAGTGCCAAACTAATTAAGAAATTCTCATATTTTGTTTAGAAGAGTAAGAATATCCCGTTGATTAAAGTCCTCATATGATAAAAGGATGAAGATTAATAATTCAGCTGTCCATGACGCAAGAGCTGCCACGGGTGTTTGGGGATTCTTGAGATGCTTCATCCTGGCTCTTCCCATAGAATTTCCCTCTCGGATTTTGGTGAATATGGATATTCAAAAGAAGTTGCTTAGAGACTCTTTACAGAGCACGCAGTTAATAAATTGAATAAATAATACTTTAAATCAGAAACACTCTGGCGATAATAGTTCCACAAACAGAGCGCTTAACTATATAAATAAACAACAATATGACATTTAGAAGACATCTGAAGGCAGCCCTGTTTAGGGAAGTTTTAAATGTCTGATGTTTTAATGTATTTTTAATCTTCTGTTGGAAGCCACCCAGAGTGGCTGGGGAAACCCAGCTAGACTGAGGTGGTGGTTTAGAAATAATATATTAATTAATTAATTAATTAACTAATTATTATAACTATCTCCACATCAAGATCTGCCAAACCAAAGTGGCCCAGCTCCACCGCTTGTTTGAGGAACGGCTGCTTACGAAATGGCAGTGATATATCTAAAGAGCACTGAGCGTTACAGAGAATGTCAAAAGATTTGAGATGATTTAGAATCGCAGAAATGTAGAGTTCGGAGGGACCACAAGGGCCATCTAGTCCAACCCCTGCAATGCAGGAATTTTTTGCCCAACATGGGGCTCAAACCCACAAGCCTGGGATTAAGAGCCACATGCCCCATCAACTGAGCCACGCTCTCTCCCTATTCCTCCCCTTACAGGCAACTGTATCCCAAGAAAAGCACCTAATCAAAATGGGGAGATTTGAGGCAGTCAATGTTGGCGTGAGTGAGAGTGTTTCATTCATTTCCAGAAACAGAAAGAAGATTGAAGCATCAGCTAAGTGCCGATTGTTTAGACTATCCAAGGACACTTTCTGAGGGTACCGTTTTCTGGACATACATGGTTTCCTACAGAACACAGCAAACCGTTTTTCCAGTCTGCGTTATCTCCTAAGCTGACAACATGTGGAGAGGGGGAGAGAGATTTTGCAGCTCGGAAGAGAGCAAGGCCTTAGAACTTTAATTGTACCTCCACCTGCAGCTGCGGTGAAAGCCTGTTAATAGCAGGAACCATTTACACATTTTATTACCTACAAGTAAAGAGTAATGACTTGTCTGAGCTTTATTGCTACCATGATCTATTTCTTCTCTGGTGTCTAGGCGCTTTGAAGGAAGGCGCACAACTATGTTGATTTAGGGCCACTAGCACACGCAGCAACCGTGCCAGACCTGATTCTTTCATGGTTCAAAAACCAACAGTCTTAACAGTCTGTTGACAGGATGGACATATGCAGCAAGGCAGAACAACAAAAGTGCAGCCAGGTTAAGAGGGAGGCTGGCGGTCAGGAGGAGGAATATGCTTACTTTCTTCCAGCATTCGACTGTGTGGAATGCTGAAAATTCTGCGGTGGAAAATGCGGAACAGTTTACCTGACATTTCTGTCCTGACAGGCCACTGCAACATACTTCTGTGTTATGTCGATATCCATGTCGTACAAGGTCGTTTTCTCAGCAACGTGGTGAGTTCTGATGAAGTTAATTCCGTCCGACACCTGTGGAGTGAAAACGACCCAACTAAGATGAACTGTTACCCCAACAGCAGCACAGAAGGTCTGTAGTGGCCTCACACATAAGCATGAACAAATCAGATAAACTTTTATCTGGATACAAAAGGGGAAAGGTGCCCCTTTCATTATTTGGCAATGGGTCTTTGGAAGAGGAAAACAAGTTGCTCAAGTTCAGATGAGAGCAGCACTTCCGGATGAGGCCAAAGGTGCCTCCTCTGGCTCAGGATCCTGCTCCCATGGTGGCCAACCGGATGCCCCTGGGAAGCCCGCAAAGGCAAGAGCCCCCCCCCCCCCCCGCTGCTGTTCTCCTTCGTGGATTTATCCCACCCTCTTTGGAAAGCCATCTGCATTTGGTGGCTATCGCCAAACCTCCTGGTGGCTTCTTCCGTAAATGAATTGTAAGCACCTTTTGTGCACTACGAAAATAGATGCTTTTGTCGGCTCCACAGCTGATCATTTGAATCTCTCCATTTCCTGTGGGCGAGAAGAAGAAATCTGTAGGTAAGTGAAATCTGTAGAAGAATCTCCTTGTATTTATTTAGATCCGTTGTTTCCAAGGTTGTTTAGACCAAGTTAACGGCCTTATAGGCTTCCTCCACGTGAATAGGAGTTCACTTTTTGAATAATAAGAATTATATGTCACGGGGAGAAGGGGCATCAGGATTTTAGAGATGCTTAGGTGGGGCATGGCCAAAAAACCCACTGATTTAGCTGTACACCCCACTCTTCAAAGGCAATAACCAGGGTGGCTTACAATAAAACATTATCAACCCCAGGAAAACACTGCACTGGAAACTTCTCCTTTTGCAAGCCAGCTGAAACTAGCGTTGTGCGAGAACACAGGGAGAAGTGAAGTAATCCGTGCAACTGCACATAGAGGTTCCGCACCTGAAATACGATCAGCTGGAGCAGATTGTTGGGCAACTTACCAGCAAACCTTACAGCTGTTATGGCTGAGGAATGGTCGTCCAACGTCTGCTCTAGTTTATAATTTTCCTCCACGTTGAGCACATGAATCAGCCTGTCTCGGCTTGCTGAGGCCAGCAGGGCCATCCCTACAGGAGGCAGAAAAGATGGGCAACTCCGCATCCACTCCAAAGGGACTTAAAGCAATGGAAAAGAACAAGCAGACCCACAACGGACATGCAGAAGTTAGGTCTATTCATTCCAGTGGGTCTTCTCTGAGTTGAATACCACCCAGCCACCATAGCCCCAATCCTGTAGCGATGGGAGCGAGTTTGTGTGCATCTATATACATCCGCATACAAAAAAAAACCCAGGCACAAGCCTGGAATAAATGTTAACTGCACACATTTTCAAATTTGGAAATTTACCCGTTTCTGGCTTAGAATATTGCAAGCAGAGAACTTCTGAATCGTGAGCCTCCACTTTAATGACTTCATCCATATATTTTAGCTCGTGTATCCTGTAAGACAACACACACATTTTAATAACTTTTGAGTATTTGGAGGCAGGTCCTGCCAAGGCTGGTGTTCCTTAGGAGCTTGCAACCCCGTTAGATGGCCTGCATATAAATAATACAATTATCGCTGTTGCTGAGGAATCAAAGATGTAGAAACCCACCGCGTGTGACTGGCATGCGCAGGGCCTTAGCTACAACTCATCACGCAATTATATGAAAACACAGAATCTGGCAGACGATACAGAATAAAACAGACCCACCTCAAGTTTCCCGCTCTGTCCCCAGAGGCCAAGTGCTGGCCATCAGGGCTGACTTGCATCACACGGACACCAGATTTCACATCCAGGTAGTTGGCATTTTCACCTCGGTCTGGCAAATTTGTTAAATCTTGCAGGTGCTGGATGTTATTTTCCACATAGATAATCTTCAGCAAGTTCTTTATGGAGGAAAGAATGTTTTAAGAGATATATCTCTCTATACACAGACACCCATTCTGTTAAAAAGAAGACTCATCAAAAGGAAAATAATTTGTAACAAACCAGAAGGGAACTAAGTCAACAAAACCTCAATTAGTTTTAATTACTAGCATGCCTTCCAGACATTGGTATAAATTGCTCAGGTTTACTCTGGCATCACATCAAGGCTGAAGCAGCCTCTTAATAAGCAATAATGCTTACGTTACTGTAGATGTTCTTCTGGAAATCCACATGCGTGCCATTTTCCAAGTTCCAGAACCGTATAGTATTGTCCGATGAGCATGTCAGAAAGGACCCTGGGGGTAAACATCCTCTGTGGTCTTCAAACTCAGGATAAACCTAAGATGCATCCACAAAGAGCCAAGGGAAAAAACAGAAGAATCAAGACACAAAATCCAAGCCGTATGATGGACCTAGTTTGTTGAACACCATTAATAATGTGTGGGCTTTAATTATTACTTCCCTAAATTGGAATGGCCCATTTTATTTCATTTTCATCGTGTAAGCTACTTCCTGATTTTTATGAAGAGTGGCACACAGATAAATGAAATTAATAAACGTTATTTTCTTAATCCTTCACATCCTTTTTAGAAAAGAAGAAGCACCATCTACTCACCTCAACATTCCACACAAAGGAGCTGTGGAAAAGGTCGGACCACACTTTCCCCACTTGGCGGGTGTCCTTCACATCCCAAATGTACAGGCTGTGGTCCTTGTAAACGCAGGAGAGCCAGTGATGGCGGGGGTCAAAGGCCAAGGCAATCGTATCTGAGTAGGTGGCACCTGGCCTTCTTGAAAAGATCAGGGGGGGGGGAAGGGGGGGAACATACTCCTTGGTTACCAAAAAGAACCAAACTGATGAGCTTCATTTTACACACCGATGCTGAGATAAGCTGCAAAGACCTTAAGTGCAAGGGAAGTGGGAACACACACAATCAAAAGGAAGGGGCCACTGGTGATGGGGAAAAGTTAAGCTTGACGTGGAGGCAGGGGCAGCAACAGCCTGCTAATGTGTGACGTCCCCCAGCCGCACCTCTCGTTTGCTTTTCATGCGCGGCCACCAGAAACATGAGAGAAGCTGAAAGTCACCAGACAGGAGCATTTTGCCAAAACTGTGCAAGGACGACATGTTCCAATGCAGTTGGGAATCAATAGCCTAAGCCAGTGGTGTTCCACCAGTGTGCCGTGGTGCCCGGGGGTGCCTTGAACAATGGTCAGGGGTGCCGCAGGCAACACTGGCCTAGGTCCCTCTTTCCTTCCCTCTAATGCCCTCTCGCATCTCTGCCTCCCAAAGGCTGGAACAGCTCTTTGTTGCAGTGGCCCTGGCTACAAGCTCCCCAGGCTAATGGTGCCTCTGGGGCTGGCCAGGAGCTGAAGTGGCCTCAGAGTAAGGAAGCAAATGGGTGAGGGAGCCCAGCCAGCCAGTCCGCCAGCCCTTGCTGTTGGGAATGGTCTGACAAGTGGGAGGCCAGGCAGGCAGGCACCCCATTGGCCTTTCTTGTGCTTGCTGCCTGCCTGGGAGCCTTTCCGCCATGCAGGCCCAGCGGCACCCACTGTTGGCCCTGCTACCTCCCAAAGGGAGTGAGATGGCCTCACATTCACCTTTGGCCAGTCTCTGTTGGGCTGCTTAGGCTGGGGGCACCCTCTTCCCAGGGCCCTAGGGGGTGGTGTGAGGAGGCACCTCTCTTTGGGGCAGGGGGGACAGCAAAGAAGAAGAAGAAGAAGAAGAAGAAGAAGAAGAAGAAGAAGAAGAAGAAGAAGAGAACAACAACAACAACAACAACAACAACAGGAGTTTGGATTTGATATCCCGCTTTATCACTACCCTAAGGAGTCTCAACGCGGCTAACGTTCTCCTTTCCCTACCTCCCCCACAACAAACACTCTGTGAGGTGAGTGGGGCTGAGAGACCTCAAAGAAGTATGACTGGCCCAAGGTCACCCAACAGCTGCATGCGGAGGAGCAGAGACGCAAACCCGGTTCCCCAGATTACGAGACTACCGCTCTTAACCACTACACTCGGAGACCAAGGGCAGTGGCGGCGGCTGCTCCTGCCCAAGGAGAGAGGAGAGGAGGCTAAGGGAAGACTCCACAAGGGGGAGTGTTTGAAAAGGGGCGAGGGGCTGCCAGCTCTGCAGGAAAGGGGTGACATAACTGAGCTCCTGAGACTCAGAGTGCATTCCCCCACAGGGGAGCTGGAGAAAGAATGTAGTTGGTCAAGGGAGCCGTGGACACAAAAGGGTTGAAAACCTCTGGCCTAAGCAAATGCACTGGTTTTTTATTTCTTGCAGAGCTGTGAGCTTGCTGGGTTAAAACACCACCACTACCTGTGCATTCTTCAGCATGAAAGCATCAGGCTTCTGCCTAAGCACAGGCCTGCACATTTTCCAGCCCAGCTCCCACGCCGGCTGGGCCCCAAGAGCTTTGTACCTCAGCAATTCTTCTCCAGCGACGTCGATGCCCAGGTGGTGCGGCTTAGGCAAGTCCGAGAGATAATGCAAGTCGTGGGTGTGGAAGATGCGCACGGTTCCATTTGCACAACCGCAGAAAATAAACTCTTCGCTAACGCAGATGCAGTTGGCCAGAGACACCTTGAGAAAGGGAAGGAGGTGTGTGCAGTGAGATCGCAAAGGAGGAGGCTTTTCGTCTTCCACCCACCGCCCCAGAAACAAAAACGGCATTTGTACCTTCAGATCGATCCACTTCTCCAACACGCGCTTCTCGTTAAACTGGCAGAGGAGGCCAGAATAAGAAATGCAGAACGTGCTACCTGACATTTTGCCCTGCCCACATGCCACGTCACAGAAGATGTTGTTGTGGAGCTCTCCCAGAAGACCAGAGCGACCAACCAGTGGAACGGTCTGTTTAATCTGAAATGACACACCAACTCAAGCTCAACGGTTTAAGCTAGCCTATGTCTTGTACTGAAAACAACAACGGAGGGACATCAACTACAGTGGTACCTCGGTTTAAGAACGGCCCTGTTTACGAACTATTTGGTTTACAAACTATTTGGTTTACGAACTCTGCAAAACTGGAAGTAGTGTCCCGGTTTGCGAACTTTAGCTCGGTCTAAGAACGGAAGCCGAATGGTGGAAGGGCACCGGCGGCGGGAGGCCTCCTTAGGGAAAGCGCACCTTGGTTTAAGAATGGTTTCGGTTTAAGAACGGACTTCCGGAACAGATTAAGTTCGAAAACTGAGGTACCACTGTAATTTTCTCTCTGGGGCTTCATAAAATGCAAATATAACTTCTCTGCATGCACAGGCAACAGTCTCATTTTATTTTATTTCTTCAACCAAACACAAACCTGATGAAAGTGGTTAATTTACTTCTTTAAAAGTCTCAAAACAGCCAGTGAGACACATTTGTTGACTTGGTCGTAAGAGTTAGGGTTCAAAAGGATGCTAAAATATAAAATCTAAGGTGCTTGCTTAGAATTCTGGGGGAAATGGCACCGGTTCGTAGAGTTGCAAAGTAATTTAACTGACCAAGGAGGGTTTCCAACAAACAATGGAAAAACGAATGAACAATGGAAGGGGCTATGGAAGTAGAATCATAGAATCATAGAGTTGGAAGAGACCACAAGGGCCATCGAGTCCAACCCCCTGCCAAGCAGGAAACACCATCAGAGCACTCCTGACATATGGTTGTCAAGCCTCTGCTTAAAGACCTCCAAAGAAGGAGACTCCACCACACTCCTTGGCAGCAAATTCCACTGTCAAACAGCTCTTACTGTCAGGAAGTTCTTCCTAATGTTTAGGTGGAATCTTCTTTCTTGTAGTTTGGATCCATTGCTCCGTGTCCGCTTCTCTGGAGCAGCAGAAAACAACCTTTCTCCCTCCTCTATGTGACATCCTTTTATATATTTGAACATGGCTATCATATCACCCCTTAACCTCCTCTTCTCCAGGCTAAACATGCCCAGCTCCCTTAGCCGTTCCTCATAAGGCATCATTTCCAGGCCTTTGACCATTTTGGTTGCCCTCCTCTGGACACGTTCCAGTTTGTCAGTGTCCTTCTTGAACTGTGGTGCCCAGAACTGGACACAGTACTCCAGGTGAGGTCTGACCAGAGCAGAATACAGTGGCACTATTACTTCCCTTGATCTAGATGCTATACTCCTATTGATGCAGCCCAGAATTGCATTGGCTTTTTTAGCTGCCGCATCACACTGTTGGCTCATGTCAAGTTTGTGGTCAACCAAGACTCCTAGGTCCTTTTCACATGTACTGCTCTCAAGCCAGGTGTCACCCATCTTGTATTTGTGCCTCTCATTTTTTTTGCCCAAGTGCAATACTTTACATTTCTCCCTGTTAAAATTCATCTTGTTTGTTTTGGCCCAGTTCTCTAATCTGTCAAGGTCGTTTTGAAGTGTGATCCTGTCCTCTGGGGTGTTAGCCACCCCTCCCAGGTTGGTGTCATCTGCAAATGTACCATACAGACTGCTTAACCAGGAAGCTATTTTGAAAGGAACTTCCCGTTTTGCTGTCAGTCACAGGATGCAGACAGGTTTACCTTGAACTCCCTGGATTCATCCAAGAACCAGAACTTCACGTGCCGGTGGCCGACAGTAACAAAGTAGCTGTCCTCTGAGAAGGAGATGGCCATAACCTTGGAGGAGATTTTATTGGAGGCAATGAGTGTGCCTTTCTGCAAAACAGAAGCATGAATACCCACCAGTCATTCCGGCAGGAGATGCAAATGGCACAAATAGCCCTTGAGCAGAACCCATTAAGAGTATCCATCAATCTTTTCCCAGTGAGAATGTGTGATAGGAATTTTGAGGTCTTAGATACATGGAAATGTTCATAAGTGTACCAACCAAGCACGCACATAGATCAGCACAGGAAGCCCGACCTGGAACCATTTTGATTCCCAAACTGTTTTCCCAAATGTTTTCTCTGCAAGGTCAGAGGAAAATGGAAAAGCCTCCCCATTGTCTTTTCCTTCACAAATCCTGTCTTAAGGGAATGTCTGTGTTTGAATAGGGTGTGAGCCTGTGACCTGGCCCAGGAACTAAGTATTTATCATTACAAAAGACTAGCCAGGCTACCCAGGCAATCCAATCAAGTGAGCTGCCAGACAGGAGATAAAACAACATTCAAATTTCTGTTTTAAGACCGCCTTTTCTGTGATGTAGGTACGATGTATCTGGGGGGTGGTCTTAGGTTACACCCTTTCTGTGATGAATGCATAATGTTTCTGGGGGTGGTCTTGATCTACAGGGTGGCAATTTCAAAAGTCTTTATAAGCCCTTGCACAGCATTTTTGGGGGTCCTTTTCCTCTCCTGCGTGTGAGGGGAGCACCCTGTTGCAACAGATCAATAAAGATCAAGCTTACTAGCTGCTTTGCTTCTCAATATTCTTTTGTTGGCCTCTGTTATCTTCTCCTACCAATAGGGAACCTATGTAAGGACTCTATATGGGCTCTTGGATACCCCATAAGGGAAAAGGGCAATTTTTGTTTACAACAGAATGTATATTAAAGCACACACCATTGCATTCCTCTCCCCACACCCAGTCTTCACACTGAATAACCTGCACATTCCCGGTCCTTGCACACCTTCTCCCACTGAGACACCCTAACATGGCCTGATCGGAATTGTAGTCCAAAGAGCCTGGAGGCCATCAGGTTGATGAAGGGAGGCCCCAGCATCTCAGATAACATCCTGGCCCTCAAACACGGCAGTGGCTACTTGCTCCTGCACCCCACCTTCCGGCGCCTTACCTTCCAGTCCCACACGTTGACAATCATGTCATGCGGATATCCCACTGAGACCAGGTATTTCATATTGGGGGAAAAGGCCACACACGCCACGCCGTGCTTGTGGCCGTGCAGCTCCGACACTTGGGTTTTCTCTTCGACATCCCACACGCGGACTGCCGGCCTGTGCCCGTTCTGCAGGAGGAAAAGCCAGAAGTGTGGTCACTGGGACCATGGCTAGACAGTGCTCAGCCCACGCTGATTCCACCAGGCCACTAGAGATGGAGGGAGCAGCCAAATCGCAGGGCCTCTCCATTGGCTCCGTTAAAAGACCAGCTGGATCAAGCCCCTCCCTCACCTACCCCTGCCGCGGAGAGGGTGAGAGAGATGGGACTCCAGGGCTCTCCCTTGGCTCTGCTGAAAAATCAGCAACTTCTCTCCACGTTTCCCCATTTCTGCTATTCACTTCAAGGTCTCCGTCACTGAGAGCCGACGCCTGAGCTTGCTCTTTTCCTACTCCCTCCTATTCTCTTTTCCTTTTGTGTTGTTGACTCTGAGATTGTGAGACTGAGAGGAGGGACCACCTTTTCACTGATATTTGCAAGGTGCTCAGGAACTATTTTTTGCCAACCACCACCAAGGGACTTCCTTGAAGGATGTGCAGAGAGCACTTCTTGCTCACTTGCTGATGGGTTTTTTCCGGTCATAAGGTGTGACGTGTAGGCCATCTTAAGCTCTGGCACGTCTCTTGATAATTCTCACACGGCCACCGTCCATGCCACTCTACGGTGGGCTCAGAGAAAAGAGAAACGGTTTAGAACCGTGGTTCCCAACGTGGGGCATATGCCCCACAGGGGGGCAAATTGATTTTTAAAGGGGGCAATTCGATAATGAGTTATTAACAGTGATTGGCCTTTTAGACTTCCTCCACGTGAATAGGACTTCACTTTTTGAGTAATAAGAATTATCTGTTGGGGGGGCGGGCATCAGGATTTTAGAGATGCTTAGGTGGGGCATGGCCAAAAAGCAGTTGGGAACCGCTGGTTTAGAACGTCAAAGGGAGCACACTGGAATCATCCAGCGCTAGAACACCACTAGAGGGCATGATTAAGTAATTTTGAAAACACAAGACAAAATATTCCTATGATTTCAATTGGCATTCTAATCCTAAACACTCTTATTTCAGTAGCTTGTGATGGCCCGTGACTGCTGCATTTAAGATAACACAGGTATCTCCTTTATATTACTTTGCTGTCACCAGCCAGGGATTTAAAGTGGTACGACTGAGGTGCAGGTCTCTTGCCAAAGGGAGTTCCAAGGCATTGCCACAAATTACAACTGATAAAAGGAGGCTTCAAAAATGTATTAGTATAATTTGCACGTTTAGAGCTGTAATATTTTTTTTAAAAAAAACATACTTAGTACTCCTCGCATAATTTTTAAAGAAAATTCATTCAGTAAAAACTCACCTCACCAGTTGCAATATATTTCCCATCAGGAGAGAAAGACAGAGCACTAACTGTTTTCCTAAAAGTGGGAAAAGAACGCCTTTACATTTTATCTCTCCATAAAATGAATTCCAAAGAAACGTCATGTAACTCTGTTACAGGAAAAGCAACAAACATTTATTGCGGCAGAAACCTGCGTGTGGACTAAAGCCCGCTTTTCAGGTGCATGGAATGACATTGCTCCAAACGGAATGGGTGCGAGTCCACAAAAGCTTTTGCCACAAACTAGTTGTGAGTCATTATAGAAAGGAATAATAATAATAATAATAATAATAATTTATTATTTATACCCTGCCCATGTGGCTGGGTTTCCGCAGGAAACAACAAAGAGCTTTAAAGTCATTTGCACATCTTGATGATTCACCAACCGAATACTTTCTTAAAATTATTATTAGCCCACTTCATTATTATTCATTTAAACCAGTGGTGGGGGACCATTTTTTAAAAACCATAGCTACCTGCTAATCAGCTGGTGTTACTCCAATGGAAGTGACATCAGCTGATGGGCAAGGGGACGGGGTTTGCTTCTGCGCTGGCTGAGAACTGGCATGCAGGATTTAACCTTCCACTCATGAACTGAGGGGCAGGGGTTAAATCCTGATTAGTTTGGGTGTGCATTCCTGTCATGAGTAGGAGGAATGTCACACACAGTAGAAGCAAAACATGGAGCTAACTGTAAGCCCTTTTACAAACCGCTGCATGCTGGTCTTTAAACCTCTGGTTTTGGGAAGGTCAAAGTGCTGTGCAGAGCTTTTGCAAATAGATCTGCGCTGCTCTTTAAACCTCCAAAAACTGTAGGTTTGAAGAGAAGTGTGGGGCTATCTGCAAAACGCCATTCAAACTGCTCCACTTAAAGGTCCAAACAGTTGGGGCTTCAAAGCGAAGTATTCTATGATGAGACAGCCCTGCCCTCCAGTCAATTTGGCTCTCCTTATTTAAAACGATTTACTGATCAAATAAACACCACAATGATGTTCTGTTCTCTGGGAAATCACTTTCAACAAGCTTCACCCATACTTGGCCAGGAATTCACACGCAAGCTGCATTATTATTTTTTTACTATAAACACTCCAATTAGCAAGAGTGATACAAAAACTAATATATACATTACCTAGCAGTATTAAAAATATGCTTCTGTTTATTCTGCCGAGGATTTAAAATCACAACCACGCATCTGGAAAGAGAGATCAAAACATTTACATGAGAGTGAATTCCCCAACTCTAAAGAGGGGAAAGTGACTAAATTTTACTGCCTGGACAAATGTACTCAGGGGAGGGAAGCATTCATTTACAAAAACTGTGGTTTATTATCCTGGATTGATCAAATCAACCATACTGAAAATCAACCACAGTTCCTGGTTCAGGCATAATGGCAACCGTGCTTCAATAAAAATGGAAGCAAATGCTTCAAGTCACTTTGTCATACCAGAGGAGAGGGAAAGGAGAACATGCAGGCCTGGTGCTTGTCCAGATTTATTACTATAGAATGATTTAGTATTATGTGCAAATTAAGCCAGTATGACTGGTCACAAGCTCCCTTCCTCTCCAGCAACACAACAGGAAATAGAATATTTGTGGATGATCATGCAGAAGACAATCAACAAATACCACAACAGTGACTAAGAATATCTGTCCAAGGGTCTAATTGATGTCCCAAAGATCTCACCCTGCCCCCCAAAAGACTGGCAAACAAATCCATACTTCCCTTCTAATAGTACAGCTTATTTATAATAATATAATAATAATTTATTATTTATACTCCACCCATCTGGCTGGGTTTCCCCAGCCACTCTGGGTGGCTTCCAACCAAATATTAAAAACAATACAGCCTCCGACATTAAAAATTTCCCTAAACAGGGCCGCCTTAAGTTGTCTTTTAAAAGTAAAATAGTTGTTTATCTCCTTGACATCTGCTGGGAGGGCGTTCCACAGGGCGGGCGCCACTACCAAGAAGGCCCTCTGCCTGGTTCTCTGTAACTTTGCTTCTTGCAGGGAGGGAACCACCAGAAGTCCCTCAGAGCTGGACCTCAGTGTCTGGGCAGAACGATGGGGTGGAGACGCTCCTTCAGGTCTACTGGGCCTTTGAGGCCGTTTAGGGCTTTCAAGTTCAGCACCAGCACTTTGAATTGTGCTCAGAAACGTACTGGGAGCCAATGAAGGTCTTTCAGGACCAGTGTTATATGGTCTCGGCGGCCACTCCCAGTCACCAGTCTCGCTGCCGCATTCTGGATTAATTGCAGTTCATTGCAGTTATTCAAACCACCCGTTTCACTGAGCGTCAGTCTGCAGAATATCTAGCTGCACTGACTACAGCAAAGCACCTACCCTGTTGGATAGGCTATCTGCCCCGTGTTTGGGTCACAAGTTAAAGCACTGCTGGTCTGAGTAGTTATTCCCAAGACTTTCTCTAGCATAACCTGTCCAAAGAAAGAAGAAAGAAAAGAGTGTCATATATCCACCCGTAAGAATGCCATGATTTCCACGGAACGTGAATGCAAGTGGAGAAGTCATGTCCGCAGCCCAGTGACCCAGGAAGGAACTTTCCCTAGGCCTTTGCTCCTCTAGTACAGTTATCATTTTTCATGTTTCACAACAAGCAGAAACTCAGCCTGAGGCTTTTCGCGGCATTCAGATGCTGATTCCATCAGTCACAATGGAAACTTTCAAGTTCCAACTTCAGAATAAGTAGGTAACTGAATGCCAGTTGCTGGAGAGCAAAAGGAGGGGGAAGCTGTCACATTCACGCCCTGCTTGCGGGTGTCCCAGAAGCCTCTACGTGGTCACTAGTGGAACGTGGATGTTGAACTAAGTGGATTTTCGGTCTGATGTTCTTAGTGATGTGATAAGTTTAGACTACAGAATTTCTGCTGCTCACGACGCTGTAGCCTTCATGGCAGCCCTAAAGCATAGTAGACACACCCCAATACTTACTTCCCACCAGCTTTTAACTGGAATTCCCTCCTTCCTTCCAGCACAGTCGTACCTTGGTTGCAGAATGCCTTGGTACTCGTACGTTTTGGCTCCCAAGCACCGCAAACCCGTAATTGAGTGTTCCGGTTTGTGAACGTTCTTTGGAACCCGAACGTCTGAAGCGGCTTCCGATTGAGTGCAGGAAGCTCCTGCAGCCAATCGGAAGCCGCACCTTGGTTTTCGGACATTTTCTGAAGTCAAACAAACTTCCGGAACGGATTCCGTTCGAGAACTAAGGGGCGGCTGTATTTATATGCTGCTTTTCTGACAAAATAATGGCACGTCAAAGTGGCGTACAAGGCAATTTAACCCCATCCACCCCTCTCTCTCTCGCTCAACAGTACATTCCCCTCCCAATTTAAAACATATTGCCCAATCATAAAACATTGCTCATTGTTGTGGGAACTTGACAGATAAAGTACTATTTTAGAAATGTTTCCCCCGCTTCCCTTTCACTGGGAGAACTCAAAGCACCTAATATAATTGATGTCAAAGATTTTTAAAATAGCAAGTTTGTGAAAATATTGAACAGACTTGGCAGCTCAGCTTCCCACATGGGTCTCTTTAAAAAGAACAGGTCTTCCACTAGGCAGCAGAAATTATATAGCAATTGTAAATACTATATAATTTTACAGTCACAGAGGCGCGTCTTTATGCTGGCTCTTGACAGTGCACAATTTTACAACCCACCTTCCTTTTGTGGCTGCATATATTGTTTTACACCCTTTTCAGTATTGTGCTTTAACATTGTAACCCGCCGGGACTTCCGGGGAGGCGCCTCCAGCAATGGCTAAATTCCTCTGACCGGGAGGAATTTGCTCCGTGGGAATCTGGGTCTGGCCGCCACGGTGAAGGCGGAGACCCGTTAAAATCACAGGCGGGAGAAGCCTGTGAGCGTGGGATTCGGCGGGCACCTTTTGCGCCTCCCCCACTCGCGGGGAACCCCGGTTTTTGGGGCTCCGGAGCGACGTGGGGTGAGTGGCGCGGTGCATTGAATCGTCTGCTTCTTCCACGGAGCGAAGCTGCATAGCCGTTGCCGGAGAGCGCTGACCTTTTCCTGTGGACAATTGGATTTTAAAAGTGGTTACCCGTGAGTAGAGTTTAAGCGGAAGAATTGGATTTCTAAATGTTGAATTTGGCATCGTAACGGGGAGGTTCAAAACAGGAAGTCCGCATCCCCCTTTTGTAAATAGACTGAGGCAATGAAGTTGCAAGCTGGAGTCCTGGAAAGTCTTTGGTAAAAGATTAAATTTCCATCGGTAAAGAACAAAACCCCCCTTTGGAGGCAGGAGAAGAGGGGGGGAAGTTGAGGACTGAGTATGCCTGCAGGAGAGCGCGAAGAGATCTAAAACACGGCCGCTCTGACCCTGGAAACGGGCTGCTAGGAGGACTGACGTATTTTGGAATGTTCATTGACAGCGTTTAGAACGTTCATTGACAGCTAGTTAAACAAGAGAAATACATTGTTTCTACTGTTTCCGGCTGTTTCGAAAAGGAGTAAAAGTAACTGAAAATTGAAACTAACTTGAAACTAACTTTGAATTGTTTAAAAGAGGATACTATTGACTACTACAAATAGAAACTGTTTCCCCCTAGTGGAAGCTTTTGAAACCGGTTGCTTTACAAGAGTTGGGTTAGGGAAATTTCCAGCTGCAAGTTAAAAACCGTGAGACTCTGGGACTGACCTTGAATCTTTTAAGTGTTATGGTTAATGGTCAACTGACCAGTCAACTGCTGACAAAACACTAAGGTCTGGGAGGACTTGGCAATAATCCAGGAGAGGTCCACCACCAGGCCCCCTTGCTCTTTTTGTTGCAGCCTTTGTACCAGTATATGTAAAACCAAGAGAAATGTTGACAGAAGAGGCCCTAGTGGCTGCGTTATTTAAGATAAATGACTCATTGGATCAGCTTCACAGGAAAATGGATATGATAAATGCGAAAGTGGATGTTCCAATTACTAAAATTAACTTAAATATAGAAAGTATAAACAATACCAATATAGAAATCACCCAGAAATTGACACAGGAACCGATTTCGGTACGGCAAACTGCGGAGGAGGCCAGGGAAAAAGTTGTTGTTGCTGAATGTAAAGAAACACAACTGGAGAGAAAGAGAAAGAGAGCCCCAGCTATACAGAAGCAACTTGATGAATATAAGTTGACGCTTGCGATGACTGAACTTAAAGAAAAACAGATGAATTTGAGGATTAGAGTTCACCTTTGGTGGACATGCCCAAGGATTAAGACACTTTGGGAGATGATTCATAATGAAATGAAAAAGGTATTTAAATATACCTTTTTGAAGAAACCAGAGGTCTTTTCCTTGGGCATGGTTGGCCAATTGGTGTTAAAGAAGGACAGAACTCTTTTCACGTATGTTACAATAGCAGCAAGAATACTCATTGTGAAGAACTGGAAGACACAAGATTTATCTATCCGGGAAGAATGGCAGATGAAGTTGATGGACTATATGGAATTGGCGGAAACGACTGGCAGAAATCCGAGACCAGGGAGAAGAGTCGGTGGAAGAAGACTGGAAAAAGTTTAAGACTATTTATAGAAATATTGTTATAATAATGAATGTTAGAAAAATGTTGGAATGAAGTTATATGGCTTCAGTAGAAATGCTATAAGGAATTAGGTATAAATAGATTAATAGAGTATTAAAGGGAAATATAAGATTAGAATATGTTAAGATAATTATAGAAGAGAAAACAGAGGAAGATGGAAAGGAATTGCTGAAACAATTAATAGAAGTGGAATACAAAAAGGGAGGTGTGAGGAGGTCGTGGAAATAAGGGAATGAAAGTTAAGATATCGAAATTGTTTTGTGTTTTAAATGGTTTGCGTCTTGTTTTGTCAATCATATGTTCTTTCTTTTCTTTTCTTTTCTTGCTTTTTCTTTTCTTTTTTTGTTTTTTTGTTTTATTGTGTTTAAATGGTTGGAAAATCAATAAATATTATTTTTTAAAACAAAACAAAACATTGTAACCCGCCTTGGGGCGAAGAGCAGGTAATTAATAATAATATTATCCTACCTTTCCACCAAGAAGTGCAGCTCACAATAAAAAGCAAGTGCCTGATATAATGTGTGTAACACATGAATGTGTCACATGACACACGCACCAAACACAACCCCAGGCAAGAGCCCTCAAATACAGAGCCAAGGAGCTGTATCGGCAGCCCCACGCCCAGAAAAAATATCTTTGCCGCAAGAGCAACATCATTTGTTTACAAATTACTGCTAATATGAAATTAATTACTGTACTGTACTGTCAATTTAGTTGTGAATGCTTTAACTTCATTGATTGAATGCTCCATGCAATTTAATGGTGTAATTATAAAGTACATAAGCCAGTGCTTTTTTTCTTTAAAAATGTTTAGGACCGGGTACTCTCATTATCCTACTCATATTGAAATACTGCCCCTCAATGAGGCCAAACTTGGATTCACAAAATGTTTAGGGGTATGCGTCCAGGGTTTGATGAGGCCCTTTATATGTCCAGCTGTCTTTTGTCCACAGCAAATGGTCGCTGTTTTTTGTGTTGAATATATGGTATTTAAAAGGGACCTGGGTGGCGCTGTGGGTTAAACCACAGAGCCTAGGACTTGCCGATCAGAAGGTCAGCGGTTCGAATCCCCGTGACGGGGTGAGCTCCCGTTGCTCTGTCCCTGCTCCTGCCCACCTAGCAGTTCAAAAGCACGTCAAAGTGCAAGTAGATAAATAGGTACCGCTCCGGCGGGAAGGTAAACGGCATTTCCGTGCGCTGCTCTGGTTCACCAGAAGCGGCTTAGTCATGCTGGCCACATGACCCGGAAGCTGTACGCCAGCTCCCTCGGCCAATAAAGGGAGATGAGCGCTGCAACCCCAGAGTCGGACACGACTGGACCTAATGGTCAGGGGTCCCTTTACCTTTATATGGTATTTATGGTAAGTTATGGACCTCATAGGTATCTCAAGCCATTTGCACATGTTGCCGTGCAACCAGTCCATGCAGAGTGTTGGCACCCTATATATAGAAAGGAGCAAACCAGAGACATTTTAGGGAGTAGGCTAGCAGATGGGGCCCATGACTTACACCACAGGAGCTTACACAACACAAAACACTGTTGCTGTACGTAGGTTTTATTTTATTTGTACCTCCAGTTTTTTCCCCTTTAAATTTTTCAGGGGCCCCCAAGAGAGTGGGGCCCTAAGCTAGAGCTTGTTTAGCTTATACTGTACATAAATCCGGCACTGCCTGCGTCCCCCCAGAAAAAAAGCACTGACATCAGCCAATCACGCATCAGAAGCAGTAAGTCAATATACACTATACACATGAATTATGCACTATAATAAATGGACTAAATGCATGGCTGTCAACGTTTCCCTTTTTTTAAGGGAAATTCCCTTATTCCAAATGGGATTCCTCGCAAGAAAAGGGAAAAGTTGACAGCTATGACTAAATGTTTTAACATAACCCGAGATTATTAATCCTGATTCAAACTCACTTCGTTACTAACCCATTTCCTTCCCACTTCAAATGCTTCGATTACTGCATGCAAGCCCTTAGCCCCGCCCACTGCTGTAGCCCCTCCCACAGTCCCTCCAAGCCCCGCCCCTGAGCGGTCTTCTCTCCCGCCTCTCGGCTGCGTTCGAAAGGCATGCTCCTTTGGCCCCGCCCAGCTCCTTGGCCACGCCCACAGCCCCTCCAAGCCACGCCCCTGAGCGTTCTTCTCTCCCGCAGCCCCGCCCACCGGCCCCTTGGCCCCGCCCCTCACCGCCTCCTCCGGCCCCTGGAGTTTCGACCGGCGCCTCAGGCTGAGGAGCGGCGGCGAGTCCGCGCCGGAGGCCAACGGTCGCGCGTAAAAACCTCCTCCTCCGCCGCCGCCGCCGGCCATTTCCCGCTGGCTTGGGAGCTCCTGTCCGAGCCCCGCCGCGGCCTCTCTTTTCTCCGCCGCCGCCGCCGCCGCCTCCTCAGCCGTAACCGTCCCAAACAGCGCGCGGAAAACCGCCTCTGCCCTGCTATTGGGCGGATATCCCGTCAGTCACGCCTGAATGCAGCCAATGAGGAGGGCGAGGCGTGTCCGCAACAGCCGCCTTTCCCCGACGGAGCCGCCGGGTGCGGCTGAGCCAATGAGGAGGCGCTGTCCCGCCCTCCTGGCTCTCCGCGTTCGCGGGTTCGAATCTCCTCTAGCAACGATGCGTGTTCATTTAATTAAAATTTTAAAATCTCATTTCCACCTCCCCTCATCTGAGACGCCTAATCTACTCGATCGGCGGAGTTGACACTGCTATAGGTGCCACATAATGCCCTTGCTGCGTTTGTAACAACTAGCCGCGCCTACCCTTTGGAACTCCCTGCCTCTTGACATCACTGGGCTCTTTGGGGCGCCTGCGAAAAACATTCCTGTTTAGACAAGCCTCCCCAAATGCGCAGAAAGCCAATGCAAACTTTAATCCGTTTTAAAGCATTTTGACTTTTATATGCTTCAAAGCAGGGTTGTAAATTTTTTTTTCACCGTCTTCTGCAAGCTGCTTTGAGGTTTGTTTGTTTGTTTGTTTTCCAATCCAGCAGTGTGTAAATTTTAGGATGATAATGATAATAATAATAATAATAATAAATTATTTGTACCCCGCCCATCTGGCTGGGTTTCCCCAGCGACTCTGGGCGGCTTTCAACAAAGATGAAAAATACATTAAAATGTCACACATTAAAAACTTTCCTGCCTTCAGGGAAAAGGGCTGCTTTCAGATGTCTTCTAAATGTTAGGTAGTTGTTTATCTCTTTGACATCTGATGGGATGAAACAGATCCGGCGAACAAGCGGCAAATTGCTCAACCGTCCATAAAAGAACGCGTCTGTTCAGAGTGCAAGTTTAGAAATCAGAATTTAAAAAGAAAGGAAGAAATGTGTCTACTCAGAAGTAACTTCCACTGAGATCAGCGGGGCTTGATCAGCTGACAGCCCCACGGAACAGGAATCACTTCTGAGTAGGAAAAAAACCTCTTTTTTTTGCTTTATAAAGTGTGTGCATGCGCGAGCGCACGTGTGCATTACTCTGCATTTCATGACGTTGCCTCCTGGGACTGTAATGGATCCGAGTCACACGTGGTTTGTAGTTTCCGGGTTGCCTTTGGACGCCCAAACAAATCGGAATTGTAGAATCGACTCATGGGATTGTAGAGCTGGAAAAGGTGCAGAGGGTCATCTGGTCCAACCCTCTGCAAAAATACCCGAGCAGCGGTCTTTCTACCTTACCCCCCCCCCAAAACAGGAGTTCTTTCTCTAACGCAGGACCATGTACCAGTTTACAAACTTTGAAAACGTTGGCAAACTTCTCAGAACCACATTCTGCAACTCAGACGAAGAGAGAGAAGCATAGGAAAGCGATAGGCAGAAAGGGCACGTGAAGTGAAGAGAATTAAAAGTGAATCCCATGTTTCCTGTCAAGGGAAGTTTTTAATGTTTGATGTATTTTAAATATTTTGTTGGAAGCCGCTCAGAGTGGCTGGGAAAACAAAGCCAAATGTGCGAGGTATTATTATTATTATTATTAATAATAATAATAATAATAAATTTCCCCACACGAAATAAAATCCCAGGTGGTGGTGGTGGGGAAACAGCCGCTCCTCTCTTGGCTTCTTGGACTCTCAACCTGTGGGTCCCCAGAAGTTGTTGAACTACAACTCCCATCACCCCTAGCTAGCAAGGCCAGAGCTCAGGGATGATGGGAGTTGTAGTCCAACAACATGGGGGGGCACGGGTTGAGAACCACTGCTTGGAGGGAGGGAGACCTGCTCCCCGGTGAAATATTTCCAGCTTGCGATGGGCGTGGGCAGCTATTTCCCTATCTCTACGGTCTCACCCGCATTGCCCCCACCCGCACGTTCTCTGCATTTTCCTATCTCTACGCTCCCACTCCGGGCGCGATTCTCCCGGATGCCGGCTTCCCGGGCCCCGTCCGCGCGTGCGCGAGGGCGGAGTCTACGGGTCGGGAGGCGGGACCCGAAGGAGGGAGGCGCTGACGCCGCGACGTCAACAACCGCCGGGCGCCGCTTCTCCACAGGTGCCGCCGAGGCCGCGTGAGGGAAGCGCGGCTGAGAGGAGGAGGAGGCGGCGGCGTCGGCCATGACCAAGTACTGCCGGGCGCCCAACTGCTGCAACTCGGCCAGGGAGCCGCGGACCGACAACCGGCGCCTCAGTTTCTACAAGTCAGTCAACTTTCGGGAAGGGGGGGGAGGGGCGTGACGTCACCGGGGGAAACAAGAACGCGGGGGGGTTGTGACGTCGCGGGGGGGGGGAGAAACGGGGCGCGCGCGCAGCCAGTGCCGGATTTATTTGTCCCCCCCACCCCACCCCACCCCAAATTATGAGTCTTTGTAAATTGTGTTTCTCAATGAAGTTATTATTATTATTATTATTACTATTTAATTGCCAAATGCTAATGCGTTTGCATAATTCAGTTTGTTAGGAATAAAAAAAAAATCATTTTAAGTTAGAGCTCAATAATAATTTCGCTATTAATATACTACTTCTTAATTGTGTTTCACTATTAATAGACTTAATTGTATTTCAGTCCAACAGTTACTTTGGTAAAATACATATTTTGTGATGTGCCAATGGCTTGAGATACCTATGAAGTCCATAAATTACCATATACAGTGGTACCTCGGGTTACAGACGCTTCAGGTTACAGACTCCGCTAACCCAGAAATAGTACCTCGGGTTAAGAACTTTGCTTCAGGATGAGAACAGAAATCGCGTGGCAGCAGCAGGAGGCCCCATTAGTGGTGCTTCAGGTTAAGAACAGTTTCAGGTTAAGAACGGACCTCCAGAATGAGTTCTTAACCCGAGGTACGACTGTAGTGCGACTGGGACACGACGGGGCCATTGCAAAATCTGCAGCACATGCAACAGCGTTTGAGGCAACTGTGTGCAAAGTTTTGTGGGAATAAACAGGGTGGGCTCCTGAGAGAGCCTGTTTACTAACTGAGCACATTTCTAAGCTGCTTAATATTTTAAAATCTCAAAACCATATTCAGCCTCCGGAACGAATTAAGTACTTAACCCGAGGTACCACTGTATAGCATCTATTCAACACAAAAAAACAGCAACCATTTGTTGTGGACAGAGGACAGCTGGACATGTAAAGGACCCCATTTCCTTCAGGAGCTGAGGGCCGCATCAAACCTCAATCCGGCCCTGTGTGCAGCGCTTGAAACCCACCTGCTCATGGGGAAACCAAGGAAGTGGGTAGGGCACCCCCCTAAAGGTGTGGGTGGTGGTGGGGATAGGGGGATCCCCCCTGGGTTGTGGGTGCTTTAAATCGGGCAACTTACCCGGAACCAGGAGCCATGTGTTTGGGGTCCCGTTTCTTAATCTTTCGCCATATATTTTGGTTGGTGCCCCTGTTTCCACCCGCCCTGGATCAGGCCGTGACCCATTGGTGGGTTCCAGCCCACCAGTTGAAGACCAGTGCTTCAAATCATCATCATCATCATCATTTTGTTAATTGTACCCCGCCTATCTGACTGGGTTGCCCCAGCACTCTGTGCAGCTACCAACATACATATAAAAATATACCAAAACATTGCATATTGAAAAGCTTCTCTCTACAGGGCTGCCTTCAGATGTCTTCTAATGGTTATATAGTTACTCAACTCCTTTACATCTGATAAGAGGGCGTTCCACCGTGCATTGAACCCCTGGCTGTAGCCTAGATACTTTGCTGTCTTGTTTGCATGACATCACGTTAAGTCCGCCTTTGCCAACCAGGTGCCAGCCTCAGGTGGAATTGTAGCCCAAAATTGCGGGGGGGCGGGCGCAGCAGGCACCAGGTTGGTGTAACTGGCTTATCCCAGGCCTGCCAAGCTCAACATGTCGACACCGGCATGTATATTATGATTTGTTTCTAAGACTGTGGTCCTTGGAAGGAAGAACGTCCCAGTACTTTTCCTCGAATTTCACTTCCTAGTAAGCAGCGTCCATGACTTCCACCACATGGGTTTTATTTCTTTTCACCCAACCTGAGGAAGCCAGAAAGAGGAACCAGAATATGTTGTTATGCTTTGTAACACGGTCATGTTGCATACATCTCAAGCCACTTTGGTTGTCCGTTTTTGCAGAAAAACAAGATATCGGTACATTATTATTTAGTCTTTCATTTCTAGAGCTTCAGATACGGAATGTTAACCTTGGGGGTTGACTCTTGAATGGATAGTGAAGAGCCCTCCCGCCTTCTCAAAGGATTCTTTCAGGGAACCTCGAGATTGCTTCACCCTCCTGCTATCTTCCTTCTTCTTAAATCCTGAATAGCTGCTTTTCTAAAGCCACTTAGTAGTTGCTAAGGCTACTTAATTCACTCTCTCCTTGATAATAGGAGACAAGCCAAACTAGATCAGAAGCTGGTGATAGGAGAGCCTTACGGGTGGGGTGGTTGTTGCTTTTTGCATTTCTTTTGGAAGTGCAGGGTGGGACTAAATATGGACATTAGCCCTGGGGGAAGAATAGTTTAATCATCCTCTCTCTGCCCCCGCCTTGCTATTTTCCCAGTGTAAATCTTCCTCCCACCTCTTTTCTCCAGTGGGACTATTGTAAGGGGGGAATTTACCTTCCTGGAAGCAGGGCAGGGTCAGGAAAGGAGTATCCTTTCCCCCAGCACTAAGGCTGTGTACATACCTACGCCTTTAAAGTACATTGAGAGAACATTCTTTCCCCCAAAGAATTCTGGGCATTGTAGATTGTTATGGGTTGCTGAGAACTGTAACTCTGTGAGGGGTGAATTGCAGCGCACAGAATTTTTTTGAGGTGAAAGTATGTGTTTTGAGTGTTCTCTCAAGGTATAGTGTGTGCAGGGCCTATGATTCCGATCTGATTCACACTTGCGCACCCTGTGGCTGCTTTTTAAATAAAAAGGAAAGAGATTGGATATTCAGTCACTCAGCTTGTCTCATTTGACTGTTAAGGTGTGTATGTCTCCCTTGTAAAATGAGGGTGTCCCACATTGTACTATGTATGTGTTTGACAAAAGGGTGCTCAGGTGTGTCAGTATATTTGTTTATTTGGCACCAGCCATGCACGTGCTGCCTTAAAAAGACCAAAAGGCAGCAGGCAGAGGCTGGCCCATAAGGGCAAGTATGGTTTTGCCCCACCAACCTTAGTCTGCCCTCAGCCAGCCAGCTATCATCTGCCTGTCTTCTATCTTAAATCCAAGCCATAGAGTGGCACTGCTTTGCCAACTGCATCTTCTTTAGTCTCAGCATTGTCCTTGTAAAACTCAGCAGGGAGGAGGATGGGGGCAAAACCAGAATTTTTTAGCTCTGCCTGTCATTGGCTCTGCCTCTGCCTGCTTTCTGTCCGGGTAGACACCAGACACCCCTGGCGAAAGGACAGGTCCCTTCCCAAGAGACTTACACGCTAGAGAAAAAATTAGGGAGACCACAGGTGACCTGGAGGGGAATGGAGGCCTGGGCCAAACAGGGGAGGAACATGCATTTATTTCAGCTACAGGTGTGTAGACTTTGGCATTTATTCACTCCTCCACACAGGTTTCCTCTGCACAATCCTGAACGTCTCCAGCAATGGCTCTCCCAGATGAACCAGGAAAATTGGGTCCCGACGAAGCACCAGCACTTGTGCAGCGAGCACTTTGCCCCGTCCTGCTTTGAATACCGGTGGGGGGCGCGCTTCCTGAAGCCTGACGCTGTTCCCACCATCTTTCAGACCTCAGAAGGCTCGCTGGTGAGTGGTTGGTCACCTGCCAAGAAAGTATATTGGAGAATTGCCATTTTCCCAGCTGATGTTTTTGCTGGGTGGTGTATCAGTAGCTTAAGAACATACCAGAGGAGCAGGGATCCTCTGGCCAAAAGCTGTGGCCATGTTTGCCTCTGGATATGTCTGCCTCTGGCACATGGCCCCCCAGGAGGCTACTCCTTAAGCAACATGGCCCCTGGGCTGAAAAGGGTTCCTCAGCCCTAACATAGCATTTAAATAAAATCTGTTTGGAATTGGAGGCTTTTCTGTAGTAGATGCTCAGGTTGGGTTACAGCAGTGAAAGAAAAAAGTGAGTTGGTAGCCGAAGAGTGTTTTTTTTCAATTGTATTTCATAAAATGTATACACTGCTGGATTGTAAAAGGGGGGGGATCCTTAAAGCAGTTTACAAAAAATGTATTGAAATTAACGAAAAGAATGTAAGATTTTCAAAGAGTTGAAACTAAAAACAGATTAAAACTTGCACCGGCTTTCTAAACATCTGGGTAGGCTTGTCTAAGCACAAATGTTTCTAGCAAGGGAAAGTGCCAGCCTGATATCAATGGGTGTTAAGTCATTTTGGTTGTGCGCTCAAATTTAGCAGCCGAAAAACCCACAGCAGACGGCTGGTTAAATTTCAGAGTGGGCCTGGTCATGTTATTATCCCATGTTAAATCTCTCCACTTTTGTGTTTGGGAGATTCACTTGCTAATGACAGAAGTTCAGTCTGTACTGGATCCTTGCATGCCTCTTTGCTCTCACAAACTGTTTACGCTGATAGCATTAGTTAGATGCAGCCTGCTTTCTAGAACTGCCCCCCCCCCCTTGGTGGCTGCTATATATATATCTCAGCTGCGCAGCATCTTGGACTTGGATCCGAGAGCAAACAAACCTTTGCCATGTGATTTGTAACACAGAATAATAAACACCGCAGAGTATTGGGTTAAGAGGTGGATTTGTGTATGTTCCACTGCTGGGAGCATGTTTTGAGGGTAATAACCGCTGTGTGCACACAGCAAAGCAGTTAATGCCACGTGTCCTAAACACTGGGCTATGTCAGGGGAAGATCAAAGGCTGGCTGAAGAGGGACCAAAGCCCTGAGTGTAGAATGATGCCCTGATCTTTTCCTTGGTTACTTAGGTTCTGCACTCCACATGCTGCAGCATTGTAGAAATGTCTGCGTTTATTTGAAACACTTTTACCTGGCTCTTTGGCTCGTGTGAGATGAGTGATGGACAAAATGGTCCCTGCCCCACAGGCTTACAATCTTAATAACAGGCCACAAATTGGAAAAGAGCTAGGGTAGGGAAGCAAAGAGACATTGGTTCTTAAGTTTACGCAGTTCTTATAAATGACCAGCTTAAATATAAAATGGCTGAGGGAGAGGAGCAGAGCTAACTGAGTGGCGCTGCTTTCTCATCTCTTCCTGTGCTGCAGACTGATGGAATGTTTTGGTCTCTCTCCCCTGCCCCCCCCCTTCCTCTGTGGGCTCCTGTAATGGGTGACCTGGAGTAAGAGTCCTAAAACTGGAGAGGAGGAGTATCATCTGGCTGATAATGCTTAGCCTCTAAATAGTGCTCTTTCAGTGCTTAAGGTACACATTTTCAGCTATCCCTAATGAAAACCTCTGCAACATATGAGCATTATTATCAAGGCCTTACTGACTATCTAGAAGAAAGGCAAAGTCATCTCCCAGATGTCAGTTGGATGTCTTGCTTTCTGAAGCACCATATGACAGGCGGGCACCAGCTCTGTCCCATGTGGTCATGCTGCCCTCAGAGGCAAAAGCACAGCGTGAATTTGGCTGGGACGGAGGTGGTGGCAGTGGTGGCAAACTCGTCTCCTGGCAAACAAAGGCCAGACAAAACCCATGGATTCCTGGTCACTGTCCTCAAACAGTATGGGATGACTGGGGCTGCAGATACACCACATATTTAAAGCACGTTATCTGCGCCAAAGAATCCTGGGAAATGTAGTTTATCCCTCACAGTTTACTACTCCCAGCCCCTGTAACAGACCACAGTGCCCAGGATTCTTTGGGAGAAGTCGTGTGCTCTAAATGTACGATGTATAAGAATGGATTGGCTGCCTGCTGAGTTTGTAGCTCTGGTGGCATTTGGACTGGGCGCTTCTCAGCTCACACCGAAGTTCTCCACCCCCTCTGGCATTGTAGCAATGCAGCAATCCAGCAGCCTAGATGTGGTCGGGAATGGTCTGCTATCAGCCCTCCCGCCTGGATGCAGCAGAGGAAAGGCTGGGAGACCCTCCCTCCATTGGCTCTTTATCACCGTAACCTACCCCTGGGTAAAGGGCAGATAAGAAATCGCATGAATAAGTCGCCCTTTGGTTCCTCAGAAACCATTCTATTCAGGGCATGAGGCATTGGTGTAGCTTTATGTAGAGCTAGTGCAGGCTTCCTCAAACTCGGCCCTCCAGCTGTTTTGGGACTACAGCTCCCATCATCCCTAGCTAGCAGGACCAGTGGTCAGGGATGATGGGAATTGTAGTCCCCAAACAGCTGAAGGGCTGAGCTTGGGGATGCCTGAGCTAGTCCTTGAATTTCCAAAGAACATAAGAGCCTTCTGGATCAGGCTGATGGCCCCTGTAGCCCAGCATCCTGTTCTCACGGTGGCCAACCAAATGCAAGCAGGATTTCAAGCACAGGAGAACTTTCCCCTCCTGTTGTTTCCAGCAACTGATATTCAGAAGCGTTGTTGCCTCCCAGCTGTGGTGGCACAGCAGAGCCATAATGGCTAGTAGCCATAACTAGGCCTGTCCTCCTCCATCAATCTTCTCTTGAAGCCGTCCGCGTCGGTTGCAGTGCTCGTCTGTTGCATCAAAGAGTCTTGTGGTACCTTCAGGCCCAACACATTGGGTTTTTGTTGTTTGTCTTGCATCTGTCTTATGCCACAATAAATCTGTTTAGTCTATTTTAAGGCACCACAAGACTTTTTGTGGTTAGTGCTTGAATGTGCTTCTTCCCCTGTTCTCTTTTTTCAATCTGTATCTTGCCTCTTAGACTAAACCTGTGAGCAAAGGCTGTGGGGTGTTCTTACCATCTTTGCACAGCTCATAGGAAATATCAGGCACTTTAAAAACAAGGGGAAGGAATGCAGTGTGGGGTTCAGGGCCTCCTCTTGTCTAGCTCACCTTGTGGGGGGATCGGTAGAGATGTGCTCTATGTGGGGCTACCTTTGAAGGTGACCTGGAAACTACAACTAATCCAGAATGCAGCAGCTAGATTGGTGACTGGGAGCAGCTGCCAAGACCACATAACACCAGTCTTGAAAGACCTACTTGGCTCCCAGTATGTTTCAGAGCACAATTCAAAGAGTTGCTGCTGACCTTTAAAGCCCTAAATGGCCTCGGTCCAGTATACCTGAAGGAGTGTCTCCACCCCCATCGTTCTTCCCGGACGCTGAGGTCCAGATCCGAGGGCCTTCTGGCAGTTCACTAATTGTGAGAAGCCAAGTTACATGGAACCAGGCACAGGGCCTTCTCGGTGGTGGTGCCCGCCCTGTGGAACACCCTCCCAACAGATGTCAAAGAGAAGAACAACTACCAGACTTTTAGAAGAAATCTGAAGCCCTCTTTAGAGAAGCTTTTAATGTTTAACAGACTACTGTATTTCAATGCTTTGTTGGAAGCCACCCAGAGTGACTGGGGAAACCCAGCCAGATGGGCGGGGTATGAATAAATTATTATTATTATTATTATTATTATTATTATTATTATTATTAATCTTGGAAGGACAGCTGCTCATTTGTCTGCTTTCGCTTTTGCAGAAGAGGGAAAACCCGGCCAGGACTTCCTCCGATGTCCCAGCTAAGAAGCTCATCATTGAATGCCAAGGGGAGAGGAGCATGCCGGGACCCCAAGCCATAAGCCGCCCCGAGCCCAGCGCCCTGGAAACGCTTGCCATCGCCATTGACCCCAGCGTGGCAGCTGCCCCGATCTACGTGGAGACCCAGTCCTCCGCCTCAGACTTCCCTGCCCTCTCAGGGCCCTTGGTCGGGGCTGTGAACCTGCTGCCTTTGGTCCAAATCGTGGAGCCCCTCAAGGCCGTGACGCTGACTGTGTCTTCCCCGCTTGATGCCAGCCAGCCTCTCCCGGACCGGGTGGAGCAACAGGTGGTTGACTTCTTGGCCTCGCTGCCGCCGGCGACCCTAGAAGCTACGCCGGGCTCGTCCCGGGGGGCCTCTGAGCCCTTTTGTGCAGAGGTGGCCGTGCCCTGCCAGGTGGTGGCGGCTGCCAACCAGCCGCCGCTCCAGGCCCTGATGGCCGACCCAGCCATGGCTCCGGAGCAAGGGGCGCTCGTCATCGAGAACGTCTCCATCGAGCCGTTTCTGGAGACTGACCCCTCCGCCGCCGCCGTCCTGCGTTCCCTGCAGGAGCCGCCCGCCGAGGTGGTGGCGTACTTCGAGACCATCCCGACGGCGCCCATCACGGCCGCCGCCTCATCCGGCGTGACCCCCCCTGAGACGGTCCTGTCCTCCGCCCTGAGCCTCCCCATTGTCTCCACCGTCCCCATCGTCTCCAACCAGGCACCTCCGAAGGCCCCCCCGGCGGAAGAGGAGAAGCTGGAGGAGCTGAGCTCGGCCGAGTCCTTGGAGGAGCAGCTGGAGGAGCACCGCTACCACAAGCACGAGGGGACGACCTCTGAGCTCGTGGAGGTGGTGATGGGCCTTCAGAAGAAGGTGAAGGTTCTCCAGCAGAGGCACCGCCGGCACTGCGCGAAGCTGGAGGCCATGGAAGGGGTGGTGGAGCAGCTGCGGAAGGAGAACCTGGTGTCCGAGGAGAAGCTGAAGCTGCTGGAAATGGTAAGCTGGCTTTGCAGGGCGGCTGGTCTCCTTGGGCTGCAGCTGGGAAACGGAGAGAGGCGAGCACGCGGCGGAGATCAGGTCTGCTGGGATTTCTCAGCTTCTGCGTTTTCCTCTTTAAGCATGCAGTTTCTAGGCCTCATGAGTACAGGGGGCGGTTGGGAATATATATAAAAGGGAAGAACCTTGAAATAATCGAGGAAGGTAAGTAATGGGTTTTGGGGATAGGGGGTTCTTTTTAAAACACACACACACACACACAGGTTTTCCAATTTAATAATAATAATAATAATTTATTTATACCCCGCCCATCTGGCTGAGTTTCCCCAGCCACTCTGGGCGACTCCCAATAGAATATTAAAAACACAATAAATACATCAAACGTCTAAAACTTCCTTATACAGGGTTGCCTTCAGATGTCTTCTAAAGGTTGTATAATCATTTCCTTGACATCTGGTGGGAGGGCTTTCCACAGGGCGGGTGCCACCACCAAGAAGGCCCTCTGCCTGGTTCCCTGTAACCTCACTTCTCGCAGTGAGGGAATGGCCAGAAGGCCCTCGGAGCTGGACCTCAGTGTCCGGGCTGGACGATGGGGGTGGAGACGCTCCTTCAGGTATACAGGACCGAGGCCGTTTAATCCAGTAAAGGCCACATTAAAAACATTCCGAATTATAAAATAATAAAACATTCCAAATATTAAGCCAAATCATAAATCTTTGTTTGACTTCCTACGCTCTGAGGCTGGAGGGTTGCCATCACCTCACATTTGTGCTGCTTTCTTAATTAGTCCATGCGGTTCCCATAAATCCGATGTTAATCCTTCCTTCGTTTTCACAGCCTCTGAGTTCGTCCCGCAAGCAAGTTATATCAAAACAGTTTCTATGTGGGTGTTTATCTTCTTCCATGTCTTTCACTTTCACTTCTCCATGCCTGTATTATCCAATACGACACATCCCAAAATGGAGGAAATCTGGCTTTCTGCCCATTGTTCCAGGCATAAGTCCAAACCTCTTCGTTTCATCTCATACCAGAACAGACAAGCCTGTACTTTGGCTAGAAGCCTCAATTCCCAACTTCCACTCTTAACAGTCCTTCAAAATTAATTGCAAATTCATATATCTTTTCCACACAGTTAATAATTAGATCAAAATTATGTCAGTATTACAGTACAATACCATCTCGCTTGTGTACATAATCAATCGGCAGTAGTAGTAATAATAATAATAATAAATAAATTTATTTATTCCCTGGGCGGAGCCGGGCTCAGGGTGGCTAACATCAATAAAATTTCAGTAAAAACATAATAAGGAAAAAAAGAAAAAGAAAAAAACAATTTAAAATACAGGTTAAAATGCAATTTAAAATGCAGCCTCATTTTAAAAGTCAAACTTTTGGCAAACATATTTGCCAAGTAAAGTAGCAAATATGCAGTATATCAAACAGAAACAAAGGAGGCTCACCCCCCTTCCCGTTCCAACATACCAGTACCTTAATAAAGATAGTCTCTCTTCCATGGGTTTTGGCGGGGGGTTCTTTCCTTGGTGAGGACATGTGTTCCCCTGCCCAGCCTTGCGCTAAAGGTTCCGCAGCTGTTATCCACAATAGAGCCTCCAGTTTCAGGGGCAGTCTAGCTCACAGTCGCATCCAGAAGCAAGATGGTGGATGAGACGAAGCCGCTTTGGCCTGCTCCACCAAACCCACCCTTGCATGTCTTGTTATGCTGCTGTTTCTACGGGGATCTACGCTCGGTATTCATCACTCCTGTTATACAAAAATCTCCAAATGGGTCCGAACTTCAATGTCTAAAACTCCTGGTAGAGGACAAGGATCTAGAGATCATGCTAAGGGTGGCCAAATTCTGTGCGACTGCCATAAAACTTAGGGAACAAGCTGTACAGTCAAAATGATTAAGGTTTTAAATGAAAATTTTAGGTTATATTTTAGTGATCAAGATTTAATATATATTTTTAACTGCCGGTATATCTAAATTGTCTCTGTTATGCCCAATTGCAACTCAATGTATTCCTGTTGTGTTTTATGATTTTCCTGATATTGTATGTGAGCCGGAACTGGTCTGTGACCATAATAATAAAAATTCACCCTTGCACCTGCCCGCTTCTCTTAAACATCTGGAGGGCAGCATGTTGCCTAGTCTTGGCTTCTGCATTTATTTCAACAACTTACAGGCCACTTAATTACAGGGGTTGGACTGGATGACCCTCTGGAGCCCTTCCAGGTCTACAGTTCTGTAATTCTATGAGCCATAGCTCCACGGTAGAGCATCTGCTTTGCATGCAGAAGAGCACTTCTGGATCAGGCCAGTGGCCCACCTAGTCCAGCATCCTGTTATCACAGCGTCCAATCAGAAGCCTATTATGGGAAGCGCGCAGGCAGGACCCGAGTGCGAGAGCCCTTTCCCCTCTTCTGGTGTTCAGCAACTGGTTTGCAGAAGCACTGCTGCTTGTGACAGTTTTATTGCTGTAAACAGTTTAAATGAATATTTATTTAATGACACAGTGATATACAGATATTTTCCTAAATGAATAAACCAACAAGGTGTCGGGGAACCTCTTATTTTTTTAATTTTTATTGGAAGTTTTATTTACAACATAACATAAACCCCTCCCCATACAGAAATCCACCCTCATTAAACGTGAACATAACATACAATAAGCATAACATACAACAGTACAAACAACCAAATAAAATACTTCCTTTATTCTGTATCTGGCCTCCTTATTTACTTCTTATAAGCTGTTTCCTTTATGAATAATTATTAAGATTTTTCTAATTATATCTTAAATATCCACAAAGTCTCCTGCAGACAATAATCAAAACAAGTCCAGGTATGTATTTTAGGGCACTGTTTTGCGAAGTATTCTCTGCATTTCCCCCATGCTTTTTGAAACTCTTGTCTAGTGTGATCTCTAACTGCCTCTGTTAATCTAGCCAGTTCAATATACTCTAACAGTTTGTCTTGCCATTCCTTTTTTGTTGGCACAATTTCTTATTTCCAGTTTTTAGCAATTAGGATCCTTGCCGCTCCTGTGGCATAGAGGAGTATTTTCTGATCTTCTCTTCCTATACCTGTGTCCGTTATCCCTAGTAGAAAAGCTTCTGTATTTTTCATAAAGTTAAACATTTTTTTAAGCTCGTCATATACTATATTCCAGAAGCTTCTGGAAGCTTCTTTTGGGGACCCTCTTAACCTCTCCTGCTCTGTTCTCCCCTCACTCAGGCCTGCCTACAGTCCAGCACTCTTGTCCCCGAAGCCGGCGCTGCTGTGGCCATCATCTGCCAGGACAATGACCAGGCGCTGGTCTACGCCGTGCCCCAGCTCCCAGAAGAAGGGAATGAGACCATCATCCACGTGGAGGAGCAGTAATCTCGGAGGTGGCAGAGGGCAGTCAGGATCCAACCTTCGTTGCGTTCCGTGTGGCCGAAGGCACCCGTCAGGGAGGGTCCCGGCACCTACGTCTTTTGGCTGCGAGAATCTCAGGCCTGGCACCACCGGGCCTCTTCTGATTTCAGCTGCCTAACCCGATGGCCTTATTGCGACGGCACCTTATTTTGCGGGAAAGTTGCCTGAAATAATTGTACATAAAAATTGTCTGGGTGGGGGGAATTGAGCCACTGAATGTGTGCGTGTGTGTTTGCCTCTTCTGCGCCTGAGCCTCAAAGCTGCTGCCGCCGCTGCCTCATTTGTCATGATAACCGCTGCTTGGTGTGAGCCAGACTGTCCTTGCCAGCTTGCTTTGCTAGCAAGGCAAGGGCGGACAGGCCCATCTTGGCGGCTGAACTGCTGTACTGCTTTTTGGGCACCTGAAATTGCCGCACTTTGATGTTGGGCTCTCCTAGGTGCCTTTCTAAAGGGCTCAACTTCAGGGCATCTCTCTCTCTCTCTCTCTCTCTCTCTCTCTCTCTTTCTCTTTCTCTCTTCGTGTGTGTGTGAGAGAATTGCCCCCTCTCTCTTCCTGCTTCCAGCAGAACTTAGTGCACAGACGGCTGGTATCTCTGCGCTCTCCACACTTATCAGAAGGCAAAAGTATTTGCTACTTGTCCCCATAGACCTTTCATACCTGGGCACATGTAGGATTATAAGGCCACCCAGTGCCTGGGAGCAGGTGGTATCCATACAAGGAGGGGGTTGAGAGAGGAGCAGAAAGGAATCTCTCACACACACCCTTTGTGGCGAACATGTGGTGGAAGCCATTAACAAGAGGCTGCGATGAATGGCAATCCCACATGCACGCCTCCTACAAAAGCAGATCAGTACACAAGAACATGGCGCCATCCACAGAGCTGAGCTGCGAAAGTGTTTTGAGCGTTCCAAGCGACTCATTTTCATCTTTTCAGCTGCTTGACAGATTTCATAGTAACGGAATCGTTTCAGATTTGGCACTTGCATCAACCCATTGCAGCTCCTTGCGATCTCTTGAAAAGCGATTCTGTTCAGCCGAGTACTGCAAACAGGCCAGGTCTGACTGAAGGCGAAGGCTCGGTAGGAAGATTGTAGGGAGCAGCCTGTCTCAACCGTCTTAATCTTGCAAACTTCAGGGAAGTGCCAGCATGGTGCACTTCAAAACGTTGAAGGCCTGCATTTGACAACAAAGCCTCCGTAACTTACAGCGCAACCACGCAGGTCTGCCAATTCTTGAGCCCAACTCGGGTATTTAAATTCCTCGCATGGGCGAGGAGGTTGAGGATCTCCACCCCCATTGCCTCCCCACAAGGTGGGAGAGCCAAACATCTGCAGCAGGGAGCCTGTTCTGCTTATGTAACCCCCCCCCCCTTTTCCGACAATCTAGAACCCTGGAAGATCAGGATTCTAGAATCCACAGAAAGCCTTCCAACACGTGGAAGGCAATAGTGCCAGCTGCAGAGAACATGATGGAGGGCACTATCCCCATGGCCCCACCCCTGTTCTCCCCCTCACCTGATGCAGCCAGCAGGGTGGGGAAAAGCTTTGGCAGGAAGCGTAGCTGGTTTGCTTAGGGCTGTTGTTTCCTGCTAAGGACCCATTGCTACGCTGAATGCGTTCTGCATCCTATTCCAAGGATCCTGTCGCTGGTTCAGATGGAAGATCGCCTCTTGTCCTTCATCCTGCTTCCCACGGTGACTTGCTGGGTTCCCCTGGGGAGGCTGCCAGTGGGGCTTGAAGGTAAATAGTCCCCCTGCCCCACAGCCAGTGCTCAGGGGCAGATTCTCACATTAGCGGGTGTTGCTTCCCTAAGTCACTCTCATGTCATCGGGGATGATAGTGGAAGGCTTTACAGGAATGTCTGCTTCTCCTTGGGTTCTCTCGGTCTTCTATCTAGACTCCTTTCATCTTTTCTTTGAGGCTGTCCTCTTGCGGCTACCGTCTTAGGGTTTCTTGTCATACAGTATTTTTGTCCCATAGCCAGCCAAATAAAGAGTTGTTTTGAGTTTGTGAGTGAGTGGGTGTTATGGTAAATCCTCCTTTTAAAAAAATGTTATTAAGGTTTTGCTTTTTTAAAAAACAACGACACGGGTCTCTGTAATTGAACGTTAATCCAGGAGTAGGAGGAAAGGCTGGAAAATAAAACGCGACAATGTGATTGTAGATCTTGGCGAGGGGCAGAAACTGACGGTGGGAAGAACCTCACTGGGGGTGGTGGGGGTGTTAACAGTGCTGTAATACAAAAAAAATTACTCTAATAAATGGAATATTGGAAAAACGGTTGAGAATCCTTCTGTAAGTGGAAGCTTTGGCTGCGTTAGAACTTGGAAGAGTTGAATGCCTGTTCTTGGATAACCCCCCCCCCAAAAAAAAAATCCCAAAGAAAGGTTGGAATTGGTGGCCCAAGTTGTGATGGATGTTAGAATTCTTTGGGAGAGTACAGAATGTGATGCCTGGATTTTATTTATATCCTGCAAGGAGCACTCAGTGGCTTACATGGCTGTGCCCTTCTGCAATTAACCCGCACAACAATCGTGCGAGGTTAGAGTGAGAGCAACTCTGCCCAAGCTGGTGCACCCATTGAGCTTCATGGCTGGGGGGGCGCGGATTTGAGCCCAGCTCTCCCAGGTCCAGCACGCTGACCACGATATCATGCTGACACTCAGGGAATCTACCTTCACTTTAAAACAAGCCAGACGCTTTTTAAATGAGCAGGGGTTGGTCTAGATAGCCCCTGGGGGTCCCTTCCAGCTCCTCAATTCTACGATTCTATCTGGAGGGAGCCTCAGGTTGGTGAAGAGGCTGTTCTAATGGGCAGGAAGCCCTGCCTCTCGCTGCTCCCTCTGCAAACTGCTGTTGGGTTCTGATTATTTCACTTACGCTCACACACTGCAAGCAAGGAAGCCCTCTTAGGCTAGCTTGGCATTTAATTGCTCCCTTTTTGGCTACTCAAAGAGCCTAATGGATCCCTGAACGGCTGCACGCTCAACATCTTTCGTATCCGTTTCTCCATGCCATTCCCATTTTAATTACCGCATACCATTTTATAGAGATGGCAAGCGCAAAAATGTTGGAGACTTTGAGTAGAGGCTTCTGAAGTTGATTTGTGGTAATGGCTCCTTCGCTGCCAACTGAATTCCTGGCAAAACCTTGACTCTCGTCCCAGCTGGAGGGGAAACGGACGCGTTTGGGCAGTCTTCAGATGGGGCCACTTTGCCACTGCTTTCAGCATCTGTAGCATGGGCAGGCAAACTAAGGCCCAGGGGCAGTATCCGGCCCAATCGCCTTCTAAATCTGGCCCACGGACGGTCCAGGAATCTCTGTGTTTTTACCTGAGTAGAATGTTCCCTTTTATTTAAAATGCATCTCTGGGTTATTTGTGGGGCATAGGAATTCATTTCCCCCCAAAAAATATAGTCTGGACCCCCACAAGGTCTGAGGGATAGTGGACCGGCCCCCTGCTGAAAAAGTTTGCTGACCCCTGATCTGTAGGTTGTCGGTGGTAATTTGGGGACCTTGGACAGCAACCCTGAGGTTCAGCCATAGCTCTACCACTGGGGAACATGCGCATATGAATATTATTCATATACAGTGGTACCTCGGGTTAAGAACTTAATTCATTCTGGAGGTCCATTCTTAACCTGAAACTGTTCTTAACCTGAAGCACCACTTTAGCTAATGGGGCCTCCCGCTGCTGCCGTGCCGCCGGAGCACAATTTCTGTTATCCTGAAGCAAAGTTCTTAGCCCAAGGTAATATTTCTAGGTTAGCGGAGTCTGTAACCTGAAGCGTATGTAACCTGAGGTACCACTGTATATAATCCAGTGCCGGATTTACGTATAAGCTAAACAAGCTATAGCTTGGGGGCCCCCCAAAAAAATTAAAGGGAAAAAACTGGATGTACATTTCCAAAATATAAGATAAAAAATAAAATAAGACCTTCCTACAGCAACAGTGGCAAATGGCTTTAGATCCCTATTAGGTCCATAAATTACCATACAGCATATATTCAACACAAAAAAAGTGACAATTTGTTGTTGATCAAGGACAGCTGGACATAGAAAAGGCCCCATTACTTTCAGGAGCTCAGGGCCTCATCAAACCTCAATCTGGCCCTGATATAATAGCACTTTCCCCCCAGAACCAGCATACAAGGCGGTCTGCAGAAATAAAAAGAAATACAGATAATACAAGGCTAGAAATAAATGAAGATGGTTCTAAGGTAAATCGGTTTCCTATGGAATGAAACAATTAATTTTTTTTAAAGTATATTAAAACGCAGACAGTCAAACCCACAAGCCCCAGTACTACAGCCCAGCATGAAGTGAGAAGTGGATGTCACGTTGGAGCGCTCCAGAACACTGTGTGTGCATCCTTACAACACATCCTTGTAAAATACAATGTGCAAATGTTAATTGGTTAGAGTACACGAAAACAAATTGCGGTAATAGAAGGCTGTGTGTTAAACGTCAATTACAATACACGTACAATGAGAAGAATTGGAAGTTGTCTATTTAGAAATTCAATGCGGCCTAGGACCCACGTATCTATGGGACCACGTCTCCTGGTATGTCCCACGGAGGACCTTAAGGTCCACAAATGACAACATTTTGGATGTCCCAGGTAGAAAGGTGATTAGACTGGCCTCAATCAGAGCCAGGGCCTTTTCAGTACTGGCCCCGATCTGGTGGAACGCTCTGTCACAAGAGACCAGGGCCCTGCAGGACTTGACATCTTTCCGCAGGGCCTGCAAGACGGAGCTGTTCTGCCAGGCCTTTGGTCGGGGTTCAGTCTGACCCTTATGTTTCCCTCCCCTTATGGTTTTGATCTATGATCTATGGGCTACTTTTAAAATGAGGCTGCATTTTAAATTGCATTTTAACCTGTATTTTAAATTGGGTTTTTTTCCTATTATGATTTTACTGTAATTTTACTGGTGTTAGCCGCCCTGAGCCCGGCTCTGACTGGGGAGGGCTGGGTATAAATAAAATTTATTATTATTATTATTAATGAACGATTGTATAATACAGTGGTACCTCGGGATGCAAATAGGATCTGTTCTGGAGCCCCGTTCGCATCCCAAACGGAACGCAAGATGCGACGGCGCATCTGCACGTGCGCGGGTCGCGTTTCGCCTCTTCCGTGCATGTGCGTGACGTCATTTTGAGTGTCTGCGCATACGCGAGCAGCGAAACCCAGAAGTAACACACTCCGTTACTTTCGGGTTGCCGCGGAGCACAACTCGAAAGCGCTCAACCCGAAGCACATTCAGCTCGAGGTATGACTGTACAGTGGTACCTCGGGTTACATACGCTTCAGGTTACAGACTCCGCTAACTCAGAAATATTACCTCGGGTTAAGAACTTTGCTTCAGGATAAGAACAGAAATCGCGCGATGGCAGCACAGCAGCAGCGGGAGGCCCCATTAGCTAAAGTGGTGCTTCAGGTTAAGAAGAATTTCAGGTTAAGAACAGACCTCCGGAATGAATTAAGTATTTAACCCAAGGTACCACTGTCGGTATAGTTAAAGCTAAGGTTTTCCCAGTAGTGATGTATGGAAGTGAGAGCTGGACCATCAAGAAGGCTGGTCACCGAAGAATGGATGCTTTTGAATTCTGGTGCTGGAGGAGACTCTGGAGAGTCCCATGGACTGCAAGAAGATTCAACAGATCCATTCTGAAGGAAATCAGCCCTGAGTGCTCACTGGAAGGACAGATCCTGAAGCTGAGGCTCCAAGACTTTGCCCCCCTCCTGAGAAGAGAAGACTCCCTGGAAAAGACCCTGATGTTGGGCAAGATGGAGGGCACAAGGAGAAGGGGACGCCAGAGGACGAGATGGTTGGACAGTGTTCTTGAAGCTACCAGCATGAGTTTGACCAAACTGCGGGAGGCAGTGGAAGACAGGAGTGCCTGGCGTGATCTGGTCCAGGGGGTCACGAAGAGGCGGACACCACTAAACGACTAAACAACAACCACTGTAATGCAAGTTCTTGTTTTGTAGGTGTGTGTTTCCCCCTCTTTCTTTTCTTGTCGTAATCTTTTCTTTTTTTATCTTTGTGTGTGTGTGTGTGTGCGTGCATGCATATATATATATATATATATATATATATATATATGTATTTTAATTTAATAAAGATGATTGAAAACAAAACAAAACAAACCAGCCCTGCGAGGTTGGCCACCGTAGGAGGTTGCCTGAGCTTGCAGCGGTGTAGGGATCCGACCCCGGACTTTCCCTTTCCCTCCCCCTCCGCCAAGGAGGCGGGCCGAGCATCCCTCCGTCTGGTGCTGATGCTGCGCGCGCGGGGCGGCGCCTGAGCCTTGCTGCTGCCTCCATTCCGCCCTGCGCGCGTCTCCATCCCCGTCTCCATCCCCGTCGCCCCAGAGGCCGGAGGGCGCGCAGCAGAGGCCCCCTCGCAGGGGACGCCAGCCTCCCACAAGGTAGGTGATGGGGGGCTGGGGGGGACCCCCATCCATCCCTCCATCCCTCCCCACAGCGGAGGGAGAGGCAGGCAGCCATCTCTGGGCGCGGGGAGATCCCGGGCCCGGCCCCTCCATCCAGACCTTCAAAGATGCAAACCCCGCACCTGCGCCACCAAGTCCAGATTCTCCCCATCTCCATCCTTCCCCCCCCCAAAAATACAAGCTCCGCCCCTCATCCTCACGGCTACCTGCTCTCCATAGACCCCCCCAACGCATCTCTGTATCCAACCCTCCTTCCCAGCCACGCACACCTGAACCCCCCCCATATCTAATCTGCCCAACCCTCCTCCCTTTCCGGTATTTCCCATCGCGCCCCATCTCCATTCCCAGTTGCACCTCGCCGTGGATCACATCCATCGCTGTAGACCCCATCCTGACACCCCACCCTCCGTATTCCAGCACCCTGCCCTCCTTCAACAACACACCTATTTGTGGCTCCAGAATCACACCCGTTTCCATCACCTGGGGTAGAGGCCACACCCTATTATTATTAATATTATTTATTATTATTATTATTACTACCACTATTCGACGGGCATCTGCAACTGACATATTGCCATATCCCCCAGAATCCCTCTGGTCTGCCCTCTTCCTCGCTCACACCCATCTTCCACTCCTTGTAAACAGCACCTTCCAGTGGGGTCCCCACCCAAAGCACCCCCATTTCCCTCCTGTATTTGCCACCCTCTCCCCCCCCCCCAGCGGCTTTCTTTGCCGCCTCCTGGCATCCCTTTTCCTTCCAGATATTTGCTTGCCTAAAAACAACACGGCCATTTCCCTTCTGTCCCCACCCCCTAGAACTGCCTGTCAAGACGGGCGAACCATCCCTGAATATCTTTGACAGCCTCCGAAGGCCGCAGGTTCAGTGTGATGGAGAAATAAAAGGCAGCGTTCCTACGTTAATCCCTTGCATGCTTACTCGGAAGTAGGCTCCACTGTCTCCAGCAGGGCTTACTCCCTAGTAAGTGTGTTGCACAACCAATTATACAACCATGCTGCTGCTAAACACTGTCCCAACACATTCTCAAGATGTTATTTTATTTTTTGTTTTAAAAAAGAGGGAAACAGTTCCTTTGAGCTTAGTTGTATATTTTGCTTTGGCATGGGACCGGGTCTCTTGCATAGTAAATGAAGAAAACCAGGCCAGCTGGGTGTGGGGAAGTGTTGTGTAATGGTTAGAGTTTCAGACAAGGAACTGGGAGGTCTGGGTTTGAATTCTCGTTAAGCCATGAAGGCTGATCCTTGGGCCGGGTACTGTCTCTCAGCCTATCCTGCCTCACAGGGGGGTTGTGTGAGGATAAAATGGGATGGGGAATTGACTGTGTATGTAGCTACTGTGAGCTCCTTGGAGGAAAGGTATATAGGTAATCATTAAATCAAACAAATAAATAAATGTGGAAGGGGAGTTGATTGAGAATCACCAGTACACAAACATGTCTCTGTTTTAATCTGTGAAACCCAGGAAGATACCAAAGGCACATGCAGCCAAACTTCCTCTATAAACCCTTAAAGAGAGGGATTTTGAAAAAAATGATCCTTGGCAAATAAAGGGTCTTCTGGGCATGTGTTTATTGTGGGATGGATGCTTCTCGTATGTGGACATTTTTTGCAGAGTCTGCACAGCATCCTTGGCATCTAAATGCCAGCCCATAACCTCCCCCGGCCCACACAAATTTAATCAGGATTTACCCTTTCTGGGGAATACTTGATAAGTTAAAAGAAAACCTGTTGCCAAAGAAGCATCTGCGATATCTGAACGATCTGTTTACAATATCAAGCCCCCATCTGGACGCGCCGAAAAATGATTGACGTCGTTTCCTGCGCCATCCATTGATTCTTCCCAACAGCTCTTTGTGCTCAGAAAGGAAGACTTGCTCATATTTCTACCTCTGGATATGCATTCAAACACACAGAGTTGTGGAGTTTTTTTAATGGAGTTCCAAAGGAGGCTTGGGAATAGCAGTTTTGCAAGAGTGCAGTCAATTTTAGGGGTTTCAAAGTGCCCACTGGACACTCCATATGGAACCAGAGATCGTGGTATCTCCTGAAAGCTGTGCTGTAAAAGGATGTGATATTACGTTTGTATATCCTAGTCAGTATTTGGGGACGCAGTTTTATATCTCTAGTTGAGAGCTGCCAAATCAAGCGGCCCCTTAAACTGAAAATTTGGCCAGTCTTAGGCTGTGTACACGCTATAACTCTAAAGCACATTCAAATAACCTTCTTTCCCTCAAAGAATTATGGGCACTGTAGTTCGTTAAGGCTTGCTAGGAGCTTTAACTCTGTGGGGGTTAAACTACAGTGCCCAGAATTCTTTGAGGCAAATAACGTGCTCCGAATGTGTTTTAAAAGTGCTTAGACTGTAAACCTGCAGGAAGGCCAATCTTGTTTCTAAATTGTGACTAAGCACCTTAAACAGATTTTGAGCACAACATTGTTATCCTTATCAACATCAATGACACCAATGTGCCTTTTGAAGGAAGAGGAACATGAATTTTACAAAATCCTCAGTTGTTAAAAAGACAAGAGCCTGCTTAGAGACTGATTTTTTTCAAAAAATATTATTTATTGAAAAATAAAAAATACAAAAGTACAAGTGCACAGAGTAAGATAAGACACAAAAAAGAAGAAAAAAGAAGAAATAGTATCCATGGAAGAAAACATAACAGAAAAAAGATATTGTGTACAGAACATAAAAGGGGGGCAGGGATTGTTGTTGTAGTTAACCAGACCTTAATCTAATATGGTATTTATAAAAATCAATTCCATATATACACATACTGTAATATACTGCAATATACTGTAATATACTGTATATATAAAAATCAGTTCCAAATATCATTAAATTTGTCCATGGCAAGTCTACGTTTGTACACAACTTGCTCACGTGTAGCAAGTTTGCGGCTCCCTTTAATGACTGGATTGAAGATGTGCTTAGAGCCTCGATATGACCGTCATAGTAATGGGTTGAGTCATCCAACACTGTGTTCCAAAGCGTACAATGAATTTCAGAGGTATAGCCGCATTAATCTGTTACTGTCCGCTCTATTGTGGCACAAACTTTTGCGGGCTAAACCCCACCGTGCACCTGATGGGCTCAGCCTGTGAAAGCTTACGCCACAAAGACTTGAAGCTCCCGCGGGATTTTTAATGGTTCCGGATCAAAATAGTGTTTGCGGTGCTGTTTTGCTGGGACAGCTCAGGTGTTATGGGGCAGGCCTCTCTCCTGTTCCTTATCATCTCAAATCTGGAATGGCTCACAGGTCCTATCTGTCGCCGCACTGCTAAATAAATGGTATCCCCGCGGAGGACCTTAAGGTCCACAAATGACAACATTTTGGAGGTCCCAGGTGGTTAGATTGGTTTCAACTAGGGCCAGGGCCTTTTCAGTGCTGGCCCCGACTTGGTGGAACGCTCTGTCACAAGAGACCAGGGCCCTGTGGGACTTGACATCTTTCCGCAGGGCCGGCAAGACAGAGCTGTTCCGCCTGGCCTTTGGTTTGGACTCAGTCTGACCCTTATGTCTTCCCTCCCCTTATGGTCTTGATTTATCGGCTACTTTAAAATGAGGCTGCATTTTAAGTTGCATTTTAACCTGTATTTTAAATTGGTTTTTCCCCCCTATTATGTTTTTATTGTAATTTTACTGGTGCTAGCCAGTAAAAGCCCTAAGCCCAGTTCTGGCCGGGGAGGGCAGGGTATAAATAAAATTTATTATTATTATTATAAATAAATACTTGCACCCAGTGCTTCCCCCCCAAAAAATATTTAGTGGGTACCCTCATTTCCTACTCATATTGAAATACTGCCCCTCAGTGAGGCCAAACTTAGATTCACAAAAAGTTGAGGGGCATGTGTACCCCCGCGTACCCCCAGAAAAAAAGCAACGCTCGCACCCTTTCCTGAAGGTGTCTGTCTGATAATGCTTTTCATAGAATAAATAGAATAATTGTGGAGGTAGTGGGGACCCCGAAGATCATCCATTCCAACCCCCTGCAATGCAGGAGTCTTTTACCCAGGGTGGGACTCGAACCCACAACCCCATTCTCTACAACTATTTATTTATTTATTTCAAAATTTTTATTCATTTTATAACACAAATAAAGAACACAAACAGAAAAAACAAACAATACAAACAAATTCTTGTCATATCCTTATTTTTCTAAACATTGTTAGGTGAGCTTCCCCAAGTCCCCCCCCATCTGATTTTCATTTTACCTCATCTTTAGCAGTTACATATATCATAATTTCTGACCATTTTTTTAATCACGCTTCCTTTAACCATAAAAATCTTCACATTTTATCCCTTACAAATAATACTATTTTAAAATACACTATTTTCTACTTCTAACCCTACAGCCTATATCCACTTCCAAAGCTACCGTATTCTAAGATTTAAATATTCTCTATGACTATCTAAAGGGATGTGGGTGGCGCTGTGGGTTAAACCACTGAGCCTAGGACTTGCCGATCAGAAGGTCGACGGTTCAAATCCCCGTGATGGGGTTTGCTCCCGTTGCTCTGTCCCTGCTCCTGCCAACCTAGCAGTTCGAAAGCACGTCAAAGTGCAAGTAGATAAATAGGCACCGCTCCGACGGGAAGGTAAATGGCATTTCCATGCGCTGCTCTGGTTCGCCAGAAGCGGCTTAGTCATGCTGGCCACATGACCCGGAAGCTGTCTGCGGACAAACGCCGGCTCCCTCGGCCTATAGAGTGAGATGAGCGCCGCAACCCCAGAGTCGTCCACAACTGGACCTAATGGTCAGGGGCCCCTTTACCTTTACATTTATGACTATCTAAAAGCCAAGTTTGCACAGCGTGAAGATCATGAGGTTGGCCTAAGATAGGTCCGTATATCTGGAAGTTTCAAATTCTGCTGTTCAGCTCCATTCCGATTCTCCTCTGCTTCTCCTCTTTAGCAGAGGGGAAAATCTTCCAGGAGCCATGACCAAAGACGACTCGACGGACCTCCCTTCGGAGGAGGACCACCAGCCGCTGGAATTCCAGAGCCCTGTCCTGGAGCGGAGGAAGAAAGCGATGGTCCACCCTTCTGCCCCAGCCCCACTCCCCAAAGATTATGGTGAGTCCCTTCCTTGAAGTCCATCATTTGCCTTGAATTCCATCGTTCCAAAGCTGGAAAGATGCACAAAATCTGTGCATATTTTGATAAGGCAGGAGCTGGGCGGTCAACGGGTCACAAATTAAGTGGTTGCATGGGATCAGGGCCGGATTGAGGTTTGATGCGGCCCTTAGCTCCTGAAGGTAATGGGGCCCTTTCTATGTCCAGCTGTCCTTTGTCCACAACAAATGGTCGCTGTTTTTTGTGTTGAATATATGCTAGATGGTCATTGATGGACCTCATAGGTATCTCAAGCCATTGGCACGTCGCAAAAGATGTATTTTATCAAAGTAAGTGTTGAACTGAAATACAGTTAAGAAGAAGTCTATTAATAGTGAAATACAATGAAGAAGAAGTATATTAATAGTGGAATAATTATTAAGCTCTAACCTGAAATGATTTTTGATTCGTAACAAACTTAATAATGCAAACACATTGGCATTTGGCAAAAACGAAAGTTCCTTTAGAAACACAGTTTACAAAGACTCATCATCTAGTCTCTAGAAACTTGCTAGAACATGAAATAATAATGGGTGTAAATATATGATCTAAACTACTAATAGTGGTAAATAGCAGAATGTCGGCACCCTGTATATAGAAAGGAGCAAACCAGGGATATTTTAGGGAGCAGGCTAGCAGGAGGGGCCCATGACTTGCATCCTAGGAGCCTACACAACACAAAACACGGTTGCTGTATGTAGGTTTTATTTTATTTGTTTTTTATCTTTTATTTTGGAAATGTACATCCAGGGGGGGTTTTCCTTTACATTTTTTGGGGGCCCCCAAGAGAGTGGGGCCCTAAGCTAGAGCTTGTTCAGCTTATACATAAATCAGGCTTTGCGTGGGATGCTTCAAAGCAATTTCTTCCGCTGTGCTCAGGGCTGCAGGCGCTTTGCATGTAGAAGAAACAAGGTGGTTGCGCCCTAATGCAGAGCAGCTGCTTTGCATGCAGAAGGCCTCAGACTGACTCTCAGGCATCTCCATCAAGCAATATCAGGTGTGTGGGGGGGGGTAAGGAAAACCCCTCTTTGCCCGAAACTCCGAAAAGCCACAGCCAGGGAGAGTAGGCAGTACTAAAGCAGATGATAGTCAAATACAGTGGTACCTCGGGTTACATACGCTTCAGGTTACATACTCTGCTAACCCAGAAATAGTGCTTCAGGTTAAGAACTTTTCTTCAGGATGAGAACAGAAATCGTGCAGCAGCAGTGGGAGGCCCCATTAGCTAAAGTGGTGCTTCAGGTTAAAAACAGTTTCAGGTTAAGAACGGACCTCCGGAACGAATTAAGTACTTAACCTGAGGTACCACTGTAGTCTGACCCGATAAAAGGCAGCTGCATATGTTTCGTACCAAGAAATGCACAGTTTTGCAACCTGTGTACATTAAGCGGATTTGCATCTGTTTCCTAAGTTTGCATAGTTTATTGTTTTCCTGTGCAAGGATAATGGAGCAGTGCAGGACGCCATCTCTTGAAACGCTTTTCCGTCTTTGGAAAGCTCGTCACATTCCTTTAAGCAAAGGATGGCTAACTTGTGCCCCCGTCCTCTGCCCAAATGTAGCGGCAGGTGACCCACCTCCTAATAATAATAATAATGTCTGACAGTTGGCCATGTTGGATGGAGCTGATGGGAGTTCACAGACATCCCATCCCTGCTTTTTAATCCCTCTCTTTGAATCTGCAAGGGTTAAAAATAGCTTTTTTTAAAAAAGGGAAAGAAATCAAAGCAGAGATTATGGAGGCGCAAATTTTTCCTTCCCCTCATCCTATCATATAAATAATAAATCACAATAATCATCACGGATAGAATAACCAGAAATACAAACCTTCTTTCTCCCAGAGACCAGGCCTCTTTTTTTGTGATAAGGAAAGTGAGGGATAGCACTCGCTTCAATGCAACGTCATATTAACCTCCTTGCCACCAAATCAAAAATGAATGTTCACGAAATGGCCAACGGCATCTAATCTCTCTGAAAATAAATCAGGGTAGATGCTGATCGAATGGGTTGTCTGGAAGGGCCCCAGGACGCTATGGCGCAACCTGTTGAGATGGGGGTGTGGGAAAAAAAAGATTTATCAGGATATTATTTTTAACCACCCTCGTCAAGTTCGGAAGCGCAGGGCCCCGGTTACAATTTTTGTTTGCTTGCCTGCTAAAAGTTGGTTAAAAGGAAACCAAGGGCAAAACAAAGCAGGAGAAAACAAAGCGATTGTTTATTCCGGTTGCTCCTAATGTGCAGAATTCTAGGCCTTTATTTATCATAGAATATACACAGTCCCGCCAACCATGTGTTTATCTGCAACATGAGAGAAACAGGCAAAAAAATGTTCAAATGCTCCTTCCCTAAAAAACCTGAAGTCTTCCTGCTAGGAATTATGGGTAATGAAATCCCCCCAAAAGTTCAGGAGAGTTTTTATGTATGTTACAGTCGCTGCCAGAATTCTAATCGCAAAAGGCTAGAAGTAGAGGATATCCCATCTAAATTAGATCGGCAAAACAGGATACGAATATGCCGAACTGGCGAGATTATCAGCAAGGTTAAGAGATGTTACAGGTGAAAAATTTATCAGAGAGTGTGATATATATGTAAAAGAACACGGTCAAAGATCAGTCCATTTGGCAGGTCTTGATTGAGCTTCGGCGTGTAAGTAGGATAATGTTAATATAAAATAAAATTTATAGTAAGTCAAAGAAGATAGAGGAAGTAAAGTAGTTTAAGCGCGGATTTAAGGAACTTAATTTGGGAACGCAAGGGGAAGATTTAATCACACATGGATGTACAAAGCAAGGATTTGTTAAATAATGAATGATTGTTTATTTCTTATTTTGCCTGTAACATCTATTGCGTATTTCTGTTACAATGTTTTCAACCAATAAAGCAAATAGAGAGAGAGAAAGGGGCACCTGAGACAGGTGATGTTTCACAGCTCTGGGGATGATGCTGAGGCCCATTCGTAGACCCAATGGTGTGCTAGAATCAGCTCCCTTGATTAGGAATGACACACTTAGGCTTTCAACATCCCACAATAAAATACGACTGAGAGCATTCCAGGATGGCGGAAGAAAACGTAGCTCTCAGAAAGTCTGGAAAGTTCCGTGAGCAGCTCCAGAACATTCCAGGATGTGAGCGGAAAAGAAACGTACCTGTATATAGCATCCCCAAAACTCTTTTCAGCCAAACACTCGCCCTCTTCTTGTTAAAAGCAAAAACAGCCAAGTCGACACAGATACTTAATATGCATAAATTCCCCCTCCAGTGCCGGATTTACGTACAATGGTACCTCGGGTTACATACACTTCAGGTCACATACGTTTCAGGTTACAGACTCCGCTAACCCAGAAATAGTACCTCGGATTAAGAACTTTGTTTCAGCATAAGAACAGAAATCGGGCTCCAAGTGGCACGGCGGCAGCGGGAGGCCCCATTAGCTAAAGTGGTACCTCAGGTTAAGAACAGTTTCAGGTTAAGAATGGACCTCCAGAAAAAATTAAGTACTTAACCCGAGGTACCACTGTATAAGCTAAACAAGCTCTAGCTTAGGGCCTCACTTTCTTGGGGGCCCCCAAAAAAATTAAAGAAAAAACCCCCTGGATGTACATTTCCAAAATATAAGATGAAAAGCAAATAAAATAAAACCTACACACAGCAACTGTGTTTTGTTTTGTGTTGTGTCGGCTCTTATGGTGTAAGTCCTGGCCCCCTTCTTACCTGCTCCCCAAAATATCCCTGGTTTGCTCCTTTCTATATATAGGGGGCCCACATTCTGCATGGAATGGTTGCACGGAAACATGTGCAAATGGCTTGAGATACCTCCTAGGACCAGAAATTACCATATAGCATATGTTCAACACAAAAAGCAGCAGCAATTTGCTGTGGACAAAGGACAGCTGGACATATCAAGTGCCCCATTACCTTCAGGAGCTGAGGGCCTCATCAAACCTCAATCCGGCCCTGTCCCCCACAAATGAAAAACACTAATCTGTTGTTCCTGTATGGAGTTCGGGGTCTAAGCTGTGAAAATCAGCTGTTTGTCCTGTTTCTAGATGAGAGGGTGGCCCCCCAAGTGGTTTCCTGGAACGCTGGACCCTAAAACCAGCCCTGGCGTGTTGGCAAGGATCATCATGGCACGTGCTAGGGGCAGGTGTGTGTGGCAGGTTCTGAGGCCGAACCCCCGTGAGAAGCAAATAATTCGAGCATTTGGGGACGGCCAGATACAAATATGCAGCGGCTGTGGGGTGCACAGTTTGGCCTGGTCCCTCTGACGCCTGCCAGACCTCAGCTCAACAGGCTTTTTTTTGGCGCTGCCCGTGGAGAAAAGCCATGAACGAGCGAGTTGAGGAGGGCTGGGGCGAGGGAGAGGAGAAGGGGAATTGGAAGCCCTGGGCACGATCAAGGGCTCCTTCAGTCCAGCAGAGACAAGGGAGCAGTTGTGGAGGCTTTTTGGAGGTTGCCCTGGAGACGGCAAGGGCCATTGTGGGTTTCCTCTTGACTGCAAGGGAAGAGAACAAGAGACGCTTCAAATGTGACACAGAGGCAGGTCCAGCGCCGGATTTACGTACAGTATAAGCTAAACAAGCTAGAGGCCCCACTCTCTTGGGGGCCCCCCAAAAAATTAAAGGAAAGCTGGATGTATATTTCCAAAATATAAGATAAAAAACAAAACCTACATACAGCAACAGTGTTTTGTGTTGTGTCGGCTCCTAGGATGTAATAATAATAATAATAATAATAATAATAATAATAATTTATTATTTGTACCCCGCCCATCTGGCTGAGTTTCTCAAGCCACTCTGGGTGGCTTCCAACAAAGATTAAAATTACATTAAAATGTCACACATTAAAAACTTCCCTGAACAGGGCTGCCTTCAGATGTCTTCTAAATATCAGGTAGTTTTTCTTCTCTTTGAGATCTGCTGGGAGGGCGTTCCACAGGGCGGGCACCACCACTGAGAAGGCCCTCTGCCTGGTTCCCTGTAACTTTGCTTCTCGCAGGGAGGGAACCGCCAGAAGGCCCTCGGAGCTGGACCTCAGTGTCTGGGCAGAACGATGGAGGTGGAGACGCTCCTTCAGGTCTACTGGACCGAGGCCATTAAGGGCTTTAAAAGTCAGCACCAACACTTTCAATTCTGCTCAGAAAAGTACTGGGCGTCAACGTAGGTCTTTCAGGACTCATGTTATATGGTCTCAGCAGCGACTGCCAGTCCCCAGTCTAGCTGCCGCATTCTGGATTAGTTGTAGTTTCTGGGTCACCTCCAAAGGTAGCCCCATGTAGAGCACATGGCAGTAGTCCAAGCGGGAGATAACCAGAGCATGCACTACACTGTAAGTCATGGGCCCCGCCTGCTCGCCTGCTCCCTAAAATATCCCTGGTTTGCTCCTTTCTATATATAGGGTGCCAACATTCTGCATGGACTGCTTGCATGGCAACATGTGCAAATGGCTTGAGATACCTATTAGGTCCATCAATTACCATATAGCATATATTCAACACAAAAAACAGTGACAATTTGTTGTGGACAAAGGACAGCTGGACATATAAAGGGCCTCAGCAGTAGCTTAGGGCCTCATCCAACCTAAATCCGGCCCTGGGCAGGTCCCTCGCAATACTTTGCGCCCATGCAAAGCCCTCGCCAATCCTCTTAGCTCCCCGTATTGTCCTGGTTGATTGATGGGTTGAATTTGCATCGTCCCGATGGAGCCCAGGGTGACAAACGCCTCAGATGCAAAAACTAAGCAGTTAAAAGACGGTAAATGCAATTACAGTGGAAAACATCTAAAAGCAATTACAGCTAGAAAATGTTGTTTAAAACATTATTTCATCCTGCCAGGGCTCTCAGGAGCAGAATTCTTCAGCCACCAAAGTGCCTGAATAAACAGAAATGTTTTCAAGTTCATAATGATAGAGTGCCTTCCATCTGCTTCAGCCCCATTCTGGACAGGGATACATGAACTTCTGTTGTTTATGCTCTGGTAACATCTAGGATAGATTACTGCAGCATATTATACATGGGGCTGCCTCTGAAGACGGTTCAGAAACTTCAGCGGGTGCAGAAATTGGTGGGCAGGTTGATCACCGGGGCAAGAAGGTCTGAACATATTACACCGATCCTAGCCTGACTGCAGTGGCTGCCAATTATTTTCCAGGCCCCATTAACAGTGCTGGTTTTGATCTATAAAGCCTTAAACGGCTCAGGACCGCAACAGCTCAAGGACCGTCTCCCCCCCATATGTCTCCCTCATATGAACCAGTCCTGACCCTGTGATCACAATCTGAGGCCTTTCTTCTGGAAGTCCAGAGCGCAGAAACATGAGAACAGGGCCTTTTTTGTGGTGGCTCCCCGTTTGTGGGATGCTTTCCTATTGAAAACGCTCCTGTTAGGTGCCAGGTGAAATCACTGCTCTTCTCCCGGGCCTTACACAACTTCTGGCCTTTTAAACTGTGTTTGCATGTTATGGTTTCGTTTGTTATTTTGTTACGTTTTTATACTGCACACCGCACTGCAATCCTTGGATGGAGGTATATAAATTTAGCGACAAAGACAGACACACCTTGCTAGGGAGGGCCTGCCACAACCAAGGGGCCACCACTGAAAAGCCCCTGTCATGGGGCAGCGGCAACCAGGAGACCCCCAACGGCACCGCCAAGGCCTCACCTGCTGTGGGTATTAAGAAGGCAATCTTTGGGTCTTGAGCAATTTAGGACTTTATTTGCTAGCATTAATACTGTGGATTTGGTCCAGTAGGTCACTAGCTGCCAGTCCCTACAGACATGGTTAGGACTGCAGCCGGAACCAACTAAATCTTCTGTTTGATTAAGGGACAGAATCCATATGTAATCAGGGAAGGCATATTTTAATCAAAGGGGCTGCAAATCAGCTTCACAGTTTTTGGGAGTTTGTATTTAAATTGTTTGGTTCTGAGGTGTTATTGTCCTAGGAAATACACACACACACACACACACACACACACACACATATATATATATGAGGCCTTGTTTTCTAACACGGTGTATCATAGCGTTTGTTGATTAAACCGTAAATTATCCTGTGCTCCAGTACTGAAGGAAGAGTTCCCTTTGCGGAAACTGCTTTATCGAGTTTGGGAATAGTGTGCTGATTAAATTGAATTGGTTAATCAGCAAAAGGGCAGGTGATTAATAGACTGCAGTGCATTCATCCGGTCAAGAAGGGCCTTGATGGAAATTGGACCTGCTCTACTCCTGCAGTGAGCTGAGCACAAAGGAACGTCCCGGCAGGTGGAATTTATAGTTGGTTTATCATACAGAGATGAATTGCAGGGGTAGCCAAGGCCTTCCAGATCATTGTGGGCTACCAATTCCCATCAGCCCCAGCCAATATCTAAGAAGCCGCTCTGCCATAACGCGGAGGGGGGCTTTTAATTTAGCTGCCCCTGTTCTGTGAAATAGCATTCCTGTCGAGGTATTACAATAATTTATAATAATAATTTATTATTTATACCCCGCCCATCAGGCTGGGTATCCCCAGCCACTCTGGGCGGCTTCAAACAGAAGACTAAAATACAATAACCTATTAAGCATTAAAAGCTTCCCTAAACAGGGCTGCCTTCAGATGTCTTTTAAAAATAGGATAGCTGCTTATTTCCTTGACATCTGGTGGGAGGGCGTTCCACAGGGCGGGCACCACCACCAAGAAGGCCCTCTGCCTGGTTCCCGGTACCTTCGTTTCTTGCAGTGAGGGAGCCATCAGAAGGCCCTCGGCGCTGGACCTCAGTGTCTGGGCTGAACGATGGGGGTGGAGACGCTCCTTCAGGGATACTGGACCAAGGCCGTTTGGGGCTTTCAAGATCAGCACCAACACTTTGAACTGTGCCTGGAAACGTCCTGGGAGCCAATGTAGGTGTTTCAAGACCGGTGTTATATGGTCCCCAGTCTAGCTACCGCATTCTGGATTAATTGCAGTTTCCGGGTCACCTTCAAAGGTAGCCCCATGTAGAGCGCATTGCAGTAGTCAATGGGTCTTGGCCCTGTCTATTTTGGATTGTTTTAGTTTAGTTTTAGTTTATGTTTTTTAAATGTCTTGGCTTTTTGGGGGTGGTTTTTTTGCATAACTATTTATTCACTTTCCAATTAAAACAAACAAAAACATCTACAATATTTTTTTTAAAAAACATAGTTTTGATTGACTTCCCTCCCCTCCCCCTCTTGGTTTCCTTGTCTAATACTTTTTCCACGCACGTTCTTAAAACCTTATATTCTTACTGTTTCGATTTGAAATCATCTTATTACAAGTGACATGTAGAATTTTTCCTAATTTGAGGAGAATCTGTTCCAGGGTCCAAGCTTAGTACATAACACCGAAATTACTACTCGACTCCTGAGCATATTTCAAAATCCATACACAAAGCTTATGAAAAACATGCAGTCGTTTATCCCCTAAGATGAAAAAGAAAATAAAGAAAGAAAATGTCGAAGTCCTTTCTTTCTTGGGTTTCAAATTAAATAATTTATCCAGCATAGTTCAATAGTTTATTTTACCAATCTTCTTTGGCGGGGGCTTCTTGCTTCTATAAGGACGGGCTGGTCTTGGCCTCTTGGGTTCGGGAACAAAATCTTTCGTACAACAAGTCCATCAAAGCCTGTATATCTCAGTGTCATGACTTCAGGTTTTTTAACAACACTCATTTTCCACATTCCTTTCCAATCTTTGTATATCTTCTCCCAGGCCTTTTTAATAATTTTGCATTGCCACCACATATAATAACCTCCCATCCTGTTTCCTTCCTATCACGGTCAAAGCCTCCCAGATCCTTTCACCCCAAATCTCTATTTCTTTCTCTTTTTTGTGTTTTTTTAACTGCTTTTTGCAGTTTTGATTGTACATCGCCTTGAGACGACTGTGCAGAATTGATAAACTTGCAATAATATCGATACCCGGTTGGCTCCCCCTGGCTCCAAGCCCAATGAATACCCAATGAATACCCAAAGTCTTTCAATATGAACGTAATAAGGAACTGGACTCGGCTGACGTTGGCAGAGAGAGCCAAACTGGCAGATGACCTGTTTCTAAAATAATATTGCTTTGGTGGTGACTCAGGAATACAAGCAGAAGCGATGAGTCACTGGATGTAGTGATATGCAGAATCTCTCCTTGCAGGCTGCTCTTCCCATAAATTGACTGTGCATAAATAAGAAACTTTTTCTTCTTTTTCGTTTTTGTCTGAGTGAAGGTGAGAGGGAGAGAGTCACAACTTTTAGTTATAAAAAAAACGGGATCAGTGTCTCTTTTTTGGGTGGGAGGAGAGACAGGATAACATGGCAATAGTTTTATTTGTGAAATACACACCTCTATGATTATGCTTGTAGTACAAGCTTAGGAAAGATTTGAAAGAGCAGATTATGGGCTCTTTAATTCTCCAGAAGCTTAGTAGTGAAAATAATGTGGTTAAAAAAATGGCTTAAGAAAGTGTGAAAGTGGAGGAACTAGAACAGGCTTCCTCAACCTCTGCCCTCCAGATGTTTTGAGACTACTATTCCCATCATCCCTGACCACTGGGATCATGGGAGTTATACGGCAAAAACATCTGGCCTGCCAGTTCTATGAAGATAAGAACATAAGAGGGGTCTGGATCAGGCCAATGGCCCATCTAGTCCAGCATCCTGTTCTCACAAGGGCCAACCGGATACCCAGGCATAGGCAAACTCCAGCCCTCCAGATGTTTGGGACTACAGTTCCCATCATCCCTGACCACTGGTCCTGTTAGCTGGGGATGATGGGAGTTGAAGTCCCAAAACAGCTGGAGGGCCGGAGTTTGCCTATGCCTGCAGATACCCATAGGGGAATCCCGCAAGAACAATCTGAGCACAAGAGCTTTTCCCCTCCTGCAGTTTCCAGCAAGTTGTGTTCATAGAATTGTAAAGGGACCTTGAGGCACATCTGGTTGGGTCCGTAAGGGTGAGGCGATCTTTTGAAAAGCCACTTTTGTTTTTCATTACCTCGGGCCTTCCGCCATTTTACCCTCCCGTCCTCTGCAGCTTTCACTTTCTTCGACCCAAACGACCCGGCGTGTCAAGAAATCCTCTACGACCCCATCACCACCGTCCCGGAGCTGTTTGCCATCATCCGCCAGTGGGTACCCCAAGTGCAGCACAAGATCGATATCATCGGCAGTGAGGCGAGTGATGGGCGTCTCTTGGGGGATCGTGGGCCGAGTGGGGGAGGAGGAGGGCGCGTTGGAACCTGGGTGTGCCCTGCTGTGCTGCTCCTTGCTAGGGAGCGTATTCCACAACCAGGGGACCACCACTAAAATGGCCCCGTCGTGCAGGTAGGGTAGTTTCTGCAAACGCTGGCACCCCCCTCTCCTGCAGGTCTGTAGCTAGGAGCCAAGAGGTGAAGGAGGGAAGGCCCGGAAATCCCAGCCGCAGTCAGTTAGCAGAAAGGGAGCAGCATGGAGACCCCCCCACCCATTCCTCATAATATAATGTGCAATACAGTGGTACCTCTGGGTGTGAACGGGATCCATTCTGGAGCCCCGTTCGCATCCTGAGCAGAACGCAATCTGTGCATGTGTGGGTCGCGATTTCCACTTCTGCACATGCGTGTGACGTCATTTTGAGCATCTGCGCATGCACAAGCAGCAAAACCCGGAAGTAACCTGTTCCATTACTTCTGTGTTGCCACGGAGCGCAACCTGAAAACGCTCAACCTGAAGCAACTTTAACCCGAGGTATGACTGTAGGTGCTATATCATTGGGGGATGTGTGTAAGAGACCTGAGGTTTTTTTAGATCGCAGGTGGGGAGCCCCCCAGGGGCCAAATATGGCTTCCCTTGTCATTTGGCCTATGGGACCTTTCTGAGACCACCTGCCCCCTGTCCTTCTCTCCCCTGGCCACATCCTTCACAGACCCTGCCACAAGCCCTCCGAGAAGGCTTTCGACTGGATGGAATGGATCTTTGAACTGTGAGAATGCTTCTCCCTTGGCTGAAAGGAGGTGTAGAAGCCTCTGGCTTTTGTGTGGCTGGAGTACAGCTTGCTGCTCAAAGTTAAGCATCAGATCCACTCCTCAGCCCAACTCTTGCTTCTAGCCACATACCCTTTGCTTCTGCCCTCACCCATCCGATTCCTGGCACTCAATCCCAGGAAAGTCATCTCTTGGGGAATGTGGCTTTCAGGCTGGAAAAGATGCTCTGCTCCACTTTTAGATGCGCTTGCAGATCAGCTTCAGATTTAGGGAGGAACCATTGATGAGCACCCTTTGGGTTCGGTCAGTCAGCCAGTTACAAATCCACTGAGTGGTAGCATAGTCAAGACCACATTTTACCAGCTTCTTTACAAGAATATCATGAGGCACCTTGTCAAATGCCTTGCTGAAATCAAGGTAGGCTACATCCACTGCGTTCCCTTCATCTACCTTCCCTTCATCTGCGTTGCCTTCATCTGGTGATTAGGTGGGGGTTCTTGTTGCTGGCAGGGGGTGGGTTGCGCTTGATGACCTCTGACGCCCCTTCCAGCTTAAACTCATCCTTGGCTATGCCCAGCCTTTCATGCTCAGCAGATCAACTGATGTGGGTGGTGTGTGCTGGGCCTGGGGGTAACTCATGAAACGCAGTCCAGGACCGGTCCAGAATCCGTAGGTTCCACTAGGAGTCCGTCTGACAGGGCCAAGGCAGGACACGAGGCAGGAAACCAGGCAAGGTCAGGCACAGGATCTAGCAAACAGCAATGTTGCTCCCGCAACCTGGGGCAGGGTCCGACAGCCTTTTATCTTTGTCGGGGCAACGGCTGGTCCTGATCCCCCGGCGACTCACCTCCCTTTTTCGCCTGAAAGCGAGCACTCCTCCTGCAAGTACTCAGGTCTCTCCTTCTCTCAGACCTGAGTCTCTGCAGCTCGGGAGACGTTGGTGGGTTACTAGACCCAGAGGCCACCTCAGCCTCCCCTGACCCAACCAGTAGTGGAGCAGCTGTAAGTGATGGCCCAGCTGGAGGCAAGGAGGTCATCCCCGCATCTGGAGCCAGGGCAGGATCAGGCCCCTGACTCGGCCCAGCTGGTGCTTGTTGCAGGGGAACCTGTGCAGACTGGGACTCTTCAGGATCAGGCCCCAGACTTGGTTCAGGTGATGCCTGAGGCAAAGGATCCGGTGCAGACTGAGTCTCCTCTGGCTCCGAGTCCGAGCCGCTGTCCCAGGCCATCACATGGTGCAGGGGAGATGGATCTGTTTATACCTCTGACTGACACCCTTCTTGCATCCCGCAGATCTTGAAGCGAGGCTGCCACGTCAACGACCGTGATGGGCTGACAGACATGACGCTGCTGCATTACGCCTGCAAGGCTGGTGCCCATGGTGTCGGTAAGGAAGCCAGTGGGGGGGTTACTCTCTATTCTTGGCGTGCCCCCCTGCGTGTCTCTCCTGGGCCTCAGAGCCCTGCCAGCTCTCTCAGGAGAAATCACGCTCCCGTCTGGTCTTCCAACTTGCTTTTAAAATTGGACTCCCTGAAACCACCTGTGGGTTTTAGTCAATTTTGCATTCACGGCAATATCTGCACTACAACACACTGAAGCAGTGATGGCCAAACTTGGCCCTCCAGCTGTTTTGGACTACAATTCCCATCATCCCTGACTGCTGGTCCTGTTAGCTAGGGATGATGGGAGTTGTAGTCCCAAAACAGCTGGAGGGCCGAGTTTGGCCATCACTGCACTAAGGAGTTTGAAAATATGGATGAAGAAGTCTCTGGTGGTGATTGGCTGAGCTGCCTCTGATATCACAGAAGCTTTGGGTTTATCCAGGGCCGGATTTAGACTTTTAGAGGCCTTGAGCACTGGAAAGATTGTGATGCCCCTACCCCCCGGATTCATAATTCAAAATAAAAACAATGCTAAACCATAAAAAGACCCCCCCAAATGAGACAAAACGTACATGTGTTCTGAAATTAAATGACTACTTCCATACTTTTATTTAAGTAGCAAGTGTCAAACTCTTTTTTGAATAAATGTATTATTTTTTGTGCTTCTGCTCTGCTGGTGCCCAGACTTGTGCTCAGTCTGCCTGTTGGGTAATCCAGTTTGTCGCTGTGGTCCTCCTTCCCAGGTGACCCAGCCGCTGCTGTGCGCCTCTCCAACCAGCTCTTGGCTTTGGGTGCGGATGTGACCCTGCGCAGCCGCTGGACCAACATGAACGCCCTGCACTACGCGGCTTACTTTGACGTCCCGGAACTCATCCGCATCCTGCTGAAGGCCTCCAAGCCAAAAGGTGGGTTTGGAAGGAGGGGGCGGGGCCTGCCCAGAAGAGGGCGGGACTTCCTGTATCTCCTTCGTCTCACCTCAGAGCTCACCTTGACAACACAAAGCCCTTAATAACTTGGGGCCAGTTTACCTGTGAGATCACCTTACCCCTTATATGCCCCATCAACTGCTCTGATCTGCAGAGCTGGCACTGTCACCGGCATCACATAATACCCTTTCCACATTTGTAAGACCTGCCCTTTGGAACTCCCTGCCAATTGACACCAGGCAGGTGTCTGTCCTTCACTATATTCTTTTCAGCACCTGCTAAAAAAAAAAAAAAACTTTGTTTAGGCGAGCCTGCCCAGATAACACAGAATGTTGGTGTGCGTTTTAATCACTTTTTAGTTTATCGCCAGTCTTTATTCTTTGAAGGCTTTGAATTATTTTTGCCTATCATTTTATTGTTCTGTTCGCTTTGGAAACGGCTTGGAATTTTGGGGGGTTTTTTGCCCCACAATGGGTGCCAAATAATTCACGAAGTAAACAGTGGCATAGCGTGGGGGGTGCAGGGGGGGCCGGCCGCACCGGGCGCAACATCTGGGGGGGGTGCGCTCGCACTCGCAGCTCTCTGAGTGCTAAAATCCACGGGTTAGGGGGCGCAAATTACTTGCCTTGCCCCGGGTGCTGACAACCCACGCTACGCCACTGGAAGTAAATAATGAGTAGTCCTCTGTAAGGAGAGGTTTGCAAAAGTGCCAGAGGTGTTGGCTCAGATTAATTCCCTGCTTCCTTCCTAAGAAGCTCTGACCGATAATATTGAGCATCACAGCAGCAGCTGCAACAAAACAACAACCACAAAAACCAGTCAGCTGCTGTCTCCTCTTCATCTCCTGAGGGTTGGCACTCCTAGGCAACCTTCTTCATCAAGAATCGCAGCACTGTGTAAGGAACGCCCAGCCATCCACCCATGTTTGTTGTGTTCCTTTTTATTATTATTTTAAAAAAAATTTAATGGGCAGACTCAGCTCTGAAATACTGTAAGGCAGGGGAAGTCAGCCCTTGCCAGTGTGGTCCGTGATCAGGGATGATGGGAGTTGTAGTCCACAACATTGCAGGGGGTTGGACTAGATCATCCTTGAGGGTCCCTTCCAACTCTACAATTTTACGATTCTATGATCTGGAGTGTATCGTGTTGACTGCACCAGCACCAGAATTCAAAAGCATCAATTCTTTGGCGATCAGCCTTCTTGATGGTCCAGCTCTCACTTCCATACATCACTACTGGGAAAACCATGGCTTGAACTATACCTTTGTTGGCAAGGTGATGCCTCTGCTTTTTAAGGTGCTGTCTAGGTTTGTCATTGCTTGTTAGTCTTTAAGGTGCCACAAAACTCATTTTTGCTGTAAGAGCAACCCTTCTGGAATTTCTGTAGCTCCCCTGGCCTTCACTTCCTTTGACCTTGTCCCATAAACAGCCTCGCATGCTGTGACCTGGCTTAGTGAAAGTGAGCAAGCATGATAATAGTGACCATTTCACCCTTTTCCCAGTCTCCCTGCTGCCAAGCTACTTGAAGCTAAGCTATGGTTTGTCTCTCCCAACAAACCATGAGTTGCAACCAAAGGTGTTCCTGCTTTGCCACTTGTGGTTTGTTTGGGGGAGACAAACCATGAGCCTAGGTTTGAAGGTGACTAAGGCGAACCATGGCTTAGCTCTGGGTAACATGGCGAAAGGAGAGCTGGAGAAGGGATGGAGCAGCCTCGGTTTCCTCTCTGGTTGCCTGCACGCTTGCCCATTCTCACTAAACCATGGTTTGGCTCATCACTGCGAGTAAGTGCGAAATGCTAACAGTGGCAAGTTGGTTCTAATACCTGCACGACCTGTATATTCCTTCCCCCTTCAGTTCTGAACTCGACGTGTAGCGACTTCAACCACGGAACAGCCCTCCACATTGCTGCTTCCAACCTGTGCCTTGGGGCCGTGAAATGTCTCCTGGAACATGGTGCCAACCCTGCCGTCAGGGTAAGCAAGGGAAGCTGTGGTGGATAAACGTATTGATGATGGTGGTGGTGGTGGTGATGATGATAGTAGTAATATATTATTATTTATTACTTATACCCCGCCCATCTGGCAGGGCCTCCCCAGCCACTCTGGGCGGCTCCCAAAAGAATATTAAAAACACGATGAAACATCAGACATTAAAAAGCTTCCCTAAACAGGGCTGCCTTCAGATGTCTTTTAAAAGTCAGATAGTTGTTTATTTCCTTGACATCTGGTGGGAGGGTGTTTCACAAGACAGGTGCCACCACCGAGAAGGCCCTCTGCCTGGTTCGCTGTAACCTCACTTCTTGCAGTGAGGGAACCGCCAGAAGGCCCTCAGCGCTGGACCTCAGTGTCCGAGCAGAATGATGGGGATGGAGACGCTCCTTCAGGTCTACTGGGCCTTTGAGGCCGTTTAGGGCTTTCAAGGTCAGCACCAACACTTTGAATTGTGCCCGGAAACGTGCTGGGAGCCAGTGTAGGTCTTTCAGGACCGGTGTTATGTGGTCTCTGCGGCCGCTCCCAGTCACCAGTCTAGCTGCCGCATTCTGGATTAGTTGTAGTTTCCGGGTCACCTTTAAAGGTAGCCCCACGTAGAGCACATTGCAGTAGTCCAAGCGGGAGATAACCAGAGCATGCACCACTCTGGCCAGACAGTCCACGGGCAGGGAGGGTCTCATCCTGCGTACCAGATGGAGCTGGCAGACAGCTGCCCTGGCACTTGCTCTTCTTCTTCTGTTGTTGTTGTTATTATTATTACCCACCCATCTGGCTGGGTTTCCCCACCCACTCTGGACGGCTGATAGGAAATGCTTTGTGGGAGGAAGGGAGGGAGGGACAAAAAATGGGGGGTTGAGGAGGGTCCTTTTGGGGAAAGGAAGAGAGTGGGAGAGTGTCCCTATTTTCATTTGTGTGTGTGTGTGTGTGTGTGTGTGTGTGTGTGTTTTTGTGTGTGTGTGTGTGTGAAAGAGAGAGAGAGAGAGAGAGAGAGAGAGACTGAAAGGCTGGAGGAGCAATCTAGTCTTTAACACAGACACAAATATAAGAACAGTGCCTGTACATTTTGCCTCCCATCTCTTGTTCTACAAATGCTAGAAGCTTCCTCTCCCTTTCCACTGAAATCTGGTAGTCTGGGGGTTACGGTTCATGGGGTGTGGAGGATTCCTCCCCCCGCCCCCCGGACTCCCATGACGTCTCCTCCAGCTCAATGCCCTCCCTGTGCAATGCTCTCTCCCAACAGAACAGCAAAGGCCAGGCGCCGTCCGACGTGGTCCCAGACCCCATGGACATGACCTTGGACAAAGCCGAGGCGGCCATGATCGCCAAGGAGCTGAAGCAGCTGCTGCTGGACGCCGTGCCCTTGAGCTGCAACCTCCCCAAGGTCACCCTGCCCAACTATGACAACATCCCGGGCAACCTCATGCTCATCTCCCTCGGCCTCAAGCTCGGCGACCGGGTCATGGTGGACGGGCTGAAGGTAAGGCCAAGGTGTCCCTCATCGTGGCAGGTGGGTTTGGGACCCCCATCACCAGTGTCTCTTGGCGAGGACTGAAAAGCCCACTGTGGTGACATCTAATGGGTTGTGTCCAATGCTAGTCCTACTCAGAGTTGACCCACTAAATCCATACAGTGGTACCTCTGGTTGCGAACGGGATCCATTCCGGAGGCCTGTTCGCAACATGAAAAGAGCGCAACCCGCAGCAGTGCGTCTGCGCACGCACGGGTTGCGATTCGTCGCTTCTGCACCTGCGCGTGACGTCGTTTTGCGCGTTTGCGCATGCGCAAGTGGCAAAACCTGGAAGTAACCCTTTCCGGTACTTCCATGTCATAACCTGATATTATTGTGCCAACAATATTAATTTAGATGGGTCAGTGGTCCGATTCATTTTTATAAAGTGACTTCCTCTGTTGCGTCTTGTTTCCCCAATCTCGCCATGCCTCCCCGCAGTTGGGCACCTTGCGTTTCTGCGGCACGACGGAATTCGCCAGTGGCCAGTGGGTGGGCGTGGAGCTGGACGAGCCGGACGGCAAGAACGACGGCAGCGTGGGAGGAATCCGTTACTTTATCTGCCCTCCGAAACACGGTAATCTAAAGCGGAGTTATGCCCCCTTGACACCAGCACTCCTCTGCCATCAAATCCAGCAGCCGCCCAAGTCAACTACACAAATATCAAATCTGTAGAAGAGTGCAACTCCTGGGTTTCCCCCAGAACACGCCTTCTAGGCCAGGGGCTCCCAAAGGGGGTGGTTCTGCCCCCTGGGGGAGCGGGATTTCCTAGCAGGATGCTAAGAAGGGGGTGTCAGGGGGTCACTGGAAGTATAAATTGTTAGAATTCCCGCTCCATGATTGCAGTCATGGGATTGTTGTCTATCACACGACGGTATATGTTTTGACTCCACAGAGTAGGAAGTGACGGAGACAGGATGTTTGTGTTCCTGTGTTCCGTGAAGTGGGACTATTGTCCTTTGTTCTTTTTCTCTTTGCTGTCTGATGCTAGAGAGAGAGACGGAGCCGTGTTGCAGTGCTCCGTGTGTGTTTATATGTAAATAAAGTCGATTAGCCAAAATGCTGAGTTGCTGAGGTCTGTTACGCAACTGCGAAGACTGCGGATCCCTAAGTGTGCCGGTGTTGGTTGGCATCGGTCGCTGTGATGTTCAGGCTGAAGAAAGCTTATGAAGCTCCCGAACGATAGACCAGGAGTGAGAGAACATGCCAGTCAGGCATGTGTCTCTGCCAGGGTCCTACTCGAGTGTATGCTGAGCTCCTGACATAAATGACTGCCATTTTGAAAAGCTGGCATCACCAAGTTTTTTTGAATTGATTAAACTAAATGGTTCTAATTGGACGTTTCCGAGCACAATTCAAAGTCTTGGTGCTGACCTTGAAAGCCCTAAATGGCCTCGGTCCAGTATACCTGAAGGAGCATCTCCACCCCCATCGTTCAGCCCGGACACTGAGGTCCAGCTCCGAGTGCCTTCTGGCGGTTCCCTCACTGCGAGAAGCCATGTTACATGGAACCAGGCAGAGGGCCTTTTCAGTAGTGGCACCTGCCCTGTGGAATACCCTCCCATCAGATGCCAAAGGAATAAACATCTATGACGTTTAGAAGACATCTGAAGGCAGCCCTGTTTAGGGAAGCTTTTAATGTTTAATGCTGTATTGCGTTTTTAATATCCGGCTGGCAGCTGCCCAGAGTGGCTGGGGAAACCCAGCCAGATGGGCGGTGTATAAATTGTTGTTGTTGTTTGCACAGTTCTTACCCGCCATGTAAGCTTTGGGCTTCCGGTTTTCCTTCCCCTTTGCCCTTCCCAGGAGTGTTTGCTTCTGTGTCCAAGATCACCAAAGCCGCCGATCAGACGCCTTCGTCGGTGACCTCCACCCCACGAACCCCCCGCATGGACTTTTCCCGCATGACCGCAAAGGGCCGGAAGGAAAAAGACAAGGACAAGAAAGGTAAACTGGACTCTCTTTCATTGTGGACTCTCCTTTTAAGCAGAGGTTGGAGGGCCCCCTGTCGTGGATGCTTTACTTGAGACACCTGAATTGCAGGACGTCAGACTAGAGGACTCTTGTGGTCCCTTCCTGTTAGGATTCTTTTCCCGTGTTGCAGTCACGGGATTGTGTTTATCCCATGACGGTGTATGTTTTCATTCCACATTGTGGGAAGTGACGGAGACAGGATGTTTTTATTACTGTGTTTCCGTGACGCTGGATGTTTGTCCTTGTGTCCTCTCTCTTTGCTGATGAGCAAGAGGAAGGAGCGGACTTGCGATGCTCCGAGTGTGTATACGTAAATAAATGTAGTTTCGCCAAAAAGCTGCGCTACTGAGTCTGAACGCTGACTGCCTATACTTCTGATCCTGAAGTGTGCTGATAGTTCTTGGTATCAGTCGCTGTGATGTTGGGGCTGGAGAAAGCTTTTGAATCTCCTGAAAGAACGACCAGGAGGGAGAGAACATGCCAGTCAGGCATGTAAATAAATAAATAAACCTTTATCGTCACTATACCACCTATGTGCAGTGAAATTAAATGAGCCCCACTCAGTCTTGTTCGATCTCTGTGTGCTTGTCGGAAGTCAATTGCACCACTCTTTTTTCCCATTCAGCAGCACAATAGCCCACGGATAAAAGCTGTTCTTTAATCTGTTAGTGCGGCTAACTATACTTCTGTATCTCCTGCCCGAAGTTAGGAGACTAAAGAGGTGCTGCTCAGGGTGTGAGTCGTCTCTAAGAAGTTTCCTCACTCTCTTGAGGCAGCGGTCTCCCGCGAGGGCCTTCTCGGTGGTGGCACCCGCCCTGTGGAACGCCCTCCCGCCAGATGTCAAAGAGAACAACAACTACCAGACTTTTAGAAGACATCTGAAGGCAGCCTTGTTTAGGGAAGCTTTTAATGTTTAATAGGTTATTGTATTTTAATATTCTGTTGGAAGCCGCCCAGAGTGGCTGGGGAAACCCAGTCAGATGGGCGGGGTATAAATAATAAATTATTATTATTATTATTATTATTATTATTATTATTATTATTATTTCATCTAGTGAACTCCGGGGACAGCCCATGATGTCATGTGCTGTATTCACCACCCTCTGTAGGGATTTCCTGTCCATGGCTGTCAAACCAGCGTACCACAATGTAATACAGGATGAAAGGACACTTTCTATTGTGGACCGGTAGAAGGAGATCATCACTTTTTGTTTGACATTGTTCTTTCACAAGACCCTGAGGAAATGGAGTCTCATCTGTCTCTGTCGGCTTCCTACTCATGCGTAGGACCTCCTGACACTTCCAACTCTACAGGTCTATGATTCTATACAGATAGTTTTACAAACAACAGACATAATAAATTATAGACCTGGATGTGTCGTAGGAATCCCCCGCAATTGTTTTCAGGTGTTCACCATGTTTTTGGATGCTTTTAAATACGTTTTATTTTAATCGAGATAGAAATTTGATAAATAAAACAAGATAAATAAGTTATGTAGTGAAATATACTCGGAATCGAGTCTGGATTTCATGCTCTTTATTCAGCTCATGGTGGTGAGGAGGAATGGAAGTTCCCCCAGAATGTCTGCTTTATATACATTATTTACACAATGGGCCGCACATGATTGGCTAATTCAGGGATTCTCCTGTAGGCCAATCAGGTTGCGGATTCCCTTCCACCTGGAGCTGGATTGGGTGGCTCCTGTGGACCAATCAGACTGCTGCATTCTGGGTCCTATTGTTCTAGGACCAATCAGACTGCTGCATTTTGGATCCTATTCAACTCAGTACATAACATGTAGCAAACTAAAACAGATCTCGCTTCTTTCCACCCGTCTGCTCTGTCCAGCTCTCAGGAAGAAGTCCTTATCTGTTGGCAGCCTGGACCGTGAAGGACTGAAGATTGAGATTGGGGATCACGTCCTGGTGGCAGGTCAGAAGCAAGGCATCATTCGTTTCTACGGGAAGACAGATTTTGCCCCAGGTAAGCCAAGAGCTGGTGATCTGGGAAGCCATTTCCATGGGAGGGTTAAGATCCTGTCTAGGGGGTGGGGCAGAGCATTGAGACCGACGTGCAGACTTTGGATCGGTAGCATGAAAAAAATAACCCCAGGAGTCCTGATCCGAGCTCAGGGTTCTGAGTTCAAGTCCTGCCTCTGCTGTGATGTCCCTGCGTGGCCTCAGATCATTTTCAGTTTCACCCCTCTGAAAATGGGAGTAACAGTGGTCTATCTCATGTGTTGTTCTTTTGGGAGAGTGCAAACGAGGACGCTGATTCCAAAGCATTCTGCGGGATTAAGGTTGTAGTCCTCAGCGTTACTAATGTGGAAGGGAGTCCCCTTTGAAATCTGTGAGACGAATTCCTAGTCTCTGTTGGAATTAGCAACAGCAATTTAAAAATCTGCATTTCTGTCTAATTTGCATGTTTTTCTTTCCCTTTCTCTCTTTCTCTCCAGGCTACTGGTTTGGCATTGAACTTGACAAGCCCACAGGAAAACACGATGGCTCTGTCTTTGGAGTTCGCTATTTCACCTGCGCCCCTAAGCATGGAGTCTTTGCCCCTCCTTCCAGAGTGCAGAGGTGTGTGGGATTTATATTTGGCGTGATTTAACAAAATGCTAAAATAGCTTTTAACATAGCTAAGAGTGATCCTGTTCTAATTTGGGGAGCATATTCTGTAGATAAGCTGCTGATTCGTTTGTTGCCTTTTCTTGAAAATTAGGCGGTATATATTGTGGGATAAGGGACGCGGGTGGCGCTGTGGGTTAAACCACAGAGCCTAGGACTTGCCGATCAAAAGGTCAGTGGTTCGAATCCCTGCGACCGGGTGAGCTCCCGTTGCTCGGTCCCTGCTCCTGCCAACCTAGCAGTTCAAAAGCACGTCAAAGTGCAAGTAGATAAATAGGTACCACTCCAGCGGGAAGGCAAACGGCGTTTCCGTGCGCTGCTCTGGTTCACCAGAAGCGGCTTAGTCCTGCTGGCCACATGACCCGGAAGCTGTACACCGGCTCCCTCGGCCAATAAAGTGAGATGAGCGCTGCAACCCCAGAGTCGGCCACGACTGGACCTAATGGTCAGGGGTCCCTTTACCTTTACCTATATTGTGGGATGTGATACATAAGCAGCAGTCAAGTACAAACATTCCGTGTTTTCCTAGAGTGGACATGCAAGGGGATGTTTGGTCCAGCCAGTCGAAAACTTCCTGTTTCCTCCTGCCTGGGACATACTTCCTTTGCATGTGACTAGAGGTGGGCGTGACTTACCTGTCCAGGTAACAAAAGGGGCAAGGCACACAGCACTCTCTCTGTTTTTCACTTCCTCTGTCATTGGAGCAGCTTTTTAGCTAGAAATGCTCTGTTGGCTTCTAGCCAACAGAGGACACTGGGATTATCCCCATATGGGATAGATCCACATGTATAACTTTGTAACTAAGTCTGCCTTCAGGGATCCAACTGTGAACTGAATGTGAGTAAACTTTTTTTATATGCAGTGGACGCTCGGGTTGTGAGCGTGATCTGTGCGGGAGGCATGTTCGCAACCCGCAGCGTTCGCAACCCACATCAGCACATCTGCACATGCACGGGTTGCAATTTGGCACTTCTGCACATGTGCAAAGCATGATTTAGCGCTTCTGCGCATGCGCAACCGCCGAAACCTGGAAGTAACCCATTCCGGTACTTCCGGGTTTCGGTGGTCAATAACCCCCAAAAAATGCAACCTGAAGCGTCTGTAACCCAAGGTATGACTGTACTTTACACAAGATTGTAGCGTGTTTATTCTTTTAAGAGGGATATAAGGGAACTTACCAGGAACCTAATAGTGAGAGGCTTACACGAGCCTGCAACCAGCTACTTCTTGGGCGTTTAAAAGGGGAATGTAAAACTCTGCTAAGTAAAGAAACTTGCTAGCACAGGTTAGGAAGGATATTAATAAACAATATATCCTCTCCTGCCTCCCTGAACATTTTAAAATAATCATAGCCACTACTACAAACATCAGAGTTCCAAAGGGGGCATGTGGGAAGACAGCATGTTGAGAAGGATGTTGAGAAGCTGGAAGGTGGGCAGAGGAGGGTGACCAAGATGATCAAAAGCCTGGAAACTAAGCCTGATGAGGAACGGTTGAAGGAGCTGGGTACGTTTAGCCTGGGAAAGAGGAGAAATGAGAGCCACCTTCAAAAATCTGAAAGGAAGATGGAGCAAGCTTCTTTTCTGCTGCTCCAGAGGGCAGAACCCAAACAGTGGCTTCAAATGACAAGGAGATTCTGACAAAAAATCAGGGGAAAAATTCCAACGGCAGGAGCTGTTCAACAGTGGAACAGACTCCCTCAGAAGGTGGTGGACTCCCTTGCAGATTTTTAAACGGAGACTGGGCGGCCATCTGTCAGGGATTATTTAGCTTGTGGTTCCTGCATTGCAGGGAGTTGGACTAGATGACCTTGGGGGTACCCTTCCAAATCTACAATTCTTTGATCTCCTGGCAATTAATCTGGTTTTTATGCTTGCATTGTTCTTGACTGTGAATTAATCGTGGCCGTCTCTCTGCTGCAGAATCGGAGGCCCCAAAGATTCCCAGGGAGATGGCACTTCGGCAAAGAAAGTCCACCAAGTCACTAGTAGGTACACCCTGGGTTTTGTCCCCTGTTTCCTCCCACGTGAGCAAAGATGCAATACAAGAGTTTCCAAATATCTGTTCCCCACTTTTGCCGGCCTCCTGTGCTTTTTAATGCTGCCTGACAAGTTCAGCAGGTGATGTTTTCCCATATACCGTATTGGCCTGAATATAAACCGCAATATAAGCTGCACCTTTAAAATTCAAGGGGGGGAGAGAGAAGAAAAGTCAATACCCGAATATAAGCCGCTTCCTTAAAATTCGGCAGGCACTCACACCCGTTCCGTTCCACCGTATGTCTGTTTCAGCAGCGATATTGTAAAAGTCAATTTTTGTAAGGTCGCGAATTTAAGCCGCACTTTAACTTTTCACGGTCGGAATTTGGGAAAAAATGTGAGGCTTATTTTTAGGCTAATATGGTAGATGCAGCTGCATTTAAAACTTTTATCACATGCCTACCTAGACGCGTACTTTTGTTTTAAAACTGCTGACTTATTTACATGTTTTGATCAATTTTAGGTTAAATCGTTTTTTTAAAAAAATACTTGATTTTATTGCTCTTTTTAAATATTTTATATTATTTTATGCAAACCACTTAGGGTTCCTTTTTGTTGATTAAATGGTACATGGATCTTGCTAAATGAATAAAATTTTGCTAGATTTCAGGTTAGGAACCCCTCCCCCCTAAAAAACCCCAAACATTTGGCAACCGTAGGCAACAACCGGGAAGCAAAGGGCTGAATTGTCACATGCATGTTGTAAGACAGGATTTCACAACAGGACATATTGTGTAAAAAGAATAAATTATTTTAGAAGAATATGCACCTGTGGGTGGGTTCGCTGTTTGTTTGTTTTTTTGCAAGAGAAATGAATTAGGGGAATCTGAGAGATCCATTTCACTTAATCTTCAGGTGTGGCGTGGATCATATTTTCCTCCTCTTCTGGATTTCCTTTGCCCATTCCCTTCTTTCTCTGATGGAAATAGGGACGTCCCATTCCATAATGATAATTTTACTATTTATACCCCACACATCTTACTGGGCCAGCCACTCTGGGCAGCTTCCAACATATATAAAAACATAATAAAACATTAAACAAGCTTTTAATGTTTAACAGACTATTGTACTTTAATATTTTGTTGGAAGCCGCCCAGAGTGGCTGGGGAGACCCAGTCAGATGGGCGGGGTATAAATGGTAAATTATTATTATTATTATAAAAACTTCCCTATACAGGATTGCCTTCAGACAGCTCGGGGAGTCAGATAACTCCATACCCTCCAACATTTCTCCAATGAAAATTAGGGCGTCCTAAGGAAAAGTGGGAAATTCTGAGATCAAATAAGAAACTGGGACGGCTTCTCTTAAGTCAGGGATGTCCCTGGAAATTAGGGGCATTTGGAGGGTCTGGGAATGGCATCTTACCTGGGGCAGAGATAGGAACCCTCAGAAGGTGGGGGCAAGAAAGAGGCATCATTGACTGAAAGTGCCCCCCTTTCGACTTCCGGGGTGGCGCCTCCGGAAAATGGCGGAATTCCCTTCGGACTGAAGGGAACCCGCTGCACGGAGGCTTGGGTCCTGCCGCTACGGCGCAGCGGGGACCCGCAAAAACCACAGGCGGAAGAAGCCTGTGGACGTGGGACTCGGCGGGCACCGAGAGCGCTCTCCCCTTGTACAGGAGCCCGGTAACGGGCTCCGGAGTGGGAGGTGCGTGGTGCTGTGAGTCGACTGCTTCCTCCGTGCAGCAAAGCCGCACTGCCATTATCGGAGAGCGCTGCCTTTTCCTGGACAATTTGGCATCTAAAATATCTATCCGTGAGTACCTGATCTTGGAAGAGTTGAACCACTTTTAAGACTGGTGAATAAACAAACAATATTGGACTTGAAATTGAACTTAATTGGGACTCGGAATGGGAAGGTCTAAACAGGAAGTCGCCTTCCGTTCTTTTGTTATGTGAAGAAAGCAAAGACAAAATATACTAAAGCTTGAAAATTAAATTCTAAGAGAACTAGAATTCAACATCTAAGATTTCTAACCCCCCCTTTGACTGCAGGAGAAGAAGGGGGTTGTATTTGGACTTTTCAATCCTGCGGAAGTGAGTTTAAAATAAAGCAATTTTCCACCGCCCTGAACCAGGAGCGGGCTGTCAGAATTGACGTTCTGAAGTTTATCCAGCTCGACAGTTAGTTAAAAGAAGGGTAACATTTTGATTCTACTGTTGCCTCTTGAATTTGGAAGGGGAATTTTGGATAAAGTTTTTCTGGAAAAAGAAAGAATGTTGCTGTTGCATTTATTCCATTAAAAAAAAAAAATTTCCATCTAGTGGAATTTAGTGAAATTGCAACGCAGAGAGATTAAAAGAGAAGGACTATTGGACTATTCTCGTGGGAAAGAATTTTCTTTGACCTTGAAGGACAATGCTAGTACAAAGGCTGGAACAATTGTTCCTGGAAGGTTTTTCAAAACTAAGTGCCCAGCTGGACCAGATGCGTCAGGAGACGACCTTGATGATGGAAGTTACCAGAGCACAGCAGCAAACAAATGAAATTCAGTTAAAGGCTATACAAGCATATGAACCTGCTGTAGTGACGGAGGCTTCAGAGATGGAGGGACCTTTGGACGGGCAAGATCAGCCTTTGAACCTGATAAATGAACTTGGGACAAACCAGATTCGGAAAGATGAAATGTGGTCAGATTTGGAAATGGGGGATGGATCGACCCCCTCCATATGGTTATTTGGACCTTCCGAGTCTGGTGATGGGCTATCAGAGGATTGGAGTAGTCCAAGTCTCCAAGCTTTGTGGAAATTTGAAGTGGTATTATTTGCTGTCTGGCTTGGGCAATGGGTTTGGGATGGACTTGCTGCAAAGGGTCAAAAGCATTTTCTTGCTGGAGCATCCACGACTGGAAAGGAATCATCAACAAGAGTGGCGAAAGGGGCAAGAAAGAGACTTGAGGGCCTCGGATACGAGACAACCAGGTTAAGGAGCCGGATTATCGAGGTTAAAAGGACTGACAATCCCGGGTCCAGGGGGGGGAGGTTGGAAGCTGACTGGACTGAATTTGACTTATTATTTTTTCTTTTTTATTTTTTAATATTGGGAATGCTTACAAATGTTTGAAGGATGTTGAATGAAATTACATGGCTTAAGTAAGGATTGGTAAATGATTCAGTAAAAGGTAATGATACAAGAATTTGGTAAATATTGAATATAAGCTATGAGTTTTAAAGTTTTTATATGACAAGAGGGAAAATAGAATAAGGAAACGTAATGACAGATTGTTATGAAAAACAGAAAGGATTTGCTGTAAAAATTAAAAATTAAGAAACAAAAGAGGGGAGGAGGAGGAAGTCTAGAAAGGAAGTCAATAGAGATTGTAAAGGACTTTATATTTTTGTTTTTATGTTTCTCTTTTTTTTTTCTTTGCGGCTGGGTTTTCTTTTCTTTTTTGTTTATGTACTATTTTTGTTTTTTGTATCCTCAAATTTTTTTTGGAAATTTTTGTTGTTATTCTTTGAAAATTTAATAAATATCAATTAAGAACTGAAAGTGCCCCCCTTTCTCCATTAAAAAAAAACACATTCATTTTTCATTTTCGTTCATTACATACATCTCAAATTCTTAACATTTGCTATATATTCCTCCCTCCCTCCCCTCCAAGACTTCCCCCAACTTGCGTTTCTGGTTTGTTTCTATTTTCGCCCACTTTGCTATCTCTCAACAGAAAAAGTTATTAATAATATAACATCAAACCTTAAAAACATAAAAATAAAATTAAATACATCATCTTATTTCGCTATCTTCCAAACCTTTTCTGATGCTAATAATGTGAATGTTTATTTAAATCCTGCCATCAAGTCTATTGACTTCTTAGTTTCTGCAAATATAATATGAATGGTTCCCAGTCTTTTTCAAAGCCTCTGTTGTCTTTTTCTCTTAGTCTTTCTGTCATTTTTGCCAATTCTGCATAGTTCATCAACTTTTCTTGCCATTGTTCTTTAGCTGGTATTTCTCCAGTCTTCCAATTTTGTGCAATCAACATTCTTGCTGCAGTAGTGCATACATAAATAAAGTCCTCATTTCTTTTGGTATGTCTTGACCTAAAATACCTGATAAAAAGGCTTCTGGTTTTTTTTACAAAAGTTATTTTTAATGTTTTCTTCAATTCATTATATATCATTTCCCAGTAGGCTTTTACCTTCTTACAATCCCACCACATATGATAGAACGTACCTTCTGTTTCACATCTCCAACACACTTTCTTTTCATTTTTATACATTTTTGCCACCCTTTCTCCGTTCTTAAAAGGACCACCTCTTCCTTTTCCCTCTCCTGCAGTCTCACAGCCAAAGCGCAACTTCACAGCAGTCAGAACCCCAAAAGATATCACATCGGAAAACTCCATCTCTAGGTAAGGACAACCTATGTTTGCCTCCCTTTGAAATCTCTTCAATTCACATACATCAGGCATGTCCAACTCCCAAGAGACTGCCATCTACTCCCACCATAAAAAACTGACACTGGTCTACCCATTGGATTGACCAAAGTTGTTGAGTTTTTTGGGAGGGTGTCAATCAGGATCACATGATCAACCAGGGACACCCCGTGATCAACCGGTAGATCGCGATAGACCGATTGGACATGCCTGACCTACATAGACTCCTGTCCCCCTCCCATTTCAAGTAGAGTAGTAAGTGGGAGGAACTTGAGGAGACCAAGGAGGGGAGCCAAGGACCAGTTTGGGTGAAGCCTACTGAGGATTTTGCAGTTCAGCCTGGCAACTGAGGTGGATTTTGGTGGGCTTGAGCAGGTCAGGGGTGAAGCCTAGCAGATTTGGGCAGGTCCGGGGCTTAACCTAGAGCAGGGATGGGGAACCGGTTGCCTTCCTGAAGTTGTTGGACTCCAACTCCCATCAGCCCCAGCCAGCTGAGGTCATGGATGATGGGAGTTGTTGCTACAAGGAAGAAGCTGGAAACATTCACTTCCTAATTCGCACTTAACCACAAATTATTCAAAGGTTTGAAAGGACAAATGGTGGGGAGGGTAAATGATGAACCGCAAACAAAGTCAGCTCCAGAAACCATGGTTTGATCCTGTCTTGTTTCAATAATACATAGCTGCTGCTGCTTCTTTCTTCTTCTTCTTTGGTGATCACTCGTAGCTGAGTAAGATTGTCTTCCATAAACATGGTTTTAAAAGTGACTGTGGAGGCCAGTTCTGGATCCACACGTCCTTCCACAGTGGGGACATTGGTTTCTGGGTGGGAGTTGATCACGATGTGGATTTGCCAAGCACATTTCCTCTTAGCACATTTCTCCCTTGCGTCTTGAGTTCGAGTAGACGCGGGTGGTGCTGTGGGTTAACCCACAGAGCCTAGGACTTGCCGATCAGAAGGTTGGCGGTTCGAATCCCTGTGACAGGGTGAGCTCCCATTGCTTGGTCCCTGCTCTTACCAACCTAGCAGTTCAAAAGCACGTCAAAGTGCAAGTAGATCAATAGGTACTGCTCCGTCAGGAAGGTAAACGGCGTTTCCGTGCGCTGCTCTGGTTCGCCAGAAGTGGCTTAGTCATGCTGGCCGCATGACCCGGAAGCTGGATGCCGGCTCCCTCGGCCAATAAAGTGAGATGAGCGCCGCAACCCCAGAGTCGGCCACGACTGGACCTAACGGTCAGGGGTCCCTTTACCTTTACCTGAGTGTCTTCATAGCCCATGACACCTTTGGTAAAAGCTGTTCTCCAACTGGAGCGCTCACGGGCCAGTGTTTCCCAATTGCTGGCATTTATACACAGTTATACCTTTTTGGACATAACAATAAACTGTGGTTAGAGTTAGAAACAAAATGGATGATTGCAACCTTATTGAGATGAACAGCTAATGTGCAAACCCAAGACTCCCTTGTACTCATTTATACAATCATAGTCCTTTAGTACTTTATTTTCATAACTGCCCCAGTAACTTAGTGATGGATGTTGTTGGCTGTTCTCTGGGTCTCTCCCCTCCCCCCCTCCAATATTGTGTCTTATGATCTGAACTATGAATTGTGTTCAAGTCTCTCTGAGTGCAGAGAATATAAACATGGTTTAAATGAATTCTGCAAATACATTTGCTCAAAGCCATCCAATTGCCTTCAGAGCAGAAGCTGGATTTTGCCTTCTGGATCCGTACCTGACTTTCAAATCCACCCTAGCATATATATAGAGTACAGCTGGTTTAGGCCTTGCCTTACCAATGAAAGTGCCTAAGCATTACATTGAGAGGAGCTGGTTTAAACCCACCTTCCCCGACCTAAATATTCGTTATTGTTATTTATAAAATTTGTTAGTCGCTTCATCTTTCGCAAGGCAGCTCAAAGCGACTTGCAACCATGACATGCCCTCCAGATGTTTTGGAATCACAACCCACCAGCCCCAGCCAGCATGGGCCCCTCCGGCACATCTGGAACACAACAAGTTGGAGAAGGTTGGTTTAAGGGACGTCCAGAGCGTTGATTGTTGAGATGCACATGGAGAAACCGCGAATCGTTCAGTGGTTCTAGGAAGAGGAGCCTTTCATACCAACCTTCATCTGAAGATCAAAGGGCAGTTTGTACAATGTAACATGTTTCCTCTTCTGCTGCTTCCTGTCCTTCTCCAGAGCTTCATCAATAGTCATTTTTCAAACTCTCTCTCCCCTTCCCTTTGTCTTCTGCAGGTTACTTTTCTGCTGTTGGTTTCCGTGGATGCTCCGTGCAGAAATGCAGTCGTAAACCTACCTGCGGCTCCCTCTTCCCTTTCCCCCTGCTGTTTCTTCGCTCTCCAAGTAATCAAAGACTGCTCTTCGGTTATTTTTTGCCCTCATCTCTCCTCCCCTGATTGCCGTTCTAGTGAACCCCAGTGCCTTGTTAAAACATATTAACACCACCCCTCTAGTAGTTTGTGAGAAATGCTATACTTATACCTTCCGTCCCCCGTTTCCTGGCACTCGTACCCATGGGATTTCGGCTAAAGCAGGTCTCTTCTGGCACCTCTTCGTTTTCCAGCCTATTAATTGGCACCTAAAAGCTCACGCTGTTAGTCGGCTCAGAGGTCTTTAAATGGAGGACGGAGCCCTAGGAGCTGTGGTCTGGAGACAAATCTCTGGCTTCCTCCCCACTCGCCTGGTGTGTGTCGCAAAAGATCCCAAACTCGCGGAATTTCTCATTATGCCTGCTGGAAAATCACAAGTGCAGAGCAGATTGCCTTGGTAGAAGCTGAACCCTGTTGCCTGAGACAAGATTAATGTTATCTTCCCTCTGCTATGCTCCCGGTTCTGCCCTCTCCTCATTCTAGCTTTCTCCTAAAAAGAGGGTGCCCCGGGCAACCTGGTCCCTTGCGGTGCAGGCCTGTTCAGGGGCTGCTCAGAAGTAAGCCCCATTGAGTTCACTATTTGCAGGTAAGTGTGCTCAGCAGGAGTGGCTAACCCATGGCCTGTGGGCAATATCCGCGTCCACCTCCCCCAGCAATTTCTGGTGGCCCCCACAGAGCAACTGGCTTCTTTCCCTCTGCTCCCCAGACAGGCGGGTAGTGCTGATGAGTCTCGACATTGCACAAAAGGCAAAAACCTGCCTTTGAACCCCAGTTGCTGGCAATTGCAGGTGGGGAAGAGCGTTGCTGTGTTCATGGCCTGTTTATGGACTTCATGTCAGGGAATCTGGTTGGCCGCTGGGGTACCCAGGATGCTGTTCCCCCTTTTGGCTTGATCCAGCAGGGCTTCTGATGCCCTTATGAGAGGGGGGAGGTTTCCAGCCTCTCTTGCAATCAGGGAGAGGGGATATCACCTTCACCCAAAGGGCCCCTTCTCTCTTGGGGACAGCGCCTTCATCAAGAGGTATCGAAGAAGCTCATGAAACAGGAGGAAGCCCTCCCAAGACCACAGAAGGACACAAAAGCCATGCAGGATGGCAGCTTGAAACAGCAATGAAGCCTTCTCCAAGTCGAGACCTTCCAGATGCTTTGGACTACAACTCCCATCAGCTCCAGCACTGACTGCTGTGGCCAATGGGAGCACAGCTGAGCCCGCTGGGGCTGATGGGAGTCGTAGTCCAAAATATTTGGCGAGCGAAGGCTGGCTCTGGCAAGGCATTCTCGCCGACCCCATTCACACAGACAGGAGCAGGAGTTAAAGTCCGCAGCGTCCAGGGTCCCGACTTGTAGCATCTGAGCACACTGACTCACTGGACAAATTAGTTTTCTTTGCAACTGAACAATAGCGACCTGTGGGGTGCAGATGCAAGTCTCATCTAAAACGTAGTGTGTGTTAGCAGCTGTGCTTAGCATTTGTGTGAGTTAGCCTACAGGGAGGAGGAAACCAGCCAGTAACAGCCTGTGATGGTTTGTAGTATGTGTATCTCTGTGTGTATATTGAGCATATATTTCCAGAAGTCACTTTTTCCTATTAAAAAAATGGGGGTGGGTGGTGGGTGGGAGAGAATAAATAAATATTATAACTTTCCTTTTGCCAGCCTGGTGCCTTCCAGATGTTTTGGTTGCGCTGATGGAAGCTGCCTTCCAAAACATCTGGAGGGAGCCAGGTTTGCAAAAGCTGCTATAACTCACTGTTACTTCAACTCCAGCATTCATTAGCTGCAGCATGTTAGCTATTATAATCCATCTCAGTTAACATTTTAAACATACGGCTTTTGCTCAGAGGTCCCTACATTTTAGCTCACTTGGAAAGGGTTTAATCGAAATATTGGGACAGCAAGAGAGCACATGGTATCGGCCTGTCAGGGCAGTTCCTGAGGCTGGCAAGGTGGAGAGTTCCTGGGTTTGAATATTGCTGCAGAACTGATCAGGAATCAGGACGAGCGTTAAAGTCAGCTGGGAAAGCAAAATCTTCAAATACAGTCACCCTTTTGAAGTTTTGGTGGAGGAATCTCTGCATCAGCGCTTTGAGATTGTGGGTGCAAACCGGGTGGCACCCGCAGTCAGAGAGCACGCAGTTAGAAAACAAAGTACTGTGCATAATTTCATCCCAGACCGAGCTGAGATTCCCATTCTTCCTCCCAGCTTGGGAGAGGAGTAAGGGCAAGGCCTCCTTTCCCCACCTCCTGAGCAAATTCCTTCCTTGCTCATCTCTCTGCATATGCTCCCGTTTCCTTCCTTATCACACCTGCAAGGTCCGTTTGGAGACTGCGGAAAGCAATCCTGAAAAAAACAGGCCAAAGGGCTTTGGGAAGATGACTACGAATGTCACATTCAGAAGTCTTCTGCCTTCAGCCTGTGCAGAAAGGCAACAGGTGCAGCCTTTTTTGGGGGGTGGAGCACAGGCTCCCAGTGATGATAACGCTGCACCTGTTGAATTAGGGCTGCTTGGACAGCCACGTCTGGAGAGGATGTTTGCATTCCAGCATAAAGACTCAAACCTGGGGAAACATTTGGGGTCTTGAGGAAAGACTGGTATGCAAAGATTGCAGTCCAAGCCTCTTGCCTTTCACCTTCCCCTCCGTGCTAAATCCCCCCCCCATATTCTCTTTTGTTTCGAGATGCCAAGGTACCCCCAATCTTGCGCCATCCTTTGGCCATCAGCCTGCCATCTCTCAGCTGTAAATACACATGACCTCCTCATCCTTCACTTGTCCTTGTAACTTCCTTATCACTCTGCAACCTTTCACTGACCAGCAATAAATAAACCTTTCAGTTGATTTCAGCTTCGCGTTTGGCCACTAGGGGAAAGAACCTTGGCCTGTCCTTCCACCTCCCTTGTCCGAACCGGGAGTACGTAGTCTTCCCCAAACATAGCAATGACAACTTGCCACTGGCGTTACACCGGATCTCAGTCGCAGGCCTTCCCCGTGGCTTCCTGTGAGATTCCCTTCCTTTTTATGTAGAAACCACACTGGATTGTGTTCTTTCTGCCTCCATGTATATTCTTTATTTTTTAAACGAAACAAATAACTTTGTAAACTGTCGAGTGAGATGGCTTGCCGTGCCCTCTGCTGAGCTCTCTGTTGAATCTTGCATGATTTCTGTCCTCCCTGACCCCCTCGTCCGCCCAGGCACACTGGAGGAAGGAAAAAATCGGGGGGCAGGGGCCTTAGCATGACAAAAATATCACTATGCTATTGCTTATCTGTTATTAACAAATGAATAAAAAGTGTTTCTATGTGCATGGTGTGCAGAGCTCTTCCTTTCTGCTCTCTCTCTGAGATGGATTCGGGGAATAATCTAGCTCAGCCTTTCTCAACTTTTGGCCCAAAGATGTTGGACTACAACTCCCTTCATCCCTTATCTTGCTAGCTATAATAATAAAAATTTATTATTTATACCCCGCCCATCTGGCTGGGTTTCCCCAGCCACTCTGGGCGGCTTCCAACAAAGTATTAAAATACAATAGTCTGTTAAACATTAAAAGCTTCCCTAAACAGGGCTGCCTTCAAATGTCTTCTAAAAGTCTGGGAGTTGTTTTTCTCTTTGACATCTGGTGGGAGGGTGTTCCACAGGGCGGGTGCCACCACCGAGAAGGCCCTCTGCCTGGCTCCCTGTAACTTGGCTTCTCGCAGTGAGGAAATCGCCAGAAGGCCCTCAGTGCTGGATCTCAGTGTCCGGGCAGAACGATGGGGGTGGAGACGCTCCTTCAGGTATTCTGGGCCAAGGCCGTTTAGGGCTTTCAAGGTCAGCAGCAACACTTTGAATTGTGCTCTGAAACATACTGGGAGCCAATGTAGATCTCTCAGGACCGGTGTTATGTGGTCTCGGCGGCCGCTCCCAGTAACCAGTCTAGCTTCCGCATTCTGGATTAATTGCAGTTTCCGGGTCACCTTCAAAGGTAGCCCCACGTAGAGCGCATTGCAGTAGTCCAAGCGGGAGATAACCACAGCATGCACCACTCTGGCCAGACAGTCAGCAGGCAAATAGGGTCTCAGCCTGCATACCAGGTGGAGCTAGTAGACAGCTGCCCTGGACACGGCTAAGGATGATGGGAACATCTGGGTACCCAAGGTCAAGAAAGGCTGATCCTGCTCAACGACAGCCAAGCTGGCAGCCTCCAGATCTGTAGACTCCAGCTCACATTAGCACCAATGGTCAGGGATGATGGGAGATGTAGTCTAGGTAGAACATCAGAAGTGCACCATATTAGCTACCTACAAACAAGAGCTCACTCCAGAAATATAGCAAAAAGCCGCAGTTCAAAACGCGTATCCCAAATTGGTTGTGTATTGTACCACATTTAGAACCCACCTTCCCTCCTAGGACCTCCAGGGGACGTGCATAGTTTTCCCCATTTTTTTCCTCACAGCCACCCTGCAAGGTAGGTTAGGCTGAGAGACGGTGATTCTCCCAAGGTCACCCAGCGAGATTTATGTGGATGAATGGGGATTTGGACTCTGGTTTCCTAGGTCCTAATCTGACACTAACCACTACACCACACTGGAATTAAGAGCAAAGGCAAAGAACAAAGCAGATGGAGTGCAGAAAGAAAAAATTACTGAACAAAGCATTATACAGTTTCAGAAAGAAACGTGGAGGGGGGGTTGCCTTTCTAACAGGGCTGGGTCAGCGCAGGGTTAGAGTTCACTCAGCTCATAGCAAGACATACATCTCCCACACCACCAAAGGGACCCAGGAGTCCTGGCCCTTCTCTTTCCTCCAGGCCCCCAAACGAACCCAGGAGTCCTGGCCCCCTCTCTTTCCCCCAGACAATCAAAATAACCCAGGAGTCCTGCCCTATCTCCTTTCACCAGCCCTTTAAAGGAACCCAGGAGTCCTGGCTCCCAGCGTCCTTTGCTCTTCAAGAACACCCCCGCCCCCTCCCCACCAAAGACTCATTTTGACCAGCCCGCAGACAACTGATTGGTTCACTAGACTGAAGGAAGGCGGGACCTACAAAGCTCAGCTGTTTGCTGATCCTTCCCGCGGGAGGCTTTCCCCGCTTTCTCTCATTGGATGGATGCAGCTGTCAGTCAACGAGCTACCCGGAAATATCTTTCTGTCTGCTGGAATGAGTGAGTATGCGTGGAGCAAAAGGGCGGGGGGAGTTTGCAATGGGGAGGGGGCGGCTCAGGACTCCTGGGTTCCTTTTCCTGCCCTTGGGAGCCCTTCTAGAGGGCTTAGGCGTCCTGGCGAGGCTGGGCTCAGTTGGAATGGGGGAGGCTTCCATTGCACCCCTTATTCCCATTTGCAAGAATGTCATCAAATAAACGAAGATCATGGCCACTGGGCCCATCACCTCCTGGCAAATAGAAGGGGAAGAAATGGAGGCAGTGAGAGATTTGACTTTCTTGGGCTCCATGATCACTGCAGATGGTGACAGCAGCCACGAAATTAAAAGACGCCTGCTCCTTGGGAGAAAGGCGATGGCAAACCTAGACAGCATCTTAAAAAGCAGAGACATCACCTTGCCAACAAAGGTCCGTATACTAAAAGCAATGGTTTTCCCAGTAGTGATGTATGGAAGTGAGAGCTGGACCACAAAGAAGGCTGATCGCCAAAGAATGGATGCTTTTGAATTCTGGTGCTGGAGAAGACTCTTGAGAGTCCCATGGACTGCAAGAAGATTAAACCTCTCCATTTTGAAGGAAATCAGCCCTGAGTGCTCACTGGAAGGACAGATCCTGAAGCCGAGGCTCCAATACTTTGGCCACCTCATGAGCAGAGAAGACTCCCTGGAAAAGACCCTGATGTTGGGAAAGATGGAGGGCACAAGGAGAAGGGGATGACAGAGGACGAGATGGTTGGACAGTGTTCTCGAAGCTACCAATATGAGGGAGGCAGTGGAAGACAGGCATGCCTGGCGTGCTCTGGTCCAGGGGGTCACGAAGAGTCGGACACCACTAAACGACTAAACAACAACAACAACCAGCTGCATGGCAGGTGAAAGTTCAGCAGGTTAAGCTGTTATTCCAGGTAGTATCTACGCAACAGCCACAACAGCCACGTGGTGCTTCGTCGTTTTTTTCCAAAGAATTCCCTTGCCGCCTTTCTAACATCAGTTTTCAAGGCCATGTGCAAATGAAAAAATAATATGAAAAAAATGCAACAAAGGCATTAAAACTGTTGTAAAAAGCATCTCTAATTTGGGGGCGGTTGGGGAGGAGGGAGATATACAAAAGTCCTTTAAAGCACTGTTTAAAAGTCTCAGGATAAAGTGGCAATTATAAGTCAAGGTGAAGCAAAGCCACAGAGAGGTCGCTGCCCCAAGGAGCTTCCAAACCAAGGGTAGGCAATTCAGAGAAGCAGGGGATAAAGGGGAAGGGGGGATATAAGAGGCTGGGGGAGGTAAGAGTAGCAAGGGCCGGATGTGAGCAAATGTCTCCATTAGGAAAAGGCCTTTCTTGAAAGTAGCTCATTTCCTATGGCTGACACGCTGCTGCTTTTGTCTTTCCCAGGTGAGCGACTGGGAGTTCACCCTTCTTGGTGAGGCTCAGGGATTTGTGATGGAGTGAGAAGAAACAAAGAAAGCTCAGCTCTCCGTTCTGAGATGTCGGCGACTTCTGATGGGATCATGGCTCTGGAGCCGTGTCGTGTGACACAGGTACCGTCTTGTGGGAGGGATGCTTTTTCCTAGCGGGTTATTGGAACGTCTTCACTATCGATTAGGAAGCTTTGTACAGTGGTACCTTGGTTCTCAAACTTAATCCGTTCCGCAAGTCCTTTCCAAAACCAAAGCGTTCCAAAACCGAGGCGCGCTTTCCCATAGAAAGTACTGCAGAATGGACTAATCTGTTCCAGACTTTTAAAAACAACCCCTAAAACAGCAATTTAACATTAATTTTAGTATCTAACGAGACCATGGATCCATAAAATGAAGGCAATAAACAATGTACTGCAGTCACACAATCAATCAATCAATCAATCAATCAGTAGCTGAACCGGGTTCCACACAGTCACAAAAAAAAGAGCTGCAAAAACAAAAACGCAAAATAAATAGCAAAAACAGACAGACCTCAGCATAACACTCAAAACAGAAGTGTGACACTCAAATTGGAAGTGTAACACTCAAAACGGAGCATGTTTGGCTTCCGAAAAAAAGTTCACAAACCGGAACGCTTTCTTCCAGGTTTGCATTGTTTGGGTTCCAAGTTGTTTGAGTACCAAGGCGTTTGAGAACCAAGGTTCCACTGTATTATGTTCAGTGATAGGAATACACTTGTTCACAGACACACAGATACACACACAGAAGTGAATTAAGCAGTCATGGATTTGTCTAGAGTTGGTGAAGGTTTTCCCAGGAAGCAGATGAGCACAATCTACTTTTAATGCTATATATCAAGCCATAGTTAAGTTACAGGTGATGCCACACCTTTCCGCTCACACCTGGTGAGCGACGTCTCATTCTCTAGGACAGGAAGATGAAAGAAACTTGAACACAATTTGGTCATTCTGGGGCTGCTTGTTATCTGGTTAAAGATAATAGTAATGATAAAGATTAAAGATGGTTAAAGACTGCTGCGGGTTGGACTAGATGACCCTCAGGGGTCCCTTCCAACTCTACAATGAAGATCATGCACCTGTTTTGCATCTCATTTTTTCAATTTTGTATTTTTTAAGTAAAATGTTGTTTGCTAATTTTTTTAAAAAAAACTAAGTCAGGTTTTAATTTGTTTAGTTTGATGAATGAAAATGATACACTTTATGATTTCTATGATTCTATGATTTGAGTATGAGTACATATTCAATAAAAGTTTGGCATTTTAAAAACAAACCTGTGTGCACACTAATGAAATGTGCTGCACATGTCTATGACCAGTATAGACTAGGGTGGCGGCTAGAGAGAAGAAACAGAATAATTATCCCAAAGAGGGGGAAACAGACAAAAACCACCCCAGAATTTGATCCCCTTCCTCTTCTTTTTCTTCTTTATTAAATTTCTATACCGCCCTTCATCCACAAGGTGGTTTGCAATATTAAAAATGCGAAAATACATACTGTAGTAACAAACCACACAATACTCCCCCCACCCAGTTTAAAAGTCCATCGGTTCTTTAATTAGCCAACATTATCAACAGTTGTTTGATTAGCCAAAGGCCTGGCTAATGAGCAACATTCTCAAAACCACCAAATATTAAATGCCAGATATTTTGTACAGAGGGGAAATCTTCATTTTATAGATATTATTCGTTTTTCATACAGAGAGCCATGATTTTGACTGAGGAGCATGCAAAGTTCCCTAATTCACATTGCAGCGGTTGGGATATTTTTTTGGGGGGGGGGGGTTCCTTAGATCTGCATTTTTGTACTTTTCACATTTTCTCTTTTGTATGCAGTCTCCACCAGCCGCTTACTATGTTCCAGATTTCATCACAGAGGCAGAGGAGGCGTACCTTTTGCAACAGGTGCGTGCGCATTTATGTTCCCCTTTGTGCGGTGTTTTAAGAACTGTCTCGTTGAATTTGAACCGGGGGGACGGGACCTTTTGGCCTCCATGGCTCACATCCATATCAGGATCTGCCCCATGGGCCAAATTTGACGAAATCCCTTTCAGTGTGATCTTAAAGGGAGATGCACAAAGGCCGATGAGCAGAGATCAAATCCTGCTGTTTAGGCTGTGCAATCCTGGGAACAGGTTTGTGCCGCCAGTACATCAGCTGGTGTCAATGGTGATGCCAACTGATGTGCCCAGGCTTTCGAGAAAATCAGCCTGCTGAGCCATAACTGGCCTTCAAACCAGGGGTTCCTCACCCCAGAATGTCTTCAGCAGTAAGCAGCCAGATGCCTCTGGGTGGCCCAAAAGCTGGGCAAACTGCCAAGGTCCATCTTGTATTGTGACCCCTGTAGGATTCCTGGATCCTGGCTGTTGACAGACATGTCCTTCTGAGCTAATCTTTTTAAAAATCTGCTTCTCTTGTCATTGTTGATGTTAAATTTGTATTTCACATTTTCCTCCCCGAGGCAGCAGACATCAAAGTGGTATAGCAGTTAAAGCAGCCACATAGTATACTCTTAACAGCTATCAATATCAAATTTGCCAGGAACAGCTATCAGGTTGCGCATGGTGTTTCCAATGATATACACAGAGCTCAGTTCTCTTCCTCCTTTCTCTCTTTCCCTCTTTCTCTCTCTCTCTCTATAATGACTGTTTAGGGAAGTTTTTAATGTTTGATGTTTTATCCTGGCCAGATGGGTGGGGTATAAGTAATAAATTGGCCAGATGGGTGGGGTATAAGTAATAAATTATTATTATTATTATTATTATTATTATTATTATTATTATTATGACTGATTTCCAGTCTTAGATCACCAGCGATAATTTCTGTGCAACATTAGGATAGGCAGAATTCACTTTCCACGCCTCCCTGTCGTTCTTGGCAATATTGTGATGGAGAACATAAATGTTCCAACTTACAGACTTAACATATAGAACAAGAGAACAAAAAGAAAATGCGTTTAGAGAAGATTGGAAAACGTTCATTGAATATCTGTGAAATAATGGTGTACAGCTGAAAACGCTGGCAGCATTAAATTCAACAGCGTAAATAATTTTGATGGCTGCAGTAATGGAATACTGAATGGTATGGCTTTTGTAAAATACACAGGGATTTGTGATATGTAAAATGAGCCATGGAAAGAGAAGAAAGGGAGTCATTAGTATCTTAAGGATGGAAAATGAGTATTTTAAATTTAATAAAAATTATATACAAAAAAAGAAGAGAGCATAAATGTTCCTATCTGGGGGAATCTATCCAATGCGTTGGAAGAAGGCTGAGCTGCCCCTAGGTACTTCTGTTTTGTTTTTGTTTTTAATATTAATAAATATTAATTTCCATTTTTCCATTCCAATTAATTTCCATAAGTTTCCATTTTATCACATTTAAACAAATCCTTATTGTACTCATTACGTATTTGCTCAATCAAGCTTCGACTTCCCTCTCGTCGCATGGTTTCCATAATTCATTATCACCTCTTAGCATTTTATACATTTTCCTATTTACGTTTCACTCCTTCCGTTAATCACAATTTTAAAAATAAATATTAAAAGGTACAGATCCTTAGCATTGCATGTTGACAACCCTGCTAGTGTTGTTAATTGTTTGCGATTGTCCTTCAGCTATTGTACAAATTTACTCTAGTCCTTTTGGAAAGCTGGATCGCGCTGATTTCCCATTTTCCCAGTCAGCCTTGCCAATTCCACAAAGTCCATCACCTTCGCCTGCCACTCTTCCAGCAATGAGATTTCCCGTTGCTTCCATTTTGGGGCTAAAAGAGTTCTTGCTGCTGTTGTCGCATGCATAAACCCTTTTATATCTCTCTTTGGGATCTCATTCCCTACTATACCTGACAGAAATGCCTCTGGCTTTTTCACAAATGTCTTTTTAAACATTTTCTGGGTTCTTCTTCTGATGCCTGCGGTTTCCATGTGAATATCTTGCTTTCTTTTCCCCCACCTCCAGGTTTATGATGCCCCCAAGCCCAAGTGGACTCAGCTGTCGGGGAGGAGGCTGCAGAACTGGGGTAAATGTTGCGTGCGGACGCCGGAGGGGAACCTCACTGCCCCCTTTAATTGTGTGGATCCCCATTCACTCCTATAGCGCACAAAGGAGGCTCAGAAGGCCAGTGTACAATGGGGTCAGTTTTCTTCAATGGCATGAAGGAGGCTCAGGCCGGGGCGAACGAAGGCATCATGACACCCGGGGTGGGACGTCACTACGTAGGGCGCACACGCGACGCCATACCTGCACTGTACATAGCGGTTTGCCGGCAGCGCCGCTCCAGCGCTGTACGGGCGGTGCTGGGATCCCTACATCGCCGCTACAGCCGCAAATAGAGGATCCTCTACATGTGGCTGTAGCGGTGGCAGAGGGATCCTACCCCCATCCGTACTGCGCTTGAGCGGCGCTGGCGGCAAACCGCTATGTACAGCGCACGTGCGGCGGCGTTATGTACAGCGCATGCATGCGGCGCCACACATGCGCTGTACATAGCAGTTGGCTGCCTCCGCTTGAGCACCGTATGGATGGTGCTGGGATCCCACCATCGCCACTACAGCTGCGAACAGAGGATCCTCTACATGCGGCTGTAGCGGCAACGGAGCGATCCCACCCCTGTCCGTACTGTGCTTGAGCGGCACCGGCAGCAAACCGCTATGTACAGCGCATGTGCAGCATTGCTACATACAGCGCATGTGTGCAACACCGCACATGCACTGTATATAGCGGTTTGCTGCTGGAGCCGGGATCCTCTGCTCGCGGCTGCAGCTGCAAACAGAGGATCCTCCACATGCGGCTGTGGAGGCGCGATGGCTGCTTGCGCTGCCGCGAGCCCCCACGGGGTGCCCTATTGTCACCCCCCCCCAGACATGGCACCTGGGGCGCACTGCCCCCCCCATTGCAACGCCACTGGGCTCAGGCAGCCATTTTGCCACGCATCTGCCCCTAATCTGTGAAAAAATCCCCGCTCTGCAGGGTGATATACAGTCATACCTCATGTTACGTTTGCTTCATGTTACGTTCTTTCAGGTTATGTCCCGTGGTGACCCGGAAGTGCCGGAAAGGGTTACTTCTGGGCTTCGCTGCTCGCGCATGGGCATAAGCGCTAAATCGCACCACGCACCTTCACAGATACGGCGCTTCAGGTTGCGTTCTTTTCATGTTGCGAACGGGCCTCCGGAAAAGATCCCGTTCGCAGCCAGAGGTACCACTGTACAGCGATATTTTGGTTTTCGAGCGTCTCGGAAGCCAAGTGTTTTGGTTTCTGAACGCCAAAATCCCGGAAGTAATTGCTTCCGTTTTTGAACGCGCCTCGGAAGCTGAACGGCTTCCGCTGCATTTCCCCCCCAGTTTTCTCCATTGACTTTGCAGCCAGCCCTTTGCAAAAGACTGGAAAGGAGAGGATATCCCATCTAAATCAGATTGGCAAAACAAATTAAGGGAATGCGCTGAACTGGCGAGATGATATCGGGACTTCCGGGTCAGCACCATCGGTGAATGGCGGAGTTCCTCCGTCCGGAGGAACGGGCTCCGTGGAAACTGGGTCTTCCCGCCGCAGCGAAGGTGGGGACCCGCTAGAAATCCCAGGCGGAGGAAGCCTGGGAACGTGGGGTTCGGCAGGGCACCAGGAGCGCCCCCCTACTCGCAGGGAATCCCATTTAGGGGCTCCGGAGCGAAGTGGGGTGAGAAGCGTGGTGCTGCGAACTGACTGCTACTTTCACGGAGTGAAGCCGCACAGCCATTGCCAGAGAGCGCTGACTTTTTCCTGTGGACAGTTGGATTTAAAACAAGTACCTGTGAGTAGAAACAGAAAATTGGATCAAGAAATTTCTTAATTTGGTAATGAAGCGGGAAGGTTGAAAACAGGAAGTCTGCCTTCCGCTTTTTGTATATAGACTAAAGCAAAAACTTTGTAAGCTAAAGCCTGGAAAGCTGTCAAAAAAGTCTAAATTTTCTTCATTTAGAATTACTGAATCCCCCTTGGAAGCAGGAGAAAAGGGGGGGAACTTTGTTCAACCCTAGCAGGAGAGGAAGTGAAGAAGGATAAGTTTCCACCGTCTCTAACTTGGGAACGGGGTGTCAGAGACAGAAATAGTTGGAGAGGTTCATTGACTGTGAATGGGATATTTTGACAGATAGCTAAAGAAGAGAAACAAGCTGATTCCAATGTTGCCTTTTGCATCCTAAAGAAACAAAATATCTGAAAAATATCTGAAAAACGAAAGTAATTTTCCTTTGTTAGACTTGCCTAAAAAAATGGATACAAATAGAAATTGCCTCCTCTAGAGGGAGCTTGTCAAATTGTTGCTGCAGTACACTTGAGGGCTCAACAGATGTGAGATTAAGACCGTGGGAACAGGCTTTTCTGACCTTGACTAAAGATGAGTGGGAAAGAAGACTGGGTGCTTGCCTTATGTAAGACAAGTGCCCTGCTGGAACAGATGCATGAGGAGATGGACTTGATGAATGAGAAAATGGATTTGACTGTTGCAGTTAATGACTGTGGGCAAGCAGGGAATATTGATACAGAAATTATCCAGGGACCAACTCATGAATCTGTACTGACTGGGCAAGTGCAGAAGATAATGGAGGAGGATGCGGTTGCACCCCAAATAATACAAATGGAGAGTCCCGAGGCCCTTCAGGAGTATGAGCCGCTGTCATTGAAGATTGAAGTTGGAGTGGGCCAGGGGGAGTCTGGAGTTGAGGAGGTTCCCAACGTTGGAGAGACCTTGGAATATGCTTTTAAATACTTTTGGACTATATTGAGGATTGTGGGGAGTGGGACTGTGGGGAATGGGCGGGTTTGATGAAGGGAGATGGAGACAATTCTGGCTTGGAACCCCCCAGAGGCCTACCCCTAAATGAGAAAGGAAAGAAACTAAGAAAGAGACCAACAAAAGACAAGGAAAAGGGCAAATATAAACAAAGAAGAAGAAGAATTGCAGAAGGGACATGGAAGAGACTTAAGGGCCTCGGACATAAGACTTCCAGGTTGATGGACTAGATGGAATGGACAATAAGGACTGACATGACCCGTGACCAGGAAGAAGAGACGCTGGATGATGATTGAAAGAGAATTTATAATGGAAATTTTCTAATTGGGGAATTGGCTAAAAATTAATGAATATTAGGGAAAATGTTGGAATGAAACTATATGACTTTAGCAGAAATGATATCAGGAGTAATGTATATTTGATAACTAAGATTCAAGCTTTAAGGTGTTTTAGGGTAAGATAAGATTAAATTAATTAAGGTAATGTGAATAATAGAATATGGGGAAAGATGGAAAGGATTTGTTGAATTAATTATTAGATTAAATTAGGTTAGGATGAATTTTTTAACAAAAATTGAGAAAGATGGAAAGAATTTGCTGAAATAACTAATTAAACTAGAATACAAAAAGGGAGGTGTGAGGAAGTCAATGAAACAAGCAAATGGAAATTTTAGATATGCAAGTTGGGATTTGTGTTGTTTTCTTTTTTCTTTTTATTTTTTTTGTTGTATTGGTTTTTGTGGTTTTTTTTCTCTTTTTGTCTATTATAGTGTTGTTTTTTAATGTTTTTTTAAATGTTTTTCTTCTTATAATCCTGAAAACTACTAATAAATATTATTTTTAAAAAAAGAGATGATATCACCAAGGTTGAGAGACGTTGCAGATGAAAAAATTATCAGAGAATGGGACATATATACAGAGTTTATGTAAAAAGAACACTGTCAAATTACCAATCCGTTTGGCAGGTTTTGATTGAACTTCTGTGTGTAAAATAGGAAAATTTGATGAAACTCAAAGTAAGTCAGACAACATGGAGAAGTCTTAGGCAAGTGCGTCTTTAAAGAATTTAATCGGGGAACACAAGGGGAGGATTGGAGGTCAAGTTAAATTGAATTACAAAACGATGTACAAAGCAAGGATCAATTAGGGAATGAAAGATTGTATACTTTTGTTTTTATCATCAATTGATCTTCTTTGTTATGTAATGTAATTTTCAACCAATAAAGCAGTAAAAAGAAAAAGAAAAATCTTTGCAGCCAGCCCTTTGCGCCTCAGTTATTGGAACATTTTTGGAAGTCAAACAGTCTTCTGGAACGGATTACGTTTGACAACTGAGGTCCCACTGTATAGGCCTCTCCTCACACCAAAAGCTAGTTTAGCGGTTAAGAGCGTTAGATGTGGACTTGGAGAGGTGCATCCCTTGTTTGCTGTGAAGCTTATGAAACACCATTTTGAAACACCCACCTCATCCTGACTTTCTTGACAGAAGAGCGGGATATAAATATTATTTTTTTGAGAAAGCTGGACTTGTTTGTTCGTTCACCCAGCTGGGAGTCAGGGTGGATAAAAATCAATAATTTTAAAAATAAAAAAACATATTTTTTTTTTACTTAAATCAGATTTTTTTATTTAAATCAGATTTTTAAAATAAAATGCTTCTGGAGGAAAAACCTTTCTAAAGATAGTTTTCTGTTTAAGTTACATTATAGTCCAAAGGCTATTCATCAGGAAATAAAGATTTCTTTAAAGTTTTTCATATGTGTTAAAAAGCAGTCTAAGGTTTGTTTGTTTTTTTAAAAAATCGTTTAACCATATCAGTTAACAAACATGGATACATATGTTAAATAAATTGTTTAAATTGTTATTAAGGAAATGATTATTTTTCTCCTTCCAATAATATACTGCAGAAAAGTTGTCCAAATATAAACAACAATTTCATAATTATCTGTCTATGTATTTCTGACAGTATAACCAAATCAGTGATTTTTGATATAACTGTAAAAACTGCTCTGAAAATTTATGATTCCAAAAATGAAAGCTTCATCGGGTTGTAAATATTAAGAGGATGCTGGCGAGGCTGAACCTTTCTGTAAAAAAGAAAAGATTTAAATCAAGTCTTACTGACTAGTGATTTAAATCGATTTGATTTAAATCAAATCCACCCTTTTGGGAGTGCCTAAATCTAGACCAGAACACCAAAAATATGTCCAAAGTCTGTTTTGGGGGCCTAATCCAGCCCCAATGGCAGTTTATTTCCTGGGGTAAAATCCTAAAAAAATAATCAACAACTTCAATCCCCAAAAAAGCTCAGTAACTTTAATCCTTAAAAAAGGTCAACAACTTTGGTGGCCCTCACAGCCCTTCACTTCATCAAATCTGGCCCTCTTTGAAAAAGGTTTGGACACCACTGAATTAAACCAATGGCAGCTAAAACGCTTAAAAAACACACACACACAGTCACAAACTAGAGTGAAGCTGAGGTAACAGCATATTTTGGATCTGTGAAACCTTAAAAGCCTGCCAAAACAAATTTGCTTTCCTGGCCCAACTCGTCTCTTGACAGTGGAAATCTCCACAGTGAATGACTCAGCCTGCAAGTCTTTGCTGGACTGTAGGCCTCTGTTTTGTGAGGTAAACAGTTTCTGAGGGAAACTGTCAAGAAATTCACATAGCTGTCAACTTTTCCCTTTTTTTTAAGGGAAATTCCCTTATTCCGAATAGGATTCCTCGCAAGAAAAGGGAAAAGTTGACAAGAAACATCTGGAAAATCACCATGTTTTGAGTTAGGAGACATGTTTGTTGGAACGTGGCTGCCATCAGCCTTGACATCACCACCCTCTACCCCTGTTACAGACAGTATTTTATTTTCTTTTATTTTTAAACCATTTTATTGAGTTTTACAATTTTATATACCACACAATCATCAATATCACACAAAAAACCACATATATGAGTCTCAATCCCCTCCCCTGACTTCCCTCAACTTCCCCTTCTGGTTCTTTCAATATTTGTTTTTCCTGCCTGTTTTATTCTACCTTAATTTTGTAACCTTTTACATAAATATTATATTATTATCATTTTCGGACCAGGTTTCCCAAATCACACCTTACATTTTATTATTTTCCCAGTTATAACGTCTTAACTTTATATTTATTTTCTTAATCGTAAGCGTTGACTCAAATCCTGCTGGTGAGTCCATTTCTTTACAATATTTCTGTAGATACAACAGAAACAATTCCCAATTCTTTTTTTAAAGTTTTTTTCCCCAATCCTTTTTAAAGTCTCTTTGTCCTTGTCTTTTAGTTTCCCGGTCAGTTTCGCCATTTCAGCATATTCCACCAGCTTTTTTTACCATTCTTCTTTCATTGGTATCTTGTCGTCTTTCCATTTTGGGGATAGTAATATCCTAGCCGCTGTTGTAGCATATATAAATAATTTCTTCCGCTCTTTTGCCATTTCATGGCCTATAATACCTAACAAAAAGGCTTCTGGACTTTTCAAAAAGGTCTTAAACATTATTTTCATTTCATTATAAATCATTTCCCAATAGCTTTTGATTCTTTTACAATCCCACCACAGATGGTAAAACGGGCCTTCTTTCTCTTTACACTTCCAACCCTTATCGGAGTTTGTTCTGTACGTTTTTTGCCATTTTTGCCGGGGTGATATACCATTGTATAATTCGTGTAATTCTCTTTTCAAAGTTCTACAATCAGCGAATTTTAAATTCACTTTCCACAGCTTCCCCCAATCCTCCATTTGTATATTATAATAATATTTATTTATTTATTTATTTATTTATACCCCACCCATCTGGCTGGGCTTCCCCAGCCACTCTGGGCGGCTTCCAAAAAAATATTAAAATACTGTAATACATCAAACATTAAAAGCTTCCCCAAACAGGGCTGCTTTCAGATGCCCTAAATCTTGTGCCCTATAGGCTTCTAGCTGTACAGGCTTTAAAGTTATAAATATATCAAGATTAAGGATTAGGATTAAAAAGGTTAAAAGAATGGAAAAATTGGTTTTTAATAGGTAAAAAATTGTTATATTATATTAAGATTAAGGATTGGGATTAAAAAGGAGGGAAAGGAATTGCTGGACTAACAAACTGAATTGGAATACAAAAGAGGGAGGTATGAGGAGGTCCGGGAAACAAGTAAATGTAAAAGTAGTGATGAAAAGAGGGAATTGTTTTTAACTGTTTTTTTCTTTTTTCTTTTTGTATTTTGCATTGTGTATTTTTCTTTTTATTCTTGAATTTTTCTTTTTTTGCTGATGTGATTCTTTCTTTGTGAAACTTTAATAAATATCATTTAAAAAAAAATTAAATAAATCTTGTGCCCTATAGAAAGTAGTTTAATAATAAATCTTTATTGCGGCCCAAAGACCCGTAACATAGATTCAGAATAAAATACAGATACACGCAGACAGCCCCCCGGGAGAGGAGGACCGAGGCAATATTTATTTAGTCTTGAGTATGATGATCTTTGATACTGTCAGGGGTTCAGGAGCAGAGGCACAGGAAAGGGAGGAAATAGAGAGCGAGGGGGAGGAGTCCGAAGGAAATGTTAGCGATGACAGCGGTCCGAGGTCTCTGAGTCTTTCCAGCGAATCGGAAGATTCACAGAAAGGGGCTCCCTTGGTCAGAGCAAGGGGGTGCCGAGGGGACACCCCAGGAAGAAGGGGCCAGAGGGGACTCAGAGAGCAGCAGTTGGAAATCAGGACCAGCGTCCACACCAGAGTGCAGTAGGGGGGAGGGGTCCCAGGCATCGGGATCAGGCGGCGCACTGCCAGTGGGAGGACATGAGTCAGGATTGGCCACGCCTCCATCGGGGAGCGAGGAAACGGTCGAGAGGAAGGTTGAAGGCTGGGCGCGCGCGCCAAGTTCAAATGTACAGGAGGGCGGCGCAGTTGGCAGCCCGGATAGGGAGCCAGGTCCCAAAGCCCGCCGAAAAGAGGGGGAGGAGTCAGGGGGTCAGCGCCAGAAGAATCCAGGAAGGAAGGGACCCCGGGGGGTAGCAGGACCCAGAGGAGAAAGGAGAGACGTAAGAGGTGGAGTAAGGCTAGAATCTTAAACTGGTGTACAGGGGCGGAGACTCAGATGGAGCTTCGCCGATCTAACCCCTAGACGTAGAGCTGGGGCGCTGTGGCTTGAAAATGGAAACTGTACTTCAATAAAGACTTTTGTACATTACTGCCGGCTAGCGTTGGTCCTCTGTGAGCTGGGACCTGGAGCCAGCTCTGACAGTAAGCTCCATCTCAAAAGTTTTGCACCAAAAACCTCGTAACGTGAGTGGACGCAGCGAGGGAAGAAGATTGGTGCTTCGCGAGCTCACAAAAGTCAGGCAAGATGACTACAGAACAGCAACTAGCAGCCCTGCAAAATGCAGTGACACAACTCAACGCGGAGGTACTCGCATCCAGGAAAAGGGAAGAGGAAGCGGCTGCCGCCTGCAGGGATCTCCAAGCCAGGTTGGAAGTGCTTGCTAAGCAGGGCAACCGGGACCCAAATCAGAGGGGATTGGGCTGGGGAAAAGAGGAGGCAGCCTGGTATCTCATTTCGATGGGAATTTGCAGCAGTACCCTAACTTCCGAGCAGACGTGCTGTTTGCGCTGGAACTGCTGGATAAAGACTTTAGAGATGAGCAAGAGAAGGTGGGGTTTATCTTGTCCCATTTGCATGGGGAAGCTAAAGCGTGGCTGCGCAATCTGTGGAGAGATAAGGATCCGGCGCTCCAAAATGCGGATGCATTCATTAAAGCGATGGATTCGTGTTTTTATCAAATATAGACATTGATATCGCCAGAAAAGACATACATGGGCTCAAACAAGGCAGAGCCAGTGTAAGGCAGTACCATTCCCGCTTTTTGCATTAGTCCATGCGCTGGGATGGGAGAAGGATTCTGCCCCAGCCAGAGACCTTTTTGGGAAGGCTTGAATGCAAATGTGAAAGATGAGATTGCAAGGGGGGAGAGACCAAAGAGCACTCAGGAGGTTGTCCGGCGGGCGCTGCAAATTGGGGTGCGTCTGGAAGAACGTCCATGGAACAGAGAAGAAGGACGTTGGGGACGTACGCCAGTGAGAGCACCTCCCTCTTTCCCAAGGATGCAGCGCGTGTGCAATCCCCACCTCCGCAAGGAGGGGAGAGCGACCGATGGAGATTGGAGGCGCCAGGGCTCAGTCAGCAACCAGAGCCCTAACACCGGGAGCAGTCAAAGCGAAGCCTCCTAGAGGGAACAGGAAGTGCTACATCTGCGACAGTGCTCAGCACATGGCGAAAGAGTGTCCCCAGAGGCTCCACAAGCACACTGCAGCCTCAGCAACAGTAACAGACGCAACTCAGCAGAGAGAACCACAGCAGGGAAACGACAGAGTCTGGTTGGAGGAAGAGGCACTGGGGCCCAGCCAGACAAGTCAATGAAGCCGTCCCCAGAGATTTTGCAGCCCACAGACCCCTCCCGCCCAAACCAGTGGTGCAGCTCACAGCATCGCTCCAACTACCCAATGGACTCACTATGGAAGTGCCGATTACCATTGACTCTGGTAGTAACGCAGACTTCATAGGACTGGATTTCATTCAAGAGCACAACATAGCACTCCTGCCAGCCACGCTGCCTCTGAAAGTTGTCACGGTGGATGGCAGGGAATTGCTGGGGGCAGGTGGTGCAGCAAACGCCTCCGATGGTGATGCAAATTGGGAATCACCGAGAAGTCATCAGCTTCAATGTCACCCAACTGTCGGACACGCCTATAGTATTAGGCATGAGTTGGCTGCACAGGCACAGCCCAGCATTGGCGTGGTACCAGCGACAACTGACCTTCGGCTCCTCATACTGTGCGGAACATTGCATTCTGCCTAGCCCGGAAGGGGAAGAGGATGACCCGCAGCTACAATTAGGCACGCTGCAAGCAGTGCCACTCAAGTACGCAGCGTTTTTGGAGGTTTTCTGCGAGAAGGAAGCGGACAAGCTACCTCCCACAGGTCCTATGACTGCAAGATTGACCTCCTGCCAGGGCGACGCTGCCAACCGGGAAACTGTATTCCATGTCTGAAGACGAGCTGCAGGAACTCAGGGAGTTCATAGACCTCAACTTGAAGCGCGGTTTCATCCAGGAGTCGAAGGCAGTGGGGGGCAGTCCTGTATTCTTTGTGAAGAAGAAGGACACGCCCCAAAAAAGGCTTGTGGTGGACTATAGAATTTTGAACTCGAAAACCAAGCCCACAGCCTTTCCCATGCCCAAGATAGATGACCTGCTCGCAACGGTGAGGAAAGGACGCGTTTTCACAAAGTTGGATCTGCGAGGGGCATACAACCTGATTCGCATACGGGAGGGCGACGAATGGAAGACTGCCATGTTCACGCCCCTGGGCACCTATGAATACAGAGTTATGCCCTTTGGATTACAAAATGGCTCCCACTGTTTTCAAGCCTTCATGCATCACGTATTGGCGGGTCTCCTCTACAAGAAATGCGTCTGCTTCCTGGACGACATCCTGATATTTTCAGAATCAGAGGAGACCCACGAGGGAGACGTCAAGGAAGTTCTGCAGAGACTGCAGGAGCACAGGCTGTACGCCAAGCTGGAGAAGTGCCAGTTCGACATGAAGGAGGTCCAGCGGTTTGTCGGTTTCGCCAACTTTTACCGCAAGTTCATCAAGGGGTTCGCGATGCAGACGGCGGCCATTACCGACACGCTCAGCTCCAAGAAGAAGAAGTTCATCTGGACGGAGCAAGCGGAGCAGTCCTTTCAGAAACTCAAGCGTCTCTTCTCGTCCGAAGAGCAGCTACTGCATGTGAATCCCAGCAGACCGATGAGGGTTGAAACGGACGCCTCAGACAGAGCCGTGGGAGCAGTACTGTTGCAGCAAGACCCGCATGGGGACTGGAGACCGTGTGCCTTCTACTCCAGGAAGCTCAGCAAGTCAGAGCAGAACTACACCATCTGGGACAGGGAGTTGCTGGCCATTCATGCAGCATTCAAGGCGTGGCGGCACTTCCTCATTGGAGCCAAACACACAGTGCAGGTCCGCACGGACCATAAAAACCTGGAGTACTGGCGCACGGCAAGGTTCCTGAACCAGAGGCACATACGATGGGCGGAGTTCTTTGCGGATTTCGACTTCAGGATAGAGTACATCCCAGGCGACAACAACATCATGGCGGATGCACTGTCCAGAAAGCCGCAATACCTCGAGGAGGCGGCACCAGCAGCGGCCAAGCACATTTTCGCACCGAAAGCGTGGGCGTGCGCTTCAGCAACCGTGGACCTGGATGCTGTACGTCGAGCACTGCAGGAGGACCCCTTCGCGCAAGCAAAGATGGCAGAGGTGCAAAGGGGCACGGCGGAGGACGCCGAGTTCCAGATACGCGACGGATTGCTCATCCGCAGAGGGGCCCTCTACGTACCGGGAGACGACCTCCGCGCGAAAGTACTGCAGCAGTTGCACGACGCACCCACCGCCGGGCACTTTGGCAAAGAGAAGACGGTAGAATTAGTAGCCAGAGATTTTTGGTGGCCCAAGATGCGGGGGAAGTCGCGGATTACGTCTCGAGGTGCGACACCTGCCAAAGGGCCAAGTCAGTGCACAAACCGCCGGCGGGACTGCTCGAACCGCTGCAGACACCGCTCGAACCGTGGGAGAGGGTGGCCCTGGACTTTGTCACGGATCTACCCAGCTCGAGGGGCAAGACGGCAGTGCTAGTGGTGGTGGACATGTTCACCAAAATGGCCCACTTCATTCCGTGCGCGAAGGTGGCCACGGCGGAACAGACCGCCAAACTGTTCATAGACCACGTGTTCAGGGTTCACGGTCTGCCACGGTCCCTCCTGTCCGACCGGGCGCGACAGTTCATCTCGAACTTCTGGCAGAAGCTGATGGGTTTCCTGAACGTCAAGATCAACCTAGCGTCGGCGAGACACCCGCAGACGAACGGACAAGCGGAGCGAGTCAACGCCATCATGCAGCAGTACCTGCGATGCTACGCAAATCAGCAGCCGGCAACATGGGTGGACTACCTGCCGCTCGCTGAGTTCGCCTACAACAACACGAAGCACGTGTCCACGGGGTGACACCGTTCTTCGCCAACAGCGGGAGGCATCCCAGAACCTTCCCGGGATTAGCGAGAGCGGGGAGGGGAGCCACAGGCAGCGGAAGCCTTAGCATCAGAGTTGCAGGAGGTTCACGAACAGCTTCGGAGGCAGTTAGAACTAGCAAAGCACGCATACAAACTGCAGGCTGACAAGCACAGAAGGGTTGGGGAAGACATACAGGTGGGAGACTGGGTTTGGTTAGCAGCCCAGGCAGTGCCGGCCAGATCGTTAGCGAAGAAGAAGCTAGGGCATAAGCAGCTAGGACCCTACCAAGTCGAGGCACAGGTCAATCCAGTGGCCTTCCGGTTGACACTGCCGGAGGGATCTAGAATGCACCCAGTTTTCCATAGATCAGTGCTCACGCCCTACAAAGCACCTCATAGATTTCAGGAGCCAGGAACGGCACCAGACCCGTTCAGGGAAACGCCCACAAGGGGGGGGTCGCCAAGGCGGGAACCCGTCAACGAAGTCACAGAGATTTTAGACTCGAGATGGGGGGAAGAGGGAGTAGAATATCTTCTCGCCAGAGAAGGTACCTCGGCCAGCGCCAACAGTTGGGTGCCAGACCATGCCTTGGACGAACCTTTTCTCAAGGACGAGTTTCATGCCCTTTTCCCACACAGGCCCATGCCAGCCGAGTATTTCGACGACTGGCTTTTCACACCCACATTTTCAGCTAGCACATTCCAGGGGTTCACCTCGGACGAGGAACCGGCACTAGAAACACGTTCCCGGAGGGATCACCCTCGGGTCTGCCTCAGACCGTTCCTATTGGTGGGACAATCAACCAGAGGAGCAGTGGCGCAGGAAGTGGCTGGGGGGTCCTTGGCAGGCAACGTCCCCGGAGGAGACCGGGGAGAGACGGACATGGACGTGTTGGGGGAGGACCTTGGGTTCGAGCACGGCGGCAAAGAGATGGAAGCAGAGGAAATTGAGGTCGGCGAGAGCACGGAGGCCGAGCCGGACTTATCCGGCTGGATGCACGCCACGGGGCACGAACTGTATCCGCCACCCACCCCCCCAACGACGCAGCACCCCGTCCCCACACCTGAAGGAGGGGCGGGGGTAAGGGGGGCCTTCGAGGGGGATGGATGTCAGGGGTTCAGGAGCAGAGGCACAGGAAATGGAGGAAATAGAGAGCGAAGGGGAGGAGTCCGAAGGAAATGTTAGCGATGACAGCGGTCCGAGGTCTCTGAGTCTTTCCAGCGAATCGGAAGATTCACAGAAAGGGGCTCCCTTGGTCAGAGCAAGGGGGTGCCGAGGGGGACACCCCAGGAAGAAGGGGCCAGAGGGGACTCAGAGAGCAGCAGTTGGAAATCAGGACCAGCGTCCACACCAGAGTGCAGTAGGGCGCGGGGCCCCAGGCATCGGGCTCAGGCGGCGCACTGCCAGTGGGAGGACATGAGTCAGGATTGGCCACGCCTCCATCGGGGAGCGAGGAAACGGTCGAGAGGAAGGTTGAAGGCTGGGCGCGCGCGCCAAGTTCAAATGTACAGGAGGGCGGCGCAGTTGGCAGCCCGGATAGGGAGCCAGGTCCCAAAGCCCGCCGAAAAGAGGGGGAGGAGTCAGGGGGTCAGCGTCAGAAGAATCCAGGAAGGAAGGGACCCCGGGGGGTAGCAGGACCCAGAGGAGAAAGGAGAGACGTAAGAGGTGGAGTAAGGCTAGAATCTTAAACTGGTGTACAGGGGGCGGAGACTCAGATGGAGCTTCGCCGATCTAACCCCTAGACGTAGAGCTGGGGCGCTGTGGCTTGAAAATGGAAACTGTACTTCAATAAAGACTTTTGTACATTACTGCCGGCTAGCGTTGGTCCTCTGTGAGCTGGGACCTGGAGCCAGCTCTGACAGATACGTATGACTACCAAAAGAAACTGTGGGACATGGAAAAGACTTAAGAGCCTCAGACATAAGAGCACCAGGTTGATGGACTAGATGGATGGGATAGAAAGGACTGACAAAACCCGAGACCAGGAAGAAGAGACGACGGATGAAGATTGGAAGAAAGTTTTGAAAAATCATTTAGAAAAGTATCGTAAAATTAATGAGTATTAGAGAAATGTTGGAATGAAAGTATTTGGCTTTGGCAGAAATGTTAAAAAGGATTATGTATGAATATGTTATGGTTAAAAGAATTCGGTATAAATAAGTTTTAAGTTTTAGGGTTTTTTATGGTAAGATAAGGTTAAAATAGACTAAGGTAATTTAATGACAGAATATTGTGAAAGATGGAAAGGATTTGCTAAGATAATTAGCAACTAGAATACAAAAAAGGGAGGTGTGAGGAGGTCGATGAAATAAGTTAATGAAAGTTAAGGATTTGGGAATATTGGATTTGTTTTTAATTTTTTTGTTTATTTTTGCTTTTTGATTGTGATGCATTGTGTGTTTTGTTTTTTCTTTTTGATTTTTTTTCTTTTTGGTTTTTATTGATTTGTATTGTTTAATTGTTTCTTTTATCTACTTTTTTCTTTCTCTTTTTCTTGTTTTTTCCTTCTTTTTTCTTTGTAACTTTAAAAATCTCAATAAATATCATTTTAAAAAAAAGAAACTGTAGACGGTATTTGAAATCTGTGGCGTTTTATGCTTCTTTTTTCCCCTCAGGAGGGCTGCCTCACCCCAAAGGGATGGTTCTGGAGAAGCTGCCCGCCTGGCTCCAGGCCTGCGCCGACAAAGTGTCCTCCCTCGGCGTTTTCGGAGGGAAAATGGCGAACCACGTCCTGGTCAATGAGTACCGCCCTGGCGAGGGCATCATGGTATCATGGCGCCCGGGATAAAACCACTGAGATATCCCAAAGGCTCTTCGTACAAATCTGTGGCATGTCTGGGAAAAACGTGCGCCATTCTTCTGGCAGCCTGGCCTCAGAAAAGGCTGGCGCTAATGTTGGGAAAGGTTCAGAAATGGGGGAAACAAAATGGCCCCAGGGATGGCGCAATTGTGCTTGTGAGGGGGAAAGCGGCAGTTAAGGGACTTTTTAGTTCAGAGAAAATGGTAAATAAGAGGTGACATGGTCGCAGGGTGGATAAAAATCAACGATGTTTTTTAAAAAACAAAAAAATTGATTTTTAAAATTTAAATTGGATTTTTTTTATTTAAATCGGATTTTTAAAAATAAAAGTCCTCTGGAGGAAAAACCTTTCTAAAGATAGTTTTCTGTTTAAGTTACGTTATAGTCCAAAGGCTATTCATCAGGAAATAAGGATTTCTTTAAAGTTTTTCATGTGAGCTAAAACTCAGTCTAAGTTTTTTTTTTAAAAAAAAATACAGTGGTGCCTCGCAAGACGAAAAGAATCCGTTCCGCGAGTCTTGCGGTTTTTTCGTCTTGCAAAGCAAGCCCATTAGCGGTTTAGCGGATTAGCGCTATTAGCGGCTTAGCGGGCTTAGCGGATCAGCTGTTAAGCGGCTTAGCGGATCAGCTGATAAGCGGCTTAGCGGCTTGGGAAAAAGGGGGGGGGAGGAAAAAAACCCCGCAGGAACTCGCAAGACATTTTCGTCTTGCGAAGCAAGCCCATAGGAAATTCGTTTTGCGAAGCACCTCCAAAACGGAAAACCCTTTCGTCTAGCGGGTTTTCCGTCTTGCGAGGCATTCGTCTTGCGGGGCACCACTGTACCCAAAACGTTTAACCACATCGGTTAACAAACATGGATACATATTGCTATAATGTTATTGCTTTAGTCGAATAAATTGTTTAAATAGGAGCCAACACAACACAAAACACTCTTGCTGTACATAGGTTTTATTTTATTTGTTTTTTATCTTATACAGTGGTACCTTGGGTTATATACGCTTCAAGTTACAGACTCCGCTACCCCAGAAATAGTACCTCTGGTTAAGAACTTTGCTTCAGGATGAGAACAGAAATCGCACGGCGGCGGCGGCAGCAGGAGGCCCCATTAGCTAAAGTGGCGCTTCAGGTTAAGAACAGTTTCAGGTTAAGAACAGACCTCCGGAATGAATTAAGTACTTAACCCAAGGTACCACTGTATTTTGGAAATGTACATTCAGGATTTTTTTGCCTTTAAATTTTTGCGGGGGGCCGCAAGAGCTATAGCTTGTTTAGCTTATACGTAAATCTGGCACAAATATCTCCTTTCCCCTGTCTGACGTTGGGTCTGTTTTGCCCGCAGCCTCACGAGGACGGTCCCCTCTATTTCCCCACCGTCACAACCATCAACCTGGGGTCTCACACCCTCCTCGACTTCTACCATCCCATCAGCAGAAGGCAGCAATCGGAAGGCGGAGAGGTAAATAAAATTGGGCAAGAGGACGTTTTACTCCAGTCCCATTTTATTTTGTTTATTTTTTAAATATAATTTTTATTAATTTTTCTGTTTTACAATTTAGAATGCTCATTTAAAGATCCTTAAAATATCAGTGACTCTCCTCCTTCTCTTTCCACGGTTCATTTTGCAAGTCATGATTCCCTGCATATTTTACATAAACGAAACCATTCAGTATTCCATTATTACATCCATCCAAACTTATTTACACTGTTGAATTTATGTTAATGCTTCCTGCATTTTCAGGTGTACACAATTTCCCCCCATATATTCAATAAACATTTCCCAATCTTCTCTAAACGTATGTTCTTCTTGTTCTCTTATTCTATATGTTAAGTTTGCAAGCTGCGCATATTCCATCAGCTTAAGTTGTCATTCTTTGTTAGTTGGGACCGCGCTCGTTTTCCATTTTGGGGATAACGAAACACGGGCCGCGGTAGTGGCTTACATAAATAACCTTTTTTTAACACCTGGGAGTTTCCGTTTGAATTATCCCCAACTAAAAGGACTCTGGTTTCTTTGGAAAAATACTTTTAAACATTTTTTTTTCAATTCATTATGGATCATTTCCCAATACTCTTTTACCCTTTTACAGGTCCACCACATATGAAAGAATGTACTCTCAACCTCATTGCATCTCCAGCGCTTACCTGATTCAGTCCTATACATCTTAGCAAACCTACTCAGAGTTAAATGCCATCTGTAAATCATTTTCAAGTAGTCCAGTCCCATTTGAGCTGCTTGGTTCTGGCCAGAGCTGTGGGGAGTGTTGGTTGGCACTGCCACTCAGACATGGGCAGCTCAGTTTCTGCTGGAGGTGAGGATCAGGAGTTCAAGGGAGGCCCAGTAATAACTGCCATTTAGAGGAACATAGGAAGGTGCCTCATTACCAAGCCAGGTCATTCATCCATCTAATTCAGTGCAGTCTGCACGGACTGGCAGCAGCTCTCCAGGGGTTCAAGCAAAGAGAGTCTCCCAGCCTTAACCTGGAGATCTGGCCTTCTGCACGCAGAATAAATGCCCTGTCAATAACCTATGGCTGTTTGATCCCCGATTGGTAGCCTGCTTGCCACGTTAACCATGCACATTATCTGCCTGTTTTCCCACTCCCCCCCCAAAATATTGCATCTTTCTCCGCTGTTCTAGGTAGCTGCTGTTGCCCTGATCCCAGCTGTGCTTACACCGTGTAAAAAGGACAGTCAGAACCCACTTACAGGGGTCACCAGGCAATTGCAGTGCTACTGACTTTGCTTGGGCATATTTTGGAAATGTGGGTGCATGGAATTTGGGTACCATTTAGCAGTAAGAAGCAACAGATATATCGGGATATGCGGGGGGGGGGGATCCCCCAAGCGGCAAACCCAGGGGATGGAGTTGTGTGGCACAATAATTTGATGAGCACTGCTATAAAAAGCACACTTCCATTTCTGCCTGCATGCCAAAATGTATTGCTCTCAGGCTGCGCATATCTTACTACTACTACTAATAATAATTTATTATTTATGCCCTGCCCATCTGGCTGGGTTTCCCCAGCCACTCTGAGTGACTTCCAACAGAATATTAAAATACAATAACCTATTAAACATTAAAAGCTTTCCTAAACAGGACTGTCTTCAGATGTCTTCTGAAAGTCTAGTAGTTGTTCTTCTCTTTGACATCTGGTGGGAGGGTGTTCCACAGGGCGGGTGCCACCACCGAGAAGGCCCTCTGCCTGGTTTCCTGTAACTTGGCTCCTCACATCGAGGAAACCACCAGAAGGCCCTCGGAGCTGGACCTCAGTGTCCGGGTAGAACGATGGGGGTGGAGACGCTCCTTCAGATATACTGGACCGAGGCCGTTTAGGGCTTTAAAGGTCAGCACCAGCACTTTGGATTGAGCTCGGAAACATCACAGCTAAGGGTTTTTGTTTCCCTTTCCAGGGGCCCATCCCTCAGACTGAAGATCAGCGCCACTTCTTGTCCTTTCTCCTGAAGCCCCGTAGCCTCTTGGTCTTGCGGGAGGACATGTACTGCCGCTACCTTCACGGCATCCGCCCGGTTGCAGAGGACACTGTCACAGAGAAAGTGGCCAACGCAGGCATGTGTGACGCTGAACTTGGGGACTCGTTGCAGCGGGGCACACGGGTGTCGCTCACCATCCGTCATGTCCCCAAAGTGCTGAAAACCTCTATTTTCCTGGGCAGGCGGAAGTGACCGTTTTCCTTTGTGGTGGCCCACGCACTGGAACGCTTTTCTGTCCACAAGCAGCTCCCTGCATGCAGAGAGCCAGCATCTCAGGGAGAAGGGTTCTAGCCTAGACTTCTCTCTTTCTCTTTCTCTCTGTCTCTGTCTCTCTCTCTCTCTCTCTGGGATGCAGGGAATGTTTCTGTGTACAGAGAGTTTGTGGTGGTTCTTTGTTTTTTTAGTATGGAGGAGTATTCCTCCCTGTAGTCCGAAGTGTTGCAGTCCATGCTTGACCACCTCTTCTGATGTTTGAGAGAATGAATCTTAACACAGAGAAAGACTGTGAATTGCAGGAGAGAAAGAGCAGCCGCTGTAGACTGCAAATTTGCATGAGCTATTAAGCGGGGGCGGGGGGGGGGGCAGGGAGTGAAGAGACGAGAATAGTAAGGCCTGGAGGCAAAGGAGAGGACGAGGCTGTGCTCTGGTGCGTAACATGTTCTATAACACGCAGTGTGCAATGTGGCCTGGCAGATGGAATAGATGCTTGTCCTTCCAGCAAAGCCAGAAAGTCAGGCCATCCTCATTCTCTTCCCAGCAAAGAACCAAGTCTGACTTTGCTAGAAGGAGACTGGATGCCTGAGTTTGACTCACATGCCTCTGGCTTGCTCTGTGGGCATGTCCTTAGGCCTCCAGGCCTCCCTGTTTGGCCCACAAGGCTGCTTCTGCCAAGCCATGCCCACCTGTCCTATAGATAAAGATGTTGATGGATGCCACAAGGGAGTTTGCAGGCACTGATGGTCAGCTGATTGTCGGGGCCTGCAAAGCCCTGCACTTTGCAAGCCCACAAGGATCATGTCATAGTGAGGGCTTGCAAAGGGTCTTTTTGCTTTCATGGTCTGATTGCAAACCACAAGGGTGCAAACATTGTGGTGTCAGGTGACTTACAAGCAGGCAGTGAGGGAGATCTCCTATCCTGGCCCTGCCATACAGGACAGAAGTCCAGTGCCTGGTCTGCAGAACTGCAAATCTGGGCTATTGGATAGGTTTCCATCTCCTGGTTTTAACAAGTTGCCCTACAGTGCTCCTTATCCATGCTAGTTCTGGCTCAAAAGACCATTTCAAGTAAGGCACATTTCCACTCTTGGAAATATTTTATGAGGAAGTGCTAGCTTTGAAGCTGGGACATTCAAATAAATGACTTGCCGGGCATGTGCTAACGTCATAAAGGTTTTGTGTGTGGTTCTTGCAAAACCCTTGTGGTTCTGAAAACCTTTGAGATCAAATGAGCTCCTTGTGTTTTGCCCCAAAGACTAAATCCACACTATTGTGCCTGAACTTAGCACTCCAAAGATGCCCTGAATCCCAGGGTACATTTCCAGTCTTCCGTCGGGGCATGTCAAAGCATCGTTTGCAAGGCTGACTTCAGCACATCGCAGTCAAGTGGCGAAAAATAAATGTGAAGTCAGATTTAAAGATAGCTATGGGGTGAAGAGGTTACTGAGATACAACAGTAGAAGAAAAGAGAAAGTCCATCTATAATGAGACAAAGGAGGGAATCTTACAACATCCAGGTATGCTGTTGACATAGAGGACTGTATGTCTGATGCACTGGAATACAAAATAAAGTTCCACCAAATAAGAAAATCCCTTTTAATGAGCGTATGTTATGGGTAATTTTTTGTCCAGTTATGGGTAAATATTATTGTACCAGCGTAGCAAGCTAGGAGAGTCAAGCGTTTCAAAGTCTTCCATAATAATAATAATTTATTACTTACACCCCACCCATCTGACTTTGTTGCCCCAGCCACTCTGGGCGGCTTCCAGCATAATATAAAAACACAGAGAATCATCAGATGTTAAAAACTTCCATTGCCAGGACCGTGAATGTGTTGGGGCTGCAATTTGGCCAGCTGCAATCAATAGAAATACTGTAATAAAATACTGTAATAAATGAGGTTTAGGTTGGACATGCTTGCTGGGCCCATGAAACAGCGACCGGAGGGACGTCACCTGAATATTATGGGCTTTCAACGCTATTTGGCCAAGGCTGAGCTGCTGGCCTGGTCTTCGTTTGTGGCAACCCACACCAAAACCCCTTGTAAAACTGAGCAGGGAGGAGGATGGGGCCAAGCCTAGAAGGAGTTGGCTCCGCCTGTCATTGACTCTGGCTCCCCCTACTGTCAGCCTCCCTGGCTTCTGCCCTACCAGTTCCAATGGCCAACAGCCCCTTGCTTCTGCAGCTTGCCTTGAGGGGAGAAGAACCAGTAGGGCTTCTGCAGTTGCACATTTTTGTACATGTAGGAAACCGGAGAACTTCAAAGGCTTAAAATTTGGGGCGTTTTTCAACATACAATGAATTAAAAATACATATATTTCTGTATGGACTGTTGCCTTGCATTCAAAACAAAGCTGTCCAGATTCAAAGCATCTTGTAATGCGAATGGGACACAACAGGGCCATTGTAAAATCTGCAGCAGATGCAACAGCGTTTGAGGCAACCGTGCAAAGTTTTGTGGGAATAAACAGAGTGGGCTGCTGAGAGAGCCTGTTTACTAATTAAGCACATTTCTAAGCTGCTTAATATTTTAAAATCTCAAAACTATATGCAAAAAGAGAACATATGCACAATGGAACAGTGTTTTAAACAATTACAACATAAAAACGAATTCATAATAACAGGGTTCAATATTATGCATCAGGGAAAGCCGGGGCAAAAGATACGCTTTTGTGGTATGGTGGTGTAGTGGTTAAGAGCGGTAGTCTCGTAATCTGGGGAACCGGGTTCGAGTCTCCGCTCCTCCACATGCAACTGCTGGGTGACCTTGGGCCAGTCACACTTCTTTGAAGTCTCTCAGCCCCACTCACCTCACAGAGGGTTTGTTGTGGGGGAGGAAGGGAAAGGAGAATGTTAGCCACTTTGAGACTCCTTAAAGGGAGTGAAAGGCGGGATATCAAATCCAAACTCTTCTTCTTCTTCTTCTTCTTTACAAGAGATCTGATGCAATTGTTGGGCAATGCTTCAAATATGGTAGAGAAAAGGAACGTTCCACAGTGCAGGGGCAACAGCAGAAAATGCCCATTTTTAGGTCACTGCCTTCTGATATCCTACGATCTGGTGTTTGCTATCACTCAGAGATGGAAACAGCCAGTTCCATCCTGTTTCATAACTTTACGATGTTGATTATTCCACTTGATTAAGTTTATGGCATACTGTTCATGCGGCTTATGCTGTCTGGTAAAACAAGGAGCCACCGTGCACCTATGACTTCATTGCCTTCTGCATCTGGGCTGTGGGTTAAAGTGTACTAGACTAGGAAGCCTTTAAAATGTACACAAACGAAAAGGTGCCTATTTATCAGCACAAGGTTTTGTTGGGAATGATGGTGCTGGTCTCCGTCTAAGATCCAGCGGCCGCCCTCAGTATTCTGCCTTTGCTAGCAGTTAAAAACATTTTTATTCAAACAAGCATTTACTGGCCTCGGTTGCCCAATCTTTTATTGTGTGTTTCTGCTGTTGTGCATTAATTGTACTGTTGTCAGTGGAGGCTGGTCCTTTGGAGGAAATTTGGCACTTCTCCATCCCATCTCACCCAGCCCTGAGCTAGACCCCACCTGCCTGCCTTCCAGTCCAGGGGGTGGCACTGGCTGTGAACTTCCTCCTCAGGGTTGCCCTGGTACAACTCAGCAGCAAGGAGGAGGTTGGGATGTCATTGGCTCTGGCTGCACCTAAGGTTGGCCTCTCTGCTTTCTTCCCTGCCAGTCCCAAGACACTTTTAACGCCATGCATTTAATGCGCAATGCTGCACAGTGGTGTCCAAACATTTTTCAAAGAGGGCCAGATCTGATGAAGTGAAGGGCCGTGAGGGCCGACCAGAGGGACAGCCAAAGTTGTTAGCCTTTTTTAGGATTGAAGTTGTTGAGGTTTTTTTTAGGATTTTACCCCAGGGAATAAACTGCCACAGGGGCTGGATTAAACCAACCGGCAGGCCGGATTAGGACTTTAGACTGTCCAACCAAAGTTGTTAGCCTTTTTTTAGGACTGAAGTAATTGAGCTTTTCTTATGATTTCCCCCCAAAATTGTTGAGCTTTTTTTAGGATTGATGTTGGGGATTAAACTGACTGGCAGGTTGGATTAGGCCCCCGAAACAGACTTTGGACATGCCAACAGTCATGGCTTCCCTTCCCCAAGGAATTCTGGGAGCTGTTATCTGTGGGTTTTAAGCCTGTTAAGCCCCAAATATCTGAAAGACCACCTTCCCTACAGACCCTCTAGAGTGCTGAGATTGGCAGAGGGTGCTCTCTTGGTGGTTCCTCCACCCTTGGAGGCTCACGGTGACAGGGGCTCAGTAGAGGGCCTTTTCTGTGGTGGCCTCTAAGTTATGGAAGTCCCGTCTCACAGAGATGTGCTTGGCACCTTCATAGTACAGCTTCTGGTGAATGCTGAAGATGCACCACTTTACTCTAGCTCAATTGGTGGAGCATGAAACTCTTAATCTCAGAACTGTGGATAATAAGTGTCCTGAGAATTGTGGAGACCCCCATTCCTGCCGTACAACTACAATTCCCAGAGTGGTTTAACAATTAAACCCTCTTCGCAGGGATCTCTGGGAATCGTAGTTCTGGGAGAAGAATAGGCGGCTCCTAACAGCTTAACAAACTACAGCTCCCAGAATTTTTTGGAGGGAGCCATGACTGTTTAAAGTGGTATCGTGGTGTTATAAATGTATGATGCAAATGTGTTCTCAATGGACACCAACCATTTTGGATAGTTGTTTCATGACTATGCTGCTTTGGTGCTATTTAAGTGAAAAGCATCTTTTGCAAATAAAGAAAGGTAAGACAGCCCACAGCTCCTTCAATTTTTCGCAGCCTTTGAGCTGGGAATGGGCTGTGGTTCAGTGGTAGGGAAAATGTGTTATATGCAGAAGCTTCAGTCCCAATATGTGATATCCCTTGTTAAAAGAATTGCGTACCTGTAGTGGATACCAGGAAGGTTCTCTGTCCGAGTTCCTGGAGAGTCGTTGGCATTCCCAAGCAAACAGAAATGGTCTAGGCAGACTAGTGGGACTCTTGAGAGCCAGTGTGGTGTAGTGGTTAGAGTGTTAGACTAGGACCTGGGAGACCAGGTGTCAGGAGTATATGCAGGAGCCAGGCCCATTGACCAGTAGGGCTTTGCAGGACTGGGGCCTTCCTAAGTTTGTTCTGGAGAGGCAAGGCACAGCTGCAGAGGTGAGGCCGCTTGGTAACTCACTGCACCTGGTGGCAAGAGCCGGGAAGGGATATAAGGTCAGCATTTCCCTTCGGCTCTTTGCCACAGCAACATGTTCCCTGCCTTGGGCTTCTTGCTTCCTGATCCTTGGACCTTGGCTCCTTGACTCCTTGCCTCTAGACCCCTTGACTTCGTGACTCCCTGCTACTCGACTCTCGGACCCTTGACTTTGTGACTCCTTCCTTCCTGATCCTCGGACCCTTGACTTTGTGACTCCTCGCTTCTCGACCCTCGGACCCTTGACTTTGTGACTCCTTGCTTCTCGACCCTTGAACCCTTGACTTCGTGACTCCTTGCTTCTCGACCCTCAGACCCCTGGCTTCTGGACTCTCGTTCCTGCTCCCACCCCGCCATCTTGCCCCCGGTCCCAACGTCCTCAGCTGGGACTTTGACCGCCCGTAAGCCGGACCATGACACCAGGGTTCAAATCCCCACCCAGCCATGAAACTCAGTGGGTGGCCTTGGACCAGTCACTGCCTCTCAGCCTAACCGACCTCAAAGGGTTGTTGGAATTAAATGAGGGGTGGAAGAATCTTGTATGCCACCATGAGCTCCTTCGAGGAAAAGGTGGGATATAAATACAAACAAACAAAAAACAAACAATAGTAGTTAAAGAAGGAGGAGCCTGCAAGAGAGTGACTTTTTATTATTATCTGTCTCAGGAAAAAAACCCCTAAACATTTAACATAACAATACAGAAGTTCTATAACAGAAAACCAGTACAACCATATGTACTTGATAATGGTGAATCAGAGAGTGACTGCTTTTGTCATGTGACTTCAGGCCTTTCTCTGGGACTCAGCTGTTCAGATCCGGTTCCATTTTGATTGATTTCCACTGGGGGGGATCAAAGAAACAAAATCAGCGAAACCACCAAATGGAGTTTTCTTCCCAGGTTTTATTTGTTTTATCTTCTGTGCAAATATTTATATACCACCCAACATTACAAATAAAACGTCTTAGCGGTGGGCAGTGTAAAATGAATAATAAAATTGCACCTGTAAAGCAAATAGTATATGCAGTGCAAACAGTGGATCAGCTTAATACTGATCAACATAGCTGGATCACCCCCTGGGGAATTGCCATCCTTCAGTGATCCCCCAGGAGGCTTTGGGGGCATAAGAGGAGCCTGCTGGGTCAGGCCAGGCCAGCATCCTGTTCTCACAGTGGCTGCCCAGATGCCCATGATGAGAAACCTGCATGATGTTGTTGTTTAGTCGTGTCCGCCTCTTCGTGACCCCCTGGACCAGAGCACGCCAGGCATGCCTGTCTTCCACTGCCTCCCTCATGCTGGTAGCTTCAAGAACACTGTCCCACCATCTCGTCCTCTGTCGTCCCCTTCTTGTGCCCTCCATCTTTCCCAACATCAGGGTCTTTTCCAGGGAGTCTTCTCTTCTCATGAGGTGGCCAAAGTACTGGAGCCTCAGCTTCAGGATCTGTCCTTCCAGTGAGCACTCAGGGCTGATTTCCTTCAGAATGGAGAGGTTGGATCTTCTTGCAGTCCATGGGACTCTCAAGAGTCTCCTCCAGCACCAGAATTCAAAAGCATCCATTCTTCGGCGATCAGCCTTCTTTGTGGTCCAGCTCTCACTTCCATACATCACTACTGGGGAAACCTGCATGCAGGACCCAAGCACAAGAGCTCCCATCCTGTGGCTTCCAGCAACCGGCATTCAGAAACATGGCAGTCATTGATAGCTTCCTCCTCAACCTAATCTTTGCCTAATCATCTTTGTACAGCCATTCACATGAGTGGGGAGAGAACACCACCATTTCTCCTTATTGCTGCAAGATGTACTTTATTCCCTCTCTCTCGCCTCTTCCTTGGTCACTGCAGCCCTTGCTTGCACGGTGCAGAGCGTGTGCTTTATTTTTTGTTCGTTGCAAAGGGAGAAGAAGCACCTGGCTTGTCCGAGGGAGTGCACCGATGGGTTGGGCTCCCTCTCCACACACCCGTGTTACCGTTGGAGAATCAAATTACCTGGCAACCCTCCCTGCTCCTGGTTTCTCTTTGTGCAGGTATCTGCAGAGAGAGAGAACACAGCTCACCTGTTGAGGGAGGGCGGAAGTAGGAGGAGGAGCGGCAGAGGTTTGGGGCAGACGTTTTTGGGGTTGCCCTTTTCAACCCTTCTCTTACAAAGTCCATCCCCTTTCTCAACGCGTCGCTTCCAGGTCTCCATCCATCAAGGTGTGCGCGTCCTGCAGAGGAGAGGATGGAGTCAGTTGTTGCGCCGCGCTCCCCGCTGTGGGTGATGTGGCAACCGCGCTAGGACACCTGTTTAATGATTGACAGGCGCGCGGGAGAAATGCAAAAGGTCAGGCTGTCGATGCAGCCTCCGAGCTTCCCGCAGACACTGGGTTTCGATCTGGCGGGGATCGCTGATCCACACGAAGCTGGGCTGCTTTGCGTGACTCTTTAGAAAGGCAGTTCAGGTAAGTCGCCACCTGCCCGGGCCAGCTTTCCAGGCTGAGGCTTATTGGCCCCCGGCGTGAAGTGAAACCTTCTACCTGCTCCTTAAATTGCTGTCATGGTGAGAGTGAAGTGCCATAAAACTTGGCAGCGTTTCAGTCTCGGTTTGCATGATGTCAGACTGCAGTCTTACAGTGCAAGCCCAGCCGCGTCTACTTGGAAGGAAATCCTGTTGAATTCAACGCAGCTTGCTCTCACCTCTCAGGGAAGCGGGGTGAGGATTGCAGCCTAAATTGCTGGATTGGATGATGTGAAATGTAGTTTATTAAGGAGTCCGAATTAGGCTAGTAGGATGGCACCTTAAGAGCACATTTGGGGCTGTTTTGGTTTCAGTGCATTAAGAGTAAATAGGCAATGAAAATAATAAAGGAGCAGCAATTTGTGTTTTATTAAATTTTGGGTATTAAATTATTTGCTTCTTGCAGTTCCTTCAGTTTATTTTTATTTTTTGGGGGGGAGCACGCTTCTCAAAATGCCATATAATTATAGAGAGGCAGTATTTACTCAATGGCAAATGAATCGCACTCTGTGCATGCTTGTGGGCTATCTCACTATCTCAGGTATTGGCATGCTGGCGTTGCTGAAAGCAGTTTCTAAAGCTGAGCCGTACTACTGGAGCTTTGTGTAGGTCTGGAGAAACAGACAAAACCCAAACCTTTGATCAATTTCTGCCATTTGAAAACATGCAAATATTGGGGATGTATCTAAGTACTGTGCCTAGTGAGGGGATTGGGGCCAGTTTGGAAAACTACAATGATGGCGTGAGACAGAGAGACACAGCCTGTTCCATCTTGGGAAATCAAAATGTCATTGCAATATGCTGGAACAATATGTTTGTTGGACTTCTTGGTGGCTGTTTGACCTATGTGAAATCGCAGACAGCAATCCTGCAGGTGTGGCACGCTCTCTCTTGCTGCTAAATTATGGGATCGACAAGGCACACAGTTACCGGGGATAGTTTGCAAAGTCATATTGGCAAGAGGTTTATTTTTATATGAGTGGATTTTCACCAGAAAGGTTGCATCAAGATTAAAGGTGGATGAGGAATGCAGGCTGGCATTTTGATGGCAACAGCACCATCTGCAAAAGTTTTCATGCAGAAGAACCATGGGTCCCACAGCAAAACATTGTCCAGAGGCACTCTGAAACCCTGAAGAGCTGCTTCTGGTCAGTGTAGACAACACTAAGCTAGCTGGACCAAAGCCCTATATTTGAAAAGAGTTTCCTGCCTGTGTATCTGTGGTGCCGTTTCAACTTTGAGGAATGCCTGTTTCTCACCCTGGCTAATCAAACCATATATTTCCTCTGGCTTGGATGTAGCTTGGATGCTCAGTTTTGGAAAACGAGATGCCTCCTATCTACCTAGAGACCACAGCTTTTGGCACGGATTCTGTGCTCCCTGATCCCAGGCAGGTATGGACACCTGTGGGGGAAAGAGACTGAACTCTGTGTATGCTTAGAGCCACTGTCCTGTTTACTGTTGCACCCCACAAACTCTGGGTAACAGATCCCCGACTGGAGCGCCCTGGCCAGCCCGTTTGCAAGGTGCATGCCCTCAGCTACGTGCCAAAAGAGAAGCCAAGCAAACCTCTGCGTACACCGATACGTGTTTGCCAAGTCTATTGGCAGGGGACGCCGCAGACGACCCAAGGGAAGCTGCCACTGTGCTTGCTTTGGTGCCGCAATAATTCTGCAAGGGCCATCAGGGAAACACGGTGTTTGTTTTAGCTGCAGTGAGAATATTTGCAATATTTGAAAAAGTCACAAGGGCTGATAAGGCAGGGCACAGAGAGGGGGGCATCTTCTGGCCTGAGCATAAAAGGGAAGGAGGCTGGCATTGTTCCCAACCATTCCTGTAGCCTTTTGGGAGGAAAAGAGAGCCAGGTGGAGCTTAATTTTTGTTAGGCGTTAATTCTTTTCTTCCAGAGCTAATCATAAGGACAAAAGTACCTTTGAGAATGGGCAAAGTATCTTTTTTCTTTCTTTCTTACTAAAGATTAGGAGAAATTTACGGAGCCTGGTTTTCAGATGTGTTGGGCATCCCTGATGGGTTGATGTTGTAGCTTCCTGTTTATGTTGAGAGCAATGGCTGTAGCTCAGTGCTATCAAGCATAATGCGTGCAGAATGTCCCAGGTTCAACACTTAGCAGCACCCCCAGGTAGGGCAGAGAGAGAACCACAGTCTCAAGCCCTGAAGAGCAGCTGCCAGTAGACAAGACTGAGCTAGTTGGACCAATTGTCTGGATCTATATAGGGAAGATTCCTATGTTGTATTAAATTTTGGGCAGGCCTAAAGAGAGAGGGAGCGGCCAGGGTGATCTCAAACCTATCTGACAATTGCAGACCTCAGGCTGGTATGCAGGATGAGACCCTCCCTGCCCACAGACTGTCTTGCCAGAGTGGTGCAAGCTCTGGTTATCTCTCGCTTGGACTACTGCAATGCGCTCTACGTGGGGCTCCCTTTGAAGGTGACCTGGAAACTGCAACTAATCCAGAATGTGGCAGCTAGACTGGGGACTGGGAGTAGCCACCGAGACCATATAACACCAGTCTTGAAAGACCTACACTGGCTCTCAGGACATTTCCAAGCACAATTCAAAGTGTTGGTGTTGACCTTGAAAGCCCTAAATGGCCTCAGTCCAGTATACCTGAATGAGTGTCTCCACCCCCATCATTCTGCCTGGACACCGAGTTCCAGCTCCGAAGGTCCTCTGGCAGTTCCCTCACTGCGAGAAGCCAAGTTACAGGGAACCAAGCAGAGGGCCTTCTCAGTGGTGGCGCCCGCCCTGTGGAAAACCCTCCCACCAGATGTCAAAGAGAAAAACAAGTACCAGACTTTTAGAAGACATCTGAAGGCAGCCCTGTTCAGAGAAGCTTTTAATGTTTAATAGATTATTGTATTTTAATATTCTGTTGGAAGCCGCCCAGAGTGGCGGGGTATAAATAATAAATTATTGTTATTGTTATTGTTATTGAATCATAGTAATCATAGAGTTGGAAAAAGTACTGCCAGGGGTCATCTAGTCCAACCCCCCGGCAATGCAGGAATCTTTGGCCCAAAGCGGGACCCTGAGATTAAGAGTCCCTTGCTCTACTGACCGAGTCACAAGTGGGGAAGCTGCAGTTCTGCAGCAGCAAGGGGGAAATTCATTCTTTGCATGCTCAGAGGCTATGTGCTTTGTTATCGTTGCGTGCCTACTTCTGGGGCAAAGCTCTCTCGCCCTGAAAAACAACTTCTGAGTCTGAGCTGCGAAGCACCTCACTTCAAATTAAGCCCTGGACCCAAAGCCTACCTTTTAATTTGCAGAAGAGCTGTAGCTCAGTGGAAGAGCTTTGCATGGGGATGTTCCACCTCTGAAATCCTGGAGAGCTGCTACCAGCCAGTGCAGGCAGCAGTGAGCTAGATGGACCTGTGGTCTGACTTACCATAAGGCATCTTCCTGTGATGCAATTATATATTTGGTGGGCAGGCAGAGGAGACTCACACTGCATTATCATAAACAAAGTTGTTTGTAGGGATAAATGAGGATCGTTTCTCCTAAGAGGAGTCAGTAAAGGAGGTATCCTGTTGCTGAAGAGCTAAATTTTGAGCTTTTACATGGAAAGGACTGTCTCCATGGATAGTGGTGGACCCTCTTTCATTGCAGACTTTTAAACAGAGGTTGGGGGGCGTGGGCGTAGCCAAAGGGGGGCAGCTGCCCCCTTAAATCAATAAAAATAAATAAAAATACATAGCTAACGGAGGTTAGAATAGAATAGAATTTATTATTCATACCCCACCCATCTGGTTGGGTATCCCCAGCCACTCTGGGCAGCTTCCAACAAAGTATTAAAATACAGTAATGCATCAAACATTAAAAGCTTCCCTAAAGAGGGCTGCCTTCAGATGTCTTCTAACTGTCAGGTAGTTGTTTATTTCCTTGACATCTGGTGGGAGGGCGTTCCACAGGGCGGGCGCCACCACCGAGAAGGCCCTCTGCCTGGTTCCATGTAACTTGGCTTCTCGCAGTGAGGGAACCGCCAGAAGGCCCTCGGAGCTGGACCTCAGTGTCCAGGCAGAACGATGGGGGTGGAGACGCTCCTTCAGGTATACTGGACAGAGGCCGTTTAGGGCTTCAAAGGTCAGCGCCAACACTTTGAATTGTGCTCGGAAACGTTCTGCTAACAAAAGGCCTGCCCCCCCCCCCAAACAAAAATCCTGGCTAGGCCATCTGTCAGGGATTCTTCAGCTGTGATTCCTGCACTGCAGGGCATTGGACCAAATAACCATTTGGGTTCCCTTTTCAACTCCCCAATTCTATGCTTCTATCGTTCCCCCTCCTTTTCTTTTCTTTTAACAGCCTCTGCTCAGACAGTGATTTTCCTGCCTCTTGCGAATCTTGGCTAAATTGCTTCCTTCGCAACAAAACCCACTTGGTCTTTTCCTTCTAACAAAAGGACTGAGTCCTTTTCTTTCTTTCTTTCTTTCTTTCTTGGATGCCAGTTTGAAATGCCATCCCTCCCGCCCTCAATCCAGCACCTCAGAGCAGTATACGTTAATTGTGAAAACCACCACAGAAGAAGTGTGTGTGTGTGTGTGTGTGTGTGTGTAATCTGGCTTTGCAGCTTTCTTGCTAAACCTGACATTTCTTTTTCTGCTCTTCTTCCTGCCTTGATTGCCATTTTTGCTGTGCTTTGCAGAGTTCTGCTCAAAGGGATATTGTCTAGTTGGCAAAGGCTCAGAAAAGGGCGACCAAAATGATCAAAATGGGGGTGGAGTGGAGAATCGTAGAGTTGGAAGGGACTAGAATCATCTAGTTCTTTTTATATATATATAATTTTTTTGTTAATTGTCAACATACCGTTTACAACAGTAATTAAACATATTTTAACATCTTATACAATTTCTTCACTTCCATCAATCTCATCTGAAAATTTTCCAATCTGGACTGCATGAGCCTCTGTTACTGATCTCCTTTTATATCACTGATGGTGCACAGTACGTGATGGGGAAAATTCTCAGCAGACTTTAAGATAATACTAATTAATGGGTTCCCTGGGCAATAAACCTTCCTGTGTTTATTTGCTTAGAAGCAGATATGTCGTTATGAACTTGGCTACCTAAGTGATAAACTAAAGGAGAAGGAAACTTGGATGAGGAAGGTTACTCTTTGCAGTGTCTGGATATTATCTCTCTGCAATAAATAGGCCTTTGCCCTTGCCCTCAGTGTTTTTATTTCTTAGCGTGGTGATGCTTAGGTAAATGCACTCTGCACATGCCCAGAGTCCTATCTTGCGGCTCCCCCACCCCTGGGCTAAGCCTGTCAGAAATTGGATTTGACCCCCTTTGTCTTTTCTTCAGATAGACGTTGATGTTGCCCCTTCCTCAAGATCTGCAATAGCTAATTTCTCTCTTTTCCTTTCCTTCTCTAAAATTTAACTGTGCTCCTTTGCAGATAGAGTTGGCGGGCAGATCCTGAACTCGCTCCACGAACTGAAGGGGCCGTCATGTGGCATTCATTGTTTCCCGCGCTATCTGCAAACTCTTGGACGAGGCTGACGCATCCTCCGCCACAGAGGTAGTCAGCTGAAGCCATCACACCAAAACTCTGGGCTGAGGATGCAGAGAATTGGCTGGAGGCAGGAAATGCCCCTTGGGGATTGCCACGGATGTGCCACGCTCCATGGAGAGCAGCCAGTGCCAGAGATTGCTGCTTGCGACCTTTCCACAGTATCCGTGGAGAAACGCATCAGGTGAGCTCTTGAAAAAATCTCCCGGTTTTTGGTTAGCGCACTAGGCTAGGCCTTTGGGTGAAGACCCACAGCCCCTCGAAAGAGGTTTCCTTGCCCGCCTGGAAGCAAACTTAACATTTATTTCTTTATAATAATAATAATAAATATTTTTTTATTTATACCCCGCCCTTCCCGGTTCAGAAAACTGGGCTCAGGGCAGTGAACAACAAATTTAAAACACTTAATTGATGCAACAAAAAACAGCACGAAACGTGAATAACAATAAATTCAGAATTCAGAAATCAATTTAGGGGGGAAATCCATCCAATAAACATTAGATGATCACCAGGGCTAGCTGGCTAAGTTAGTCCTATTTGGGCCAGCGAGGAGGCCAGGGGAGAACTAGCTGTGGGATCCCAGAGCGGGGAATCTTCATATAAAGGGGAGGGGGAGGGAAGAGAAGGGAAATAAAAGATCAGCCTGAATTCAAATTAAAGGCCAGGCGGAATAGCTCTGTCTTACAGGCCCGGCGGAAGGAGGTTAAATCCTGCAGGACCCTGGTCTCCTGGGACAGCATTCCACCAGGTCGGAGCCATCACTGAGAAGGCCCTGGCCCTGGTGGAGGATAGTCTGACTTCCTTAGGGCCTCTAAACTATGGTTGTTCATGGACCTTAAGGTCCTCTGCGGGGCAGACCAGTATTTCTGTACCACCGTATTGTAAAGTGTTTCAAGGAGGGAGTGCGAAATGCAAAATGGAGTTTCGAGATAATAAAAGAATACAGGCCACCTGTGCCTTCAAAGCACAATGCCACATTCAAAGCACAATGATACCACTTTGAACCGTCGTGGGAATGGTGGCTGGGAATATTGGGAAGTGTAGTTTGTTCAGGATGCTGAGCATTGTAATGAGATCCCCTCCCAGAACTACAATTCCCAGAGTTCCCCATGGAGAGGGTTTTATTGCTAAACCCTCTGGGAAAGGAATAGGGCATCTCGTAAGAACTCTCAGCATCCTGAAGAAACTACAGCAAAACCAAGATACCTATAGCTCCGCTCACGTATTACGAAAAAGAATGAAAGTTTACAACTCCTCCCATTTTTATTTTCTCCACCTCTCTCTCTCCCTCAAATTCATACTACCCCTAATAATAATGTCTCAAACGAAACGTAGCTGAACTGTATGAAGGACTCTACGACTTGAAAGCAGAGACGCTGAATGTACTTCTGTTACTCATGAAAAAATATTTGAATTAAAACATTATTTAAAAACAAAATACAGCTCCCAGATTCCTTTGGGGGAAGCAATGGCAGTTTAAAGTGGTGTCGTGGTGCTTTAAATATAAAGTGCAGGTGGGGATACAGATAATCACTCAGGAGACTGATCAATCAACATTGAAACGGCTGCAAAGGCCTGTTGCCACACAAAAAATGTTTTAAAAAGTACATAGTAATTGAAATAATGCATAGGGACTTTGAGGGTCATCTAGTCCAACCGCCATATGAAGAATGGTTGCAGTGTTTGGATATTTTTAGTTTAGAGAAAAGGAGAGCAGGAGGTGACAGGACAGAATTTCATAATATTATGCATGGCAGGATAGAGAAAATGGACAGAGAAGAGGTTTTATCCCTCTCTCTTAACGCGCAACGAAGCTGAATGTTGGAAGATTGACACAGAGTTAACCTGTGGAACTCCCTCCCACAGTAATTGAAATAACAGTTAGAGGTGTTTTTAAAAAAATTAAGCTATTTACAGGGTGAGTCCTTCAAAAGAGGCCCCGTGGATACAGAGTATACAGGGTGAGTCTCTTTTAAAAGACTCACCCTGTATAAATGTTTTTAAATTCAAGATGGGAGTTCTGGCAGGTGGTTGGTGGGGTGGTCCTTCTTCCCAGAGTCTGCCTTGGTTTCGTGTTTTGACGGATCGATTCCTCTCCCCGTACCAGAGAGGAGCAGGCATGGCAACTCCAGAAAGCCTTCCAAGACCTGCTCTTCCGCTTCCAGGACTGGCTGTGGGCTGCCGAGCTGATGGCCGCCTCCCCAAACTCCTCGCAGGTGTCCTATGCCATTTCCAAGAAAGAGCTGCAAAGGTTCAAGGTAAGGAGGGACCTCCTGAGGGCCGGGTTGTCTGGCCCTTGCTTTGCATACACACCATGCCCTTTAAAGCACACTGCTTCCCTCTAAAGAACACTGGGAATTTTGTTGTCGTTTAGTTGTTTAGTTGTGTCCGTCTCTTCGTGACCCCCTGGACCAGAGCACGCCAGGCACTCCTGTCTTCCACTGCCTCCCGCAGTTTGGTCAAACTCATGCTGGAAGCTTAGAGAACACTGTCCCACCATTTCGTCCTCCGTTGTCCCCTTCTCATTGTGCCCTCCATCTTTCCCAACATCAGGGTCTTTTCCAGGGAGTCTTCTCTTCTCATGAGGTGGCCAAAGTCTTGGAGCCTCACCTTCAGGATCTATCCTTCCAGTGAGCACTCAGGGCTGATTTCCTTCAGAATGGAGAGGTTTGATCTTCTTGCAGTCCATGGGACTCTCAAGAGTCTCCTCCAGCACCAGAATTCAAAAGCATCCATTCTTCGGCGATCAGCCTTCTTTATAGTCCAGCTCTCACTTCCGTACATCACTACTGGGAAAACCATAGCTTTAACAATACGGACCTTTGTCGGCAAGGTGGTGTCTCTGCTTTTTAAGATTGCTTTTCTCCCAAGAAACAGACGTCTTTTCATTTCGTGGCTGCTGTCACCATCTGCAGTGATCATGGAGCCCAAGAAAGTCAAATCTCTCACTGCCTCCATTTCTTCCCCTTCTATTTGCCAGGAGGTGATGGGCCCAGTGGCCATGATCTTCGTTTTTTTGATGTTGAGCTTCAGACCATATTTTGCGCTCTCCTCTTTCACCCTCATTAAAAGGTTCTTTAATTCCTCCTCACTTTCTACCATCAAGGTTGTGTCATCTGCATATCTGAGGTTGTTGCTATTTCTTCCGGCAATCTTAATTCCGGCTTGGGATTCATCCAGCCCAGCCTTTCGCATGATGAATTCTGCATGTGAGTTAAATAAGCAGGGAGACAATATACAGCCTTGCTGTACTCCTTTCCCAATTTTGAACCAATCAGTTGTTTCATATCCAGTTCTAACTGTAGCTTCTTGTCCCACATAGAGATTTCTCAGGAGACAGATGAGGTGATCAGGCACTCCCATTTCTTTAAGAACTTGCCATAGTTTGCTGTGGTCGACACAGTCAAAGGCTTTTGCATATTAAAGCACACTGCTCCCCCCCCCCCAAGAACGCTGGGAATTTTAGCACTGTGAATTGCAGTTACTGGGATTATTCAGGGGAATCCGTGTGTTTTAAGTGTACTCTGTGTCTTACGCAGCCCTGAAGCTGCAGTTACAGAGCTTCCCTTGCCAGGTACGCATTTGATAGCTTGGGATTCGCCAGCCCTTTTATCTTAAAGGAGCAGCGATGGGCCAAAAATAACAAATGAGCGAACAAATGAGGCATTTAGGAAGGATGGGCCACCTTTCTGAGGGGAGCCAGCGGGGGAGAGAATGCGCCTTTGTTCTCTTCCCCACCGACACTTTTGTGTGAATTAACAACTTTTGGAGCCGCAGCAATCCAGGTCACCTTGTGTGGGTGTTTGTGCAGACAGAGAGGAACGGAAAGATGAGAACGGCTCGCTCAGAAATTCATAGCGCTCAAAGCAAGGCATCTGGACTGCCAGCCAGCAGGTGGAATTGCTAAAATGGAGACGATTCTGGGACTCGCTTAATTTTGCACTGGTGCGTTAATTGACATAGCAGCATCACTTATGACGAACACAATTTGCACGGAAATGTTGCAGGCGCTGTGACTTTTGCTGCTTCTGGGTTACACGTCTCTCCCCCTCGTTTGCTCAGTATAGGTAATTTATAAAGCACCTATAATTTTCTTATTTGTTTTATATCCCGCCTTTTTCTCCAAGGCGCCCACCCTCCTCATTTCATCTCCACAACATTAAGTCAGTGCACTGTGTGGCTCAGTGGGTCAGTCTGTGCAACCAGAAGGTTGGTGGTTCAAGCCCAGCCAGGGATGGCTGTGGGCAAGATGCCTGCGTTTCAGGGGGTTGGACTAGATGGCCCTCGGGGGTCATTTCCAACTCTACAATTCTATGATTCTAGCTGAGAGGCAGCGAGTGGCCCAAGGTCACCAGCGCTGAGCTAAGCTTCATGGCCATGTGAGGATTTCAACCCTGGTTTCCAAGGTGCTAGTCAACCACTACATCACAATGGCTTTCATCACAGAACCCAGAGATCTGGAATAAATACAGGCCCCGCCCTCGGGCTTCACAGTTGAACTAAAACTGTTCTCCAGCCCTGGCCATACGTGCTGGGGTTCTTGGCAGTTGTAGCTCAGGCAATATTTGGAGGGCCTACGCTTCTCTCACACCTGCTTCACGGTGAGTAAACGTCAGGGGAATGGAGGGTGCACAGCTGTCAGACAAGAACATTTATAATAATAATAATAATTTATTATTTATACCCCGCCCATATGGCTGAGTTTCCCCAGCTGCTCTGGCCGGCTCCCAATCGAGTGTTAAAAACAAGACAGCATTAAATATTAAAAACTTCCTTGCACAGGACTGCCTTCAGATGTCTTCTAAATGGCAGGTAGTTGTTTATTTCTTTGACATATGATGGGAGGGCATTCCACAGGGCAGGCGCCACCACCGAGAAGGCCCTCTGCCTGGTTCCCTGTAACTTGGCTTCTCGCAGTGAGGAAACCACCAGAAGGCCCTCGGCGCTGGACTTCAGCGTTCAGGCACACTATTCAACTTCTAAGGATTTTGCCAGGGGGCTGATTTGCAAATCTGGGGACTGTCCCCGGGAAACAGGGACACCTGGTAACCTTACATTAATAACATTTTATCACCCATTTATTTGTTTTCAAGCAGCCTTGGACCACTTTGTAGGGAGGTGGGGGCAAAGAATTTTGCCTGCTCTAGTCTCAATGTTCCCTGTTAACAGAGAAATCTGAGGGCTCCCTTGGACGAAAAGACAAGGACACCAGCTAGGAATACCAGAGCAAAACAGCAGCCAGTTGGCTTGGTCTTGATTGAAGACTGCTGCGACAGGACTCCCACCTGCCACCAGGTGGAACAAGATGGAAGCCCAGAACGAAAGAGCCCCAAAACTTTTATTAGCTGCTAATCCCCATGTTACACCCCCCCCAAACTACATCACTAATATATCACAGTTACATCATGAAAGGGGAGATCTGAGCATCCTGGACCCTGCCCTATGGTTCCCCTTGCCCTCCACCAAACACCCATCAAGTGTAACAAAAGAGATCTTTACATTTCCCTGTTTCCCAGCCAAGTTCATCCCACCCTTTTGTCTTCAACTGGGTTTGTTGTTTCTGGAATGGCTACCTGTCCGGCACTCAGGTATCAAGATGCCAGGGATTATCCCTCAGGCAGAGGGGCTGCTGAGTAGCTGAGCTCACATGTTTATGAATTTCTGAAGTTTTCCCAGTGGGCCAGTACAGAGATACATTTATCAGTGAATTCTTACATTTGGTATCGTGCAGCAAAGGCCCTTCAAATAGATAGGAAGAAACTGTGATGAAGTGTTTTGTGGGGACAAAGCACAAAAGTCACAAAAGTGATTGTGCTGATTTTGGTAGTGGGCTGCATGTGCATGATATCTGCTGGAGGGGCAAACCCCCCCCCCCAACCTATACATAAATTCCTGCAACATCCTCTCTGACATTTTTCATGGCTCCTTTTCAGATGCTACAAAGACAAGTGTCAGACAAGCTGCTTCCTCTGGAATCCTTAAACAGGCGATACCATCAGCTGGTGAGGAGCGGGGCCATCGGCCCACAGCTCCGGCCCACGGTGCAAGAGGTCAACCAGCGCTGGGATGACCTGCAGGCTCGGACGGCTGCCATTTGCAAGAGGCTGAAGGTGGGTCCTGGTGGGCGCTGGACCTTGGAGGTCCACAGTCACCTTGAGGTCCACATTCCCTCCGGGACAACTGAAATATACTCGGCGTCGAGAGTGGATTTCATGCTCTTTATTCAGCTCATACTGCTGAGGAGGAATGGAAATTCCCCCAGAATGTCTGCTTTATATGCATTATTTACACAATGGGCCCCACGTGATTGGCTAATTCAGGGATTCTCCTGTAGGCCAATCAGGTTGCGGATTCACTTCCACCTGGAGCTGGATTGGGTGGCTGGTGTGGACCAATCTGACTGCTGCCTTCTGGATCCTATTGTTCTAGGACCAATCAGACTGCTGCATTTTGGATCCTATTCAACTCACTACATAACAATAACCTTTCGAGGGCCACATGCCAGTGGTCTGTGGAGCAGCAAACCTGAATTTTAACTTTATACACTGGGCTGGTTCAGGAACACAGGAAGCTGTCAGATCTTTGCTCCATCTAACTCAGTACTGTGTACACTGACTGGCAGCGACTCTGCAGGATTTTAGGCAGCCCTGTCTGGAGACGCCACGGACTGGACCTTCCGCTTACAAGACAGACACCCGACTGCTGAGCTATGGCTCTCCTATGCACCTTCACAAACACCTGTCTCCTCCCTCCATTGCCAGAACTCAAGAATATATTATTCCACCCAAGGAAATCGGGACCAATGAGGGCTGTGTCTTGGGAAGGGTCCTGGGGGCCACATAGAGAGGTCTCGAGGGCCACATTCAAACCCTGGGACTGTGGCTCTGCAAAGGCGGCCACAGATGCGGCCTAGGACCCCCGTACCTACGGGACCGCCTCTCCTGGTATGTCCCACGGAGGACCTTACGGTCTTGGAGATCCCGGGCCACAGGGAGGTTAGGCTGGCCTCAACCAGAGCCAGGGCCTTTTTGGCCGTGGCCCCGATCTGGTGGAACGCTCTGTCACAAGAGACTAGGGCCCTGCGGGACTTGACATCTTTCCGCAGGGCAGGCAAGACAGAGCTGTTCCGCCTGGCCTTCGGTTTGGACTCGGTCTGACCCTTATGTTTCCCTCCCCTTATGGTCTTGATCTATGGGCTACTATTAAAATGAGGCTGCATTTTAAGTGGCATTTAAACCTGTATTTTAAATTGCGTGTCCCCGCCCCCCATTATGTTTATATTGTAATTTTACTGGTATTAGCTGCCCTGAGCCCGGCTCTGGCCGGGGAGGGCAGCAGCTCTGGCCGGGGTATAAATAAAATTTATTATTATTATTATTATTATTATTATTATTATTATTATTATTACCCAGTGCTGTGGATCATGCATCATACGATTCCACAGGTATAACCTAGGCCATTTTTGGATAGCTGCTTCAGGGCAGATGTTCCTCCCACAATATTGTCCAGGTATCTCTTAGCTCTGTGAATAAAGGGCGGTGTTTGATATGTTCTTGCCCTTCCTTCCCCCTGCCAGCATTTTGTGAACCAGTGGGAAAAGTTTGAGCTGGAGAAAGAGACCATCCGGGTGTGGCTGGTGGAGCTGGACCTCCGACTCACAGACGTGGAGCACTTCTCCGGAGGGACGTCGCTGGAGAAAATGATACAGCTGCAGGTAGGGAAAAAGCTGAGGAAGGGGGGGAATCAAGAGTTTGCACTCTTGCAGTTTTCCCACAAGGCTACACGTTTCTCCAGGGATTCACCGAGTGCTTCTGGAGTCTGGTATCTCAGCTCAGGACCTGGCATCTTGAGCAGGTGGACATTTGCTGAGGAAAACATTTCTGGACACCTCAATGTTCTTGCAAATAAACATTTTAAAAATCCATGCATGGATAGTGTCCAGCAAAAGCTCAGAAATTTATCTTATTTCATAATAATTTCAGTGCTATTTGTTTTTTTTAAGTGCTGGTACTCGCCATGAAGTTGTTACAGGAAGTGCCACAATTTAAACATTGGGGGGGGGGGGAGATGTTGGTACTACATACCTTTGAATACCCCCAGAAAAAAGCACTGAATAAAAATATATATTTTGCTTGATTTCTTTCTTTCCCCCCCCAAAAAATTATTGGTTTTTCAAATTTATAACAAACATAAACAACATAAAAGACATAAATTTTGTTTGATTTCTTAAAAAAGCAAAGCAGTTTACAAATAGGGGGGAAAAACCATAGAATTATCAGTAAAAACAGTTGAAAACAGCAAGAAGAACTACTGACGAAAGAAGAATGGAGGATGAAATTGATGGACTATGCAGAATTAGATAAATTAACAGGAAGGATTTGAAACCTGCGGGACCAGCAATTCTCAGAAGACTGGAGTAAATTTAGGGACTATTTGAAAAGCAATTGTGATGAACAGATTACGCTAGTAGGTTTGCAAGAAGTTTTGTAAGGTGAATTATTTGAAATATTGCAAAGAAGATAATGAGGAGAATTATTAGTTAAGGGCAATTAAAGGTAATATGAAATTAAGAAATGCAGAATAAGTGATAAAGAACGGAAAATCATCAGAGGTGTTGACGGAAGTCTAAAAATATTGTAGAAGATGAGAAGTTATGTTGTATGACTGTTGGAATTGATATGTTAAAAAATTAATAAAAATGTATAAAAAAGAAAACAGCAATTTAAAATACTGTATTTTAAAAAAATTAAAATCGGCAGTAAACGAAAAACAGATGAAAATACACATCTAAAGCCATCCAGGTTGATGTCAGTCACTGCCTCCTATCATCCCTGACCACTGGTCCTACTAGCTAGGGAGGATGATGGGAATTGTAGTCCAAAACCAGCTGAGGGATAAGCCCTTTGCCTCTCTCTTTCCTGACGTCCAGGCATTCCAGCAAGACGTGCAGGCCAATGCAGACCGCGTGGACCACCTGCTGGTGCACGGGGAAGCTCTGATCCAGAAGAGCCAGCCTGAGGACGCGGAGGTCTTGGAGGAGGAGTTGCAGGAGCTGAGCTGCTTCTGCCAGGAGGTCTTCCGCAGAGTCTTCCGCTTCCAGGGACGACTGGTCAGCATGCGGCTGGTCAGTACCGGGGGTCTCCCTTGCTCAGGAAGAGGGAGAGGGAATCTGATACGCCAATCAAGGCATTGGAGAAGGCGAGCCGCAGATTAGGATTAGGTTAAGCTTACACGTATATAGTAATAATAATAATTTATTATTTATACCCCGCCCATCTGGCTGGGCTTCCCCAGCCACTCTGGGCAGCTTCCAACCAAATATTAAAATACAGTAATACATCAAACATTAAAAGCTTCCCTAAACACAGCTGCCTTCAGATGTCTTCTAAAAGTTTGGTAGTTTGGTAGTTGGTGGGAGAGCGTTCCACAAGGCGGGCGCCACCACCGAGAAGGCCCTCTGCCCGATCCCCTGTAACTTGGCTTCTCACAGGGAGGGAACCGCCAGAAGGCCCTTGGATCTGGACCTCAGTGTCCGGGCTGAACGATGGGGGTGGAGACGCTCCTTCAGGTCTACTGGGCTGAGGCTGTTTAGGGCTTTCAAGGTCAGCACCAACATTTTGCATTGTGTTTGGAAACGTACTGGGAGCCAATGTAGGTCTTTCAGGACCGGTGTTATGTGGTCTCTGCGGCCCTTTCCCAGTCACCAGTCTAGCTGCCGCATTCTGGATTAGCTGAGGTTTCCAGGTCACCTTCAAAGGGAGCCCCACGTAGAGCCCCCGTAAATATATTCATTGCCTGGTGGCTGCAGTTTTTATCTAGTTTTGAGAAAAGGCAGGAGGTGACATGACAGTTTATAAAATTTTGCAGGGCATGGAGGAAGTGGATAGAGTAAAGGTTTTCTCCCTCTTGCACAGGTGAGAATTTGTGGACATCAGTGAGGTTGAATGTTGAAAAATAAAAGAGTTCGTTTGCAAAGTTCAGGGTTAATCTGCGGAACTCGCTGCCACAGGAAGCAGCCATGGCCACCCACTTGGATGGCTTTAAAAGAGGATTGGACAATTTCAGGGAGGAGTGGGCTACTAGCCATGATTTTTATGCCCTTCCTGCACAGTTGGAGGGCAGCAATTCTTCTGAATACCAGCTGCTGGAAACTACAGGAAGGGAGAGCTGCTCCGTGTTCGAATCCTCCTTGAGGGTTTCCCACGATGGCCGTCTGGTTGGCCACTGTGAGAACAGGCTGCTGGACTAGATGGGTGTGGCGATCACACAGGGTCCCCGGACGGTCTATTGATCCCTGTGCCACCACTATGATCACTTCCGCGCTGCCACCAACCCGTTTCTCTCGGGTACACACTGAGTCCTGACAGCTGTTAACATCAAAACAAATAATCCAGTTTATTTTATAAGCCTTAACAAGTTTATGGTTTCAGATAATTTTTCTTGTCAGTTTCTTAATCTTAGTTCCTGTACCGGCCTATACTTTCCTAATAACTCTTAACTGATTATCCCAACTGTCTCTCTGACTCCTCCTACAGTTTCTCTCACTTTCTCACATCAAAACTCAACCAACCCACAGACTCCCTCTTCCAACTCCCAACTGACTTCCCAACAACTCCCACTCTAACTCCTCCCCTTGGGTTCCCACTGGCCAATCACTGCACACTCATTTAACCCTTTCCTTATGACCCACCTAGGAGGGCAAATGCCACAATGGGCCATTGGCCAGTTCCAGCAGGCTATGTCCATCAAATGATGAGTTGCACGTCCGAATTGCATGACAGAAATTGCACAGAAACCGCTTACGAGGGTGCAGAATCCAGCCCCTTGCAAGTGAAGGGCACTGCTCAAGGGCAGAGCATATTTGCAGAGCATATCTCCAGGTTCAATCTTGGACATCTCTTTAGGAACCCACAGCACTATATCTTGAAAGCACATGCAAAGCTCGTTCTTCCCCTCAAAGAATCCTGGGCTAAGCTGGGAACTGTAACTCTGTGACGGGAAAACGACAGCGCTCAGAATTCCTCTAGGGAAAGGATGTGTTGCAAATGGGCATTGAAGGTGCAGTGAGTTTACTGCCTGAGATTTCTTTAAGTGGACGATAACTCTTCCATGTCTGCAGAGCTCTCTCTTACCTTGCCCCCAGGTCTTTGAGGATGAGTGGCTGTCTGACCGGGACAGTGATTTGGAGTCTGAGTCCCTTGCGGAAGAATCCCTGGATGGGCCGCCCCAGCCTCCTGCTGCCCCCATGCGTCAGTCGACCCCAAAGAACCCCTCTCTGCACCGCCAGCAGCCAGCTCCCGCTGTGGAGACAAACGTGGATCTGGAGTGGGATCCTTCTGTGGATATAGGGGGATCTACGTCGCATGACGAAGAGGATTCCTCATACTCCAGCGCCATCACAGGTAGGCATGGCCTGGGAGGGAGGGAGGGAGGGAGGGCACCCCCTCCGTGGGTATGGAGCTGGGTTGAATCATGACACAGGAACAAGGGCCCATCTGGTACGCAGGATGAGACCCTCCCTGCCCACAGACTGTCTGGCCAGAGTGGTGCATGCTCTGGTTATCTCCCGCTTGGACTACCGCAATGCGCTCTACGTGGGGCTCCCTTTGAAGGTGACTCGGAAACTACAACTAATCCAGAATGCGGCAGCTAGACTGGGGACTGGGAGCGGCCGCCGAGACCATATAACACCGGTCTTGAAAGACCTACATTGGCTCCCAGGACATTTCCGAGCACAATTCAAAGTGTAGAGCTTTAAAGCCCTGAACGGTCTCAGTCCTGTATACCTGAAGGAGCGTCTCCACCCCGATCGTTCTGCCTGGACGTGGAGGTCCAGCTCCGAGGGCCTTCTGGTGGTTCCCTCCCTGTGAGAAGCGAAGTTACAGGGAACCAGGCAGAGGGCCTTCTCTGTGGTGGCACCCACCCTGTGGAACGCCCTCCCACCAGATGTCAAGGAGATAAACACCTACACAACGTTTAGACTATATCTGAAGGCAGCCCTGTCATTGGAAGCTTTTAATTTTTGATGCTGTATTTTTGTTGGATGCCTCCCAGAGTGTCCGCGGCAACCCAGTGTGATGGGAGGGGTAGAAGAAATAATTTGTTGTTGTTGTTACTATTACTATTATTATTATTATCATCAGCATCATTACCATCGTCTCCACCCCCATCATTCGTTTCAGAGTTTCTGAGCACCTACACCCATCAAACAGGGACAGGGGTGGCGCTGTGGTCTAAACCACAGAGCCTAGGGCTTGCCAATCAGAAGGTCGGCGGAACGAATCCCCGTGACGGACGTCAAAGTGCAAATAGATAAATAGGTACCGCTCCGGCGGGAAGGTAAACGGCGTTTCCGTGCGCTGTTCTGGTTCGCCAGAAGCGGCTTAGTCATGCTGGCCACATGACCCGGAAGCTGTATGCCGGCTTCCTCAGCCAATAAAGCAAGATGAGTGCCGCAACCCCAGAGTCGGCCGCGACTGGACCTAACGGTCAGGGGTCCCTTTACCTTTTACAGCCATCAAACAGCACCTTCAGCTCTATGAGTCTTTCATCGCAGAAGAGGCACTGTGGTTAGGCTGTTGGGCTAGGACAGGCATGGCCAATCTTGGCCCTCCAGCTGTTTCAGAACTACAGTTCCCATCACCCCTGACCACTGGCCCTGTTAGCTAGGGACGATGGGAGTTGTAGTCCCAAAACATCTGGAGGGCCAAGTTTGGCCATGCCTGGGCTAGGACCTGGGAGAGCAGGGTTTGAATCCCCACTCAGTCACAGACCTTGGGCCGGTTACTGCCTCGTAGCTGGGGCTGATGGGAGTTGTAGTCCTAAACATCTGGAGGGTGCTGGGGAAGGCTCATAAGGGCTGGAAGTTGACTTTTTAAAGAAAACAGAAGCAGATATTCTGATGTGGTCACTGATAGATTGGGCGGCAGCTGGATTCCTTTCCCCTGTTTTGTTACCCTGCAGGTATGGGCCAGTGGGAAGAACCTCGCCGGAAGTGCAGGCCTTCTGTTTGTGCATCCCGTTCCTTGCCTTTGAGATGTGGCAGCCAAGAAGACTTTTCTGTAAGCATTTGGGAATGGCTGGGGTGGGTGGAAGAGGTCTTACTCCCAGGGCTTGGTAGGAGGAGAGAGCAGGAATACGGTTGCTTCACTTTTCTGCCTAAAATAGGTATATACAGCAACAAAAGGATGTTTTAAGCTGGCCAGTGGCCCATCTAGTCCAGCACCCTCTTCTCACAGTGGCCATGCGTGGACTAGGACCTGGGAGAGCAGGGTTCGAATCCCCACTCAGTCACCAAGCTCACTGGGTGACCTTGGGCCAGTTACTGCCTCGTAGCTGGGGCTGATGGGAGTTGTAGTCCAAAACATCTGGAGGGTGGCAAGCTGGGGAAGGCCATAAGGGCCAACCAGATGTCTCTTCTGGGAAACCCGCAAGCGGGACCCGAGTGCGAGAGCAACTCTCCCCTCTGAATGTTGCGGGTGAGCAATAGCCGTCCTGGCTAGGGGCCATTGATAAGACTTCTCCTCCAGGAATTTGCCCACTTGTCTTTTAAAGCCATCTAAACTCATGGCCATCCCTGTCTCCTGTGGGAGAGAGTTCCACAGATTAACCATGTTCACCCCGCGCCACGTAACCCCTCCTCCCTACCCCATCTGGTTTTCAGAATGGCCGATTCCCCCACCCCAAAATCTTGCCGTTCTTCTTGCCAATTTAATAGTTTTCCATGTGGTTTCATAACTGCCCCCATCTTTCCCCTCCTTTCTTACAGGTGCAAAATGGCTTCCAAGTGGAGTGGGATCAATTCAGTTCCTCCGTCACAGACCAGGAAATAAAAAGGTGCAGTTCTGGTAAGTCCTTGCATTTGATCTCCCAGGGTCTTCTTAGAGGAGATGCTGGTTTAATAAGCTGAATAATCCCTTTGGGTGTGCCTGGAACTTATTTGTAAAAACATTTTCATGCTGTTATTTCATTAAAACAAAATCAAAACAGTTTACAACAAGAGGACATAAAACCATACAAATTGGAAAAACCATATGGAAAGTCAAAATCAGAAACCACATGATTATTTTGAAAGATGTGCTCTTAATTGCCAGCACAGACTTGACAAAATAGATACGTTTTCAGCAGGTGTGTAAACTCTGGCACAGAAGGCTTTCTCCAGATTGCCAGCATTTGGCGAGACTGAGTCAATCACGTACTGGAAGTTTAGATTTTTGCCCACTGATAGTATATTAAAGCACTCTGGTGTGAAAACAACCACAATTGTTTCTTAATTATTGTTTTTACTGTGTTTTTAGTGGTTCTTATCTCTAAGCTGACGAATCCTGTCAGGGGAAAAGTCGGAGTATAATTTATTGTTGTTGTTATTAATTTACGCAGTTAGGAAAGTGATGGGGAAAATGTGCTAAAAGTGTGGATAAATGACTGGTTAAAGTCCAGGGGTCAGCAAACTTCTTCAGCAGGGGGCCGGTCCACTGTCCCTCAGACCCTGTGGAGGGCTGGACTCTATTTTGAAGGAAAAAATGAATGAATTCCTATGCCCCACAAATTACCCAGAGATGCGTTTTAAATAAAAGCACACATTCTACTCATGTAAAAACATGCTGATTCCCGCAACGTCCACATGCCGGATTTAGAAGGCGATTGGGCTGCATCCGACCCCCGGGCCTTAGTTTGCCTACCCATGGGTTAACGGAAGACCTATAACCACCACACAAGCAACTCAGGATGGATGTTCAGTGCCATATAACCTGCTGGCAAGCAAATGAGAAACAAATGCTCCATAAAGACCAGGCACGTCCGTTTCCTTCTTGTTTGCCAGCGCTCTGTGACCATCTACTCTGGAGACTGGCGTTCCACTTTAGGGTCAGGATTCCCTCCCTGATCTGATGTTCTTCCTGGCTTCTCTGGTAGGACCGTCGCACTCATGGGAGCTCCAGGGATGTCAGCACCCCCAAAATGGGCGGCCAGAGAAAGGGAGCCCCCGCCAAGCAGAACCGATGGGATTTGACCCCCAACGGATTGAGACTTGGCTGGGCCAGAGCTGCCGGGAGAAGATGGGAGGGAAGCTGGAACAAGTAAGTTCTTCTGATGGAGCAGGACGAGAACATCTCGGGTTGTAGAGAACGTCTATATTGGGGGCAGGAATCTCCTGCTCCCTCTGGCTGTGCCTTCTCTGCACCAGGCTCCTCCAAGCTCTTGGGACGGCAACTCCCGTAACTGTGCAGGCTAAGGGCTGATGGGAGTTGTAGTCCAAAACATCTGGAGAGGGGGGGCACCAGGTCGAGGAAAGATGGTGCACACCAGTGTTTCTCAAACTCGAGTCCACTACTCCCTGGTGAGAATTCCATTCCACCTTAAGGAACAGACATGAGATTGTTGCATGTCACATGTCTGTTTACATTCCAGCACGGTATGCTGGGAACTTCCCTTTGTGTATAGCTTTTGCTTTTGCTGTTCTCTCCATGAGAGAGAGACGAAATGTTTCTTTGTTCAGATTTATGTTCAATAAATCTGTAGCTGTAGCAAGACTTATGCCTCATGCCTACTTCTGTGTGCGCAGTTGTTGTTGTTGTTTGTTGTTTAGTTGTGTTCGACTCTTTGTGACCCCCTGGACCAGAGCACGCCAGGCACTTCTGTCTTCCACTGCCTCCCACAGTTTGGTCAAACTCATGCTGGTAGCTTCGAGAACACTGTCCCACCATCTTGTCCTCTGTCGTCCCCTTCTCCTTGTGCCCTCCATCTTCCCCAGCATCAGGGTCTTTTCCAGGGAGTCTTCTCTTCTCATGAGGTGGCCAAAGTCTTGGAGCCTCAGCTTCAGGATCTGTCCTTCCCGTGAGCACTCAGGGCTGATTTCCTTCCGAATGAAGAGGTTTGATCTTCTTGCAGTCCATGGGACTCTCCAGAATTCCTCCAGAATTCAAAAGCATCCATTCTTTGGCGATCAGCCTTCTTTATGGTCCAGCTCTCACTTCCATCCATCACTACTGGGAAAACCAGAGCTTGAACTATACAGACCTTTTTTGGCAAGGTGCTGTCTCTGCTTTTTAAGATGCTGTCTAGGTTTGTCATTGCTTTTCTCCCAAGAAGCAGGCGTCTTTTAATTTCGTGGCTGCTGTCACCATCTGCAGTGATCATGGAGCCCAAGAAGGTCAAATCTCCCACTGCCTCCATTTCTTCCCCTTCTATTTGCCAGGAGGTGATGGGACCAGTGGTGTCACTCTAATTGCGTGCCCTGGATTTTGAAGTTTGGGTGACTGATTTACGTCAGAGCACGGGCCGATGGAAGGAGACGTCCGAGCTGGGCTTGCCAGCTGGCCTCCCGGCCCCTCTGCATGTCAACGCTCCCATCATCCCTGACCACTCATCCCACTAGCTAGGGATGATGGGAGTTGTAGTCCAACAACAACCGGGGACTCAGGTTTGAGAAATATTGGTGTACTCTGAGGGTCAGTGGCTGTCCAGGGTTTTAGCCTTTCCCATCTTGGCCCTACCTGGAGATGGCAGGGATGGAACCCAAGGCCTTCTGCTGCTGCTGCCTGCCAGTGTAGCCAACACTGAACTAGATGGACCAATGATCTGGCTCCATAGAGGGCAGCACCTTATAATCTTACGGTCCACTCTGCAGGTCACTGGGACTTGTGGGCCTGTCTCCCTACGTGTCCTCCATCTGCAATTCCCAGTGCAATCCCAGGCAAGCGGGAAACGACCAAAGAGGCAGAAGTCACAGCAACGGGCGAAGAAGACAACTTGGCCAACCCCAGCCAGCAACGCTGAGCAGGTAAGCAGTTGATAGGTTGGGAACACTGGGGAACAAATCCCTGGATCTTTGTGGCTTCGCTGCCTTGGGCTGCAACCGAGAAAGGAATGGTTGGAGATCCTGAAGCTGTAAGGAATGCACTTCTGAGCATGTGCAGAGTGCTTTCTTTGGGTAACACTGGACAACCTCCAGCCACTTCCACTCCTCTGGATTTAGGAGGCCCATTGAGCTTGTGCTTCCTACCAGACTTTAGCCCTGGTGGCATCTCCTTGCAATAATAATAATAATAATAATAATAATAATAATAATAAATATTTTTATTTATACCCCACCCTCCCCAGCCAGAGCCAGGCTCAGGACGGCTAACACCAGTAAAATTACAGTAAAAACATAATAGGAAAAGAAAAAAAAAAGCAATTTAAAATACAGGTTAAAATGCCATTTAAAATGCAGCCTCATTTTAAAAGTAGCCCATAGATCAAAACCGTAGGGGGAGGGAAACAGAAGGGTCAGACTGAGTCCAAACCAAAAGTCAGGCGGAACAGCTCTGTCTTGCAGGCCCTGCGGAAAGATGTCAAGTCCCTCAAGGCCCTGGTCTCTTGGGACAGAGCGTTCCACCAAGTCGGGGCCAGTGCTGAAAAGACCCTGGCCCTAGTTGAGACAGTCTAACCACCTTGCGACCTGGGAGCTCCAAGATGTTGCCATTTGTGGACCTTAAGGTCCTCCGTGGGAACATAATACAGTGGTGCCTTGGTTCTCAAACGCCTTGGTACTCAAACAACTTGGAACCAAACACTGCTAACCCGGAAGTAAGTGTTCTGATTTGTGAGTGTTTTTTGGAAGTCAAACGTGCTCTGTTTTGAGTGTTACGCTTCCAATTTGAGTGCCACACTTGCTTTTTGAATATTACGCTGAGGTCTGTCTGGTTTTTGCTATTTATTTTGCGTTTTTGCGGCTCTTTTTTTGTTTTGTTTTTGTGACTGTGTGGAACCCAGTTCAGCTGCTGATTGATAGATTGTGTGACTGCAGTATATTGTTTATTGCTTTCATTTTATGGATCAATTTTTTTAAAAAGCCTGGAATGGATTAATCTGTTTTGCATCGCTTTTTATGGGAAAGCACACCTTGGTTTTCGAACGGACTTCTGGAACGGATTAAGTTTGAGAACCAAGCTACCACTGTAAATGAAGGCAAACCAACCATGGCCCCCAATCTCTCTTGCCACCAACGAAAACTAATTTTCTATTCGTTTCTAGCCCTCTTGGGAGCTTTGAACAGATAGGGCCTGCTTTTTCTTTTCACTCTCTGTGCCTGTTTTCATAGATCTGCAAGGAGGAGCACCTCGACTCCCGGCCAGCAGAAATCGCAATCACCATTGAGCAGGGGTAAGTGAGCTTCCTTCCAATTTGACATAGACATCTCTCTGCTGGGCAGCTGTTCGGCCTTGGAGCCAAGTCTGCTATGATTCTGACGGCTCCAACCCTGAGAGGCCAAAGAGGGCTGTGGGAGGAGACCTCTGACGCTGCTGTGGAAGTGACCTTTTGAGGTCCTGCAAGTCCATAAAGATGCGAGTGGCGCTGTGGTCTAAACCACTGAGCCTCTTGGGCTTCTTGATCAGAAGGCTGGTGGTTCAAATCCCCGCAATGACAGGGTGAGCTCCCGTTTCTCGGTCCCTGCTCCTGCCAACCTAGCAGTTTGAAAGCATACCAGTGCAAGTAGATAAACAGGTACCGCTCTGGTGGGAAGGTTATCGGTATTTCCATGTGCTGCTCTGGTTCGCCAGAAACAGCTTAGTCATGCTGGCCACATGACCCAGAAGCTGTACGCCGGCTCCCTCAGCCAATAAAGCGAGATGAGCGCCACAACCCCAGAGTCGTCCGTGACTGGACCTAATGGTCAGGGGTCCCATTAGCTTTACCGTAATATACAATAATAATAATGTAATATAGGGACTTGGGTGGCGCTGTGGTCAAACCACTGAGTCTTGCCGATCAGAAGGTTGGCGGTTCAAATCCCCACGACGGGGTGAGTTCCCGTTGTTTGGTCCCAGCTCCTGCCAACCTAGCAGTTCGAAAGCATGTCAAGTGCAAGTAGATAAATAGGCACCACTGCGGAGAGGAGGAAAACGGCATTTCTGTCCGCATTTCTGGTTCGCCAGAAGCAGCTTAGTTATGCTGGCCACATGACCCGGAAGCTTTCTGCGGACAAATGCCAGCTCCCTCAGCCTATAGAGCGCCGCAACCCCAGAGTCATCCGCGACTGGACTTAACAGTCAGGGGGTCCCTTTACCTAAGTCCATAAAGAATGCTGTATTATTTTACTGTTGTTAGCCACTCTGAGCCCAGCTTTGGCTGGGAGGCTGGAATATAAATAAAATATTATTATTATTATTATTATTAATTTATTTATTATTCAAAGAAGTGTCCCAACCACCAGATTTACGAATCTGAACCATTAGCTTCTCCTTCCAGATCCAGCCTACAAGAGCCTTTGATCATCTCCTGCCTCCGAACCCAGAAGCCCCCCAGACTCCCCGCCATATGGAACAGGACGGTGATGATCCTCAGCGCCATCCTGCTGCTGCTGCTGCTGTTCCTGGCCAGCCCCTTTCCTCTGTACCCGTCGGAGCTCTCGTCGGAGCTCTCCTGCCTCCAGGAAAACCGCTACGCCAGATCCTTCCACCTCATGCTCACGTACAGTGGGCCACCACCCACTTAGAAGGCAGGGAGTGCTGGTGCGGCGTGGACTCTTCACAGTGCGTGGAGAGAAGAAAGTTGTCTCTGGGAGTTCCACAGGCTCTTCCTCCAGCGGGTTCCAGAATCTGTTCCTGCAGTGCAGTGCCCGGCTGCATCTGGTCAGAGATGGGCTGTAGCACCTAGTGAAAGGGGAGACAATACCCCCCCCCCAAGTGTTCAATTATTAGTTGTTAACACAAATATTCACTGTTAGGCCCATTCTCCTCCATTTATTTAACTGTTCTTAAAAAAGAAGGAACTTGTATCCAACTACGCATGCCCCATACGTTTGCGGCACATTCCCTTCCTCCTAAGAATCCTGGGAACTGTAGTATGCATCTCACAGAACTACAGTTCCCAGCACCCTTGACAAACGGCTATACCCAGGATTCCTTTGTTTGGTGTGCTTGAAATGTATGATGTGCACACCGCCTTTCTTCCAGAGTCACAGAAGTCAAGGAACCTAGGTTAGACATCCCCATTAAGTTCAGTGTGTCTGCGTACATCACCCTGAGGCTAGGAGTTCCGTAGATCGCAGGCAGCTGCATTTTGAAACGCAGGACCTTAGGTGGTAATTCTGGCAACCTCTGCTCTTTGGCTGCTGTGTTCCACTGAGCCACGTTCCCTCGCTAGACGTGGCAACATCTGGAATTCCGGGGGGCCTTTTCTGCAGAACATTTTGCTGCCACAGACTCTGCTTGAACATGAGCAAGCCAGTGCCCAGCAGAAGGCCAGAGAAGATACACCTCCTGCCTTCAGAGAAGCCAGGCGCCACCAGAACTGAGCATGTATATGACCCCTTCATTCCACTACCCCTTCTTTAATATATTTGGCATCAAAGGTTTTCTAATAAAGAGGAGAAAAAGAGGTCTGGTGTTTGCTTGCTGGGCTTCCATTCCATCCCACCTTAGGATCGTCTCCTCCTACCAGTTCCCCCCTCCATTCCCACGTTCCTGCAAGACGCGTGAATCCCCTTAAACCAGCAGCCAGGTCGCTGTGGAAATCGGTGGGGTGCCTGCGTGCAGCTTAGCGCCTTCCTACAGGCCGCGAAGGAGAGAGCAGGCGGGCGGGGTCTGGGCACGTGGGGCCCGCCCGCGTGTCACGCGGGAACGTGTGAAGGGCGCCTTCCCGTGCGCGCCTTCCAGATGTTGCCACGGGGAGTGGGCGTCCGAGGCTGCTCCTCCGCCCGGCCGGGAGCGCAAGGCGCGGAGCAGGGCGAGCCTTGGACCCGTGGAAGAGCCCGGTACGCGGCGAGGCTCCCCCCGGTACGTGCGGAGGGGAGAGGGAGGGGCTCCTGGGAAGGAGAAGAAAGCGGAGCTGGCTGCGCCCGTCTTTGTTCCCGGCGCCGCTGCAAGGCTGGCACGGATGCTATGGGCATCATCTGGGCATCAGTCAGGTAAAGGGGGTGCAATGCGATCGCTGGGGGTGGGAGGGGGGTGTAGATCCAGCTGGGGAGTGGGGAGATGGTCACCGCTGGACGGGGGGTCCCTATGCAGCAGCAGGCAGGGCCAGGATGCCACGAGCATCTTTGCGCACATCTTGTGCGCGCACGGACCCAGGCTGCAAAGTCCTTGGGAAGCAAGGACTTACATGGCACGGTTGGAGGCGGAGGAGTCAAACCGGGGGGGGGACGCTTACTCGTGCCCCCACCCCGCCTTACAACCCCCAGAGGACGGGAGCTGCTGGGGGTCGCTGCCTTCTGTGTCCCCACCGCCGCGCTCCGTGCGCCCTCTGCCTCCCCAGGATTCAAGGACTGGGCGAGGGGTGGGGGAGAAAGTTGCCAATTGAGGTGCCAGATTCCCACAGCCCTCCCAGCACACATCCAGCCCCCCATTCTCAGGCACTGCCTTAGGCATTCTTGGGCACTCTGGGGCTGATGGGACTTGTAGTTCAAAGCAACTGGCCGTCTCCAGGTTGGTGAATCTTTAGTCTATTGCAGGAATCTTTCGGGCAAACATGGGGCTTGAACGCCTGATCCTGAGTTTAAGAATCCCATATTTTACCGACTGAGCTATCCCAGAGGCTTTATGAAAGTCGCAGAAATCCTACGTTGGGCAAAGGATTCCTGCCTTGTATGGGGTTGGACTAGATGACCATAGAGGTCCCTTCCAACTCTACAATTCTATTATTTTATTAAATAGGGCTGTGAAAAGGTATACCAGGAGCAATTTGCCTGCTTGGTGGTGTTGGAAGTCACATTTTGGGGGCTTTTTTTTGAGCTCAAAACCTTATATATAATTGTGGAGTTGGAAGGGACCCTGAGGGTCATCCAGTCCAACCCTCTGCAATGCAGGAATATGCAGTTGTCCCATACGGGGATCGAACTCACGACTTTGGCGTTCTCAGCACCACGCTCTAACCAGCTGAGCTATGCATGCACCTTGTCTTCCAACAAAATATACCCGGAGGCAGCTTGCGTTTGCAAAGTGGCGAGGCAGAGATGACTCTCTGCACATGATCAGAAGTGTGCTTGCTAGTTTCCAAGGGCTCGATTCAGGCTATCCTTGCTCCCTAATCCTTCAAGAATGAGCACAAATGCAAGGTCTCTTCCCCGCTCCCTCCCTCCCTCGCTCAATCTCTTGCTGAGCTCAGCCTTCCTCAATATGAGCAGAGCCATAAGGGTCGCTGAGCAATGTTCTCCGGCTCGCTAGGAAAACAGCTGGGATTCTGGAGAGACGTTTTTGCAGAACGTTTCACGGCCACAAGCTCTGCGCCAGTGGAGGGAGCCAGAAATAGACGCAGCTCCCGGCTTTGCAGAAGGAAAACCAAGTCCAGCCGTCAAGGCAAAACAAAATGTACGCAGGGGGAGTTTGGCCTGTTCGTCTCAAGCAGCAACACCAGGATTCCTAGCAGGGGGGTGGCTTCTGAAGAGAGGTGGAGGGGCTTCAAGTGGCTTCAAAGACTGGTCTCATGGCCTGGTTGGATGCAGAGGGATGGTGGGAAGAACTGGCTGGGGAACCCCCAAGGGAAGGAGGTCCAGAGCCAGGGGGTGGGGCAACAGTGAGTGATCAGAGGGAGAAGAGGGAGCAGACGGGGAGGATGTGGTGTTGGGAGCTGGAGGGGCAACAGGGCTTAGTGAGCGGGAAGAGGCTGTGGCAGAGAGCGGTCCAGACTCAGAGGCTGCAGAGGAGAAGGGGCCAAGAGGCAGAGATGGGTCAGGCTGATGAAGAGTCACAGGGATCCCCCTCCTGCTGCAACAAGCTCCCCTCCCGGCTGGTCTCCCAGGACCAGAAGAGGCACGAAAAGGGCAGAGGAGAGGTTGGCTGCACCCAGGCGCAGTCTCTGATTGCTTGGGGAAAGCCCTGGAGAGGAGGGAACTTAGATGGCTGTGGAGAGACAGGGACTTTCAGTCTCGGCAACTGATCCATGGGGCAAGACCTGCAGGGGATGAGTTGCTGCACTCATTCGGCCTGACACTTCTTTGCAGATCGCACTTTTGCTAATAGCGAGTTAACTCCAACTTGCACAGTGGGATTTACTGCTGGCTCATTCGTGATCACTGGAGAAGGAGCCTAGCATAGATGCTGAGCGTCATCTGTGCATGCATCAACATCTCCAGACAGGACTACAAACAGGCTCTTTCTGAAGATTCCAGGGATTGAAGCGAGTGCCATTCCAAAGTCTGTTTCTCTGCCCCAAAAGGGGGCTTTGTGGGGAACCCTCAGTGGGCTCACCACTCAGGGTACGTGCAGCTGTCCCCCAGACCGATCACGTTCCTCAAAAACTGGCTGTATAAATTTCCTAATTATTTGTTCAGTGGACATGTTTATTTTGTGTGTGTCGTTCTGCAGGAAGCCTGGCAAAGGAATGCCCCCTTCGTGCTTCCAAGCCTTTTCTGCATCCACATGAGAAGCAGCAGAGCCTGTGGACACGCTGCAGATGGTAATATAAACTTTGGCAGGGAAATACCTGATGGAGGAACGCTGTCCCGCCACCCGTCCTGTCGCCCTCCCACCACCCAAAAAAACCCCTATTGGCAGCTGTTATTTGAAGAAGAAATATGTGAGTTTCGATACCTGCTCCAGCCTGGATTAAGAGCCATGAAGTTTTGAAGGAGGCTGACCACAGATGGAGGCAAGTGAGCCGAGAAACGCTGAGGGCTAGAAACACCACCAGCATCAATTTTTTCTTAAAAAAAGCCATCCCGGGAGCAAGGGACAAAAATAAACCGGAGCTCCCGGCAAGGAACAAAACATGCAGACCTCCTCAGAGAGGATAACAGAGGCCCAATTTACCTTATCTTATGATATCAACAAACTCCCTTCACAGGGAGGGGAAGCGTCAAGAAAAAGCCTGATTTCAAGGCCTTCTCCCGGGGCTGGGGGGACCGCGAGCAAACCTGAGGCGGGAGAACCGTATCCCTCCGGAAGGGCTTTCTTCAAGCGGAGGTGCCCGTTCTGGCTGAAGAGGAAAGGGGCCGCCAATCCGCCTCAGGTGGCCCCCAAGAGCCGCCTCTGCATGGAGGCCACTCACGAGAGCCCCATCCAGGCCGTCTGGAAGCCGGCCACGCGGGAAGACGCCCGAGGGCCGGACTCTGACGAGGAATCTGTGCGAGGGAAAACAGGCACCTCTCTCCTCAGGAAACTCCTGTGCCTGAAGACACCCAGCGGCCCAGAGGCAGCACCGGCCCAGAGGGCGAGAGTCCAGTGTGGGCCTGTGGCCGCTCTCAGCAGAACCGCCGACCCACACGGGGAGTCTCCTCTGAAGTGGAAGCCCAGGGCTAAGGCCCCGATCCCAGCAGAGGCCAGCTCCATCGCAGAGACGGTGGCGGCCGATCCGGTGGACAGGCTTGTTGGCTGGTGGGCGACGAAGCCATGGAGAGCTTTCAGGGCCATGCTGAGATCCAGAGCCAAGAAAAGGTCGGTTCTCCCAGAGAGCAAGAGAAGTCCCAAGGCGGTGGAAGAACGGGATATTCGCCTCCCTGCAGAGCCTGAAACCTCGCCCATCGCCAGGGTGGACGGATCACCCCGTTTTTCACCCACGGAGGACAAAACTCTTGCATCCGACGTAGGTGAAACTCAAGAGGAGGATGAAGGCGAGCACCTGAGCTCCAGGTGTGGGCTGGAGATCCATGGGCGGACAGAGGATGACATTTCGGACCCTGCGACTGAACGGGAAGTGGACGAGCTCTGCACTTTCTTGAGCGAGGGAAGGCGGCTTCGGGAAGAGAGTCGAGGCCTCAGGGGCGTTTTTGAGTGGAGAGGAACTTGCCACCTTCCTGGGGGGGACGGAGTAGAGGCGGAAGACGTTGCAGACCAGGCCCCTGAGCTGGGAGACTACGGGTACTGGGCCGAGGCGTCGGACGGGGAGGAACAGGCTCTCGCCGATCTCGCCGAAAACCCAGGCGGGCAGGGCATGCTGATGGCGACGAGAGATCTGGGCTGGCTGAACAGCGAGTTGCTGGCAAGCCCAGTGGTTGGGTCGAAAGAAAAGCGGGGAAGGGAGGTTTCTGCCACAAGCAATCCCGAAAGCAGAGAGAATGGGCGTGTGGCGGGCGCCAGCAGAGAGACCCAACACATCCTCCAGGAAGTGCTGCATCTTAGCAGCTGCTCGGTTCCCCTGCCAGCCTCGCCACCTGGCAGAAGCGATGCTCTGGAACCAGACCCTTACGACGCTCCCAGGGCCCACATCGCGGAGGAAGAAAGAGCGCCATCTCCTGGCTTCCCACAGACCCTGCTGACCCCGCTGGAGCCACCTCCCTCCTTTCCACCCAGAGGCCAAGGCCTTCAGGAGGGGCCACCCCTGTCAAGGCCATGCCAGGCTCTCGCCGAGGACGGAGGAAGGGAAGTCTGCCAAAGGAGAGGGAGCTCTGGGCGGAAGCTGCCATCGCCCACGGAGGAACCCGAGGCAGAGCTGGGAGAGGAGGACGACAAGCAGCGGCTGTACCAGGCTGCAGTGGAGATTGTGGGTGCCGCCATCGACGCCGCAGCAGAGCAGCTGGCAAAGGCGGCCGAGCGGGAGCAAGGGGAGCTGGGGTCCAGCAGAGAATTTCCTTGAGGTCCCCGTTCCTGGGGAGAGCAGAGAACTTTGAAAGCAAGCTTCGCCAACCTGGTGCCCTCCAGATATTTTCAAGTACAGCCTCCAGCCAGAAATACCGTGCTCTCATGTACCTCAGCTCTCCTGCCCGGCACTGATGGGAGTTGAAGTCCAAGGCATTTGGGGGGGGCACCAGGTTGACAGAGCATGCTTTAAAGGCTTGGTTCAGGGGCCAGGCCTGCGCCTCAGTTCCCCTCCTGCCTTCACCAGCCTCCCCTCTTAATTCCTTAGTAACTTATGGCATCCCCCATTTTTATTTTCTAAAAGACCCTTTTATTCCGGAGCCTGTGGGCAAGAGGAACAGGAGCCGAGGACTGGTGAGGTTTGACGTGTCAAAAATACAATTAAACCTGTTCCAATGAAGTTTCCGTCTGCTCGTTTGTACCTCGCCCTCTTGCAGGGCTGGTTTTTGGAACATAGGAAGCTTCTACTGAGTCAGACCAGCTCAACGCAGACTGCACTGGTTGGCAGCAGCTCTCCAGGGTTTCAGGGGGGGGCCCTACGTGGAGATGCAAAAGGTGATTGGACCTGCATGCAAAGCAGATGCTCTAACCACTGAGCAACAGTTGCCCTCAACCAGAATTGGGTATATGTTGTGACTCATTTTTTGGGGGGGGGGGGAGTCCAGAATGTGGTACTGGACTCTCTGTTGAGCCCAGGACCTCCTGTCCTCTCACCTGAGACTTTTCAAGTTTAGAGGCGCTGTGTGACAAAACCCTGGAGCCTTCTGCACTCAAAGCAGCTGCTCTCCCGGTGAACCTCTGCCCCGTCTCCCCAACCCACGGGGGAACACAGCAAACACACACACACACACACACACTCTAGGGAGTGAACTTTTTGTTCCTCTTTTTTTTAATAGGGCTGCATAAAAACACACACAGCTTTCCCTCCCCAAAGATGTATGTACAATTTCAAAAATAAATAAAAGGGTTTATTTGAGAAGAAATCCGACGTTCCCTCCCCGCGTATCCAGGTAACCTTGAAAGCGTCACATCAGAAAGTCCGGCTGAAGTTTTGGGAACGTGAAAAAAGCTATTCAGAAGAGCAAGCTTCCCGACAGGATAAGTCTGTACACCGCTCCGGGTGGAATTCTATTATTTATTTTTAGAAAAAGCGTCTTTCAAATGCGGAATCAAGGCAGGGAGCAACATATATATATATCTCAAGTGGTCCAGGAAGGATCTCCCAGGGCAGCCTTCCCCAGCCAGGTGGCTGCAAAATGTTCTGGCCTACAACTCCCGTCAGCCTTTGCAATATACAGCTGTGCTGGCTGCAGCTGATGGGAGCTGTAGTCCTGAACATCTGGAGGGCATCAGATTGAGGGGAGGGAGAAGGCTGGCCTAGGAATAAAAGGGGGGGGAGGACGGGGGTGGCTGCGATCCTTCTTACGATCCAACATGGAAGGAAAGGGTGCTTGCTGCCTGCTATTGCCCAAAGGACACTTAAAAGTGCTTTTGAGGCTGCCGTTGTTGAGACAAGAACCACACTGTGGTCTCAAGCAAGCTAGGCTCTCTGCACTCCCCATATAGCTTCCCCTTCATCCTCAGTTTCCCTTATGCCCCCCCAAATAAACCAATCGGGGGCTTTTTCCCCATAAAGTTTCCTGCGGCTCAACACGGCGAGCTGCTGCGGGAAACTTTCTTCCAGAGATCCAACGAACTTGCCCTCCCTAGAGATTTGCCCACCCTATAGCTCTGCCCCAATGCTCTCCTTGGCCATAAAAGTCAGCCTTTCCAACCTGCTCCCCCTTTTCGTTGCAGAGTCGGGCCTGCCCCCTGCCTGCGTCTCCTCCGCAAAAACCAGCCGCTGTCCCCCTAAGGCAGGCACCCCCAACCTTCGGCCCTCCAGGTGTTTTGGACTACATTTCCCATCCTCCCTGACCACTGGTCCTGTTAGCTAGGGATCATGGGAGTTGTAGTCCCAAACATCTGGAGGGCCAAGTTTGGGGGTGCCTGTTTTATGCCTCCCCTTAGGCAGAGCGCTTCCATGCTTTGGGTTCGCCACCCCCCAGAATTTTGCACCCCGTCCCCACAAGCGACTCGGGTCCCAAGCCAGCATCAAGAGACCCGACTGTACAAGTACCCCAAGGCCAATGGCAAAGGACACAAAATGGCGCTACAAAGGGTCCTCATCAGAGAAGGCCTGCTCCAAAACAGGGTTCGGGAAAGAAGTCGACAAGAAAGCAACACCGGTCCGACTGTCCCGCAATCCCCCTCCTCTCCAGCGGGGGGCGCTGGCGATCTCGGCTGCACGCCTGCCCCCCAACTGGTGGGGTCAGGCGTAAGGTCCTCGCCTGGCCAAAAAACAAACAAACCCCAAAAAGCCTCGGAGCTCCATAGTTAGAGAAACACCAAAAAGTAATAAAATAATATTTTGACCATATACAAATATATATATATATATGTATGTATATATATTATATATGTGCATGTGTAAAAGGGAAAAAAGGGAAAAGGACGACCATCAGTGACTCTTCGTCCGTTCCGAAATCCACCAGGAAAAGAGTGCGGCTGAGCGGCTCGGCCGGATCCAGACTTCATTCCATTTTGGACATTTCGAATTTCGTGGTCACTATTTCCTGTTTTTTTTTGGGGGGGGAGAGAGGGAGGACAAGGGAAAAGCCACTTTTTACAAAAGCTTTAATACAGTATGTTTCAGATAAGAACAGGAGCTCCTTTGCAATTCTGTTGATGGTTGTGAAAAGTTCTAGCTGCTGTGACCTCACAGAAGCTCGGCCAATGGTTCTCGTAGGCAGGCCTAGCAAATGATTAGCTATAAGGAGGGATTGGGAAAACCATGTAACTTGAATTCTGTGGGCGTATTTGTTCATTAAAACCAGCCGTTGCCCAGGAGCAAATTGGAGGAACAGTCTGGGAGATGCTGGGTGGGAAAAAGGGAATTGACACATAGGCCTTATGTTGTTTTATGATTAAGTAGATAAAGGGTATTCAGTGGACATACCGTATTTTTTGCCGCATAAAACACACTTTTTCCTCCTAAAAAATAAGGGGAAATGTCTGTGTGTCTTATGGAGCGAATGCGTGGTCCCTGGAGCCGAATTGCCCAGGGGCAAAAAGCAGATCGTGCTTTTTTTTTTTTAGAAAGAGGGAAGGGGGTGTTGAAATGAAGCCGCTGAGCAGCTGATCGGCAAGCGATCGGGAGAGAGATAAGGGAGGCTAGTGATAAAGGAGACTGCCTGGGAGGGGGGAGGTAAACGTACATGGATCCTCAGGATTTTTGCACTGGGTCACCCCAAATTCACCACCAGATCACATAGCATGTCCATGGCTACAGCCTGCCCCCCCCAAATCACGCACCCACTGTTTCGTGGTTACAAAGCACGTATCCACATGGATTCTCAGGATTTTTGCATTGAGCTACCCCAAATTCACCGTCAAATCACACGTCTGTGGCCACAGCATGAACCACAAAAATCATACATCCACAGTTTCGTTCAGAATATTTTTTTTCTTGTTTTCCTCCTCTAAAAACTATGTGCGTCTTATGGTCAGGTGCATCTTATGGAGCAAAAAATACGGTAGTTTTTTCCAGTTCTGGGTTGCAATCTCAATGGCCTGGCCAGGAACGCCGACACAGTGTGCCTATCGCATGAAACATAGCAAGGGCCCCGCTCCATCAGGCCAAATCACACAAATTAAACTGAACTTGGCTTACCTCGTCAGAATCTAACAAAGGAGGGAGCACGCTGGAAGAGGGAAAAGGAAGATTATTAATGTGAATCTTTGTAATATTGCTAGACAGGGGCTGCAGGTGTCAACTGATAAAATCAGAGCAATTAAAACTGAGGTCTTTCACTGGAGAGTCAAACTCGGGAGCGGATTAAATCAGCTTGGGCCTGTCTAGAATCACAGAGCTGTAGAGTTGGAAGGGAACCCCAAGGGATATCTAGTCCAACCCCCGGCAATGAGGGAATCACTGATGAGGAATCAGTCACAAATGGCCATCCAGCTGCTGTCTAATGAGGCTTCTGAGTTGCTGTGGCAAAAAAGGGACTAATAAAATTTAATAACAATAGATTGTGAATGCCCCCTTTACTGCAGAATCCTCAAAGTGCTGTCTTTACAGAACGTTTGCACAAAATGCATTTCCAAACCACTGACTTGCTTATTTGATTAAATGCTACACAGCTGAACAATAAATCAGTTGACAGCCCACAAACAAGCATTTGAGGGGTTGGAAACCAACAACTTACACGTCAGCCATGGAAGACGGGATGTTTTCTTCAACCCATTTCAAGTCTTCATCCTGGGAAAGGGGAACGAAGCAAGATTTGTGGATGAACAGCAAGGCTTCAGAACCGGAGAACGCAGGTTGTTCTACCTGGACTGGGCTCCAAACGTGCGCCGAAAGCCAGCAGAGAGCGGGATGCCATCCCAAAAAGATGGCAAAGGACGGAAATCGGTGTGTTTTTATTTGTAAGAAATACAGTGGTACCTTGGTACTCAAATGCCAAAAACCCAGAAATAAAGTGTTCTGGTTTTCAAACGTTTTTCGGAAGCCGAACATCCGATGCGGCTGTCGGCTATAGTTTCCGGGGTGCCTGCACCAATCTGGTCTCCAAACAAATGGACTTCCGGAATGGATTAAGTTCGAGAACCAAGGTATTTGGCGCTTTTGGTTTTGCTATTTATTTTGCGTTTTTGTTTTTGAGGCTTTTTCGCTTAATTTGTTTTTGTGACTGTGTGGAACCCAGTTCAGCTACTGACTGACTGACTGTGTGACTGTGGAAATGGATAAAAGTCCCCCATCCAAACAATAACTATCATCAGAGCAAGTAAGAAAAAAAATAATTTTAATTTTCATCATATTGTCTTATTTATTTTATAACACAGTACTTCTATTATTGCTTTCATTTTATGGATCAATAGTCTCATTAGATAGTCAAATTCATGTTACATTGCTGCTTTAGGGGTTGTTTTTAAAAGTCTGGAACGGATTAATCCGTTTTGCATGACTTTCTATGGTAAAGCGTGCCTTGGTTTTGGAACGCTTTGGTTTTGGAACGGACTTCCGGAACGGATTAAGTTTGAGAACCAAGGTACCACTGTATAAGATTACTGGGTACTTTGCTACAACCAGAAGAGGCAGCCAGCTGCCTTATGATCCAGAACTGACAAAAGAGAAAGGAAAAGGAGGAGGCGAGGCCAAACCATGGTTTAGGGTAGACCGGGGTTTCGTGTTCCCGGCTAACCATGGTTTGGCTGAGTGCGACTTGCAAACCAGGCCACCGGGAGAGGTGCCTGGACTACAGCTTGTGGAGGACAGGGTGCAGGATCCTTACCACTCTGCTGCCCTTGAGGATCCCATTGGCTTCAGGCTTTGAACTTCTCATCTTCATCCCTTCTGAAAAACAGGGTGGGGTCGAGAAGAAGGACACCTCTTACAAACGCGGAACGGGGATTATGGGGGTACTTAGAACAGGGCCTGATCCGCCGATCCAAGTGGGGAAAGGCAAACTGGTCCCAAGGAGTTATGGCTTTACATACCGATAGTATTTTATGCAATTTAAACAAAAAAAAGTATTTTATTTTAATGTATTTTTAATAAAAATTTTCTTGATTTACAAAAGTATGTGTAATGTCTCTCTCTCGTATTTTTACCACGTAACCTTTTTACAAATCAGTTTAATTACAACAAATTACGAACCTTATGCCTGTGAGTCTAGCCTTGCGACTTGAGATATGCACCACGCCTGTTCGTTTTACGGGAAATACGTTTGCTTATTTCTTTTTTTGGCTACGCTTGGTTAAGCAATATATTTTGATTTGATGAGATTCATGCAAACGCGTGCAAATTTGCACCGCTTGAGAAGGCTGCATGTTTTTGGTTTTTCCCCAGCAGGAACCTTTACGTCTTACATTGCACCTCTCCGGGTAACAACTGACGGCCAGTAGCCTGGAGAGATGCTCCACCTTCACCTCCCTGAGCCCCCCACCCCCAGGCCTGCCCCACACAACGCAGCAAGGCTCCCTTGGGGCTGAGCGCTTACCAAAGGCCTCGTTGACCATGGGCTCCTCGTCCTCGTCCTCCGGCTCGCTGCCTTCATCCACCAAGGGCATGAAGGCGTACCTGGAGTCAGAGTTGCGGAGTTAGAAGGGATCCGGGTGTGTGTGTGCCATCTAGCCCACCCCCTGCAATGCCTGGGGAGAGCAGCCAAGAAGTCAAGCCGCAGTTCTCAGCCTGCTTGCTTCTCCTCCAAGAAGCAGCATCCGTTGCCTCCTCATCCCTCCCCTCACAACAACCGTATCAGGTAGGCCGAGCCGGGAGTTAGTGAATGCTTCTAAGCGGAATAATAATAATAATAATAATAATAATAATAATATGTTGGGTGGCTTCCAACAAAACACTAAAATACAATAAGCTATTAAACATTAAAAGCTTCCCTAAACAGGGCTGCCTTCAGATGTCTTCTAAAAGTCTGGTAGTTGTTGTTCTCTTTGACATCTGATGGGATGGTGTTCCGCAGGGCGGGTGCCACCACCAAGAAGGCCCTCTGCCTGGTTCCCTGTAGCTTTGCTTCTCGCAATGAGGGAACCGCCAGAAGGCCCTCGGATCTAGACCTCAGTGTCTGGGCTGGACGATGGGGGTGGAGATGCTCCTTCAGGTATACTGGGCCTTTGAGGCCGTTCAGGGCTTTCAAGGTCAGCACCAACACTTTGAATTGTGCTTGGAAACATAATGGGAGCCAATGTAGGTCTTTCAAGACCGGTGTTATATGGTCTCGGCAGCCGCTCCCAGTTCCCAGTCTAGCTGCCACATTTTGGATTAGTTGTAGTTTCCAAGTCACCTTCAAAGGGAGCCCCACGTAGAGCGCATGGCAGTAGTCCAAGTGAGAGATAACTAGAGCATGCACCACTCTGGCCAGGCAGTCCACGGGCAGGGAGGGTCTCATCCTGCATACCAGGTGGAGCTGGTGGACAGCTGCCCTGGACACAGAATGGCCCTGCACCTCCATGGACAGCTGTGAGTCCAAAATGACTCCCAGGCTGCACACCTGGTCCTTCAGGGCACAGTTGCCCCATTCAGGACCAGGGAGTCCCCCACACCTGCCCGCCTCCTGTCCCCCAGAAACAGTACTTCTGTCTTGTCAGGATTCAAGGTGTGTTTCAGAGCATCGCCTGCCCAGAGGTTGCTGTACCTTTGGTTATTGGCTGAGGGTCTCCAGAGGAACATGATCACCAGAAGGATGATAGAGAAGAGGAATCTCCAAAAAGCATCGTCGATCCACAACTCCCTCCAGTCCTGATGAGCAGCGAGGAAGAAATTAATCTCATCCTGAGTCAAACGGCCTACTCTCCTCCCAAGCCCGAGACCCAGCCTTGCACTTTTGGCATATCTGGAGAGAACTCAAGGTGCCTCCCCTGCCAGGTAAGGACACAAATGAGCCTTTTTTTAAAAAAAGACAAAAGGTGCACCAATAGGATTTCTTTGACCCGGGGCGAAGCGATGATAGCGACAATAATAATGATCACCTCGCCTTTTTTCCTAGACTGGGACTTGAGGCAGCTTGCATAGGTAAAATAGAAAAAGCTGTAAACATATATATCATGGGTAGGCAGCCTAAGGCCCGGGGGCCGGATGTGGCCCAATTGCCTTCTAAATCCGGCCCCCGGATGGTCCAGGAATCAGCGTGTTTTTACATGAGTAGAATGTGTCCTTTTATTTAAAATGCACCTCTGGGTTATTTGTGGGGCATAGGAATTCGTTCTTTTTTTATTTTCCAAAATATAGTCTGGCCCCCCACAAGGTCTGAGGGACAGTGGACCGGACCCCTGCTGAAAAAGTTCGCTGACCCCTGATATATACTGTATTTTTCCGTGTATAAGACGCCCCCATGTATAAGACGCTCCCTAATTATTAGGGACTCCAATTTAAGAAATCCCCACCATTCATTATCCATGTATAAGACCCACAGTTTTTCATATAATTTTAAAGTAAAAAAACCCCTAGTCTTATACAAGGAAAAGTACGGTAACTGGGATCGCTGAAAAGCAGTTAAAACTCTTAACAGGATTTAAACAGTATTTGTAAAGATCTGTTCAAATGTAGATCATAATCGCCATCAGCTCAGCACCCCCCAAAAAATGTCCGTCTCCCCACCCCCATTTGGATGGGGTTCCTCAGTACTCACTGCCTGGCACGTGGCGAGCCTGAAAGTCTTAGTGGTCCATATAATGAAGATAACAGAAGCTGCAGAGGAAACAAATTTTGGGTGAGTTGGATGAGACTTTGGCAGCAATGCCAAATATTTATCTTGTGCCATTTAAACCAGCGGCACCCTCTGCGACCTCCAGGTATCCTGCCTTTCAATACGACCGCAGGTGTTTTTTTGGGGCCGTCCCATCGCCTTGATTATTTCCTTTGGGGAATAACCAAGATGCAAGTCAGCGCTGCAACGTAAAGTTGCAGCGTGGAGGGCTTCTCTTCGGCCTGCCAGCCACGCCCTCCCTCCAGAGCGGCCCGTTTCATTACACGCCTCCAGGAGCATCAGCTACCTGCGTGCACCGAGTGTGCTCAGTGCGCATCGGAGCTGTTTTGGGGATTACTGCAACTTAAAGAGAGTTATTTATTTAGGTACAGTGGTACCTTGGTTCTCAAAAGCCTTCGAGCCCAAATGCTACAAACCCGGAAGTAAGTGTTCTGGTTTGTGAACATTTTTTGGAAGCCGAACGTGCTCTGATTTGAGTGTTACGCTTCCGATTGGAGTGTTACACTGAGGTCTGTCTGTTTTTGCTATTTATTTTGCATTTTTGTGGCTCTTTTTTGTTATGTTTTTGTGACTGTGTGGAACCCAGTTCAGCTACTGATTAATTGATTGAACGTTTGACTGCAGTACATTGTTTATTGCTTTCGTTTTATGGATCAATGGTCTTGTTAGATAGTAAAATTCATGTTCAATGGCTGTTTTAGGGGTTGCTTTTAAAAGTCTGGAACAGATTAACCCAGGCATGTCCAAAGTCCGTTTTGGGTTTTATCCAGCCCCTGTGGCAGTTTATTTCCTGGGGTAAAATCCTGGAAAAATCTCAACAACTTCAATCCTAAAAAAAGGTAAAAAAAACCCTATGGTTGGCCCTTTGGCCGGCCCTCACGGCCCTTCACTTCATCAAATCTGGCCCTCTTTGTAAAACGTTTGGACACCACTGGATTAATCCATTTTGCATTACTTTCTAGGGGAAAGGGCACCTTGGCTTTGGAATGCTTTGGTTTTGGAACGGAATTCCGGATTGAGTTTGAGAACCAAGGTACCACTGTACTTCTGAAAATCTTGCATTTCCCCATGGCGAGAATTCTGCAACCTTCCATGGTGGGCTTTTGGCTCAGAAAATGAATCTTCTGCAGACACTGGGCAGCCAGCTGCCGGGACCCCTTAGCCGCAATCCCGGATCATAGCTATCAATGTTTCCCTTTTTTAAAGGGAAATTCCCTTATTCTGAATAGGATTCCCCGCAAGAAAAGAGAAAAGTAGACAGTTATGGCAATTCCTGCCTTACTTCCGGGCGTCGGGCTGGATAACCTCTGGGGGTCCCAATCAGCGCAACAATCCCATGAATTCTGCCTTCAGATGGGACTGGGAAACCTGGACACGCACATAATACAGACGCAAAGCAGACGGGTTGGGGTGGGGTCCCCCTTCTCCCCCAGACTCACCGATGACGGCGAAGATGAGCGTGTTGGTGAAATGGCGGTAGAGGGAGAGTTTGACCAGGTTCCGGCGCAGTTTCAGCAGCTTCATGGTTTGCACCAGGCTAATGAGGATGTGTTGCTCGTTAAGGAAGACGGCAGTGGGTGGCGATGGGGGGGGGAGAGAGTGGCTGGGGGAAAACCCAGCCAGATGGGCCAAATATAGATAATAAAATTATTATTATTATACCTACGGTAAGTCCCATGGACATACCTCTCCTGGTATGTCCCACGGAGGACCTTAAGGTCTTCAAACAAAAACATCTTGGAGGTCCCGGGCCACAGGGAGGTTAGGCTGGCCTCAAGCAGAGCCAGGGCTTTTTCGGCTGTGGCCCCGATCTGGTGGAACACTCTGTCCCAAGAGACTGGCCATGGAGGCGCAGGTTGCAGCCACAGCAAAAGTGGCATTTTTCCATCTCCACCGTTTCAAGCAGTTGGTCCCTTACCTTTCCCGCCCCAACCTGGCCACAGTGATCCATGCAACGGTCACCTCCAGGCTTGACTACTGTAACTCGCTCTATGCGGGGCTGCCCTTGAAGCTGACCCAGAAACTCCAGCGGGTGCAGAATGTGAGGCTCCTTACGGGGTCCTCACCGCGGGATCACATTCATCCAGTGCTTTACCAGCTGCACTGGCTCCAGGTGGAGTACAGGTCAGGTTCAAGGTGCTGGTTTTGACCTTTAAAGCCCTATGCGGCCTAGGACCCTCGTACCTACAGGACTGCCTCTCCTGGTATGCCCCACGGAGGACCTTAAGGTCCACAAATGACAACACCTTGGAGGTCCCAGGTCACAAGGTGGTTAGATTGGTCTCAACCAGAGCCAGGATCTTTTCAGCCATGGCCCCAATCTGGTGGAACGCTCTGTCCCAAGAGACCAGGGCCCTGCGGGACTTGACATCTTTCCACAGGGCCTGCAAGATGGAGTTGTTCCGCCAGGCCTTTGGCCAAGGCACAATCTGACCCCCCTCCTTTGGTAATCCTCACAGAACTCTAGCCCAATGGTTGCCATCAATTTGATTCTGAATTGATTTCAGAATGAATTGATTTTAGAATGTTGTGTTCCTTTTACTGTTGTTAGCCACTCTGAGCCCGGCTTCGGCTGGGGAGGGCGGGATATAAATAAAATTTTATTTATTTATTTATTATTAAGAGTGGGGAGGAGAGAGGGTTCCTGAGCTTAGGTCCTGCTTGTGGGTTTGCCCCACAGGCCTCTGTTTGGCCCCATGAGAACAGCATGCTGGCCAGACCCAACAGGGTTCTTTTTATAGAGCCTCCAGGTCCAGTCGCAGTCTATCTGGATCCCTTGAGTTATCTGGGCCACTGGGTTGTTCCCATGTTCTAACCACCGCCAACTACGCCTTCCCAGCAGATAAGGAGCGTCGCTACGGGCAGGGAGCTCAACCACCCGAAAAAGGAGCAGATCATTGGAAAAATGACTTTTCGGGGGAGGAGGGCAAGAAACCGAAAGGCACATGCAGGCGAAACTGAACGAGAGTCGGGGCCCGGCCAGGCAGAGCACAGAGGATATCCACCAGCAGAGGGCAGAGTCGAGCATAGCCAGAGGGATAGCAGCTAGCAGCACCAAGTCGTCTTGCGCCTGCGATAAAACGGGGGGGGGGGGGAGGAGACAAGAGAAAAGAAGGAGAAAGAGGTGGTGAAGAGGAGAGGCAGAAAGAAAAGGGAGGCCAAAGTGCAGGCAGGAAGCCGAGCTGATTTGCAGCTGAGAACAAACAGCTCGTCAAAACAAGCCAGGCGCCTAGGGCGAGCGGACATTCGCTTCCAGGCGACCACGCGATATAAAGCGTTTGGGTTATAAAACTAGGACCGGCCGCCTGGGAAACAACTTCTACCCAAATGTGATTTTGGTTTTAAACACGGTGTAAGGAGTCTCTATGGGAGTATATTGTATTTTAAAATGGGGTATCAGAGTTTTTAGGGGGCTAACCAGGCTGGGATAGCAGGCTTGTTGGGTTTTGAAGGGCTGCCTTCAGATGTCTCCTAAAAGTCAGATAGTTGTGTATTTCCTTGACATCTGATGGGAGGGCGTTCCACAGGGCGGGCGCCACCACCGAGAAGGCCCTCTGCCTGGTTCCCTGTAACTTGGCTTCTCGCAGGGAGGGAAGGGCCAGAAGGCCCTCAGGAGATGGACCCCGGTGTCCGGGCTGAACGATGGGGGTGAAGACACAGAAATCCTTTGTGGGCTGCCGGATTAGATTGCAAAGCTTTATCCTTCTCCATTCATTTAGAAACCCCCCTCCCAACCTCCATTCCAAGGCAAGGGAAGAGCAAAGAGAAGGCAAACTGGCCAAGTTTCTAGTCCCTTGTAAAGGATATCCACCAGACGATACACGAATCCACAAACGCCAGGAAAATTTCACAGATGAGCGCGGCGGCTTTAGTTTGCTCCTGGGGTGGGAGGGGGACAGTCAGGCTGAGAGGGCTGTTCCTGGGCTTAACCCCCCCCCCAATGACACCCTCCCTGCCTCCCCCCGTGCCGCCCGCCCTTACCGATTTGACTCGCAGGACCCCCTCGATGATGGAGAAGATCAAGTACATCAGTCCCACACCCACGACCCGATTCAAGAGAGCCCCCAGCCGTGGCCTGTGGAGAGAAAAGAGGGGCAGAAGTTGAGGAGCCGAGTCATCGGAAAAACGGGGCAGGTCTCTTGTGAATGTGACTGCGCTTTGCCGCGATTCCTGTGCCGCAGCGGGTTGGGCCAGATGACCTTGAGAGGTCCCCTCCCAGCGCTGCAATTCTGGCAACCAGTTCTATGATCCGAGAATGTCTCCCAGGCAAGAGAATCATCATCATCATTTATACCCTGCCCATCTGGCTGGGTTTCCCCAGTCATTCTGGGCGGCTTCCAACAGAATATTAAAATATAATAATCTATGAAACATTGTGGATGGTCCGGGAATCAGCGTGTTTTTACATGAGTAGAATGTGTCCTTTTATTTAAAATGCACCTCTGGGTTATTTGTGGGGCATAGGAATTCATTCATTTTTTTTCTTTTCCAAAATATAGTCCGGCCCCCCACAAGGTCTGAGGGATAGTGGACCGGCCCCCTGCTGGAAAAGTTTGCTGGCCTAAGTGGCACAAAACCCGAAGGAAGACAATTGATCCAGAACTCGGACAGGCAGTGGCTGGGGCAGGCGTGGGGAACTTCAGACCTGGAGCCAGATGTGGCCCTCCAGACCTTTCTAAGTGGCCCTCAAACACCCCCCAGCCTACGCCCTGCTCTGCAACCCGAGTTTACTCAGCCGGGAAGTGCCCAGGCACCTGGGAAATGCCCCTTGCTTCCCTGGGTGCAGGACAGAACCACAGAGCCAAAAGGGACCCTGTAGATCATCTAGTCCAACCCGCTGCAATGCAGGATATTTTACACCTGATGGGGCTCAAACCCACAGCCCTGAGATTAAGGGTCTCATGCTCTGCTGGCTGATAGAGAAGGGTGTGTTGGAAACTAGGTGAAGGTCCTGTGTGAGTGTCTGGAGGCGGTTGGAGGATGGATGGCAGCTAACAGATTGAGGTTGAATCCTGACAAGACAGAAGGACTGTTTTGGGGGGACAGGAGGCGGGCGGGTGTGGAGGACTCCCTGGTCCTGAATGGGGCAACTGTGCCCCTGAAGGACCGGGTGCGCAGCCTAGGAGTCATTTTGGACTCACAGCTGTTCGTGGAGGCACAGGTCAGTTCTGTGTCCAGGGCAGCTGTCTACCAGCTCCATCTGGTACACAGGATGAGACCCTCCCTGTCTGCGGACTGTCTCGCCAGAGCGGTGCATGCTCTGGTTATCTCCTGCTTTGACTACTGCAACACGCTCTATACTACAACTAATCCAGAATGCGGCAGCTAGACTGGGGACTGGGAGCGGCCGCCGAGACCACATAACACCAGTCCTGAAAGACCTACATTGGCTCCCAGTACTGAGCACAATTCAAAGTGTTGGGGCTGACCTTTAAAGCCCTAAACGGCCTCAAAGGCCCAGTATACCTGAAGGAGTGTCTCCACCCCCATCGTTCTACCTGGACACTGAGGTCCAGCTCCGAGGGCCTTCTGGCGGTTCCCTCCCTGCGAGAAGTGAGGTTACAGGGCCTTCTCGGTGGTGGCATCCGCCCTGTGGAACACCCTCCCATCAGATGTCAAAGAGAAAAATAACTACCAAACTTTTAGAAGACATCTGAAGGCAGCCCTGTTTAGGGAAGCTTTTAATGTTTAATAGGTTACTGTATTTTAGTGTTTTGTTGGAAGCCGCCCAGAGTGGCTGGGGAAGACCAGCCAGATTGGCAGGGTATAAATAAATTATTATTATTATTATTATTATTATTAGGCAACTGGCTGCCCCACATGCTTTCTCCCCTAGCCCCGGCCACCACTTCCATCCGGCCCCCGGAAAGGAACATGGCCCTCAGGTGGGGAACACCGAAAAGGCTCTCCCGCCACCCTAGCCGAGGATCTCCATGAGGTCTTCCCCATCCCAGGAAAATAAACTGGCGACATCAGGGACTGAAGTTGGGGCCTTCTGCACACCAAGCAGGTGTCCTCCGCCGCTTTGGCCAAGGGGCTGCCCCCCTCTCCCTCTCCCCGGCCGACACACTCACTTGACGATGCCGTATCCCAGGCTAGCGATGATGACCAGAACCCGGGCCAGCATCCTCTTCACGGCGCACAGGACCTCGGCAAATATCACCGCCCCTTGAACTGGAAAGCAGGAGGAGAGAAGGCGCCGTTTTGAGAGAAGGCAGAGGCTGCGAAAATGCGGGGCAGCCCCTGCAGAGATGAACCAGAAACTTCGCGCAAGGTCCACGCCTGGCGCCCCCAACCTGTGGCCCTCCACCGGTTTTGGGACTACAACTCCCATCATCCCTCGCTAACAGGACCAGTAGTCAGGGGTGATGGGAACTGTAGTCCCAAAACATCTGGAGGACCGCGGGTTGGGGGTTCCTGGTCCACATCATACATTTAAAGCTCCACGGTGCTGCTTTAAACGGTCATGGCGGCTTCCCCCAAGGAATTCTGGGAACTCTGTGTGTGTGTATGAGCAGCCATACCTCAGGTTACAGACGCTTCAGGTTGCGATTTTCGGGTTACAGACTGCCGAAAACCAGAAGGGGTTACTTCCGGGTTTTGGGGGGTCGCGCATACGCAGAAGTGCTAAATTGCACATGCGCAGAAGCTCCGAATTGCAACCCGCGTGTGCGCAGACACACCACTGTAGGTTGTGAACGCTGCGGGTTGCGAGCGTGCCTCCCGCACGGATCCCGTTCGCAACCCGAGCGCCCACTGTATTGCAAAGCACGTCGCTATCGGCAAGTCCCCACTGACCTGAGGTCCCTTGGCTCTGGATGCTCTGGAACTCGGCGTAGAAGACGGCCTTCTCTAGCATTCCCAGGAGGATGACGCCGCCAATCCAGAACTGGATGCGAAGGATGTCTCGCCAGTAGCAGGCCAGCAGGACCAGCCAGAGGACCCCGTAAAGCACGTAGACAATGCACATCACCATGTAGAACTACGGAGGGGAGGAAAGGGCAGGAGAGGGATAAGGCTGGAGGCCCTCTGGACCTTGTGGGACTACAACTCCCATCATCCATGGCGACCGGGCCACACTGGATGCTGGGAACTGTAGTCCCAACACCTGGAAACTGACACAGTATATAGAAATGGGTCAAGACAGGAATCCTGACACAGCGGCAACTACTGGACAGAGGTGTCTTGGCCGCTGTACTCCGCCAGCTTCCAGGCTGGACTACTGCCATGTGCTCTACGTGGGGCTGCCCTTGGAGACGACTCGGAAACTTTGAATGGTCCAAAGCGCATCATCGGCCAGGTGTCTCTTTGTTTTGAAACGGCTGTGCTGGTTGTCGGTCTCTCTGAGCTGCCCGCCGAACCCACACGAAGCATTGCCAAGCCCCACAGGGGGAACCCACGGGGAGGAAAAGAACTCACCACCATCAGAGGCCACTCGGAGGCAGAGATGTACTGGTGGTCAGGATGCTTCATCTGCACATCAACTGAAAGTTGGAGGGGGAAAGGAGTCAGGTGAGCGGAAGGGGCCACGGGAGAGGAGGCACCAAAATTCTGATAGCTTTCGCCACATAAAAGGTGGCAAACATATAGCCTCAGTCCTGGAAGAGTTCCAAGCTAATCCGCCAGCACAGCTATTTTGTACAGGGCTCAGATTTGGACAGGCACTCGCCTTGGGTCTACAGAAGCTGTCCAGTCACTGCTCTTAAGGCAAATTTCCTCTGTCCCACCCTGTGTCCCAAACACATCATTGCGCCCAGAGGCTAATCTTCCCTTGGTAGAATGATGGATCTGGCGTAGGACACTCAACTATTGGCTTTGCCTAAACTCAAATCCCCCCGGTCTAATATCCCTCGTGCTGCAAAATCCCAAAAGCGCCTGGACTAAAACTGTCTATCAAAAACTTCACTCTTGTGTTTTATCACCACAACAGCTACTCACTGTGGTTTTTAGTCAAGCAAACAGTCTAATTTGCTAGCACCTAAATGATATCGAGCGTCAGAACAACTTGGCCACAATAAGGAAATTTTGCCCATGGTATGACTATTTTCCACCTTCCCATTTCGACTCTCTGGCACCCTCTCTGCATAACCAAGCAATCCTAAAATACAGACGCATTTTTACTCTCGCAAGATTGAATGTCTTGCCCTTGGCTGGACTTGAGGGACGATTCCAACAGATTCCACACGAGAAATGCTTATGTCCCTGTGGAGATGGCACTTGCAAATCGGTGGTGCATTCCCTTCTAGCTTGCACTCTTGATAAAGACTTGAGGAATGAGATTATCACCTCTCTTTTATTGCCCATTCCGGGTCTCCCAACCACTGCCACAATGTCCTTTCTCTTGGCAGATCAAGATGAGCAGGTGACAGCAAAGGTGGCAAGGTTTTTAGCTGGGGCAATCAGAATAAGACCCACTATCTGACCATTGATTCAAAGCCCTAAAATCTATTTGATATAATTGATTTGTTCATTTCTATTCTTTATATACTGTATTGTATAAATCTGATTTTTTAAATTACTATTTTTTTAAAAAAACCATTGAGTTTTATCCACCCTGCACTGTACACAACAGAGCTGGAAAACAAAGCCCATCTCTTCACCCGGGTATCTAATGCCGGGAACAGAACAGCCCGGGTCGTTTCTTGCGCGAAGGCAAAGCTTTCCCCACCGACTCAAACGCCGCTCCGCTGACTGATCTCAACCCTCGCCGCCCACGGAAAAGCTGCGCCGTTTCACTCACTTTTGATCTCCCAGTTAGGAGACGGGTTCTTGTCGCTGAAGATCCTGAGGATGAAGACGTAAGGCCCGTCCTCCCAGGTCACGGCGACCGTCGAAACCTGGAAAGAACCCCCCCGGAAAAACCCCCCGGGTCAGCCAAGGTTCTGGGACTCCGCGCCAACCGCAGAGGGCATGGCATGGCCTTCATGACAAACAGCCTTTGGCAGCCCTCCCCTTTAGCGATCAGGTGGGATTGCTATGAGGAATTACAAAAAATATGAAGCAAGCCATTTGTGTCCGCAATGAAAGCCTTGCGTTGACTGGCTTTGAGCCATTTTGATAGGATTTTTGATCAATCAACACCTCTGCATCTCTGTCCTGTTTCTTTGCCTGACAGGCATGTATCAGCATTCTAAACACAGGCCAGTTGCTTCACCAGGCATCCTGGGTCATAAAGATGGAAGGTAGTTTTGATGTAGTTTGTTAATCTTTAGGTAGATCTTAAGGGCCAGCAAACCTAGACAGCATCTTAAACCTTGAACCTTAAACCTAGACAGCATCTTCAAAAGCAGAGACATCACCTTGCCAACAAAGGTCCATATAGTTCAAGCTATGGTTTTCCCAGTAGTGATGTATGGAAGTGAGAGCTGGACCATAAAGAAGGCTGATCGCCGAAGAATGGATGCTTTTGAATTCTGGTGCTGGAGGAGACTCTGGAGAGTCCCATGGACTGCAAGAAGATCCAACCTCTCCATTCTGAAGGAAATCAGCCCTGAGTGTTCACTGGAAGGACAGATCCTGAAGCTGAGGCTCCAATACTTTGGCCACCTCATGAGAAAAGAAGACTCCCTGGAAAAGACCCTGATGCTGGGAAAGATGGAGGGCACAAGAAGAAGGGGACGACAGAGGACGAGGTGGTGGGACAGTGTTCTCGAAGCTACCAGCATGAGTTGGATCAAGCGATGGAAGACAGGCGTGCCCTGGTCCAGGGCGTCACGAAGAGGTGGACACGACTAAACGACTAAACAACAACAACCAACCTCTAACTTCTGCTTCTTCGCCACTGCGCTCTTCGCGGTGCCTTTGTCTTCCTTCTCGCTGGCCGAGGCAGCCGGCTGCGCAACATCCTTGCTCACTTGTGTGGCTCCAGTTTCCTTCCCCACGGCCTTTTCTTCTGCCTGCTTGGGAGCCTCCCTCTTCTTCACTCCCGACTGGGGCTGCGGGTGAAACGGGAAAATGGGCATTGGGAAAAGGGTGGGAGCGCCAACGAAAGGGTGGCGTCTCTTGGAGGAATCAGTCCACCTATCGCTCTTGGGAGCCGCCATGCCTGCAAATTGAAAGGATCCCAAGAAGGGGAAAATATCCCTTCTCTCTCTCTTTTATATATATAATTTTTTATTAGTATTAACATACCATTTTCAACAGTAGTTAAACATGCTTTTACAACTTATTCAATTTTTTTTTACTTCCATCGGTCCTGTCTGTAAATTTTCCAATCTCATCTCTTAGTATACATTTCTTACTTTTCTTATTACATTTAAAACTTATAACCAATCATCTCTATTTGTTTATCTATTTTGTAACACTTCTTATATTTCTCCCTACAAAACTTCTTGTAGTCCTACTAGCCTAATTTGTTGGTTACAATTGCTCTTCAAATACCCTTCTCTCTCTCACCCACTGAAAGAGGGGGTGGCAAACAAGGGAAACTGCATCTGGTACCCAGCAGTCAGCGATTTCGGAGAAAATCGGGCAGATCATCCACAGGGTTGCAGCAAAGCCACCGACAATATCTGTTGTTATACCGGGGGGGAGGGGAATTTGGAGTCTGGCCAGGGAAGGGAAGTTTTTAATGTTTATTGCTGTATTGTGTTTTTAAAATTTGCTTGGAAGCCGTCCATAGTGTCTGGGGAAACCAAGCCAGATGGGTGGGGTATAAATAATAATAATACAGTCATACCTCGGATTAAATGTGCTTCAGGTTGAACGCTTTCGGATTGCGCTCCGCGGCGACCCGGAAGTAAGAGAACTTGTTATTTCCAGGTTTTGCCGCTCGCGCATGCGCAGATGGTCAAAATGACATCATGCGCATGCACGGAAGAGGTGAATTGCGACCCACGCACGCACAGATGCGGGTTGTGTTCACTTCTGGATGCGAACGGGGCTCCAGAACGGATCCCATTCGTATCCAGAGGTACCACTGTAATATTATTATTATTATTATTATTATTATTATTATTATTATTATTATTAATGCTACCCTCCCCCTCCCATTTGGGACTCTCTCTCAGGCCACACTCCCCCCCCAGCTTTCTCCCCCCCTGCCCCCCCGCCTTGAGAGTTTGTTTTTCCTGGCTGGACTGCACTGATAATAGCTCTGGCTTCCTCTGATGGAGGAGAGAGAGGAGTGTTCGAGTATCCATGGAAACCAGCTTACCCCACAATGGTAAAATTTGCACTGCCCACTTTCCTTCTGGCTTTGCTCCCCCCCCCCCCACCACCACCATGCTGAATGGCACAGAAACACCCTGCCTATTTAGGGAAGAGCCATCTGGCCTAGTGGGAAGATCCATCGCACCACTGAATTTCATTTAAGGCTGGCTTCGGGGGCCCCGGGAGCGCGGTTAAGAGTAGCACTTGCAGCGCTGAGCGGAAGAAGAGCTTGTGGATCAGGCCTAAGGTCTACCCGATACAGGGCTGCTTGCTTCCAGAAATCCCATAAGGCGAGTAAGCGTCTTCCCCTGCTGTTGCTCTAATAATAATAATAATAATAATTAATAATTAATAATTAATTTATTTATACCCCGCCCTCCCCAGCCAAGACAGAGCTCAGGGCAGCTAACACCAGATATAAAAGCAATTGATTGAAATACAGCTTAAAAAACAATATTAAAACACAACATTAAAACATTAAAATGCAGCCTCATTTCAGTGGAAACTCAATCAAAAACCTTTTGGGGGATGAAAACGTCAAATCTTCACCAAGGCCAACTATCCAGACTGGCCCTACATGGGCCAGAAAAAAGCCAGGGAAGTCCCCAAATAGGAGTTCCAACACAGAAGAAAGGGGGGGGGAAAGAAAGAGGGGAAGGGAATCAAATTGGCTCCAAGCCAAAGGCCAGGCGGAACAACTCTGTCTTACAGGCCCTGCGGAAAGAAATCAGATCCTGCAGGGCCTTGATCTCATGAGACAGAGCGTTCCACCAGGCCGGGGCCAGTGTTGAAAAGGCCCTGGCTCTGGTTGAAGCCAATCTAACTTCCTTAGGGCCCGGGACCTCTAGGGTGTTGCTATTTATGGACCTTGAGGCTCTCCGTGGGGCGTACCGGGAGAGGCGGTCCCGTAGGTACGAGAAAGAACATAAGGAGAGCCTGCAGGATCAGGCCAGTGGCCCTTCTAGTCCAGCATCCTGTCTCCCTTGTGGCAGGGAGTTCCACAGTTTAATGGCCATCCAACCCAACCCCCTCCTTTAAAGCAAGCCTGCAGCCCCTCACTATGTCGTCGGGCAGCAATAACAAGGCCAGGGACTTCTGTCTAGGATGAGATCACAGTCCAGTCCCGTCCCCCCAGTTCCCCGACTCTCCACTGACCGAACTGACCACGCCTGGCTCCTTGAAAGGCTGCAGCTTTTGGGGCTTCGGCAGCTCTGGGAAGTGCAGCTGAAAGAGAAAGGGAGACAGCCAGTTGTTAGCGCCCTGTTCTTTTCTCCCGACAGAAGCCCCTCCACCACGATTTTCATTTCCTCAGGGAAAACGCACACCACAATCTCCTAATCTGGAGATAAACCCTTGGCTGAAAAATTGGACCAGATTTCTACCTCTACTTGGTCCAAAGAGAAGCCACTTTTCCCTCCACGCTCCTCAGGCTTCCTCCCCAAGTAAATAATAATAATAATAATAATAATAATAACAATAATTTATACCCCGCCCTCCCCAGCCAAGGCCGGGCTCAGGGCGGCTAACAACCAATAATAAAAACAAGTTGATTGGAATACATCTTAAAAAACAAGGTTAAATACAACAAAATCATAATCATAATTTATTATTTATACCCCGCCCATCTGGCTGGGTTTCCCCAGCCACTCTGGGCGGCTTCCAAAAGAACACTAAAATACAATAGCCTATTAAACATTTAAAGCTTCCCTAAACAGGGCTGCCTTCAGATGTCTTCTAAAAGTCTGGTAGTTGTTGTTCTCTTTTACATCTGGTGGGAGGGCGTTCCACAGGGCGGGTGCCACTACCGAGAAGGCCCTCTACCTGGTTCCCTGTAACTTGGCTTCTCGCAGGGAGGGAACCGCCAGAAGGCCCTCGGAGCTGGACCTCAGTGTCCGGGCTGAACAATGGGGGTGGAGACATTAAAACATTAAAAGGAAAGAACCAAGGAGGAGCGAAGGGGTCGCAATCTTCAGCCCGGAAACCCAAACGTTCACTGGGTTGCACTGAGCAAACTGGGCCACGACAACACACACTTTGCCCGAAAGCTGCTCCCCCCGTCCGGTTTCCTTTCAAAATCTTTCCTCCTCCGCTGATCACCTTCATCCCGTTAGCGAAGGAGCAGGAACAAGGCTTCTCCGCAGGCCGCCCTGGGCTCCCCCCAAATCTTCCTTCCTTCTGCAGACACAAATCCTCTTTCCTGCTCCGTACAAAGGCCAGCCCTCCCCAACGCAGCCACATTCCCCATTAAACCGATCTCGCTCCACCCGCATCCCAGCGACTTGCCGCCCGCCATTTTGCATTGCCCACCTCATTGAGCTGGCTGCACTGGACCAGGGTCGTGTACCAAATGTACTGGCCGCCTCCGGCGACGCTGGCCTCCGTTTCGTGATGGCTTAGGTATTGGTCTGCCTTGGATTCCTGAGAGGGCAGAGGAGGAAACTGAGAAACGGGTTGTCCAAAAACTAAAAAACAGACGTGTGAAAAGATTAAGATTTTGGGGGGGGGAAATAGACGATGAATTAAAAAAGGTGATGGAGATAACTTTTACTAAAAAACCAGAGGCATTTCTATTAAGTATTTTAGATAAAGAGATCACCAAAAATCTAAGAGAGGTATTCTTTTATGCAACTGCAGCGGCTCGTATACTTGTGGCCAAGGGATGGAAAGATCACGGGGCTCCAAAAATAACAGAATGGCAAATCAAATTACAGGAATTGGTGGAGACGGCTCAATTAACTAGTAAACTCAGAGGAAACTCAAAGCAAAAATTTGCGGAAAAATGGGATGGTTATAGAATGGTTCAAAAATACAATAATAGTTTTGGCTCCGTACTAGCATTCGAGTGATAAAGGAACTAAAAGGAGGTGAACAACAATTAAGGATTTATTATGTTTTCAGAATGTATTGGAAAATTTATATAGAAAGGTGTATTGTTTTGTGTACATCCGATTGTAAGATAAAATATATGCAAAGGGACTTGACAGGAAGTCAAAGTTGAAGAAAAGATTTTGGAAGATAAAAGGGGAAAAAATATTGTGGGTGTCTGCACATATGTGTGTTTTTGCATGGAATGTTTGGGAGGAAATAAGACGGTAAATAACAAATAAACTAAATATTGATGTATGTAATTTTTATTTCTTAATTATATTTAGTGGTAGTATGGTTGTATTGTTTTTAGTAACATAAAATCATTAAATAAAAAATATTTTTTAAAAAAACAAAAACTAAAAATAGGGGGTTCAGGAGCACTGCTGCCTTCAACCACAGAGGCAAAGCACAGACGTCCTGGCTAGCAGCCATCGACAGGCTTCTCTTTCACGGATTCGTCAAATGCTCTTTTAAAGCCCCCTGTGTTGGTGGCGCTCCTGTGGGAGGGAGTTCCTCAGTCTAACTCTGCACCGCCCACAGACACCCCAGAAGCCCCTGGGCTTCTCATGGACTCTTCAACCCGCCCCAGTTCCACCCCACAAGCAAAGAAGGGGCCGGTCGCTCACGTCTATGTAGACCTCGTCGTGGCAGTGGGAGCTGCGGAGGTACCAGGTGATGTTCAGGGACAAATCGGGGGTGACACAGTTCTTCTCCACAACTGCAAAGGGAAAGAAGCATTAGGCAAAGCCGCCAGGAGGGCAGCAAGCGTCTGGCGCTAACCAGGCGTGAAACTGAGCCCTGATCTGCCTTACCTTTGAGGCTAATAATAATAATAATAATAAATATTTTTACCCCGCCCTCCCCGGCCAGAGCCGGGCTCAGGGCTGCTAACACCAATAAAATCACAGGAAAAACATAATACGGGGGAAAACAAAAGAAAAAAACCCAATTTAAAATACAGGTTAAAATGCCATTTAAAATGCAGCCTCATTTTAAAAGTAGCCTATAAATCAAGACCATAAGGGGAGGGAAACATAAGGGTCAGACCGAGTCCAAACCAAAGGCCAGGCGGAACAGCTCTGTCTTGCAGGCCCTGCGGAAAGATGTCAAGTCCCGCAGGGCCCTGGTCTCTTGGGACAGAGCGTTCCACCAAGTCGGGGCCAGCACTGAAAAGGCCCTGGCCCTAGTTGAGACCAATCTAACCACCTTGAGACCTGGGACCTCCAAGATGTTGTAATTTGTGGATCTCAAGGACCTAATGCATTAATTTATTTATCTGTGAATGTATATCTGTACACACAAACACACACATACGTTACTGCCAAGGGCAGGAAAAAATAACGTGGTGTTAGATGGCATAAAGCCAACAATAAAAAAACCACCATGAAACAAGTACTGTATATCACAAAGTCAGTAAAGAGAGCTGGATCATTCCTTCGGAGAAAGCCTGGGTGAAATTAGAATTGTAGATTTGGAAGGGACCCGCAAAGGTCCTCTAGACCAACCCCCTGCAATGAAGGAATCACAGCTAGAGAATCCATGACAGATGGCCACCTAGGCTCTGCTTAACAACCTCCCAACGAAGGAGAGTTCACCAGCTCCTGAGGGTGTCCGTTCCATGGCCGAACATCTCTTACAGCCACAAAGTTCTTCCCCATGTTTAGTCGGAATCACCTTTCCTATCCTGTGAATTCCCTTTCCATGGAGGCGCAGATTGCAGCTATAACAAAGGCGGCGTTTTTTCATCTCCGCCAAGCTAAGCAGTTGGCCCCTTATCTCTCTCGCCCTGACCTAGCCACTGTGATCTATGCAATGGTCACCTCCAGACTGGATTATTGTAACTCGCTCTACGTGGCGCTGCCCTTGAGACTGATCCAGAAACTCCAGCGGGTGCAGAATGCCGCGGTGAGGCTCCTTACGGGGTCCTTGCCACGGGAACACATTCACCCAGTGCTATACCAGCTGCACTGGCTCCCGGTGGAGTACAGGATCAGGTTTAAGGTGCTGGTTTTGACCTTTAAAGCCCTATGCGGCCTAGGACCCTCGTACCTACGGGACCGCCTCTCCTGGTATGTCCCACGGAGGACCTTACGGTCTTCAAACAAAAACATCTTGGAGGTCCTGGGCCACAGGGAGGTTAGGCTGGCCTCAACCAGAGCCAGGGCTTTTTCAGCTGTGGCTCTGATCCGGTGGAACGCTCTGTCCCAAGAGACTAGGGCCCTACAGGACTTGACATCTTTCCGCAGGGCCTACAAGATGGAGTTGTTCCACCAGGCCTTTGGCCAGGGCACAGCCTGACCCCCTCCTTCAGTAATCCTCATAGAACTCTAGCCCAATGGTTGCCATTAATTTGATTCTGAATTGATTTTAGAATGAATTTCAATTAATCAACTGTGATTTTATGTAAACTGTGTTACTTTTACTGTTGTTAGCCGCTCTGAGCCCGGCTTCGGCTGGGGAGGGCGGGAAATAAATAAAATTTTATTATTATTATTCATTGGTTCTGCTCCAACCCTCCGGAGCAGCAGAAGAGAAGCTTGCTCCATCTTTCACATGACAACCCAAGATGGCTGGCAAATAACCTCTCAGTCGTCTCTTCTCCAGGCTAAACAGACCTAGCTCCTTCAACTGTTCCTCATCAGGCTTGGTTTCCAGACCCTGGATCATCTTAGTCGCCCTCCTCTGAACACCTTCCAGCTTGTCAATATCTTTCTGAAATTGCAGTGCCCAGAACTGGACATAGGACTCCAGGCTTCCTTTGATCTAGACACTAGACCTCTGTTGATGCAGCCTAGAATAGCATTACCTTTTTTACAACTGCATCACACTGTTAAGCTAAAACCCCTAGATCAGCGGTTCTCTACCTGCGGGTCCCCAGATGTTGTTGGACTACAACTCCCATCATCCCTGAGCTCTGGCCTTGCTAGCTAGGACTGATGGGAGTTGTAGTCCAACAACATCTGGGGACCCACAGGCTGAGAAGGCTGCCCTACATCCTTTTTGCATGCACTGCTGTCAAGCCAGGTTCCCCTCCGTCCTATATCTGAATTGGGAGGCCTAAATGCCAGTATCGCTGGTGCACCCCAGAGCCACCACAGTAAAGGCCCTGGTCTTAGTGGGAAATAAGACGAACCCTAGGAGCGTATCGCACCACTAAAGCATCTTTCCTGAGGATGGAAGTTTCTCAACAGGAGTGGGACACAAGATAAGTCTTTGCACAGGTGAGCTGATTCCCTTTTATAACAGCACCAGAACTTACATTTGAGGATAATCTGGGTGTCCTTAAACATTGTTTTGGGTAAGACAAACAGGTTCTGTGTTTGGTTCTGAAAAGGAAGAACAGCAAAAATGGATTGATTAGAGACACCCTCAATTGGGCTCGTTCCTCCCCAAAGTAGTTCCAGGCCCCCACGCAAGGACGTCTCCTCTGGTTCTGACTCGCAATGAAAACACCCACTTAGCCTCAGCAGAGTGACAACTTGCAAGTGGAAAATTTCAGCCTGCTCCTGGGGAGAAAGAGATGCTGAGCGGTGAGGAAACACGAGCAGCCTTGTGTTACGGGCTGTGCGTCCCCGTGGGTTAAATTTCCAAAGAATGCAAGCTCAGAAGGCAGGAATGAAAGCCAGGGCGAAGTCACAGGCCAGACAGGAAGCCGCTGGGCAGTTTTGGGCAGGTCACTACCCTCAGTCTCCCCTGTCTGCATTATGGGGATAATACCAACGGCAGAGGCCTGAGATGAGAACAGTGCAACACTCAAAGTGCACCATATAATGTTCAATAAGCATTGCAGCAGGGTGGGAGGTGGGAGAGAGGAAGGTTGTGGGACCAGCAGGTGAGGCAACATATATCTCCTCCCTCCCCCGACCGCTGCGGATCCTAAACCACAGCCTGAGGACCATCTAGGGTTAGGGTTGCCTGATGTTTAGCTGTATCTACGGGACTGCCTCTCCTGGTCTGCCCCGCAGAGGGCCTTAAGATCCATGTACAACCATAGTTTGGAGGTCCCGGGCCCGAAGGAAGTCAGACTATCCTCCAAGGCCAGGGCCTTCTCAGTGGTGGCTCCGACCTGGTGGAATGCTTTATCCCATGAGACCAGGGCCCTACAGGATTTGACCTCCTTCCACTGGGCCTGTAAGACAGAGCTATTCCTCCTGGCCTTTAATTTGAATTCAGCCTGATCTTTTATTTCCCTTCTCTTCCCTCCCTCTCCCCTTTTATGAAGATCATCCGCTCTGAGACCCCACAGCTAATTCTCCCTGGCCTCCTCGCTGGCCCAAGTAGGACCAATTCAGCCAGCTAGCCCTGGGGATTATCTGATTGATTGATTTTTGAATTTTATTGTTATTCATGTTTTTATACCGCATTTTATGCTGCTTTTATAATTAAGTGTTTTAAATTTGTTGTTAGCCACCCTGAGCCTGGTTTTTGACCCGGGAAGGGCGGGGTATAAATAAAATTTTATTATTATTATTCACTAAGAACAAAAAGAATAAGGAACTGCGATCCTGTTTAAAAGCAATGTGTTATTTTGTATTTTGCCAACGTCTACTTTGTAACTAGTTTAAGACTGTTTGCAGCAGAGCTTTGAAACCACCCTTTTAAAGTGTTTTAAATTTGTTGTTAGCCGCCCTGAGCCCAGTTTTCTGAACCGGGAAGGGCGGGGTATAAATAAAAATTAATTATTGTTATTTATCATTAATGCCCCTCTCTGTTGTCTCAGCTCCACGTATTTCTCCTCTTAGTTAAGGGTATGAAACTGCTTTATACGGAGTCAGATTATATGCCAATCAAAGTTCCAGGTGATCTGCGCTACAACTCCCATCATCCCTGCCCATTTGTCCATGCCGGCAGGGGCTGATGGGAGTCAGGAATCCAAAACTCTGGGAGGCCACAAAGCTGGGGGGAGGCTGATCTGGCACAATAATCCTCCGGCAGAGAGAGAAGTATTTCCTAACCCAGAGATGCTCAGGGCAGAAACTCGGGTTGTTTTCTGTGTTCAAAGCTTGCGCCCTGAGACTAAACTCTGGGCTTATTCTGGGACAGCCTGCGTTTGCCAGCCGTTATTTCCCCTAGCAAAGAAGGAGTATTGGAAGCCAAATCCAGAAACTTGGAGCAGCTGCCCCATGGCTGCCCTCCCTAGTTGCAGACACAACTGGCGGTCGACCCATTGCAAATTCCTCTGCATGGACTGGAACTCCAGCAGGTGAACTAGGCTTTACTCGCGAGGCAGACTGAAGGCACCTGATCTGTCTTCGCGCTCCGCAAGTCAGGGAAACACATTCAATTGCCCTGAATTAACCTGCTGCCCTCCATATGTTTTGGACAGATGTTTGGCTGAAGCCTGAAACATCTGGGGGGGTCCAGCCTGGAGAAGGGTAGTTTAGACCAGGCATAGGCAAACTCGGCCCTCCAAATGTTTTGGAACTACAACTCCCACCATTCCTAGGTAACAGGACCAGTGGTCTGGGATGATGGGAGTTGTAGTCCCAAAACATCTGGAGGGCCGAAGGTTGGGGATGCCTGGTCCACACCATACATTCCTGTTTAGGGAAGCTTTTAATGTTTAATAGGTTATTGTATTTTAGTGTTTTATTGGAAGCCGCCCAGAGTGGCTGGGGAAACCCAGCCAGATGGGCCAGGTATAAATAATAAATTATTGTTATTGTTGTTGTTATTATTATTATTATTATTATTATTACTATTACTATTATTAAAAGCTCCATGGTGCTGCTTTAAACAGTCATGGCGGATTCCCCCAAGGAATTCTGGGAACTGTAGTTTTCTCAACTTTGTTAGCCCAAAGGTTTAGACCAACATGGGCGGAATTCACCTGCTACCCAAATCAGCAATGCAACCTGTTTGCCGAGGTAAACGAATATTAACCTGGGGACAAACATTCCACGGGGCTTTATTGTACCTGAGAACAAAAAAGAAGCCTGCAGTCTCAAAGGGCAGCCTTTATCTTGCACCTGGGAAACACAGTTACAGAAAAACACCTGGCCCAGGACACAGGACTGTGTTTTCTGCTGAAAAAGTTTGCTGACCGCTTTCATAGATGGTATAAACTGCCCGTTCCCATCCCTGAAACAATACCAAAGACGGGAGACTTTTGGATCTTTTTCTTGCTCAAGGAAGCTCACCCCCACCTCCATCTTGCCACCCACCTTAAAATACCTCTGCCTTCTATGGAATGTGATCCTTTAAGACCCAAAAGAGGGGTGCAGACTTTTCTTACCCCCTCCCCTCTTCCAACCTGCCCCAAACCTGCACAACGTCCCCCCAAGAAAAAAACCAGTGTCCATAACAGGACTCAGAAATGGTTCACTCCTGGATCTGTTAGCACAGTGCACACAGAGGGAAAAGTCTCCACCTGCTCCATTGGGAGGAATGGCAACCACTACTATCACCCATGTAAGTAGACCTGGTGCCTTCCATGACATGGACCAGGCATAGGCAAACTCCGGCCCTCCAGATGTTTGGGACTACAATTCCCATCATCCCTGACCACCGGTCCTGTTAGCTGGGGATGATGGGAGTTGTAGTCCCCAACATCTGGAGGGCCGGAGTTTGTCTATGCCTGACATGGACAAAGTGAGGAGGCTAAGAATCAATTTGATTCCCTCCCCCTCTTTCTTTTCTCCTTTCTCCTTCTGTGATGGAACTCCTATTTGGGGACTTCCCTGGCTTTTTTTCTGGCCCATGTAGGGCCAGTCTGGATAGTTGGCCTTGGTGAAGATTTGACGTTTTTATCCCCAAAAAAGTTTTTGATTGAGTTTCCACTGAAATGAGGCTGCATTTTAATGTTTTGATGTTGTATTTTAATCTTGTTTTTTAAGCTGCATTTCAATCAATTGTTTTTGGTATTAGCCGCCCTGAGCCCTGTTTTGGCTGGGGAGGGCGGGGTGTAAATAAAATTTATTATTATTATTAAGTGTCCTGCAGATGCCCCAACAGACAGGAGCAGAACAAGAAGGGAGGGGATCACAAGATCCCCAGCAGGGATCTGCCGCTGAATGTTGGTCAGGAACAAGGCCATTATTCTTCTTACTATCCCCACATACATTTGGGGCCCCGGCTCCAGACTCTGCTCTGCTCCTCTCCTCCTAATGGCCGCTGAGGATCAGGCCTGCTCTGGTTTGGCTTCTTGGTCACACCGCAACGTGACAAGCGGTTGCGGATGGGCTGCCTGTTTATTCTGAGGAATTTTAATTCAAACACACACATTGTTATGAGTGCAATTCATGACAACGTTGGCTATTTTACTCTCTAAGGCCATTATGGTATATTATTATTTATTAAGTTTCTAAGCCACTCTTCATTGGAGGAGCACAGGGTGGTTTACCATATAAAAACAGAAAAATAAGTACCGTGGTATACAAACAAAAACAAGAACCCCACATTTATGATGTAAAGGTTAATTTTGAAAGCCATGCGGTGGGAGGGAAGGAAGTCGACAGGCTCTAAAGAGCCAGGGGCGTAAAGTGGAGTGTTATGATGTGAACATATATCATAAAATGGAAAATAAATAAGAACCCCACATTATTATATTGAAGTTAATTTCAACAAGCATTATATTAATTATACTATATTATACCACACTATGAATTAATTATAATACATTGACCATATTACATTTACTATATCATATTACTTATGTATTGAATTGTATATTATATTAATAACCCTTATTAATTATACTATATTATGCCACACTATGTATTACAGTGGTACCTCGGGTTAAGTACTTAATTCGTTCCGGAGGTCTGATCTTAACCTGAAACTGTTCTTAACCTGAAGCACCACTTTAGCTAATGGGGCCGTGCGATTTCTGTTCTCATCCTGAAGCAAAGTTCTTAACCAGAGGTACTATTTCTGGGTTAGCGGAGTCTGTAACCTGAAGCGTATGTAATCTGAAGCGTATGTAACCCGAGGTACCACTGTAATCATAATATATTGACTATATTACATTGACTATATCATATTACTTACGTATTAAACTGCATGAATTGCTTATTATACTAATATCCCCCCTTCTTAATTGTCCTATATCATGCCACACTATATATTAATTATAATATATTGACTATATCATATTACTTACATATTGAATTGTATTAATTGCCTATTATACTAATATTCCCCCTTCTTCATGGTCCTCTATCATGCCACGCTACATATTAATTATAATATCTTGACTATATCCTATTGCTTGCGTATTACACTGCATGAGCTGCCCCTTCTGCTCCTATCCCCCCTTCGCCTTCCTTGCCCTCTCCCGGCCGCCCCTCGCCCCTTCCGCCCCCCACTCACCCCTCGGGCCCGGAGGCTCCATCTCCCGGGCTGGGAGGCGGCCCCGGCGGCGGGCCCAGGCGCCAGGGCGGCCCCGCAGGCCAGCAGCAGCGCCAGCCGGAGCAGCGGGAGCCGCGGCCCCCAGCAGCGCGCCAGGCGCCCACCCGACGCCATCCTCTTCCGGAGCCGGCCGGGCGTCACGTGGGGGGCGGGCGGGGGCGGGGCCTGGAGGAGGGAGGGGCCGGGGAAGGGGCGGGGCGGAGGAGGAGGAAGAGGCTCCTCCCTCGGCAAGGCAAGGGAGCGGGGAGAAAGAGGCAGCCCGGGAAGGAACGAAGGAGGCGGCGCCAGGGAGGGAGGCAGGGAGGGAGGGAGAGAGAGATGGAAAGATAGAGGGATGGAAAGATAGACAGACAGACAGATCAACAGATAGATAGATAGACAGATAGATAGATAGATAGATAGATAGAATTGGGGAGGGAGAGAGAGCAGTGCCAGATTTACGTACAAGCTAAACAAGCCCCACTCTCTTTGTTGTTGTTGTTGAGTCGTTTAGTCGTGTCCGCCTCTTTGTGACCCCCTGGACCAGAGCACGCCAGGCCCTCCTGTCTTCCACTGCCTCCTTCATGTTTGTAGCTTCGAGAACACTGTCCCACCATCTCGTCCTCTGCCGTCCCCTTCTCCTTGGGCCCTCCATCTTTCCCAACATCAGGGTCTTTTCCAGGGAGTCTTCTCTTCTCATGAGGTGGCCAAAGTCTTGGAGCCTCAGCTTCAGGATCTGTCCTTCCAGTCAGCATTCAGGGCTGATTTCCTTCAGAATGGAGAGGTTGGATCTTCTTGCAGTCCATGGGACTCTCAAGAGTCTCCTCCAGCCCCATAATTCAAAAGCATCAATTCTTCGGCAATCAGCCTTCTTTATGGTCCAGCTCTCACTTCCATACATCACTACTGGGAAAACCATGGCTTTAACTATACAGACCTTTGTTGGCAAGGTGATGTCTCTGCTTTTTAAGATGCTGTCTAGGTTTGTCATTGCTTTTCTCCCAAGAAGCAGGTGTCTTTCCATTTCCTGGCTGCTGTCACCATCTGCAGTGATCATGGAGCCCAAGAAAGTAAAATCTCTCACTGCCTCCATTTCTTCCCCTTCTGTTTGCCGGGAGGTGATGGGCCCCGTGGCCATGATCTTCGTTTTTTTGATGCTGAGCTTCAGACCATATTTTGCGCTCTCCTCTTTCACCCTCATTAAAAGGTTCTTTAATTCCTCCTCAAAATCCTTATCTATCTATCAAAAGATAGATAGAGAAATAGACAGATAGATAGACAGACCGACCAAAAAATAGATAGATAGATAGACAGACAGATCGATAGATAGATAGAATTGGAGAGAGAGAGAACAGTGCTGGATTTATGTACAAGCTAAACAAGATCTAGCTTAGGCCCCACTCTCTTGGGGGCCCCTGTGGTCTACTCTAAACCACAGAGCCTAGGGCTTGCCGATCAGAAGATTGGTGGTTCAAATCCCCACAACGGGGTGAGCTCCTGTTGCGCAGTCCCTGCTTCTTGTTTGTTAGCCGCCCTGAGCCCGGTTTTTGAACCAGGAACGGCGGGGTATAAATAAATTATTATTATTATTATTATTATTATTATTAATAATAATAATAGTAGTCCACCATCGTGTTCTCAAGGTGGCCAAGCAAATGCTTCTGGGAAACCCTCGGGCACCAGAGCCGCCCCTCCCCTGCCCCCCAGGGTTTCTAACAACTGGTACTCAGAAGTATTACTGCCTTGCAAAACATCAGCTTTAAGATGGCCCCTCTAGATTGACATGACACACAAGGAAAAATGAAGGGGAGGGAGAAGGAAAAAGCAATCTCCAGTAGAAGTTATTATGGAACTGTGGCAGTTCTGACTATTGTGCTTCTGATTAAGAGCAGGCATAGGCAAACTCGGCCCTCCAGCTGTTTTGGGACTACAACTCCCATCATCACTAGCTAACTAGTGGTCAGGGATGATGGGAGTTGTAGTCCCAAAACATCGGGAGGGCCAAGTTTGCCTGTGCCTGATTAAGAGCAATCCCTTCTTGTGTAAACTCTCCCGCACCCGGTCACCAACTGGCTTCCCGGGCCCTGATGAAACCATGTAACATTTAAGCCACTTAAAAACAAACTGGCAACTTTGTGTAACTATGTATAAAACTCCATTGAAAGTTGATTTAAAAGAAACATGACAAGTGTTATGTTATTTGGCATGGTTTTATTGTTCATACGAAGAATGGAACACATGGAAAGGACAGGCCTACAGCGTGCTTGTACAACTTTGTCTCATCACGTGATAAAGTAGAGAAAGAAATAACATTGAAATAACTGTGATAATAGGAAATCGGTTTATTACGACTGACCCGATTCAAATCTGAAGCGGGTTTTTGCAAGCATGTGCAGAAATTGCTTACGATGCCTCTTTGCCCTGTTTCAGGTAGGTAGCCATGTTGGTCTGACACAGTCGAAATAAAATAATAATAGTAAATTGTCCAGTAGCACTTTAAGAGACCAACTAAGTTTGTTCTGGGTATAAGCTTTCATGTGCATGCACACTTCTTCAGAACGCTTATACCCAGAACAAACTTAGTTGGTCTCTAAGGTGCTACTGGACAATTTTATAATTTTTTAAATTTATTGCATTGCCTTGCATTTTGTTGCTTTTTTAAAAAAAATGTTTTCAAGTCATACTTTTTGCATTTCGCGTTGCCTTTGTATTTACGATTGCACCAAAAGTCCAATAAAAAAAATAACTGGGCGGGGGGTTGCAGAGCCAGGCAGAGGCCTTGGCCAGGTACATAATGTGCCCCTCCTTTTTTTTTTTTACCCTGGGGATAACTGAAGTCTTATAAATAAGTATAAAAATAATTTTCACCAAAGTTACGCTGACAAATAATTTTATTTCAAGGCTTGAACCGTATCTGCATATAAAGACAAAATGGAAAAGATAGATATACAATAGTGCTTTTTAAAACTACATAGGGAAAAGGATTATTTTAAGTATTTACATTTAAAAATGCTTTCAAGCTCAACATTAAAAAAAACGAAGATCATGGCCACTGGGCCCATCACCTCCTGGCAAATAGAAGGGGAAGCAATGGAGGCAGTGAGAGATTTTACTTTCTTGGGCTCCATGATCACTGCAGATGGTGGCAGCAGTCACGAAATTAAAAGTCGCCTGCTTCTTGGGAGAAAGGCGATGGCAAACCTAGACAGCATCTTAAAAAGCAGAGACATCACCTTGCTGACAAAGGTTCGTATAGTTCAAGCTCTGGTTTTCCCAGTAGTGATTTATGGAAGTGAGAGCTGGACCATAAAGAAGGCTGATTGCTGAAGAATGGATGCTTTTGAATTCTGGTGCTGGAGGAGACTCTGGAGAGTCCCATGGACTGCAAGAAGATCCAACCTCTCCATTCTGAAGGAAATCAGCCCTGAGTGCTCACTGGAAGGACAGATCCTGAAGCTGAGGCTCCAAGACTTTGGCCACCTCATGAGAAGAGAAGACTCCCTGGAAAAGACCCTGATGTTGGGAAAGATGGAGGGCACAAGGAGAAGGGGACAACAGAGGACGAGATGGTGGGACAGTGTTCTTGAAGCTACCAGCATGAGTTTGACCAAACTGCGGGAGGCAGTGGAAGACAGGAGTGCCTGGCGTGCTCCGGTCCAGGGGGTCACAAAGAGGCGGAGACGACTAAACGACTAAACAACAACAACAAGGTGCTACTGGACAATTTTTTTAATTTTTTAATTTATTTCACTGCCCTGTATTTCGTTGATTTTTTTAAAAAAATTGTTTTTAAGTCATACTTTTTGCATTTCGCGTTGCCTTTGTATTTACACTTGCACCAAGAGTTCAATAAAAAATAATTGGGCGGGGTGTGTGCGGAGGAAATAGATTTCAATACAGCTTCCAGGAGTTGGCAGCCGCGTGGGCCTTAATTCGGAGTGACTCCGCATTGTCTCCGGAGGAAGCAGGCCTTCGCTCCCCGACCCCACCCCTCTCTTCCCGCAAGAGGGCGTCGCCTCCTTTGGGCACCCCCCCACCCACGGGCGCATTCCTGGCGCCTGAATCAGAAGCTGCTGGGGCCGAGCAGCGGAATCCGGGGGGGGGGGGAGTGACTCCGGATCGGACACGCTCCGCTTCCTCGCTGCAGTCCAGGAACCGGCAGAGCCAGTTCGCCAGCAGGAAGAGAAAGCAAAAGAAGTTTGCTCCTCCCTGTGCAAAACCAACAGTTCGCTCTCTCTGGTCGGAGTGGGGGAAACGCCTGATGCGAATCTATTAATTCGGAGCGGCTTCGGATTGTTAGTCTCAAGGAGGAGCCGCTCCTCCCTCGCAAACTGCTCTTTGTTGTTTAGTCCTTTAGTCGTGTCCGCCTCTTTGTGACCCCATGGACCAGAGCATGCCAGGCACTCCTGTCTTCCACTGCTTCCCGCAGTTTGGTCAAACTCATGCTGGTAGCTTCGAGAACACTGTCCAACCATCTCGTCCTCTGTCGTCCCCTTCTCCTTGTGCCCTCCATCTTTCCCAACATCAGGGTCTTCTCCAGGGAGTCTTCTCTTCTCATGAGGAGGCTAAAGTCTTGGAGTCTCCGCTTCAGAATCTGTCCTTCCAGTGAGGTGGGCAGGTGTGGGGGACTCCCTGGTCCTGAATGGGGTAACTGTGCCCCTGAAGGACCAGGTGCGCAGCCTGGGAGTCATTTTGGACTCACAGCTGTCCATGGAGGTGCAGGTTAATTCTGTGTCCAGGGCAGCTGTCTACCAGCTCCATCTGGTACGCAGGATGAGACCCTCCCTGCCCGTGGACTGTCTTGCCAGAGTGGTGCATGCTCTGGTTATCTCCCGCTTGGACTCCTGCAATGCGCTCTACATGGGGCTACCTTTGAAGGTGACCCGGAAACTGCAATTAATCCAGAATGCGGCAGCTAGACTGGGGACTGGGAGTGGCTGCTGAGACCATATAACATGAGTCCTGAAAGACCTACGTTGACTCCCAGTACTTTTCTGAGCACAATTCAAAGTGTTGGTGCTGACCTTGAAAGCCCTAAATGGCCTCAAAGGCCCAGTATACTTGAAGGAGCGTCTCCACCTCCATCGTTCTACCTGGACACTGAGGTCCAGCACCGAGGGTCTTCTGGCAGTTCCCTCACTGCGAGAAGCCAGGTTACAGGGAACCAGGCAGAGGGCCTTCTCGGTAGTGGCACCCGCCCTGTGGAACGCCCTCCCATCAGATGTCAAAAAGAACAACTACCAGACTTTTAGAAGACATCTGAAGGCTTTCAGGGAAGCTTTTAATGTTTAATAGATTATTGTATTTTAGTGTTTTGTTGGAAGCCGCCCAGAGTGGCTGAGGAAACCCAGCCAGATGGGCGGGGTATAAATAATGAATTATTATTATTATTACAGAACTGTTTTTAGAAATAAATGATAGAACGGAGAAGCCCACCGGCAGGGGGCGTGAAGGCAAGGCGGTGTGTTGTTTCTTAGCGGCGCCTGCCAATTCATAGTGGTAGACTGCCTTGGAAGCTGGAGGTTCGACTGAGCTCAATGGGATACACCTCCAGTCATTTTTCCCCGCAGCTGCGAGCCTGCAAAAGGCAGGGCATGCTGGGAAATCATGAAAGGGTGGGGATGAGAAAGGGGAGTCTGAAATATATATATTTTTTCAAAAAAATTTTTATTTGTTTTTCCAATATTTTAACAAACACAACAACAAACAAGAAAAACATTACAAGATCAAAAAACAAACAAACACACAAAACATTTACCTTAACTGTTACAATCCCACTTTTGTTATAATTGTAAAGTGACCTCCTCAAATCCCCCTGGCTGAGTTTCCAAATAGTTCATCGTAGCAGTTTTCCAACACTATTTTCGTATAAGATTTACCGTACTTGTTCAATTAATATCTTTATTTCTTTTCATTTTGACTCCAATCCATAATATTATACAATTTCACATAGTTACATCCTAGGCCAATCAGTTACTTACAAATATTTCTATTTAAGTTGATATATATATATATATATATATATATATATATATATTCAAAAAATATATATTTATATTCAGTATATTCAATATATTCAATATATTCAAAAATATATTAAAAAAAGCCTTTTGAAACAGTAATTTAAAGGGGAAACTAAGAGATAATAGAGATTTTAAGAAAGATTGGGAACTGTTTATGCTGTATTTAAAGAACTATTGTAAAGAAGGGGACTCACTAGCAAGGTTTGCCTAAACACAATGAAGAAATCAAACAAAAAAGATGTAATATGGGAAAGATGATAAAAAAATTGAAACGTCTGTAACAATATTTAATTGAAAGATTATAAAATGTAACTAAAAGACAGGAGAAGGAAATACTTAAGGAACCTGAAGAGGAGGTTGGGGGAAGAAAGGTAGGGATTTATATACTGTTCTATTTTGTTGAAAACATTGATTGTGACGGATATAACATTTGTAAAATTCAGTAAAAACTATTAAAAAAGGAAAAGAAAGAGTCATTTAACGCCGATCTCAGCCTCGTTCCCTCTCTTTTCTTTTTCTGGCACGGCAGGCGGAAATTCAACCGGTGAGGCTTTCCCCCAGCACAGGATTCAGACCAGTGGACGGGCGCTAGGACCCCGCGGCGCCCTCCGGGCGGCTCCGCTGCAGTGACTCGCTCGGGCGTGGTAGATCCCGCAGCGGACCCGACGGAGAGCCGCCCGCAGCAGAAGCGACCCCGCAGCAGCCTCGGCCACAAGGTAAGAGTCTGGGAGCAGATCCGGACCTGCAGGCTGGTTCTGGGCACCAACTGGGTTATTTTTTTCCTTCCAGGCAGTGGATCCCTTGGGGAGATCCCGGGTGGATCCCGGTCCCCCCATTAATAACTACGGGGAGGATCTACTTCCTCCACTGGGCCTCCTCTGGCTCCCTTGCCCTAAATCTTGTCCACTGTCCATTTCCCCTCCCTTTAAATCCCCTGGAAGCCCATTCGGACACGATCCGGCGCGCACTAGATCCCTCCCTGCTCTCTCTCTCTATCTCTCAGCATTAGTTTCCGTTTTGTAATCTACTCCCCCCGCCGCCAACTCGCCCTTCCTTTTCACACACATCTCCTCTCCTTCGAAGGAGATCTCTCACCCACCCACCCTAAATAATCCGGGCTGTCGTCATTGTCAACCCTACTCAGAGTAGACTCATTGGGATTAATGTACATGACTCACATCGGCCCATTGACTTTAATGGGTGTTATTCTGAGTAGACTTTAGTTGGATACAATAGCCTTCTTTTTTTCTTGGATCCCCCTATATCTGGTGATTTTCCACTGGGAATGCTTTTCCTTTCCCGCCCAACTTTTTCCGTTATGGGTCCTGTATCCGATCCTGGGATCTGTTGCCCTTGGACCCAATCCGAGGCTGCTCCACAAACGATGGCTCCCAACCGCCCTTCAAAAGTTCCAGGAACTTTGTGGGGTCTCCCTCCAGGCCTACAATGAGTCACGTATGATGTTGGGAGCGAGATAATCTAGTAAGGGATCCATTCTAAGGTTACCAGATTTTTTCAATGAATCCTTAGACACTTTTCAACTTCAATCGATTTTGTATGGGGACT